GTCTCCCCTTTGTCTCCCCCCCTTTGTCTCCCCTTTGTCTCCCCTTTGTCTCCCCTTTTGTCCCCCCTTTTGTCTCCCCTTTGTCTCCCCTTTGTCTCCCCCCTTTGTCTCCCCCCTTTTCTCCTTTTGTCTCCCCTTTGTCTCCCCCCTTTGTCCCCCCCCTTTGTTGTCCCCTTTGTTCCCCCCCTTTTGTCTCCCCCCCCTTTGTCCCCCCCTTTGTCTCCCCCCCCCCCCTTTGTCTCCCCCTTTTTGTCCCCCTTTTTTGTCCCCCTTTATTCCCCCTTTTGTCTCCCCCCTTTGTCTCCCCTTTTGTCTCCCCTTTTGTTCCCCTTTTTTCTCCCCTTTTGTCTCCCCCTTTGTCTCCCCTTTGTCCCCCCCCTTTGTCTCCCCCTCCTTTTGTCTCCCCTTTTGTCTCCCCTTTTGTCCCCCTTTTGTCTCCCCCTTTGTCCCCCCTTTGTCTCCCCTTTTGTCTCCCCTTTTGTCCCCCTTTTGTCCCCCCTTTGTCTCCCCTTTGTCTCCCCCCCTTTGTCTCCCCCCTTTTTGTCCCCCCTTTGTCCCCCCTTTGTGTCCCCTTTGTCCCCCCTTTGTCTTTTGTCCCCCTTTGTCTCCCCCTTTTGTCCCCCTTTGTCCCCCTTTGTCTCCCCCTTGTCTCCCCCTTTGTCTCCCCCTTTTGTCTCCCCTTTGTTCCCCCCCCTTGTCTCCCCTTTGTCCCCCCTTTCTGTCTCCCCCTTTGTCCCCCTTGTCCCCCTTTGCCCCCCTTTTGCCCCCCCCTTTGCCCCCCCTTTGCCCCCCTTTGCCCCCCTTGTTTGCCCCCCTTTGCCCCCCCTTTGCCCCCCTTTGCCCCCCTTTGCCCCCCTTTGCCCCCTTTTGTTAACCTAAAAAATTAATTAGGTATTATTATTTATAATATATTAGTTGTAAAATCATTTATAATATTAGTGACAACATATAAATTTACGCATATTTTAACTATAAAAGTTTCTAAGATTGTAGGTATAAATTAGAAAAAATTTGAATTGAATTTGACTTTATTTAAATACATAAACGTGCCGATTAAACTATCACTACTATTTCCACTAACAGAATCCAGCTGTTAGAATATTGTAGAGTTTTTTTAGTATTGACTTGCTTCATAGTAAAGGTACAGTTGAATTTTCAGCCTCCAGTGGCATCAGGTGGTCGTTCAGTTTCATGGACAATAATAATTTTTCTTGACAAAAGTGCTCGCAATTCCTCGGAAATTTTAGGGTCATTTTCATCCACACCTTCTAACTCTTGTTTTCTATCCACCATTTCAATTGTTCTCAGAAATTTTTTGAAAAGAATTTCAGCTCTAGTTAACGTGTCTTCAAGCGATATATTCATGGAAAGTTCATTCATATATTTGAGAATTTCGTCAAATTGTGTCAAATGTTGCATAATAACTTCCTTATGTTTGTCCAAAATAGCTAATGCCACAAAAAGAACAAATTGAGAAGAAAGGTAATCAGTCCATAATATTTCCCAAAGTCTAAGAACATCATCCCATTCAAACTCTCTTTTAAACCAAACTAACAGCATTCGGAAAAAAAAGAAAAAATTGGTAGAATCTGCCTTTTCCAAATGTTTATATAAATCAGGCAGCATAAACTGCACAAGTTGATCAAGAGTAAGCAATTGTTGACGCATACCACTTTGGTCTCTTAAAAAGTTTCTCTCCATTCGGTCCATGAAGTTGCAAAAAGCCCAAAAGGAAATAGCATCATCTTGAAAAACAACATATAGAGGGGCAAGAAGATCTGACATTCCCTGGACATACCCCAAATTAGTATTGTATTCATTATAAGTAATAAGCATGTCTTTGAGTTGCTCAAGATGTAAGTTAGTTCCAATTTCAGCAAATCGACTCTCTGGATCAGGATGAGGAGTATCAGAATCAATAAAAAGAGATATATTTCTATCAGTCCGATGAACATCTTTTTCGATACGTGATTTTTGATCTTTCCAAAACTCGTCATTTTGTTGTTTATCGGTATCTTCCCACCACTTGCGTTTGTAGCGATAATATTCATTTCTTTTTTCCGAAATAATAGATTTTCGTTCCTCAGAATCACTGTCCCAAGGAAACACGTTTAGTAAAAATAACCACACTTTATCTCTAATTGCAGGGGCGACACCTCCATGAAAAATTCTTTCTTTGACCTCATCAACAGTAATTGATAATCGACCACTGTGATCAAAAAAGGCATCCCATTCGGCTTTTCCGACTTCATTTCTTCTTTCCACCTCAAAATCAACAGAGAGAACTTCAAATCCACCAACAGAAGATTTTAATATATCTTGATATCCTTCATTCCAGACAATTTTTTTGCGCGACTTTTCAGCTTCCTCTGCAATACCCATAGCCCATTTAGCAAGGTATACGCGAGCCGAATCAAAATCGTCACCAATTTTCTTAACTTCAGGTTGATTTAATAAATTCCTCACAGAAGGAGGGGAGTTATCAATGACATTTTGAGCAGCTTTTCGAGATATTTTAGTCACTTGAGCAAGTTTAGAAAGAATTGTCCATTTTGCGTCATTTAAAACTTTAGCAAAAGAGCTTTCTTTGGCATCGGTAACTTTTGCATTTTTAGGACTGAAAGAACGTCGATCTTCAGGCTCAGGATTAACTAGATATATTGATGTTTCTAAGGTAGATTTTTCCAAAGTACAATACTGATCTAAAACTTTTAGAAATTGATCGCCTCCCCAAAATATGTCACCATCGGCAAAAGGGTCAAAATTTTTGTTCATTTTTTGTTGAATAAGCACAGTAGATTGGCATTCTGAGTCATGAAAAAATAATGCGGGTGGAGTTTCTCCATCACGGGTGTGAATTACGACTGAGCCCCACCACCACCCCAAAGAGGGTAATCGTATTTGAATAGAGTAAACGTCTCTAAGAGGTATTGAAAACGCATAAGATGTTAACGATGATGAAATTGGTCGAGATACAAAAACGGACGTAGTCGATGAATGGGAAGAATTTGATGACGTAGGAGAGGAAAGAGAAATATCAGTAGTGCTAACTGTTTGACTATCAGGATCTAAATCAACTTTAACATAAGAATTGTAATCTTCTGTTTTTTTTAATAAGTCTTCAGGAATCCAAGCTAATAAAATGTCTCTGTCTTCTGCATTATGAGGTCTCACTAATGCCAAAAACCCCGATATATTGTCTTTGGCGGATTTAGATGGATGTACATATACTTTAGACTTGGAAAAAAGAAGCTGAACCTGGGAAGTTGATGGACTACCCTTTGATGAAACCATAACGTAAGAATCAAAAGATGATCCACTTTCTAATGATGAATAACTCAATGTGAATAATGATAAAATATAAAAATATATATGTTTATTCTTTTCGGAATTATTTAAAAAATATATATAAACGAAATTATGACTGTATATATTCAGTTGTATATTTAAAACTAGATGGAGGCTGAGTTTTATAACTGACGTAATTAAATTGAGCCTCTCCAAAACTCAAAATATGTTGTTCTGGTAACATAACTTTTAGATATCGAGTAAGTTGATTGTTAGTAAGCAAAAGCTTAGCTAATTTTTTTCATTAATGTTGCTATTAACAGCAAACAGGTCATAAAACTACTCAAGTACAGGTATTTGACTAGTCATTATTACTCTAATGTTAATATCAATTGGGAAAGAAAAAATATAATTAAATTAACCTCAAATTTGGTTTAATACAATTTACTATTTATTACAGTCTAACTGAAAATATCAGTTTTAACATTTTTAACTAATCGCATTAATTAAGACAGTAAAGCAAAGCAAGTACATGTAAATACATCTAATACACAATGCTGTAAAATGATCCAAGCTGCTGCATATAATAATTTAGGCGAAAAAACGGTCCATATGAATAAATGGTCTTTTAAAACAACACAGGCACCCAAAATGCCAAATAAAAACCCTGAGAAAAAAACTTGACTAAGAACAATCCTCAATGTCACAACATCTTGACCAACTAGCGAAATTAGATTTTCTAGCTTTTTTCCATCAATTTTAATATTTTTTTCAGTCTCATTGGATCTTTCAAATTCTTGTCGTCGGAATTTTAAATGAGCCTTAATAATTTCTGGTCTTATATCATCTTCAAGAAGTATTGACAATCCAGTAGCAGACCAATACAATGGGCCGGCCCAATTTCCAATAAAAGTCAACAATCCAACAATTATTATATTGTATGTCGAAAGACCATTGTAAGAATTAGATAAATCGATAGAGGCTAATGAATTTGAATTACCCATTGCAAAAAATGACATGTGTTGAAATATAAGAATAGTTATTGATAAAATTGAAATTATTCTCACACTGAATCTTTCTTCATTATCATTATCAAGATCTTTTGTAGAACGAAAAACAAAATTTTTGTTAGCTGCCTTAACTAAGTATGTTCTCAGCATATGGAAAAATATAAATAAAGGAATGTTTTTTGTTCTTGTTTGCATCGCTATTAATGCTTCAAGAAATGTAGTCATATTAGTTAATGGTTTTTGAGATTGTCTATGACGAGGTTCGCATAAAATCACATTTGATAACTCATAAAGCATTCCAATCCCTATAATGACAAAACTTAACCTAGCATAACTAATCAGTTTTGAAGGATCATCGATAATAGAAGAATCGAATGCCCCTACTTTGCGAATTAAAGTGGGGACAGTATCTCCAGAAAGGCATGCCATGTTAACTTTGAATGAAATAGAAGAAGCTATTGTAATGAAGCTGAAAAAAAATCCAGCAATTTGATTAATATTTTTAAAAGTTCCTCTCCAAATTCGTTCAAATAAAGACCCATAGTACAAAATTATTAGAAACCAAAGGCCAGCCGCATTTTCGGGTTTAGACAAAAAAGAAGCAATATCAGGTTCACCAGCATGTTTTTGACCAGTTTGATTCCAACTTCTTATTACGCGAACAATGATCAGGCCTATAACCCAATCAAAGCCATCTGTAAATTTTTTTCGAGTTGTGAGAATGTATAACCAAGAGATCCATCCAGTGGCACCCCAATACCAAAGATGGTGTTCTTCTTCAACTAGACTACTACCAAACATAGACAATGAGTAAAGAATAGTAATCATTAGCAGAATAAATCGAATCAAAGGAACAGACCTTAACAATTTCCATGAAGATGATATAGATATTAAAAATGAAAGTCCTGCTAAAACAAGTCCTATGCTCATCTCGTTGGTTTTATAATTGCTTGAGGCTTGTGAGAGAAAATTCTGCGAACGTTCCAAGTATTCAAACGCTAACTTGTTATCATTAAAATTTACTGATTCATTTATCTTCCACCACATGCATTTTAAAATCTCAAGCTCAGAAACGTCATTAAAATCGATTTGAGATTGACAAAACATTGAATCATCGGCATCAATAGTCATAAATCCAGGATAAGTAGAGTTTAAAATATTAGAAATTTGTAAAACATTTTGAAAAATAACTCGATCTCTATCATGGGGCGACCATAATGGTAAGAACTCTTTTAAAAATACACCTAGCGAGTTTATGGGGATCGGAAAATTAAGTAAACCTGAAAGTGTAGGAACAATATCAGATTGGGATATTTTTCTAAAATATGTGAAATCAGATGAAATTGGTAAAGGTGCTGTCTGGGTATTTAAACTATCTTTGGGTAACTTCTTGATTTTTTTTGAAAAAAATATTGTGGCAGCTGAAGTCTCACCTGCTGAAGATCCACCGTGATTTCCAACTTCATTCATTCCATGGTCACCGACGACAACAAGTAGAGTTTCTTCACCCATAGAGCTAAAAAGCTTTTTTATTATTTGATCCATTTCCTCTTGTTTATTTGGCATAAAGACGCTTTCTGGTCCACCTTTATGGCCTATATGATCTAAACCCAAGTAATGAAGAATTAAAACATCCCATTCATTAATTTTTGAAATTTGATCATCTATATGGCGAGTGACATTATTATCTACCTCCGTAAAATCAGAAACAAAAAAACTAGCCGTTCCATCAACTTCTGAAAAAAAACCAGGAAATAACTTAATCCATGTATCATCTCCAAACATATGAATTTTTTTTCCTAAAGAGTGTAATTGCCATACCCAATTATCTTGTCCTAAAAGTGTAGATGAAGTATCTTCCTCTGCAATATTTAAAACTGCGTCCAAAAAGTTAGGTGTGGAACCAGTAGTTAATCCTTTCAATCTTGGAAGAGTTACAGTAGGTGGAGTAGAAAAGGCCGTATATCCTAAAGCATAACCTTCATTAATAGATTTATGAATAAAAGGCATATGAGAAGAAGTTGAAAACGCAAAGTCGCTTCTAAATGCATCGATTACAACAAATATAAGTTTATTAAAAGGAGATGGGGAAGGGAACTCATTTGATGGGTCAGGAAGAAACGACGCCTGACCAGGTATAATAAGTTTTTTAGGAAAAAATCCTAGTCCAAAGTAAAAGAGTGCTGCTAATTGTAAGCATAAAACCGTGATTATACTAAGCCATCGATTTAACAAAGTCATGTTCTTAAATGGGGGGACATTTACCATGAAGGTGATTTGATTTGAAAGTCATGTTTGTTACTTACTAAGAAAAAAAAAGGATGAAATGGGAGGGTAGGAGTAGAGGGAACAAAGTAGTACAAATATGATTTAGCTAACATTGAGTGAAATTTGGTAAAATATAACTTTTTAGAACCCACTTCTTATTCAGCATTATGATTTAACGCATTAAGACAACAATATTAATACCTTCAAAAATGTTTTTACAAGCAGCAATTCCTCACAAATCTTCTAATAATTCTCAATTTAAATCTTCTTCTAATTCATCACAGAAGAAGAAAACGGATCTTACAATTCAAACAATAGGCCCTTTACCTGGAAGACCATCTTTATCTGAGCGTTCTCCGTTAACTAGACCTTCAAAAGAGCTGGAGCGTATCGCATCGATCGCATCTCAAAATGCTTTGGCTCCAATGTCCACAGCAACACGAGAAGGAGAGAAGCACAAGAACCATTATCATCTGTCTTTTAGATCCGGGAAGAATGGCCATGGAGGAACTGTTTTGTCGTCAAGTTCATCCAACTCGAAATTAATTTCTGAGCAGGGAAGTATTTATTCTTTTCACCCATCAAGCCCAGGTGGTATAAATAAAAGTCTCTCTGCGTTGGAGTTAAGGAATTTGGCTCCTAAAGATGAACGTGACTATATTGCAGATGAATCATGGTCACTTTTAAAATCTAAAGTACTTCAGTTATATCAAGGAGAAGGCTTGCGTGTTCCAGTAGAAGATTTAAATGATCTTGTATCGATGCACGTAAACTCGAGAATTCAACAAGGAAAAAGGGCTACAGAAATTTTAAATGAATTTAAAGATTTGACTAAAATGGGAATGCAAAAACTTGACTATTCTTTACAAAAAGTAACTACAAAGTTATTGTATCGATTAGTTGAACTTTGGCTGTTTTTCTTTTCGCAGGTATTGCCATACTGGGAGGCAATATTTTTGCCTCTACAGTTAGAATTTGAAGGTTCAGGCAATATACTGTCTCATCAAGTGGCAAAGGAATATTGGAGCACGATACCAGAAAGCCCTGAAAATATGAGTGTAAGAAGGATGACTCTAATTGCGTTTCGGGACTGGGTTATAATACCCATTTGTGACAGATTAGAAGAAATGATTTTAAAGGAAGAGAGTGATTTAAATGAAACAGCGATACGGCTTTATCAGTGTGCAAGCATTTTATCGTCCATACACTCTAACGATCAAAATCAGAAAAAAATTGACAATATAATAAGAGCCCTAAGGTGTAGCGGATTAAACAGACAATGGATCAAGAAAGGTGGTTTGGAAGTGAATTAAACATCTATTTACAAGTTAATTGTATCAATTTTACTTAGTAAGTCAGTGTTTATTTCACGATTTAAATTGGAGGCTTGTTTAACTGTTAAAGTTTTATTCTGTTTGGTTTTTTTTAAATTAATTTCATTGAAAATATCACGGGTTATGGCTGAGTCATCTAGAGCTAGTTGAACAGCTTTATCTTTATATTGTTGGGATTTTCTATTCGTCTTATTGAGCGGTTTCTTGCTGACACCTTTTAAAGGCTTATTTGTGTTTCTATTTGACTTTTTTTTCAACGAATATTTGTTTATCTGAGGTTTTGCTAGGATATCTTCTGGCATTTTTTTTTTTTGAATTTTTGAGAGAATCTTTAGGGTGAAAAATTTTTTTTTTCAAGGAACTAGAAAAAGGACTAATTACCATTTGTATAAAATTGGTACATGGGTTAGGGTACATTTTATGCTTACAAATTTTTTTTTTTTTTCTTCTGACAGCTTAAAATTTTTTTTCTCCCTTTCTACAATTGATTCAAATTCAAAAAAAATTTTAACATGCCTTCAAATCATAAGAAAGACAAGCCCTGGGATGACGGAAGTGTGGATAAATGGAAAATAGATTCGTTTGGACCGGAAGATAATAAAGGTGGCACCTTTGCTGAAGAAAGTAGTTTTGTCACATTATTTCCCAAATATCGTGAAAATTATATTCAGACTATTTGGCCAGAAGTATCCAAAGAATTAGAAAAGATTGGTATTTTGGGTGAGCTAGACTTACTCGAAGGATCCATGACTGTTAAAACTACTAGAAAAACTTACGATCCATCAGCTATTTTAAGTGCAAGAGATCTTATTAAATTATTAGCAAGAAGTGTGCCTTTTGAGCAAGCCAAAAAAATTTTAGAAGACGATATTGCTTGTGACGTCATTAAAATTAGTGGTTTTGTTTCTAATAAAGATCGATTTGCAAAAAGAAGACAGAGGCTTTTGGGCCCTGATGGAAGTACACTCAAAGCATTAGAACTTTTGACACAATGTTATATTTTAGTTCAAGGTAATACTGTCGCAGCAATGGGACCATTTAAAGGGTTAAAGGAGGTTCGAAGAATTGTGGAAGACTGCATGAAAAATGTTCATCCCATATACCATATTAAAGAGTTGATGATTAAACGAAAGCTTGCTCAAAAACCAGAGCTGGCGAATGAAGATTGGAGTCGTTTTCTTCCCCAGTTTAAAAAACGTAACGTTGCAAGAAAGAAACCCAAAAACGTTAAAGAAAAGAAACCTTATACACCATTTCCTCCCGCTCCACAACTTAGAAAGGTGGATCTCGAAATTGAGTCTGGTGAATATTTTATGAGTCAGGCCGAAAAACAGAAACGGAAAATGTCGGAAAAGAAAGAGAAAAGCTTGCTGGCTAAGAAAGAAAAGGATAATGAAAAAGCCAAAGATTTTATTCCACCTGATGAACCGGAATATGTTTCTAGTCAATCCAAAAAAAAATTCTAAAAGCAAAAAAAGAATTAAAATAAAAATTCTATTAATAATTAAACTATTCATCTTATTACGGGAGCTCGCAGAATGGTCGGCCTGTTGACTTTTGATAGTTGCATAATGCTTTTTCTAAATGTAAAGATATTAGTCCAGCACAAACAACACCAGCTGAATCACTCAGCCCAACGGCACCCATAGCAAATTCTCTTTCACTTAAAATAACTTCTTCCGAAACTTTCATAAAAGTATTAACGTAAGATGCACCCCCAAGTAATCCTTCATAAAAAACAAGGATCATAATTATATAAACATTTGGGATAAAAACGTATAATGATTGATAAATAAATAGTACCAGGTTAAGTGCTTGTAATAATGAGGGAATGTAAATTTTTTGAATTCTGATAAACGAAGAAGAAGATCGAGAAATAAAAACTCCAACTAAAGACAGAATTAGTTCAAACTTAAACGAAAATACAAAGTAACATACGCTGATAAAGTGTACCATATGTAACATATGCGTCCCGATATTTGCTAAAAGGCATATCTTCAATTGGAAACAAAATTGTGGGCGATATGCCTTGGTTAATTATATATTCTGAAATATATACAAGAAAAAGAGGTATCATATATGGAATAACAAGAGGTTTCAACCTATTTAATGTAACTGATATTGAATCAATTTTAGGTATGTCTCTTTCTCTGGGTATTTCTATCTCTTGAGAAACTAAAATCGATGAACTTTGTTCCTCATCATCTATTTTGTTGTATCCTTGAAGTTCATTCGCAGATTTTACTCCCAAAGTAGAAGCTGGTAAAATATAGTAAAAAGAGATCCAAAAAAAGGCTGGAACAATGCTGAAAATTAATAAAGAAGTTCTAATGGACAATTTCAACCAAGTTGAAAATAGTAAATAACAAAAACTTCCAACAAGACCGGCACCACCAGTGCCGGAACTGAACCCTGATATAGAAATTTCTCCAAAAAAGTGCGTGAGTTGTAGGAATGATAATTCACCTAAGCCTGAGGAAAGAGAGGCGATAACTATTCCAAAAAGTTTAAAAGAAACACTATCGCTTAGGGCAACTATCATCATACCGATAAAACTTAGGACAACTAATATCGATATTCTAATATTGTAAGGGATAATATGAACAAAAAAGGGACCAGTCAGCTTTATTAGAAAAGAAGGAACAACATCTGCAAGTAAAACAGTTGATTTAGGGATTAAAACCCCAACAACATCAATAGCAGCAGAAAGATTTACAACGTATATAACATTATTCACAAGCCCAAAAATCCAAAATGCCAAAAATATTTTCCCATTTGTTGATAGCTTTATCATTTTTTTGAAGATTGCTGAAAGTATTGAAATGTTTTAAATTTTATTTTTTTTTAAATTTTTATAAATAACAGGATAAAAACTCCAATTGCATGAACAAATAATCCTTATCAGCAAAATCAGATAAGCTTACAAATAATCGGTAACAAAAATGATAAGAAAAGGTTACCTGGTAAATAATACAGAAGTAACGAATTAATTTATTCATACATTGTACCAAGACAAGAATTAGATAAAAACAGTTAATTATGAACTTACCCGGCTTGATAAATTAAATCCTCTTGATTAAACTCCTAATTAAAGTCCTTACTTACGAAGAGCTTTTAATCAGCGATACATAATGACACCTTCGGAAAAAGATATCAAATTTGATCGTCAACTGAGATTATGGGGTCCAATTGGACAGAGATTATTGGAAAAGTCGCATATAGCTCTTGTTGGTGCTACACCTGTAGGCTCTGAGCTATTAAAGGATTTAATTTTACCAAATATTGGGGAGTTCACAATTATAGATGGAGGAAATGTAACTGAAGAAGATATTTCAGCAAATTTTTTTGTAGGATCTGATAGCTTGGGCAAACCTAAAGCTCAGGAAGTAAAAGAATTTCTTAATGAACTAAATGAAGATGTGTCGGGTAATTACATCAATAAGGTATGTATTGACTTTTTGACGATTTTGAAATTTTACTAAAAAACATATAGGATGTCAAATCTTTATTAAACTATCCACTTTCATTTTGGAAAAATTTTAATGTGGTTGTAACATCGGGTAATGATCCATCATTTTCAGCTCAACTTTCAGCAATTCTTTTCCCCCTAAATATTCCATTGATAGTCCTTGAATCTATGAGTTTTTATGCATACATGCTAATTGTGGTTAAGGAGCATACAATTATTGAAACGCACCCAGCATCTCTTGTGGATCTTCGTCTCAATAAACCATGGCCTGCTTTGCTTGAGTTTGTTGACCATTATGACCTTGATGTTTTAGATGATGTTGACCTTGCACATGTTCCATATATCGTTATACTATTAAAATTTTTGAATTCATGGAAAGAATCGCATTCAGGATTGCCACCAACAAAACGGGAATTAAAAGATTTCAAGGCGGTTATTCTATCTTTTAGAAAAAGTTCAGATCACATTAATTTTGATGAAGCAATAGCTGCAGCAGGACATTTATTTTCCCCATCTACAATACCAGACAACCTTCAAACAATTCTTAATGACCCCAAAACGAATCTAGATTTTAATTCTTCTAACTTTTGGATTCTCGTGTCTACTTTAAAGGAATTTATTGAGCGCCCCGAATCTGGTGGATGCTTGCCTTTGACAGGAGTTTTACCCGATATGACAGCTGATACAGAGGGTTTCATTCGGATGCAGGAAATATACAGAGAAAAGGCGAAAACAGATATTGACTTTTTTACCGAAATTCTTCATTCTAAACTGACACAGCTCAATCGCAGTATTGATAGCATACTGCCTCAAGAAATTGAAACTTTTTGCAAAAATTCTAAAAATATAAAGGTAATTAGGGGCTCTTCTCTCGAAGAAATTCACAAAACTCCTAGAATTATTGGTATGCCTTTTAATTTAAACAGACAAAACAATTTAAAATATATTAACATGATTCAAGAAAATTTAGGAATAGAGCATGAACAATTTCATGTGTTTTTAGCTATAGAAACTTCTAAATATTTTTATGAAAGGAAACGGAGGCATCTCGGGCGTGCTGATAATGTTGAAGAAGACATTGAAGTAGCAAAGGAAATTGCTAAGGAGGTTTCAAAAAAGTATGGTATCAATGATGTCTATCCTGATACTCATAAAGTCATTGAGGAAATGTAAGTCCCCCCATCCCTCTCATTATTTTTGCTAACAAATTTTACAGTGCTCGTGCTGGATCTTATGAACTACATAATTTAGCAGCTCTGATGGGTGGTATAGGAAGCCAAGAAGTGGTAAAACTTATTACCCATCAATATTCTTTACTAGATAACTTGGTTGCTTTTGATGGAGTAATGAGTAAGCTGCAAACATGGAAGTTGTAAGAAGTACTGTGATATTTGAACTTATAATTTTCAAAACAGAAGTCAGAAAAATGATGAAATATTATAAATCTTCAAAAGAAGAAACTGTTTTGGCTTTTTTCCCCTTACGCTCCCGAACAAGATCCTTCCAGTCTTCAACTGTTGCCTCATCGTCAGATGAGGTAGCATTTTGGTTGTTTCGAAGCTTAGCTTCATGCCTGATTTTTCTCTTCTCGCGTCTTTTTTCAGCGTTTTCTTTTCTTTCGATCCATATTGGCTTTTGCTTTTCTTTTGACTTTTTTTCTTTTAAGGTTTCCTCTTTTTGTTTTTCCTTGAGTTGTTTTTGTCTTTCTTTTTCTTTTTTTTCATTTAAATAAGCGTACTCTTCCATATTAACTGGGGGGCCAAGCCATCCATCTTTCGGTAAACTTTCTGAAGAAATTGTCTTAAGTTCAGGCATTCCAGGAAGTCGGAATAAGCCATAACCTATAGCGTTTTTAATAAAATCAAAATTATAAAAACGAAAAATTGAAGTGGCTGTATGCTTTGAATAGAATCTAACATATGAAACATAGGCTTTGACAGCCATATCAAATCGGGTTCTATCCTTTAACATCCAATTTCTTATGTTGTCATTGGCGTATGGATCAGGGAGGTTAGCAATATTCACATTATATTGATGCATATCAACCATTTTAACTGACATAAAATCAACATATCCTTCTTCATTTCCTTCATTAAGAAATACAACCGAATTCCCCTTTTTCCCTGCTCTGCCTGCCCTACCTGATCTATGCAAAAATACATTGTGATCAGCTGGAGGATCGTATTGAATGACCAAATCCACATCTGGTATATCAAGCCCACGAGCCGCAACATCTGTGGTCAAAAGAACTGATTTAGAAACAGAAGACGTGAATTTTTCTAGAGATTTTTTTCGTGCTGATGGTATTAACTTTCCATGCAATGAATGAAGATTCTTATGGGTCAAGCTTTCCCCAACTAAAGAGTTATCACTTAAAAGAAATGTCAAAAGATGATAAAAATAATTTACTCCATTGCAAGTAGGAAGGTATACTATTACTTTTTTAAAAGATTCCTTTTGGATCATGTCTAAAAGTAACGGAAGCTTTTTATCTGGAGTAATAATCGCATATGAAATACCAAGAGACAAAGGTACCCGCCGATCTAATTGACTATCATTACCACTCACTTTTACAGATATTCTGAAAGGGTTTCTTAAACCAATTTGCGCAATATCATTAACAGCATCACTCATAGTAGCAGAAAAAAGCCCTGCACGTTTTTGTTGAGGAAGCATTCCAATTATAGTTTTTACAGATATGTCAAATCCTAATTCCAATAATCTATCTGCTTCATCTAGTACCATACTATCTACTTGTGCCAATTTTGTTTGAGGGGAGTTTAATAATTCTAATAAACGTCCAGGTGTACCGATTAAAATGTTGGGTATTCTAGACATAAAAACTTGAACATCGGAGTGAGAAGTTTTTTCACCACCAATCACTAATTGTGCTCTGACTAGACGTCTTTTTTTGCCATTGGGTAACTTTTCATCAGAACAAAATTTAAGGACCGATGTTAAAACTTGATAAATTTGCTGAGCTAACTCTCTGGTTGGAGAAATAATTACTGAGTGAGTTTGTCCCGGTTTTAATGGCTCTTCAATTTTCAGTATTCTTTCTATGACAGGAATTAAAAAAGCTAGTGTTTTCCCGGATCCTGTGACTGCTTCAACGACAACATCTTTATTGCCACAAAATAAAGGAATCACAGAAGCTTGAACTGGTGTCATTTTCTTGAATCCCTGGGATTCAATAGCTTCGAGACTTTAATAAAGTTAGACCAATCTAAATAAATTTTCATAATTACTTACACCCATGGGGTTAAAGAAGGCGTTATTTCTGTCCATAACCTTGTAGGCATTAGAAACTTGTTGTGAAACTAATATTCAATTATGGTAGAAAAAAATTGTCAAAGGTCTCAAGATGTAAATTAGATCGTTTTTGTCTCAAGTTCTGTAACAAAAAAACAAATTAACAAAAAGTTAGCCAAAATATTACGTAAATTGTTAATCATATATTTTTAAAGGACCGATTACCACCACCTCATAATATCGTGTTTAAAAAATAGGTACTTCAAACTCTTTTTTTTTCTTTTTTGAAAAACCAATAGAAAATATGTTTAGAGATCGTACAAATTTATATATTTCTTATCGTCAGTCTTATGCCCATCATCCTAGGTTTTCTACGGGAGTTTCAGGATCTGCTTTTGATGTTCCTGAGGAACAACAGTTTTTGATGACACATAATAATGATAGCGAAGTTGATGGACCAACAGAAGCAATTGCAATCGAAATGGACACACTTCCACCTGCATGGCTTGATGTTTCAGAAGAAGTCGATGAATTCTTATCTAAGATAAAAACTAAAATGGCAAAACTTCAGGTTTTATATAAAAAAAACTCGCTTCCTGGCTTTGATGATAGAGCAGCAGAAGAGAAGGAAATTGAGCAACTTACTTACGAAGTGACTTCAGAATTGCATCAGTGTCAATCATTAATAAAAAAGTTTGATCAAATGTCAAATGCATCAGCCAATACTTCTTCAGAAATAAGTATGGCTAAGAATATGAAAATTAGCATGGCGTCTAAGGTTCAAGCCTCATCTACTGAGTTTCGAAAAATGCAATCCAACTATTTAAAAAGTCTCCGAACAGAAGCAGCAACAGAAAACACAAATAGTAATACAACCAATTCCCAGTATCTCCCCGAAGAAGAAGATGAATTTGATAATTCCCTTGCCCAAAGTCAATTAACACAAACTCAACAATTTTCGCAGGAACATGATACTCAACAAAGAGAACGTGAAATTATGAAAATTGCTCAAGGAATTCTTGAGCTTTCAGCTATTTTTAAAGATTTACAGACAATGGTTATTGACCAAGGTACAATATTAGACCGTATCGATTATAATATTGAAACTATGCATACAAACGTTAAAGCAGCCGATAAAGAACTAGTTACTGCAACTCATTATCAAAAAAGAACGCAAAAGTGTAAGATTATATTACTTCTTTTGTTAATAGTATTGGGTCTTTTTATCCTTTTGCTGGCAAAGCCGAAACATCATTATTCTACATCACCACCTAAAGAAGAAAGGCCCCCATCTCCCAGTACAGGTGCATAAATATTTTAAAAAATGAATACAGAGAAGCTAAAAAAAATATTTTCTATAAGGGCTATTTAAACATTTGATCCAAATGTTTTAACGCCATATCAATATCTTTTCCTCTACGAACTTGTAAAACAAGTTCAGATAAAAGTTTTCCAACAGCATCAGGCTTAACAGAACTATCTGTGATCAATAGACTTAAATCGGAAGGTTTAATTGCGATGGATTTCGTATCACTTAATATCTGATTCACATCAGAGTCTGACCAATTTGTAGCGTCTCTATTGTTAATCAACCATTTTGTGAGATGATTTAAAGTGGGAAAAAGAGGAAGGACTTCATGGGTTAGGACTTTCTCTAAAATGCAAATTGCATGCCTATAAGTAGCCATCGAGCGGGTAGATGACTGAAGAAGAGAGTCTAGTACAACAAGGGCACTTGGAATAGAGTTTGCTGTTTTAAATGCAGAAAGTAAGGAAATCACAATATCAGGATAATAAGCATGTTCAATATCATTGTTGTTAATCATTGGAGGGAGAATTATAGACTCCCATTCGTGTGATAATAAATCAACTCGGAGACAGCGTCCAAGAGCAGATAAGTACTTGATATAAACTTTGGAATCAACAAAAGGGTCAATGTTGGAACGTAAATGAAATAGAATCGCTTCATCACGTGCTGAATCTGCAATTATTGCATCATTTATAATCCATAAAGACGAAGATTTACGCTTCTCAAAATTAACCCCGCCCTGATTGATAGGAAATGCATCAAAAAGTTTTGATAAAATATCTTGTGAAATTAAGCTGTTCGAAAGGTTCTGTTGAAGTCGAAGAGAAAGAGCTTTATACATCCCACCTGAATTGCCCAATCTTGCGGAAAGTATGAGACATTGATCTAAAGCATCAGTAGTGAGACCAGCACTGGTATCTTTAAATCGGTCCAAAATGCCAAACATTGTTGCCATCGCTTTTGTATATATTAATTTTTTTCGAATAATAGGGCTATCCGGTGAAATACTCAATACTTCCTTTTCAGAGCTACAAACAATGCCACTGCTTTCAGATTCAAGCTCTGCCCAGTGACTATGAGGAATAGAACATCGAACAGCAGTTTGGATTATTTTTGGTTGGCATTTGGAAAGGATTTCATCACAATGGCTTGAATCTTCAATCATATTCATTACCCCATAAAACTCATCAAGGTAAGCAGAAAATTCTAATAAAAGATCAGCCATAGACGGCGTGATATTTTGAGAAAGAAGAAACTTTCTAAATTTAAATAAAATCTCTTTGACAGAGTTATTATATTCAATTCTAGAGAGATGAGACACATTTCGTGAAGCAAACAAATACCGCTCCAAAGTCGAAAAAAATTCATCAATAGAACGATCAGTTAAAGAAACTCCTAATGTAACCATTTTTTCCAAAACGTTTTCAGCCTGCTTGATTGATCCGGATCGAGACAGGAGTTGAAAAAATATATTTTGAGAACGAGTAAAGTTTTCATCGTCATCTGAAATGTATTTTAAAAGATCCTCAAAAATTATTAAATTCTCAAATCCTAAATGCTCTTCAACCTCTCCGGTTTCCGATATATACAATGTTTGAGGGAAAATTTCAAGAGCCCGAGTCAAAATCAAATTTACCAGGGTACCATATTCTTTTGCTGAAATTTGGTGAACTAAAAAAGAATCGGTAATGACTTTTTCAAATGTTTTAGCTAATGGTGGAAGAGAATATTGATTAGAATTTAAAATCATTTCTGTTAGTAATGTCGTAACCTCCAGCGAATTACTGTAAAGACTGTCCTGGATGGAAATAAACGTCTTAATATCACTTTCGTAAAGAAGATGTGTTGGAGAAGAAACAAATGTCTTTATTTTTTCAACGTCTATTGAGCTGGTGTTTAAAGTTGACTTGTCTGAAAATAGTTTTGACAAATTCAACTGTCGTAGCGATTTTGTCATAGAGATATTTGTTGCTTTTTGTTTTTCTCTGGTTCTTTTCATATTCGACATTTTTTCCGAAAAACTGTCCTTTTTTTCTCGGTGAAAAAGAACATATTGTAAAATTGAAAATTCATCTGATTTGATAAGAAGTTTGGATGAGTCTAAAAGATGATTGGATTTTATATCGTTATGGTTTAAACCAGAATATCTAGAATTTTTATTCGTGTTATCAGTTGTAAATGGGTGCAGTTTGTCTATGGCTGATGTCTGATGATCTAGCTTGGGAGTTGTAAATGATCTGTTTGTTAAAGAAATCTGAATCGAGTTTTCTGATGATTTTGAAATGATTTTTGGTCGGCGTTTATATAAGGACACCCCAGAATATGCCTGAGAAGGCTTAGAAAGAACAATGCTTGTATGTTTCATGGAAAATATAGTACAATCATAGATCAATTAGTGGGGTGGGTGAAGGAAAAGAAAAGAAGAATAAGACAGATTTGTAGAAATATTGCAAGTTTTGGAAAGTACCAAATAACGCTATTGGCCAAAAAAAATTAGCGCTTTAAGTATATTTAATCATGAGTAAATATTGTCACATTAGATTTTAAAACCGTGTAAAAGACATTTAAAATAATAAACTCGGGGTTACAATACATAAATAAAAATAAAATAAAAATAAAATAAAATAAAATAAAAATACAATAAAGATTCAACAAAGTTAATTATTAAACCGCCTAGAAATTCCATATGGGCCATCTTCACCAAAATTTCTTATTGAGTGTGAAGTTGGTACTTTGGGTGCACCTCTTTTTTGAGCTCTGCTTGGTGCAATTTGGAAATCGGGGTTGTTTTGTAATAAAAGTTCTTGCCGACTTGATGCAGCTCGTTTAGGGTCTGATCGGCTGGCGCTTGTCATGTGAGAAGAGCTAGAAGCTGATTGAGATATATAAGATGGAAAACTTTGGACACTAGGTTGAAGAAGTGGTGTATGACCAGAAACCTTTGGACGCCCAGAATGTGATACATCAACTCCTATTTCACTATAATTGTTATCCAGGTAATGAGTATCAGGATTTGGTTCTGGAGAAATAGTAAATTGCATATCTTGCGAATTACCATGTCCTGATATATTCGATTCTGATGCGATAAAATTTTGTGTATCTGGTATAGGATTTCTGATTGGTTCTGGTGAAATGATGAATCGTGAATCTTGGTCATAATTATCATTCACACCAAATGATTGAGTTATAGGTATCTGAGGTTGAAAGCTATCATGTGGCATAGGGTTGTCGTTATATATTTGTTCATATGAACCAGCCGGTAATATGTTATTGAGAAGTGGCTCACTAGACGTATTGTTCAGCTGTTCCCTTGGAGGAATAGGGGCAAGTTGTGGGCTATAGGTTCCCGCAGGTAAAACATGAACCATATCGGAGCCCAATGTGTTTTGGCTAGTATTTCTGATGTAATCTTGTTCTTGAATTACATCATTATTGACTGTGTTACGTGTCAAAGGAACACTGTCATCTGTTGCTGCTGCAGAATGAGCAGAAATATGAGGTTCAAACTTTGCTTCTGTGAAGTCAAAAATGTTATTGGGATTGTAATCGTCAATAGAATTAGAAAAAATAAGATCACCAGAATTTGTTGTGGGTTTGTATGAAGCGCCACCAGAAAATGCACTGTTGTATTGGCCTAGAGATTGAAGTTCTGAGTTTTCATGTATTCTTCTTTCCATTGCCTTCTGCGAAGAAGCAGTCCGTCGCAAAACACATAAGAATACACCAAAAACAGCAATAAGAACAGTAGACGCCAATACAATCCAGCCCCCCCAATCCAAGTGTGGTACAAATAAAAGAATGTCAACCAAAAAAGCCAGAAGAGAAAGTAAAAAACATGGTAAAGAAAATATAAGAATAAGAAGCAAAAATTTAGAAGATGAAGTAGCAAACTGCGCTATCAGAGTAAGAAGTAAAAGAATAAGAGTTAGCCCTGCTGCTACAACATGAACTATTAAAAGGCTTGCAAGCGTATGCCTTGCTTTTGATGGCAAAGAAAACCCGTCGATAGAAGTAACATCGCCATAACCTATGCGCACTTGAGAACAGCTATCAGTTTTGGTATCGCAATATCCAAAGACACCAAATTGAATATTCCCATAAGTGCAAAGAGTTATCTTACGAGTTACCGGCACAGAAATCACTGCCAAGAGCTGAAAGGCAAAGGCAACAACTAAAATTATTGAAAGTAAAGAAAGATAAAGTCGTGTACCCATTATGTAGTCAAATGTGTATTGAAAATTAAAATGAAAACTTTATAAATTTAGGTGATAAACAAAAAAACAACACACACAAAAAAATAATACTAAAGATAAAAAAAAAAAAAAAAAAAAAAAAGAAGATTAAAGAATAGGAGAATGTATCTGAAATAGTGTTTTTATCTGAATAATAATAATAAAAATAATAAAAAGAAAAATTCAACTCCTCTCTTTATTCATTCAAAAATGTAGATTATGTTATGCATGTTTTTTTTCACGTAAACATCTTACTCCGCCACATGCGGAATGAAGACATTTATTGATGTTGTTGTAAACGCCTGGCATTAATACACTATATTAGTGTTTATGCTTATCTAACTGATGTTGCAATCTGAGAGTCCAAATCCATACATAACTTTTTCAACACTTCGCCGTACCCTTAGCCAGTCTTCACGGCATTGAACAAATTCATATATTTCTTCAGGCTGAAATATTCCTCCAAACCTACTCATATCGCTAAGCATCTGTCCAAGGGCTTTCGTGTCTTTACCATCAATTAAAAACATCTGACCCACTTCTTTCAAAGCTGCAAAATAAGGAATAACTGGCCTTTGGTTTAATGATAAAATAAAGTTGTAGTATAAATTCAAATCAGAAAGGAGCCTAACTGCACCATTTATGCTAATCACTTGTCTTTTAATATGTTTAGATAATGACCCAAAAAATCTCACAGCAATTTCCTGTTGAAAAACGTCAATGACTGATTTTTCAGTTGAACCTGCAAGTAAGTTTACATGTGTTTTTAACAAAGAAACAACATTTAAAGCAGCTTTTGTCGGCGTTATATCAATAGTTGCCGTAGATTTAAATTTTGAGCTTGTAGAAACTGGTAAAGACGGATTAAAATCCGATCCTTTTTGTTCGGTCAATAGTATGTATTCGATTTGTTCCATTAAAACGTCGATTCCACGATTCATGCCATTTGCAACATAAGAGTCTAACATCTTTTCAAACTTTTTTTTTTCGCGATTTGCAGGAGATATAAAAGACAATCTATCGATATAACCTGGAACAGCAAGCTCTTCTTCAAAAAAAACATGTATCATTTGTTGTATCAAATCTCCAATATTCACCAGTTCAGCAAAAATTGCTAAAGGCTCAACCGCTGACTGAGTATCTTCCCCATCTACTTCATTCCCATCGCCGTCCTTTGAAACAACTACAACTTTTCTCATAGTTTTAGCATCATATTTATTCAAAATGTCAAGTGCCTTTTCAAAGCCATCCCTAACATGGGTTCCTCCAATTGTTTTGACTAGCTCCACAAAAATTTCCTCACATTTTTCTCGTGCTTCTTCACCCGTGGCACCTCCTGCGCTAATAAATTTGCTGGCACGTTCAATAGAATCTCGGCCGTGCCGCATAATATTAAGTGCTAGCTCTAGGGAAAATAATGTGTTAATGCCTTCTAACTTATTGTTCATTACTGCAGCTCTTGCATCAAGTTCAGTAGTAGGAAGAGGTAAGCCGGATGTTCCAGGTCGATTATTGAATAACGTTGCTTCTAAATGGCGATTTGCAGATGGTGTTCCTGGTCGTGCCGGAGAAGAAGATCCTGCTGTTGTACTGTTGGATAAACCTAGCGATGAACTAGAAAAATTTCGTGAAGCATTGTCAGGGACATTTGTATTATTCCCAAATGGAATAACAGATACAGGCATCATTAATACTCTTTTAAATGAAGAAAGAATATCACTTTTGTCTTTTTCTTTTGTTACATTACTTAGAAGAAATGTTTCGGTTGCAATCTCATGCTCTGTTACTTCCTCGTTCCATTTTGTTGTTTCTGCAGCTGCATATCGCGAAAATTCTTGATACTCTAAGTCAAGGTATGTATCAATATTAAAGTCATATAAATCCAGAAAACTTTGTTTTAACTTTGTTCGAAACTCCAGACCAGAGTTTTGAGATGGCTTCAATTCATTAATAAACCACATCATATGAACATATAAAAATGGTACAGCTTCTAAATAATTGTTGATGTTATCTTGTTTTCGAAAAAAAGAAATTAAAAAGTTGAATAATTCGGATATATTGTCTTCTATAATTGATTCACAAAGTGGTAAAAAAACAGGTATATTGGGAGGAAATAGTTTATCTATTGTAGCTGCTTCGTTGTTTAATGAATCAGCAATTAACTTGAAGGTAGATTGAAGTTGCTTATTATCCAGCTTTTTTGTATCTGACGTTACGAATAACGACGAATCAGTGATATAATCAGAGGCGATATGATTTTTTTGAATAAATAATTGGACACAAGAGTCACCACCATTCAATGTTACTAGAGCATGAGCATATTTTTTGACTTTTCCATCAATATCATTTTGATCATATCCAACTTCAAACTCAGCAAGTGCGGCATTTTCAAACATTTCATAAACTGCGTTAAATTTATCAAGATTCTCATAATGTTCGTAGTCATTTGGGTCGGATTTAGAAAATATTTTAAGTTGAGCCAGGATACTAGCCTGATCAACAGTTTTTCGATAAAGACGAAATATCAGAGGTTCTTGATGAGTTCCACTTTGAACAATATCATTGTATAATGGCCGCAAAACCTTATATATTTTCATGTAAGTGTCCTTTGCTTTCCCTGGAATTGGTGCAAATAATGGTGATAATATATCGACAGCCTTTTCGGTATCATTTTCACTAATTGAATTAGGTTCTTCTTGAAAAACAGAAAGTCGTTCCAAAGAATTGGACTTTTTTGCACCCCAGAGTCCCATATTCTGTAGCCGAGTAATCCAGATATCTTCGTTACTAGTAACCGCACGATTTAAAGTACGGCTGGTTTGTGCCAATGCACATAAATCAGGCACTGACAAAAAAGATGTGACATTATTAAAAATGTTTTTTGGTAGAGTCTCTAAATACCCAGGAGGATGTGATATTGGTTTGAAGGGTGTTAAAGTGGGAATAACCATAGTTAATAGTTGGTATCTGATAAAATAATGCTTAAAATGTGTGTAACGATTTGGTTAAGCTTGTTTTGTTTTGGGTTTTTTGCTTTGTTTTGTTTTTGTGGCCACTTATCCAATTCTGAATTTTACTACAACACATTCTGAATTTTACACAGACAAGGAAAGGGGGGATCGGGGTATACAAATTTAATGTACTACCTATCATACCATGAGTTTTTCTCCCCTTCTTTAATTTTCTTATCCCTTGAAATCAAAACCTATTTTTTTCGCATTCTTATTATCAATGACATATATATCATTAATATAGCAGTTTATATTTCAGTTTTAAATCTTTCATTATTTGCATTAGAAGATGTCTTCAAAAGCCCATCCTGATTTAGACCTTCTTTCCCGGAAAATCGTTTACAAATCCCGAACATTTGATCCCTCAACGAGGCTTCCTCTAATAATTTTAAATTCGGCCGCTTTTCCAAAAGATCCAGATAACTATATTTCAAGTTTGATGGAAAAAATTATTTTGCAACTTCCTGAAACACCTTATGGTCTTGTTTTTTTTGCATGTGGTGCTCCAGATAAACCTTCTTGGACATGGATATCTAGAGTTTACGGGATGCTAGACCGCCAAATTAAAAAAAGAATTGGCAAAGTATACGTAGTGCATGAAAGTTGGTGGCTGAAGGCAGTTACAGAAATGTTTCGAGGAATCGTTTCTAAGAAATTTAAAAATAAAATACAGCATGGTAAGTTATATAACCACTGTTTTGAATGGGCTCTAACAGTTATTAGTTCCAAATCTCACTGAATTGGCCAAACTTATAGACATTACACAAATTGACATACCGCCTGAAATTTACAAGTACAATCTAAAAAATGAATCTACTATCACAGTCCCTAAACATCATTCACCAATATTTGGAATACCTTTAAAAATGGAAGGAACCAAAGTTCTATACCCGAAAATGTGGAAAGAATGTATAGAATATCTTGAAAATACTGCCCATACCACTAGAAATATATTTCAGGTGGAGGAAAATGAGACTCTTTTGTTGATTTTAAGAGACTGTTACGATCGAGGACAGCTTTTTAGGTTGGAAGATTATGGTCCTCATTTGGCTGCTTCAGTTATAAAACTCTATTTAAAAGAACTTCCAAACCCCCTTCTACCCATCAAATATATACCACTTCCAATCAGGGATACGGTAGAATACAGCGTGCAAGTGTTTCAATCCTTACCTGACATAACTCAAAAGTTTTACAAAGACCTTTTACCAGTTTTGATAACAGTAATTGACAATAGTGAAGTCACATGCCAATCACTCAAAACGCTATCTTCAAATATTGCTCCAAGCTTTATCGGCAGATATGCATCCAACAAAGAACATCTTTCCATCGCTATTAGGTTCACTAGAAACCTTATAGAATATTGGTTTGAAATAACAAGGCTAATTGATTTTGATTCAGACAATTATTATTCTTCTGATGATGAGCCAATTGAACATCATCGTGAAAATTATATTGCTTTATTGAAACCATCGAGTAGGAAATCAAGTGGGACGCCCTCTGAAGAAAGTATCAAACCTGGGCTAAGAAGAGTTAGCTCGAGTATTAGCTACGCTTCCACAGCCAGCACAAATTCATCTCTCTATCGTCAACAAAAAGATATCATCATTAGACCCCCAGAAAAAGAACTTGTCATGCCACTTAAATCACACAGCACACTAAGTTATGTCTCCAAAAGTGAAGAATCTCTCCCAGTAAATAGTGATTTATCTTTTTCTTTTACCTTACCATGCCCTCCTCCTCCGCCACCACCTCCACCACCACCTCCACTTCGAAAAGCCGCCTCGATAGCTTTTCGAGGTGATGATGATGCTCCTAAAACCCTTTCCATGAGAAAATCTATGTCTAGTCTGAGAGATCATGCCACATCTACCGTGACTACTAATAGATCGACGAAAAGAGGGAAAATGGTTGCTGAACTTGCAAAACTTTACGAAGTAAAAGAAGAAAATAGCATACTGAGAGAAATAAGTAACAACAAAGTAAATAGTTAAGTTTTAGTTTTTTTCCTTAATTTTTATTTATTTTTTTTTTCTTTGTAAAAAACAAAAATAACTTGCAACAACTGAAGCAATTTTATTTACATGTGTAAAGCTGATTTAAAAATCTGAAAAGTAATACCTTTACTGAGCCACAAACCAATCACAGTCACCACATGCATCATATTACGTAATATTCTTGTGAATAAACACGTGATATGAGGATATGCATTTGCCACATGTAAAACTCTTTGTCAATTGACCAATTATATCCATTTAGCTGAAATTTTGATGAAAAAAATTTTTTTGCAAACTTAACTTGATTCTCCAACAAAACTATAAAAAGAAGAGAGTTCCCATCTTGTGATTTTTTTTTTCTTCTTCTTCTTCTTCTTCAACCCCTCCCACCCGTTTCTTTTTTACAACACATTTTCCCCTTTTTTTTTTTTTTTATCAACAATGGTTTTGTCCTCTGTTCTTGGTTTCCCTCGCATTGGCGCTCATCGTGAACTTAAGAAGGTCACTGAATCTTACTGGTCTGGCAAGGCTACTGTTGAAGAACTTTTCAAAGTCGGAAAGGAGATTCGTGCTCACAACTGGAAGCTTCAAAAGGAGTCCGGTGTTGACATCATTGCTTCTAATGACTTCTCTTTTTACGACCAGGTTCTTGACCTTTCCCTTCTTCTTAATGTGATCCCTGAGAGATACAGCAAGTACAACCTTCCTGCTATTGACACTCTTTTTGCCATGGGTCGTGGTCTTCAGCGTCCTGCCACTGAGTCTACTTCTGCTGTTGATGTTCCTGCTCTTGAGATGGTTAAGTGGTTCGACTCCAACTATCACTACGTTCGTCCTACTTTCTCTCACTCCACTGAATTCAAGCTCAATGGCCAGAAGCCTGTTGATGAGTACTTGGAGGCTAAGGAGCTTGGTGTTGAGACCAGACCTGTTCTTCTTGGTCCCGTTTCTTACCTTTTCTTGGGTAAGGCTGATAAGGACTCTCTTGATCTTGATCTTCTTTCCCTTCTCCCCAAGCTTGTTCCTGTTTATGCTGATCTTTTGAAGAAGCTTGCTGATGCTGGTGCCAAGAATGTTCAGATTGATGAACCTGTTCTTGTTCTTGATCTTCCTGAATCTTACAAGGCTGCTTACAAGTCTACCTACGAGACTCTTTCTAAGTCTGGTCTTCAAATCATCCTTGCCACCTACTTTGGTGATGTTAGACCCAACCTTGATGCTATCAAGGGTCTTCCTGTTGCCGGTTTCCATTACGATTTCGTTCGTGTTCCTGAGCAATTTGGTGAGGTTTCTGATGCTCTTACTGCTGAGCAGGTTCTTTCTGCTGGTGTCGTTGATGGCAGAAACATCTGGAAGACTGACCTTAACAAGGCTGTTGATTTCATCGAGGCTGCTAAGCAGAAGCTTGGTGAAGATCGTGTCATTGTTGCCACTTCTTCTTCTCTCCTTCACACTCCTGTTGATCTCGAGAACGAAAAGAAGCTTGATGCTGAAATTAAGGATTGGTTCTCTTTTGCCACTCAGAAGCTTTCTGAGGTTGTTGTGATTGCCAAGGCTGTCACCTCTGGCCGTGATTCTGTCTCTGCTGAGCTTGAGACCAACGCCAAGAGCATTTCTGCTCGTGCTCATTCTAAGATCACTAACGACCCTGCTGTTCGCTCTAGACTTGCTGCCGTTACTGAGTCTGATTCTAGCAGAAAGGCTCCTTTTGCTGAAAGACTTGAGGCTCAGAAGTCTCTTAACCTTCCTCTTTTCCCCACCACCACTATTGGTTCTTTCCCCCAGACCAAGGAAATTCGTGTTTACAGAAACAAGTTCACTAAGGGAGAGATCACTCCTGAGGAGTACGAGAAGTTCATCGAGAAGGAGATTGATGAAGTCGTTAAGTTCCAGGAGGAAATTGGCCTTGATGTCCTTGTCCATGGTGAACCTGAACGTAACGATATGGTTCAGTACTTTGGTGAACAGCTTAAGGGTTTTGCTTTCACCCAGAACGGTTGGGTTCAGTCTTATGGTTCCAGATATGTCAGACCCCCTATCATTGTTGGTGATGTCTCTAGACCTCACCCCATGACTGTCAAGGAGTCTAAGTACGCCCAATCTATCACTAAGAAGCCTATGAAGGGTATGCTTACTGGTCCTGTTACCATTCTCAGATGGTCTTTCCCTAGAGATGATATTTCTCTTAAGGATCAATCTCTCCAGCTTGCTCTTGCTCTCAGAGATGAGGTTAACGATCTTGAGGCTGCTGGTGTCAAGGTTATCCAGGTCGATGAGCCTGCTATTCGTGAGGGTCTTCCCCTTCGTGCCGGTGCTGAACGTGAGGCTTATGCTCAATGGGCTCCTCTTTCTTTCAGACTCGCCACTTCTGGTGTTGACAACGATACTCAGATTCACTCTCACTTCTGTTACTCTGATCTTGATCCTGTTCACATTAAGGCTCTTGATGCCGATGTTGTCTCTATTGAGTTCTCTAAGAAGGATGATAACAAGTACATTCAGGAGTTCTCTGACTACCCCAACCACATTGGTCTTGGTCTTTTTGATATTCACTCTCCTCGTGTTCCTCCTCAGGAAGAGTTTGAGGCTCGCATCAATGAGATTCTTAAGGTTTACCCCAAGGAGAACCTTTGGATCAACCCTGACTGTGGTCTTAAGACTAGAAAGTGGGATGAGACTAAGAAGCAGCTCACCAATATGGTTAATGCCGCTAAGGTTTACCGTGCCAAGTTTTAAATTGGTACCTAATTCTTTGTGGTATCATTCAACATGAGTGTAATTAAATTTACACATTTGCATTTTTTTACGTTTATGCGATTTCAACATCATTTTAGTTATAACGGGAAGGGGTTCTCTAATCCTGAAATGGTCTGTTGAATTATGAAAATCTTAAATGTTCTCAACAACGATGCTATGCCATCAATGATTTTTTATGACTTTGTATATGTTTCCATGTTATGACTTTATGTTTTATAGTTTTATATTTTAATGATATCTCCTCAACGGAGTTTTAATGATTTTAATCTATTTTTTGCAAGTTATCTTCTAGGTATACATTATGGTTGGAAAGTGCATGGGTTAAAGCATTATTGATGTTAAATTGGGCCTGTCTTTCTTCAGTCGGTGTATTGTTTGTATTTTTCCCTTCTAGTAACGATTCACTAGGGTTGTTACTTGAATTATTGAGTAGTTGTGGGTCATTTTTGTAAATATACCCTTGAGATGGAGAGAACGTTGGTAAGGTTCTTGCAATACTTAAGGCCTTTGTTAAAGAAGATGCGATAGATAGAACTCTATTTTGAATGATTGTATGTACTGCTGGCGCCATATAAATATTTTCGCCTACCACAAAATATGTAGATATTGGATGAACTTCATATGGGCCTAATCTGTCTTGTTTTCTAATAACCCATAGATCAGGTTCGCGAGCTATAGCAACTACGAACTCCAATCCTTTCATATTTTGGAGCTCTTTATATAAATCATTTCCGCGAGTATTTAACTCGTTATATTGACTTTGCATTTTTAATACTTGGTTATTTGAAGAACGGTCATAAAACGGACTTAGAGAAAAATATTCTAAAACATTATCAGTACGTAAGCCATTTCTTTGAATCCATTCAGGATGTTTCCATTGGACTTCATCTAACGGGCTTGTTGATTCCATATTATTACCGTAAACTTGAATTTCTTTGTGGCGGATATGTTTTTTTTATTTTCTTGTTGGAAAAATTAAAAAATTTCAACATTAGGGAAATTTATAAATTACCCGCCTTTTTAAAATGAAGGTTGCTAATTTGTTCACGTGATATTAGAGTTTTCACCAATAAATTATTTCAGTTTCTTTGGATAATCAAAAAATCAAGAAACTATTGTTGATAGCAAAATTCAATCGTATGGTCACAAATAAAAAAATCTCTATAATAATTATTATAGAGATTTTAATAATAAATAACAGCTGTTCGGAATTTCGGGAGTTTTAGTAAATGGTGTTGTTAAGACAGGTTGCTGTAGTAGTTATGATAGTAGGTTTCTTTATTTTTAGTGGCGGTGGTGTCACCGCGAATATATTTTATTCTGGACGCGTTGCAATTTTTTGAAAATCGCGTCTTTTTACGGGAATTAATTAGAGGACGCGTGAAAATAACGTTCACGTCACAGAGTTTATGGACAGAACATGCAAAAAAATAAAAAATAAATAAATAAAAAATAAATAAATAAAAAATAAAAAATAAAAAATAAATAAATAAAAATAAAAAAAATAATTCATCGGACCAACACAAAAAATATATCATTTGTTGGAACCACTCACGGGATCAATTAAAAAAATTCTTCAAGACGCCAGCCTCAGGTAAAAGCTTGGTTTTGTCAACTCTATTTAACAGATGTAGATAATCGATTATAAATATTCTATTTAGAAATCTTTTATTTTATTTTATGTTTTATTTTTTATTTTATTTTATTTATATTCAAAATTCATCAAATAATTTTAAGAAATAGTAAATAATAACTTATGGCATTAGCGAATTATGAGCGTAGAAAGTTTCTTAAACTGTACGCGCTAAGATATCAGAAAATAAGGTTCGATTGAAATACTGATTTTACAAAAGGCCTAGAAAATCAAAAGTTAGCCCACAGGTTTGTAACAGTCTGAGCAATTCAAAATCCATTTTTTTTTTAAAAAAAATGTCTTTAACATTTTTAATCTAGTAAAACAATTTCATTCCCTTGCTTAAGGCCGATTAATTGTATTCCAGCCCAATTGACTTGAAATAGAAAGACAATGATTAATCGAATAATACAATAATACAGATATCAACCATTTGCCCGTAGGTCTGGAATATCAATTAATAAACATATGGTTATGTAGTTATGTCTTTTTTATAAAAAAAATAGGCCTATCATGAAAAACTTTTCAGGATCATAGAGGTGATTATTAATGACTTCCTTATATAGTAACTGAACTTGCCATAAACTTATTTTGATTTAAAGTTGATCGCGTTTTCTGTTTTGAGCGTTAGTACTTAAATCTATTATACGCGTACCTTAATTGTTGACAAGAATTTTTTCAGGAACCTCGGACCTATTACGCGAATTTGATGGATACCTATAATTAAAATACGCGTGAACAACAAAACCGATTCATGTAAAGCTAGACAAAAATCGCGACGATGTTACTTTTCATTTAAATATTTTATTTTTACACATGTGAACATATTACATCTAGATATAAATGATATAAAAATATTTTCTAGAGGGTCTATTAATAAAAAAAAATATTATTTTATATTGTAATAATAATATCTTCTCACACCTACTAGGTAGTAATATGCAACCATTGAATCTTTCAACCTCATTATTAGCCCTTGATTCAATGGTTTTATATTGTAACCTGAAGTTTTTTTTTTTTTTTTTTTTCATATCTAGGTTTCTCAATGGCATACCCGTTTCAAGTAAAAAAAAAAAAAAAAACATCTTCAAATGTGAGCAGCATGTGAACATGAAATAACCCATGTGTACGCATTGTTCAGCTGACAGCTCTTCACGTGACTTAATCGCGAAGCCAACGCGTCAAAAACCAGTGGGCACCTCAAAAAAATTTTTAGCATGCATGTTTAACGCAAATCAATTCTTTTGGGTGACGTTCTTTATTAAGTTTCACCAGAGGTTTCTCTTTTGGGACACTCGCGTGGGTCTAAGTATTTTGAGCTTTTTCATTCCTCAGATGGCAACCTTTAGCTTTTTCCACATTGTTCACAAAAAATCTTTCTTCGTGGCCTCTGGAATCAATTCTAAAACAAGCGAGAATCAAAAAGATATAATAACCAGACTTTCCCTCCAACTTTTTCTCTTTTTTTTTCTTTCTTTCTTTCTTTCTTTCCTTTCTCTCTTTTGCTTTTTTTTTTATTTTTTTTTTTAAGTTAAATATTATACTCTCATTAAGCGAAAAGTCTTTTTTATTTATAAAAACTAGTCATTCATTAACACTTAGTTTTTTTTTTTCTTCTTCTTCTTCTTATTTTTCATTCTCTTCTTTTTTTGGTTTTAAATTCCGGTTTTTCTTTTATGAATTTTGTTTATTTATTATAGTCATTCATTAACTTATTTATTTATTTATTCATTCTTTTTTTTTTTCTCAAAATCAATCTACATCAAAATGTCTTCTTCTACTTGGTTCCCCTTAGATTCTTTTACTACTGTTCAACCACAAGCCGATGTTACTGCAGGCGATAACGTCGTTAGCGAAATGCTCCATTTATATATTTCCAATGCTTCCCAACACCATCCTGAAATTGAAGAAACTGGATCGTTACTTACAGAAGCTCAACCTATTGCTGGATTTGACTCTATCAACTCTTCAGTTTCTTTTCCTGAAGATGTTTTGGTCACACCAGTTTCAAAAATCATTCCTCGATCTATGGCATCCACAAATCTGGCATCCCTCACATCCACTGGCTATCTTATGGCCGTGACTCAAACTCCCCAGAATGCCTTCAATCTTGACAAGTCTACATCTTCCTTTGTCACACCATTAGCAGCTTCTTCTTCTCAAGTGAGTCCCGCCTTTTCTTTTGTGACTCCTCAATCGGCCTTTATTTCTCAACCAGAGTTTACACCCTCATATTCTGCGCCTATTTCTCCACACATGATTCAGCCTGTTGAAAATATTCAACCGACTCCTACTTCAGCCGCCCCATCTACATTTCATACCACAAACTCTATCAGCTTTACACCTGTTTCTACACAACCTCAAGGTGTCACTTTTAAGACATTAGAGCCTATTTATACTGTTAAACCTTCAGATCCTAATATGTCATTGTCTGAATTAACGTTGGACTCCACTTCTTCTTCAGGATCAGACCCAAATCCTAAACTGGAAGTGGCAGAATCTAATGCCCCCGAAGAGATCACTGGCTCAAATCCCTTTTACTCCCCTCCATCTTATTTTTCCACAACATCTTCTCCTTGCGAGGATCCTTCATCTCCCCCATCGTTAATCCACTCAGATTCCATCTCTTCTATATCTTCTTACTGTTCTATCGAGTCTGCAACTTCTTCTTCTTTGTCACTTGCTTCCTCTCGATCTATCTCGCCTCTCAGTGCTGTTCCAAACTCTCCACAAAATGTTATTGTCGTTGATCCTTCGACATCAGTGGACCCTTTTGCCTCGCAACCTTCACAGCTTGTTCCCCAGCCACCAACGCAAGTTCTTCACACTATCCCTATGGCCTCATATTCTCATGAGCCAATGAAAGCTATTCCTATTACATATAGCACTCCTACACATCCTAGTCATATTTATCATCCTAGCCCTTCTTTCTCTTCATCAAATATGACCCCTGCAGCTGCAGCGGCAGCAGCCTCGGCAGCCGCTGCCAATCTTGCACTTACTCTTACTAGTGGATATCCCCGTGTGCCTCACGGTCAAGGGTGTGTTTCGGGTTCAAACACACCAACCCGCCTTACTCGAAGAAGTCGAGGTAACAGCGCGTCAAGCGTCTCCTCAGGTATCTGCGGTGGCAGGATTTCTCGTTCTGACGGTGAAAAGCCTCACAGATGTGTTCACTGCAACAAATTTTTCCGACGTTTGGAACACCTTAAGCGACACGCAAAAATCCACACTGATGAGCGCCCTTTCCAATGCGATGTTCCAGAATGCGGACGCAGATTTAGTCGATCAGACAATCTGCGCGCACATCGCAAAACTCATATGAAGAAGGGTGGCCGAAATTTGTTTATCGAAGGTTTAGAAGCAGATATTGCAATTGTTCCTATCGAGAAATAAGGTCAGTAGATGCTGGTCGTCTACTTTGACTTGAAAAAATGAAAAAAAAGATGTTTTTTTTTTAATTTTTATTTAGTTTTTATTTTTGGAGTTTTTTTGATATATAAAAGTTAATAGTAAACAATATTGGGTAACGTTATTTGAAGTAAGTTAGTTTTTATTTCTTTGTTGAGGTACATATGAAACATTTTTTTCCAAGCCTCAGTTTCATTCCTTGTTCACACATATCCGTACTCCATTTTTAGTATAAACGAACATTTTAGCGGACTTGGAAAACAAATAATCCCCTCTTAATGTTTTACAATAGTTAGCAGCTTATATCATCATTTATTTTAAATTTGCCATGCTTGGAATCACACATTTATTTTTTTTTTTATCATCCAGAGCATTCTGTGTAAACTTCTGAAAATCCATAGCTTGAAACAGTCTGTGAATGTTTTAGCATGGACAAGCTCTAGTTTAGTACTTTTACAATTTGGAACTCGTTCAAAAATAAAGAAAAAAATATGATTTAATTATTTACAACTATTATATACATGTTAGGCTTGAGAAAGCGTTTCGTCACATCTTTTACAGAGCGAATCTTCTTCTAAAGAAGTAAATTGCCAGCAGCGTGGGCATTTATGATGCTTAGTAGGTACCGCCTCTGCAATAACCTTTACTCCATCAATTTGATTGGAGGCAGAATATTTCCACCCTTCAGAAATAGATGCAACAGGATTTACTTCGACTTGAGAGCAAATGAACAATTCGGGTAAATATTGGCCTTTTGGTTTTGTTAGAAAATAATCATAATAAAAGAAAAAAAAAACTTACGGTATTTTTCAATAATGTTAGAAACTTTTCCAGAGCCATCGACATAAAGATTGATATCGCAACTTAAAGAACTAGTGATATCCCTAATAGTTGTGTTAGAAAAATAAATCAATTTTAACAAAAAAAGAAAAAAGAAAAAAACTTAAAACATAACATACTTTGCAACGCGACCTGCTTCCATTGCTTGTTTTACAACTGACAAAACCTTTTCAATCAAAGGAATTTCTTCTTCAAAAAGAGGATCATGGTATTCTTCTGGTAAATTGACCCACCCGAGTTTAAAAGGACTTGTTTGTCCTTTGTTTACCATTTGAGGAGTGTAATCAATTGCTTCTTGGGTAAGAAGAGGAGTAATGGGAGAAAGAATAGAGAGATATACTCGTAAGATTTCTGACAATACAAATTGAACAGCTCTTCTCTCAGTGCTGTTATGAGGAGAAGCATAAAGTCGATCTTTGATAATATCAAAATAAAATGCAGACAAATAGGTATTTGTATGATGGTTGATTATTTGAACCACCCGATTAAAACAAAAAATATCGTATTGCTCTTTAACCTGTTCTGCCATTTTTTTAAGTTGGTGAAGAGCAATTAAATCAATAGGATGGAAATTTTCTTTGTCAAATGAAAGTTCGTTGGTATAATCATGTAAACTTCCCAAGAGAAACCGAATTGTTATGCGCAGTTTTTTCAAAGATTCTGCAACATTTTTAAGTACAATGGGACCAACAGAGACATCCTTTGTATAATCAGATGAAGCAACCCAGAGCCGCAAACCATCAACGCCCAAAGGTGGCCATTTACCCTTTTGACCATTAATAATCTTCTCTGGAGCAATAGTATTTCCAAGCGATTTAGACATCTTTTGTCCCTTTTCGTCAAGTGTGAATCCATGAGTGATTATATGCTTAAAAGGCGCTTTGGCGTTTCCCTTTTCGGAAACTGCAATTTTTGTCAATAAAGATGATTGAAACCATCCGCGATGCTGATCAGTCCCTTCAAGATAATAATCGGCAAGATATTCACCATGTGAAGGATCAAGCATAGTCCAGCTTGTGCCACTGTCAAACCAAACATCCATGGTATCTTTTCCTTTAATATAATCTTTTCCCTTTGATTCAAACTCCGGGGTATTTGGTAGCCATCTTTGAATGTCTTCTTCTTCTTCAAACCATGCATCTGTCCCCAGTTGTTCAATTTGAGAAATAACATAATCCATAGAAGAAATATCGGTTAAAGGCTCTAAAGTTTGTTTATTATAAATGGCCGGAATAGGAACACCCCAAACTCTTTGTCGAGAAATACACCATTCAGACCGGGATTGGGTAAATGCTTCAAGGCGAGTTTTACCAGTTGAAGGATAAAAAATTACGTCTTGAAGAGATTTAACAGCATCATCCTTAATAGAATCAATATCAGCAAACCATTGAGGAGTGGAACGAATAATAATAGGCTTTTTAGATCGCCAGTCGTAAGGATACTTATGTCGATAGTTGCGGTTCAAAGAAATTATGGAGCCCTTTTCTTCTAAAATTTTAATAACTTCCTTTTGTCCTTGATTAAGTACATAAAGACCTTCAAGATGCTTGAGATCATTGGGTAAGTTTGTATAGTTCCCCTCATCGTCAACAGGTGAGTAGGTATCAATATTATGCTTTCGACATAGCAAATAATCATCAAACCCATGGCCGGGAGCAGTATGAACCAAACCAGTTCCAATTGTGGATGTGACATATGAAGCTGCCAAAAAAGGTCTTTCCTCTGAGTCACTGCTCAAGGGGCTTTTATATGTTGATGATAACAAATCAGCCCCAGTAAACGATAAGTTGTCTATTTTTTTAAAATCTTCTCCTAAGGATTCACGACGTGATTCAGCAACAATAAAAAGACCATGATTCTCATGAGATACAACGACATACTCCATTTCAGCATTAACTGCAACTGCCTTATTTGAGATCAAGGTCCAAGGAGTTGTTGTCCAAATTAAAACATTAAGTTTTTGATTTGACGGTATCTTTTCCCCAATGATTTTTTTTAAATTTTCGCCCAGAGATACAATAGGAAATTTGACTGTAGCAGCAGTACTTTTATGTTTTTCATTGTATTCCAACTCAGCTTCTGCTAAAGCAGTTCTTGTTTCTGTCCCCCAATAAACCGGTTTATTTTTTCTAGAGATGAAGCCTCGGTGCATCATTTCCTTAAATACATTCAGCTGTCGTATTTCATAATCGGTATCCAATGTCCGGTATCTATGGACCCAATCACCCATAACACCAAACATTCTAAACGATTTCATTTGGTCTTCAATGGCTTCAAGTGCATGTGATCTCGCAATCGTACGGATTTCAGAAGGAGAAAGAACAGTTGCCACATCTTTTTTGGCTTCAGCAGAAAGTGTTTGCAAAGCTTTTAGTTCAATAGGAAGACCATGGCAATCCCAGCCAGGTTTGTAAAAAACCTTTTTTCCTTGCAAAAGATCATATCTGTTAATGATATCTTTTAAAATTTTATTCATAGCATGCCCCAAATGCAAACTGGCGTTTGCATATGGAGGGCCGTCATGGAAAACTGAAGTTTTTTGAAAGGTATTTGAATTAATCTACCAATAAATGTTAGTAGATTGATAAAAAGAATCAATGAGTTTCGTACCTGCCAATCATAAATTTCGTCACTTGAACGTTTGATCAATTTGGCGATTACATCAGGTTTTCCTGATCGGTTGGGGAATTCAGTTTTAGGAAGAGAAAGTGTATCGGCATATGAATGATTTAGATCTTTAGACTTATTTATAGTAGAATAAAGCCTAACAATATAGGGATTAGGTCGCTTTGTAACAACCTTTAACCTAAGCATTTTGATGGTATAGTTTTCAAGTTGAAATAGAAAGTCTTAATTGTTTGTCAATCTAAAAGTAAGCCTAGTAGTGATTTTTATTTGTTACAACTATTGTTACTTGAATTATTTGTCCAATCAACAATGCTGTCAAGGGGAAAATTTTTTTTTTTCACCCTATTCAAACCTCCTCAAAACTACATTTCAGATCACATGGATGTTGAAATTTAAGCACCAAAATTACTAATGTTCAGCAGTCTTTCTTCAAGCACCAGGGTCTCTTCCCTGAATCTCCTCAAGGGTTCCCCTTCAAAGCTTTCTTTTTATACGAGCTCAAACTTATCGCTATGTGTAAAGCGAATGTCTACCTCATCGATAGAGGTTCAACAAACATCAATTCGTGATACAGTTAAGCCATTGAAATCTCGCAAAACTTATCTTGTCGACATTTATTCTCATATTCTCAAAAACTCTCCAGTTGTTTTACTCGTTCATCACAACAATCTTTTAAAAACCGATGACCGCAACCTACGATCCCAAATTAAAAAAGTGGGTGGTGAACTTACCATTTCCCGTGCCAGACTACTTAAGGTTGCTCTTCGTGGTGTCGAGCATTCAGATCCAGCAAGTAAGGAGGCACAAAAAACTTTCAAGAATAATAAACATGAAATTTTCCCATTATTAAATGGTCCTACAGGGCTTATTCACTTTTCTGAGATGAACCCTAAGGCTGTTGATGGTGTTGTGAAAGTTTTGGAAAAGAGTAAGGGTTCTTTGCTTTTATTAGGTGCTATGGTTGACAAAAAGGCTTTATCCATTCAGGAAATTGATACTTTCAAAACTCTCCCTACTCTTCCAGAGGTTAGATCGCAACTTGTGGGGGTCTTGTCGATTTTGGGTGGTGCTGGTCTTGTTCAAACATTGGAAGCTTCTGGCAAAGTCTTATACCTTACTATGGAAGAAAGACGAAAACAACTTGATCCCGAAAGCCAAAAAGATGAGGGTTCATCCTAAAATCCGGATCAAGTTAATCCTGTATATTCATTCTGTATATAATAATTTATCAGTATTTCTGAAGAGCTTTTTGTATAGGTTCAGTACTTTCTACAAAGTCGCGAAGCATTGAATCTAGTTTATCTAAATCTTCCTTTCTTCGTTTATTATCTTCAGATAATTTTTTCTTTTTATTGTTTAGCCTGGTTTTAGCTATAAACAGCTCCAATCGTCTGTCTTCTTCGTCTTTCAATCTTTGTAACATTAGATTATGAGGATCTTCAATACCTATTGCTTCAGGGTGACTCTCGTAAAATTCTGAAAGTGGAACTAAGTCTAATGATTCATGTTTTGAATGAAAGTCGTTGCACCTTTCTATTTCACTTTTTAAGTGCTTGTGTTGGTAATAAATATTTTGAATATCTAATTGTTTTAAATCCACTTCATTTTTTTCATGAGTTGTAGATTCTTTTATTTGATTCGTAATTTCTTGAACTTCCCAATTTAACTGTCTAAGCTGAACTGTTTCGACATATATTTTTTTCTGCAGGTCAGATATAATTTCATCTTCTCCAAGGCTGATTTCATCTTTCCCGTTCGTTTCCATATTATCTTCATCATCCGACATGTTTTCGAGTCTAGACTCAAGATGGCTTAATAGGTCCAAACAATCAACTTTGAACTGATCTAAATGAATCATTGATTGTTGAAATATATCATTATTGGACTGTTCTTGTGTCATTATGGTTATTATTTTATTTATTATTTCATCAATCTTATCAAAATGACTGTATACATATAAGTTGAGATAATTGGTATCAGGAAATGGCAAAACAGTTCCTTTTGTTCATTAACTTTTGTTACATTAAATATTTCATTGTAGTTACAATTACTATTGTAACAGGGTTAAACTAGGTCAATTTTCACACTTGAATATGTAAAACAATCATAATTACGATTGTTGAATTTTCTTTTAAGAAAATTTCTTAATTCTTGGTGCATAACAACCAAACTGACTTTAAATATGAGGTATTGCATCAGCTATTATATCTTTTTAGCTACAATTTCATATTAGAATCTATAAATATACAATACATTTTATAGGTTCTAAATAATTTTCTACATGGAGAAGCCTCCTCTACTCCGGCACATCGAGCATATATCTAACTTAAGTTTTTATACCCATATTACAAATGACCAAATGACCTTGTCAATTTTTTTTTTTTTTTTTTTTGAATATAAAACTATATAATTCATTACTTGTTATTAAAATATCTTACTTATTCCATTTTAAAATGTTAATACAGAAATAGGTTTTATGAGATTACTAATCTGTTTCTGTCGACCTTTGTGAATCAAAAGATGTCCTGACAACTAGAATACCCGTGTATTGGTTTGGATTTGAATTAACGTTTTGTTGGCTTTGATTTATAAATTGACGTTGACCTGAATTAGTTAAAGGAGAATTATTTAATCTCGACGAACTATTTTCAAAATTCTGTTCATTATTTATGTGCTGGTTTAGTGAAAAGTCAACTTCTTCATTATCCAGATTTGAATCTGAATCATCAATTTCATCATCAAATTCAACAGGCTCAGCTTTGGAATTATATATCAGTTGAGTGTGTGCATAATTTGTATTTGTCATTTGAAAGTTGGTTATCTTAAAGCCCTGTTCTTTTTGAAAACGTTGCCTTGGATCATAAGGTATTGCAGAAGAATTTAAATTCGGTCTATCTATATGCCTTTTTATTGATACCTGTGATAGAGTCGGATTTTTATATGGGAATTCCATTACTGGTGCTGAATATAAACTATCGTCAAAGTGAAGAATCTCATCATATTGCGGATCATTGATACCAATAGCAAAATTAGAATCCCTTTGGTTATTTAATCTGGAAATTTGGTTAACTTTTTCATCGGACATAATGTTACTGTTTCTGGTGTAACCTGTATCAATAAAGTCGTCCATAATACCATCCATGTTTTGAACAGGACTAAGATTTCCTCTTTCTATTTCAACCTCTTGAAAATAGACACTCCTTTTCCCTAATTTTTTTAGGGCCTTATTTACTCTCTTTTTGAGAAGCACTCTAAAAGCTGGTAAACAGGCTACTATCATGGCTGTACCGCATTCCACACCAGTTAAAATTGCGGATATTGCTATTGTTGCTGATATAGCAATAATAATTATACGAACAATGAAAACTGTGATTGTTACTGCACCTAATGAAAAAGTGACAATCAAACCTATTCTTTGACGTTTGGGAATAGTTTTTAATGTGGGGATGAGTGGAAATGGAATTGCAAATACCATAACGTCGGTGATAATATTTGACATTGCTGAGAAAATGAAAGGTGCTATTGATGTCGAAGAATAGCACTTATCACTAGAATTGAGGCTCCAGTTTTTATTGATTGGTTGACACAAAAAAATGTTTATGAATATGATAACTATTAATGTGACCAAAAGTGTAGCCGTGACAAAATGAAGAACTTTTCTATGTTGAGTATTTTTAGGAACCAATCGATAATAAAATCCGAGAATTCCAAATTTGATAAACCACATGCACAAATAATAAGGAATTGAGGAGGAATAGACTACTTTTAGAACCCGAATTTTTAATTCATCATCTCCTTTGACATGGCTGAAAATTTCATCATCATAATAAGAAGCATTTCCATCCATGAACCCTGTTGATACAGTATATGTATCTAAAGATACCCAGATGAAAAACATACACTGAGCAATTACCAAAAAAAAATCTTCTGCTTTTACCCCAATTTTCGAAACTTTTGACCTAACCCATATTCTTAAGGTTAGAAATATTAAGGCAATCGAACAGAAAATCCATTCTACTGCCACAGTACTTTTTGGACTAACCATAATGTATTGTAAAACGAAAGGAATAATATGTTGTAAAATAATGAAAAAGAATGGAAATATTAGAAAATCAAAATAAGAGAATAAAATAAAAAAGAAAAGGATTCATTTTTCCTTGAAAAAAGAGGGAAAAAATAAATAAATCTATTAACGAACACATTGACATATGTAATTTCTACATTTATATTTTGGAGATCATAATTAGAAAAATAATTCTAATAAAATAGTACAAAAACAGTAATGACATATTTATTGCTTCTTTTTTGAACAAATATATAAATGCAATTCTCTTAAAGTTAAAATTTACAGCCGAAGATCTAATTTAAAATAAATTTAAAAGAGTTTTCCTTTATGTTTTCATGTCAAATAAAATTCATATCACTGTTTAATGCAAATACTTATCAGCTTGTTAAATGAAACCGGGTAACATTAGGTTAGGGTTTCAACTCTTTCTTTTGAAAGATCACCAAGTAACATCGCTCAAAGTGATAGTTGACTGTAAATATTAATATTCTCTTGAACGATTTGCATTAAGCAGTAATTCATCAGAAAAATGTCCGATTTAAACCTTGATAGTGATGATGAGCCTATTGGGTAAGCTGTTTTTTTATTTTTTTTTTAATCGACTAATTTAAAAATAACTAGACTTTCAGCTGCTACTCTTGCAGCATTACAGGAGTTTCGAGATGAGGAAAAAGAACGGCAAGAAAAGTTTGACAAACTCTATAGAGATTCCGAAAATAGATTTGAAGAAAAGGAAGATGCTACTGATGTAACCGACAAAAATATTGAAGATTTTGAAGAAGACTGGAATCTTAGTCAGTTTTGGTACAGTAAAGAAACGGCTGATACTTTAGCAAAAGAGGCATTAATGGCAATAGATGTTGATTTAGAAGATCTCAATAAAGGACAGATTACAAAAAAACTTGCAATAATCTCTGCTCCTTCTGTTTATTCTGCTATTCTTGGAATTCTGAAAGCAATTAAAGAAAAGTCTGAGCAAAATGTTTCTGCTAGAGTTGACACAATTTTAAAAAGCATATATCTACTCGAATTTGATCCACGATTTAGATACTTAACTATTAGTCCCGAATACTTTATTTTATACGATTATAGTAAACCACTTTCTATTCCAAAAGAGTTGAAGGGTACTATTGATGCCGTTGTTGTCGATCCGCCTTTCTTGTCAGACGAATGTCATACAAAAACGGCTCTTACTGCAAGGTATCTCCAGTCCCAAGATACATCAAATAATAACTCAAAGGTTATTGTTTGTACTGGGGAAAGAGTTTCTGAAATTATCTTAAAAGTTTATCCTGGGACTCATATTACTGATTTTTTCCCTCAGCACTCTAAAGGACTTAGCAATGAGTTTAGATGTTATTCAAACTTTGAATCATCTTCTTGGAAATTTTTAAACTAATGGACTGGTGTAACAAATTTGTTACATTATTATACTATGTAATTAAATATGCATATACATACATTCACGACTTAAGATATCAAATTACATCATTTACATCATTTAAATTTTATCCCAAAGGCGAACCTATGGGCTTTTATCTTAAATGAAGTTGCAATTTTTAAACTTTTTTCGAAAGAGACCAAAAACTAAAAGGGGTCCTATATATATTGGGATAAAATGGCAACTATCTTTATTGGCATGCATTTCAGCTTTGTGCGCGTTAGGTGCTTTAGCGGTAGCGACGGTATGTTTGCTTTATATATTCAAAAACTCTGTCAAGACAGTTGTTAACATTCTATAGTCTGTTGTCAATCATTCTACAGTTCTAAATCTACGTTCAGATAGACTTAAAGTGGTTGCTCAGCTTAAGGCTGCACAAGTTTCACAAGTTTTATCTCTCTTATTGGGAGATTTGATAGTGCTAAGTTCAAGAAATTTCATACATACCCTTCTTACAAATTATTACACTGGAGAACAAGTAAATAATGTCAACGAAGTTGATTTTCAAATGTTACTTAAAACAACTGATAACTCAATAGCAGGTGCTATTTATTCTTATAATACCAGTTTAGTCATATATAAAACAAATAACGATACCTTACCTCAATCGGTCACTCTTCCGGCATTGTTGTTTCCTTTAAATAATACTGGTAGCAGCAGCGACGTTAACAGTTTGAATAATGGAAATTCGATAATCAGAGGTCCTAGAATGGTTAATAATTCGTTCTATCTTTCGATAACACGGGCTTTAAATACACAGTCTTCTGACGGACAAATAGTATCAGGTTCCATTCTCGGGTATTTGACAATTGTTTCAAAAGCAACTGGCTTGTTAAATGTTGTTACCACTAGTGACTTAGAAGATGGAAGTCGTTTATCTCTTATTAAACTAGGAGTTAATGGCACCCGCTCCACAATAGACAAGAGTACATTAACTAATTTAAACTATACATATGTGACACCAAGTTTAATGTGTATTACTTGCTATAACTATCAATTTCCATTGGCTATAGGAACTCCTGAATATCTTGCACTTGTGAATGGAACATCTGGTGCTTTCATTAATTATGAAATACCCCAGTATGGAATGGTTTCTACTGGTTATGCACCAGTTTCTACATTTTGGCAGATATGGGGCGTTGTAGTTTTCCAACCACACAAATATGTTTATGGCCCTATTCGAACTATTCAAAAAATTTCTATTATTTCGGTTTTTTCTATTGGTGCTGGTGTGTGTGTTTTGACTCTTTTGTTATCTGGATGGGTATTGCGTCCCATTACTAGACTACAAGCGGCAACTGAACAATCTTACGGAGACTCTCATCATTCACGAGGATTTTGGCATTTTTTCAAAAACTTATTTTTGGGTCTGCTCAAATTAAAACGACCTACAAAATCCAAACCTGAGTTTAGAGAAAAATTCACTTCAGGGAATAGCTTTTCCCATAACTACAAAGGACGATTTCAGGAAGACGTTCCAGAATTTCGGTTACCTGAAAAGATAGTAACTCGTAAATATATTCGCGATGAACTTACAGAATTAACCGAAACTTTTAATGAAATGACTATTGAGCTTCGAAAACAATATAAAAATTTAGAAGAACGGGTACAACAGCGAACCAAAGAAATTAAAACAGCAAAAAGTTTAGCGGAAACCGCAAATGAAGCAAAATCTTTGTTCATTGCAAATATTACCCATGAACTTCGCACCCCACTTAATGGAATTTTGGGCATGGCTGCTGTTGCCATGGAAGAAAATGAAGCTCAAAGTGTGCGTGAATCGTTGAAGGTTATTTTCAAATCTGGAGAGCTTTTACTACGATTACTGACGGACCTTTTAAGCTTTTCAAAGAGTGAAGTTGATAATATGAAACTTGAGATTAAAGGATTTAGTATTTCAGAAATTATTTCCCAACTTCACGCGATATTTGACGAAAGTAGCAAAGTTGCAAGAATTAATTTCTCAATAGTAATGAATAGCGATTGGCTATTAAAGTATGAAGTGGACGGTGATATTAACAGAATACTTCAAGTTGTTATTAACTTGGTTTCTAACAGTTTAAAGTTTACGCCATCTGGTGGTTTTGTCAAGGTCATTATTTCTGCTGGCAAAAATGATGATAGTGACCGGAATGCTTCTGAATCTTCGTCTAATAAGGAATTTTCTGATTCTTCTTCAAATAGTGAAACTAATGAAGACTATTATGTCACGTCTGGTAAAACGGTAGTCAGTTTTGTTGTGTGTGACAGTGGTTCCGGTATTGCCCCCCACTTACAGTCACGAGTATTTGAGCCATTTGTTCAAGGCGAGATTGGAGCTAAAGAAACTAGGAGCGGAGCAGGTCTGGGGCTTTCTATATGCCGCCATTTAGCAACGTTGATGGATGGTACCATAGATTTAAAATCCGAAGTTGGTAATGGATCATGTTTCACTTTCAGAGTTCCGATGAAATATAGCTTAATATCGTCTAATCATGATGATTCAGATACTGAAAGGTCATCAAACCAACAAATGAGTTTGGATTATGGACTTTCTGATATAAAACCTTTTATCATGGAAACCAATAATAAATCGTCATCAACTGACGGTAAAAATCAATTTGAAGTTCCACAACCTCCATCACTAAAAGTTTCCAGTTTGGTTTCGCCTTATATTGAAGCTTCAGTAAAAATAGAAGAAAACAAGGAATCGAAATCCGTTTATAATAATACTGTTAATGGTATACCTGAAATTATATCATCCCCACATTGTCCCATGGTATCTTCTGTTTCTGTTTGTGTGGATCCAATTAAAATAAGCTATTCTGGAGTGTATTCTGGCTCACATGTGAATAACAGCAGTGTTTCTAATATGAATTCTCAGCATTCAAAGAAAACGCTAGATCCTAAAATATGTGATGATCTTCATGTTTTAATTGCAGAAGACAATCGGGTAAATCAAGAAGTTATGGTTAAAATGCTTCACCTAGAAGGTATTAAAAATGTTGATGTCGCTAACGATGGCATTGAAGCTGTATCTGCAGTTGAAAAATGTCGCCCTATAGATGGACCGTCTGTTATGAACCTTCAATCACAAGTTACTAATAAAAATCAAATTTTTGAAGAAGATTTATCATCTGTTCAAAGTCACTCATCACAAACAATAGAAACTGAAAAACAAAATCCCCTTAAGGACTGGAAAACTAAAGAATTTGACATCATTTTTATGGATATTCAAATGCCAAATATGGATGGAATTCAAGCTACAAAACAAATCAGAAACATTTTAGGATATAAAGGTCCTATTATTGCTGTTTCTGCATATACAGACAAGTCCAATGTTGACAAATGCCTTGAATCTGGAGTTAATGATTTTCTAGGGAAACCTCTTCGAAGGCAGCAACTCCATAGTATGCTTGAAATTCTTGTTCAAAAAAAATTAAAAAATTACCAGTAAAATAACTATATAGCTTTTTTTTTATTAAATGTTTTATATAAAAAAAATAGCAAATACGGCTTTTTTTTGTTGTTTGAATGTTTACACGTTTTCTAGTCCCATGTGTGGGTATTATAAAGTTACATAGAAATCTATTATTATTCTTTTTCTTTTGCTTGAAAATAAGAACATGTTTCGTGGAATGGGATAGGTGTTTTTCCCGTTACTAATTAATATCCTTTGATCATGCTGATTTTTTTGTTAAGTTAACTTAATACTTTGAACACCTATCTATTACGCTAATTTAACGTGATAAATGTCATCGAAAAAAAATTTTATGTTACGTGATACAGCTCCATTACTGCAAAGTGCAACATAGCCAACTTAGTTAAAGCAAGATTTACTAAACTCAGATTATTACAAAACAGGGTAATGGATAATCAAAATATAGATTCTGATATTGATGAAGATGAGGTTGTTGACTGGAGATTCATATCTTCTGTTAAGTAAGTGTTGTATTTAACTTTGAAGGTGTCAAACTAACCCTGGGTAGTTCAAAAAATGTACTTCCAAAACGAGGCGAAAAGGACTTTCAACCGGAAGGAACGAATATGCAATCTCAAGCGTTAGATGAGAGCAGATCAGCTATGTATTCAGCCCTTCAAGTAAGTCGAGGTCATTCAGGAAAACATAGAATTACGGCAAAATGGTATCCAGATATTAGGCAGGCTAGAGTAGATCCTCCTGCTAGGGGGTTGCATTTCCAAACGATAGGAAAAGCTGATAGCAGAGGAAATGTATGGTTAAACCAGGAAGAACTACTGTACCTTGTTGAGAGAGGAAGCTTAGAGTGCTTTTGGTTAAATGAGCCCGGACCACCTATGTCTCTTCAAGCAGTTTATGCTGCAGTATTTGGAAATACCACAATAAGAAAAAACTCGTGTGAAATAGAAAGATATCAAGTTTATTCTTACTTGAAAAGACTTGGCTTTATAGTGCAGCGAGCTCCAACCTATGAAGATGTAAGCAATAACAATCAACTTGCTAACCAAGGAAACCCCCAGCATTTTGCTTTATCATTACTAGACACAATAAAGCATTCTACAGTCTCCATTTTAAGAAATTTAAAATTTTTGATACCAGCGGCTACATTTTTAAAAGGTATCTTTCATGATGTTGAAAAAAGTCGTCCTTTCAAGAATTTTGTCGGTTACGGAAATATCTTCAAACACAATGCCATAAATGTCTTTAGAAGCATTTTTTCTCCAGAAAACAGAAAGATATTTCACTCTTACAAAGAAATTTATAAAAGCCTTGATTTCATTCCATGTAATGAACCTCCAAAAACAGCAAATCATTTAAACAAGAATAAAGAACAATTACCAACAGAATCAACTGCGCTGTTCCGGGTAATCTTTCATGTTTGGAAACCACGACCTAACTTCAGCAAAAAGTCCCCAGGAACCCCTGATTTCTTTATATCAGTGATTGATACAAAAGAATTTAATGTCCCTACATTAGAGCAAACTCTTTCCCTTTTAGATAATGTTCATGTTAAGGGGTATAAAATTAAGAACCCCGTTAAGAACAACGATAAGAGTCAAAAAGTCAGAGGTCTCACAATTCCTCAACAAATGAATTTACTAAAGCGCGGATATCGAAACATTATCATTGCAGCAGTTGACTCTGGTATTATTAATATGACATCTGTAGCAGATGTTCCATTCGGGCAAGAACATGTATATTATCCTTACAATTGATACACTTGAAACAGAATAGCTCTCTTTGAATGCTTAGAGTGTCTGTTTTGTCTAATCAGATCCGAAAGTTTGATATTAAAAATGTAAACAAAGTCATGTGATTAATAGAGAAATAGCTAAAAAAAAACATTCCATTCATCTTGAAATCTATCCTACATTATTTTAAAAATCATGGTACCACAATCTTTACAAACTGGCTCAGATGAGCCTCTTTCAGTTACACAAAACCTTCTAGATTTTTTTCCTGCTGTTCGGCAATCTTTTGATCAGACAGATGACCTGGATGCACTAGATCGTGTGGCACGCGCCGTACGTGAACTGGATGACGGATACCGAGCAACAATCCAAGGTAATCAGACAGTAGTGCGAACGCTCTCTAGAACTTTTGAACTTCTGCGTGCAAGTGTACTAGACAAAGAGTCAGTGATTGTGAATGGTCTTCAAGAAAACAGTAGGAAAAAAATTAACAAAAATGAGGACAATGATATAGATATAGATGTGGAAAATAAGGAGGAAGATGTCCAAGATGCACCAGAAGTAGTTGTTTTACAGAGCTTAGATCGTAAAAAATATGAATTGGCAAAACATATCAGCAGTCTAGAAACATCAAATACAGCTAGTAATACAACTCTCATAAAGCTGAATAAAGAACTCGAGAATTTAATTAAAGAAGATGTATTAGATACGTCAGTGAAAACCTTGCAAACAAGCTCAATGTATGTGCCTCTGAAAAAAACTAGTAACAGAGAAATTCTAAATCTAACAGTTTTTAGTCTTAAACTGAAAGTTCTTCAGTCTTTAGGAGTATCTTTTGATGGAGATAGTCCTGAAACGCATACTAAAGCACTCATTCATTCACCTCAATCAAAAGGCATTCATACATTACCTTTGGGTGAATACTCGTCCTATTTCATTTCTAATTACATCTGGGAAAATTTATGAAGAGTTTAGATTTTTCAAAGAACAGATGAGAAAATATTAAAAAATGCGATCATGGATCGTTCGCTGTTTTCTAGTGTTTAAACAAATTTATATCTTAAAACAGATTACTTAAGCCCCAAAAAACTTAAACATGTTTTAGTTTAGATATGATTATTTCTATTGAAGAATCCGTATTTTTTATTACAAAATTTATAGTCTTTCCAGAATAAAGTGCTGATGGTAAACAGCCAGAAGTTCATCATATTAATTTGAAGCAGTGGTTGTACTTAAATAAATTGGATTTGTATGTTTAAGTTGTGAAGTAGTCACATGATTTACTAAGACCCGATTTTGTTCCATGTTTGTGACAATATATTTTGAAAATATGTAACAAAGCACGGAGCGAAATCGGTGAAGTTTTTTTTTCGGCTTGCCAGCTCGTCCAATGAATCACTTTTTTCTCTTTGCTTCCCTCCGCTTCTCTTTTTTCTTCTATTTTTTTCTTTTTCTTCCTCTCTTCAGTTTTTTTTTTTTGTTTCTTTTTTTCTTTTCCCCTTATTGTTTTTTCATATTCAATTCTTCCTATAAAAGACACTAAATATCTATTCCTTTTAAAATGTCCTCTAATACTAAAACCATTGTTGTTCTTGGTGGTGACCATGTTGGTCCTGAATGCACAAATGAAGCTGTCAAGGTGCTGAAGGCGATTGCTGAAGCTCGCCCCAATATCAAGTTTGATTTCCAGGAACACCTCATTGGTGGTGCCGCCATTGATGCCACCGGCAATCCTCTTCCTGATGAGACCCTTGAGGCCGCTAAGAAGGCTGATGCTGTTTTGCTTGGTGCCGTTGGTGGCCCTAAGTGGGGTACCGGCGCCGTCAGACCTGAGCAAGGTCTGCTGAAAATTAGAAAGGAGCTTAACCTTTACGCCAACCTTCGTCCTTGCAACTTCATTTCTGAATCTCTCTACGATCTTTCTCCCTTGAAGTCCGAAGTTGTCAAGGGTACTGACTTTGTCATTGTTCGTGAACTTGTCGGAGGTATTTACTTTGGCGAGCGTGAGGAAGACAATGGTTCTGGTAGAGCATGGGATACTGAGGCTTATTCGGTTGAGGAGGTTAAGAGATTGACAAGAATGGCTGCCTTTTTGGCTCTTCAATCTAACCCTCCTCTTCCTGTCTGGAGTTTAGATAAGGCTAACGTTCTTGCTTCGTCTCGTCTTTGGAGAAAGACTGTCACTGAAACCATTGAAAAGGAATTTCCTCAACTTACCCTGAAGCACCAGCTCATTGATTCCGCTGCTATGATCATGGTTAAGAGCCCCTCTTCTCTTAACGGTGTTTTGCTGACTACCAATATGTTTGGTGACATTCTTTCTGATGAGGCTTCTGTCATCCCTGGTTCTTTGGGTCTTCTCCCTTCAGCTTCTCTTGCTTCTCTCCCAGATAAGAACACTGCTTTCGGTCTTTACGAGCCCTGCCACGGTACTGCTCCTGATTTGCCTAAGAACAAGGTTAACCCCATCGCTACCATTCTTTCAGCTGCTATGATGCTTAAGCTTTCTCTTGACCTTAAGGAGGAAGGCGAAGCTGTTGAAAAGGCCGCCCGTATTGTTCTTGATAGTGGTATTAGAACTGGTGATCTGGGCGGTAAAAACAGTACCACTGAGGTTGGTGATGCCATTATTGCTGAGCTTAAGAAGCTTCTGTAATTGGACAATGTACATAAGTGATGTAAAATTATTTTTGTTAAAGGATTAAGAAAAAATTGAATTAATTGTGGCATTAATAACGATTCTACTTTTTTTATCTCTTTGGAGAAATTTATTGATACAACGGTCTCTAGGGTTACCGATAAGATAAGGAAACTTTGAAAAGGGGGGGGGGGGACATTCATAAAACTATTCACTTATGGTTTATTAGAATTTTTTTCTAGAGGTAATACTCAAAGTTGGTAAATACACAAAATCGTTCAAGATTCATAATTTGGTTAGAAAAGTAGTAAGGTAATTAAAACAGTGAACACTGCAGGTTGTGATGTTAGATACGTTTATGAAGTCAATTCAAATCCTTTAATTTTTTTTAATTTTGATATCTGTATGTATATTATGATTTACTGAGTCGCTTATTATCTAAATTTTAAATTTCAAATCATTAATCACTTTGTGTATAGAGGGCAAAAAAAACTGGAATCAAAAGGTGATTGTGAATAAAAACAAACAAAAGGTGATCGAGTTTGAGAAAAAAAATCTAATTGAAAAACCTTGTTTATTTAAAATAAAAAAAAATAAAGTAGGCAATTTGCTTCCAAATTTAATAAATTGATATTTATTTACCTTGATTTTGAAAATATTTTATTATTATAATCATGACTCGGAGTCATAATTGATTAAACGGATTTTTTAAAAAAAAAATAAAAAATAGAAAAAAAAAATTTATTTCTCAGTTAATTAAGCTTAATTTTATTAATTAGTAATAGAATATTGTCATATCCATTTTAAAGTTGGTTACTAAGTTTGTATATAAGCTTGATGGACCACCCAGGAAAAGGTTCAGTTATAACCACTATTTAAGGGATGTTTTCTAGAATTCTGATTCAAAAATAAATAAAGAGGCTCTTCAGCACGTGGTTACCATCTTATTCATAAGAAATGCTCAAAATGTATCAAAATGTTTAATATATATATATGTAAAAAAAATTTTTTAGAACTTTTAACATCAGAAAATAGGACCCTTTCCTTCAATTTTTTTTTTTTTTTTTTTTGCTCTCAATATGATTTCAAATAGTTACTATTAAAAAAAGGCTATTGTTTCTACTGTGAAACAGAAAATGAAAATGAAAATAAAAATGAAAAAAAATATCTTAAGATTTTAATGTTTTGTTTTGGGAACTGTTTACAAAAAGAAAAAAAAAAGAAATCTAAGAGCATATTTGCAAAGCAGTTGGTAAAACCCGTTATGCAGGAAACATCATTAATACTCAAACTTGAATGACAAAATTATTTTATAAAGTAAAGTGTTTCTTTCATTTTAATAAATTTGAAATCAATCAATCAATTTTTTTTTTTTTTGATATTTTGAACTTCTAACATTAATTGATTTGTTTTGAAAAAATTTAAATAAAAAAAATCTTAATTCATTATTGCTTTAACTTTTTAGAATTTTTGTTATTACTAAATTTAAAAGCAATTTTACTGTCAATTGTTATTGCTCTGAATTTCTCGTATTCAAATGCCGTTTTTTTTGCGGGCTTCTACGACTGAAGAAATATGCGCGCGCCAAAATTGAATAATAGTGTGTGTAAGTAAATGTAAGTAAAAATAGTTTTATGAACGGCTGAACAAGGAACGGCAGTGAGGAAAACTTTTTGGTAATTTAAGCTTACGTACTAGTACCAAGTTTATGTTAAATTTTTCTGAGGGGAAAGAGGGGCATCGAAGTAAAAGGAAGTCTCGAATTGTGATACAAAAAAGCAGGTATTACATGTAACAAAAAGTTGTTAGTAACTGCTAAAAAGGTTAATTTGATGCCAAGAATTCTTTTGCTAATTTTACATAATCTATTATTTTCCTTATTTCTACAGTACTACTGAATGAATTATTGATAAAATACAAAATTTAGAATTTTTTTAATTTAATTTGGCAGTCATGAAAGCTTGTAGATATGAGAGCAGTTTTTTTTGAATAGATTTTTTCTTCTAAAACTTTTCTAATAATTTTTTTTTAAACCAAGAGGAAATCCCAACGGCAATTTTTTGATGCCAAGAATATTGGAGGGTGAATATTTTGTTATGCTGAATGTCACGGGGATCAACGAAGCACCGTGACCTAAGTGGTTAGGGTTAAGTATACCCAGTGATGACATAACTTGAGAGGTATGACTGCCACCATAACTATCTGGGTAGCACAAACTATCTCAAAAGAAAATCAAATTTATCTTAAGATCAAAGGTGCGAAAAAAAAATAGTAATCAATTTTTTTTAAATTTTCTTAATTCAATAACTTAAGGATAGCACAGATGCTGATCAGCATTGTGATATAATTTCATAACTCTTGAATAAAAACAATCAAACAATTAATTCAATAACTTATTTATAACAAAAACGTCAAAATACACTGAGAACACAACACTCAGTTAATATCTTGCTTATTTTATTTTTTTTTTGAGGGAAAAAAAATGCTCCTGTTGTCTATTGCTCATGTGAACAGCAAGGGCATCAGTCTTAGAAATAATACACTCCACTGAAAACCTGAGTCTAATGACAAAGTGTCATTTTTTATGGCAAAGAAATTATGAAATTTAGTATCAGGAGTCATTGTAAATGACTCTGACTGATGCTTATTTTAATTTTTTTTTTTTTTTTCGATAGAAGAGTTCCGAAATAACCAGCTTGTTCTACCAAATACGTTCCCATCTGGCGGTATTTTTTATTAACAAAAAACACAATGTACGTGTCAGAATTTGTAGAGATGACATAAGCTCACCGATGCATAAAATTGCTGGGAGATTCTTTGATGGAAGGATTTTGTGGACACAATGATCTGAGAGCAAAAGAACCACAGATACAAACAAACTGGCAAGCTTACACGTGACTCAGGCCCATAATTGGCCTTGTCCTCGCGATCTCCCCCTCAAAAAGCTGGGGCGGGAGCCATCTGACAGCAAAACAGAGGGTTACACTGTTTAATTTTTAAATCATGGTTTGATTGTGCTTTTGCTTGGAGATTAAATTGACATGTAACAATGAAATCTCACGATTTGAAGTTTGATATATAAAGACTGAAGCTTCCCCAGTTTTTTTGTTTTTATTTTTCCTTTTCCTTTATTATCTTCAATCATATCGGTTTTACCTTATCAAGCACTTCACAACATCTATCGTTATACACTAGCTTTAGTTTTCCCTAAACTAAACAAACTTTCACGAAACACATAAACACATAAACACTCACAAAAAAATAACAACAAAAATGGTTGGCATTGGACGCGGCGGTTTCGGCAACAGAGTTGCTTCTCCTAAAATTTCTGCTAAGGAAGCTCCCGATTCTCCTGAAATGGAGGCTTGTTTAAGAGTTCCTTCTACACCTGCCCCTATCCAGCATTTTACTTCACCTAATCAAACTTTCAGAGCTGGCCGTGGTGGCTGGGGAAACAATATGCCTGTTACTAAGATGAATACTATGACTCCAACTGAGTACCTTAAGGAAGTTGAGCGTGCTACTGCAGAACCTTCTCGCTACAGTATTGGCCGTGGTGGTAGAGGCAATCTTGTTCAAAAAAACAAGAAAGAAGAAAACAACAGTGATAATCTTAAACCCATGTTTTCTCTCAGATCGCGAAGATCTATCAATGAAGAAGATGGCCTCTGGAGTCGTCTGAAAGTTACTTTGTCGAATTAAAATTTTAATTTGCCAAACACTTTACGACTTTATGACCACCTAATGACCTTTTACGATTCTGATTTTAAATTTATAAAAGTTTTTGTTTTTAAATTGTTTTGCTTTAATAGAATTTTTTCAAATTTCATTTTAAACTTTTACATTTCAAAAAATTTCCATATTTGGAAACATAAGCGTATTTCAAAATGTAATGGACTGGTAATTTTAATTTTTCATTGATTTTTTCTGGTAAGTGTCATTACAGACTTTTGTAACGTAATTACCAAGCCAAACTACTTCATGATGAATCAGATAAAACTTGACATTTGGATATCCAAAAGTTAAAAAATAAGACAAAATTGAAATCTAAATAGTTGTATAGTAATTAAAACCAGTTTCTCTAGCTCCAAAAAAAAAAAAAAATGATTAGTCGGTAGATTAAAGCTTTAAATCCCTTATTAATCTCTTAATGAATTTATTCCAATTGCAGAAACACACAAAATATCTAACCAGATCTTTTTTTTAATAAGATCCAAATACATTTATTTATTTTATATTCTCAGTTTTGATCTTCATACCGAAAAAAATATATCAGACGATATCATTTTGATTTGTGGGGATTTTGAATTCATAGCCGAAGCAAGTATTGGGAGGATCACCTTACGCTACCTCGGTACAGAAAGCCTAATCAGTCTTCTTTTTTTCACCCCGCAAAAATCTATAGAACCGCACAAGTAGACCCCCCTCTAAAGTCTGGTATAAAAGAACCTTCTTCTTTCCTAGTTTAATAGTTTATTATCCTTTTTATTTTTTTAATCATTAATCATTGTTATATATATTTTTTTTCTTTTAATTGTACTTCTTTCTTACTTTTTTGGTGTTTTTTTATACACAATGCTATCTGGAAACAAATCTTCGAATGTCGTGATCAACGACAAGAGTTTCAATACTGAAACAGAACCCCCACAGTTACTTAAACAAGAACGCGAAAATGTCCCTTTTACTGTCAGGGATATCACTCATTACTTGAATGGAAGTGTTGAACAGACTGAAATCCTAGAATATGCCATGCAGCGTGTTGAACGCGATCCTCTTTTTAACAATGATGCCTTTTATGATCTCACCAAGGACGAAATTCGTGAACTTTGTTTCAAAAGAGTTGCTAATTTGGCCAAGTACCTTTTGGATTCAAGAAAGGATGGGACAGATTTCCGCAGATACTTTGACGCTGTTAGTGTTGCTGACCCTGCTGCGGTTACAAGACTTGGTGTTTACACTGGTCTTTTTATGAACTCAATTGAAGGATCAGGAACCCCTGAGCAAATAAAATTCTGGTATTCTTTGGGTGCAAACGAATACAAGCGTTTTTACGGGTGCTTCGGTATGACAGAATTAGGTCATGGCTCCAACGTTGCTGGTATGGAAACGGAAGCAGTTTTTGATTCTGAAACAGACGAGTTCATCATCAACACGCCTAACCTCGCTGCCACTAAGTGGTGGATTGGTGGTGCTGCTCATTCCGCTACTCACTGTGTTTGTTTTGCTCGGATGATCATCAAGGGTAAGGATTACGGCATGAAATCTTTTGTTGTGCCTCTCAGAGACGTTGACTCCTTTAATCTTCTTCCTGGCATTGCCATTGGTGATATCGGTAAAAAGATGGGCCGTGACGGTGTCGATAATGGTTGGATCCAATTCACAAAAGTTCGCATTCCTCGCCAATTTCTTTTGATGAGATACACCAAGGTCGACAGAAGTGGTAATGTAACAGAACCCCCACTCAACCAGCTTGCATATGGTGCTCTTGTTTCTGCTCGTGTCAACATTGCAGTTGAATCCTTCAATACTGCTCGCCGATTTATCACAATAGCCATTCGTTATGCTGCCATCCGTCGCCAGTTTGCTTCTGTTCCTGGGCAGCCAGAAACCAAGATTCTTGATTATCCATTGCACCAGCGCCGATTGCTTCCACGCCTGGCTTTGACCTATGCCATGAATGCTGTTTCTATGGAGCTCCGTGATAACTATGACCGTATTAACAACAGTCTTTTGAATGTTAATCAAAATGACAAGGCTGCCTTGAAAAAAGCTGTTAATGACACTAAGGAGATCTTTGCTCTTTCTGCCGGTGTCAAGGCCTTTACTACATGGGCCACTGCCGATATTATTGATGAGTGCCGTCAAGCTTGCGGTGGCCATGGATACTCTGGCTACAATGGCTTTGGTCAAGGTTATGCTGATTGGGCTGTTCAGTGTACCTGGGATGGTGATAACAATGTTTTGGTTTTGTCTATGGGCCGTGCCCTTATTCAGGCTGCTTGCGATGCTAAGCGAAGTAAGCCTGTTGGTGAACCTTTTGAATACCTGTCTAGACATGGCCAGCTCAAAAGTTCCAAGCTTGGAAGCAGAAAAATTGACTCCCCTGAAGTTATTGTGGAAGCTTGGGAGGCTGCAGCTGCTAATGCTTTGATTAGCTCTTCAGAAATTTACGAGGAGGAGCTGGCCAAGGTCAAGGGAAATGTGGCCCAGGCTATGGAGGCTGCATCTCAGCAGCGTTTCGAGTCTGCTCGTATTCACACAAGACTTTACCATGTTACTGCGTTTTTCAACCGCATTAAAAACAGTTCGAGCAGTGGCATTAAGCCTGTTCTAACCGACCTTGCCATTCTGTTTGGTCTTTGGGCTATTGAGAAGGATGCTGCTCTTTTCTTGACGTCGGGCTTTCTTTCAGCCCAGGACATTAAGAATATCACCAAGCTTGTTGACGTTTATAACCTCAAGATTCGCAACTACGCCATTCCTTTGACCGATGCCTTCAACTTGTCTGACTACTACATCAACTCTCCGATTGGAAACTATGATGGTGATGTTTACAAGAACTATTTCAATAAGGTTGTTCGAAGAAACCCTGGTTATGATGCCAAGGCACCTTACTACGAGTCAGTAGCTAAACCTTTCATCCAAAGATCGGACGAGCCTAAGCTGGATCTTTCAGTGCTTGATGAGTAGACATTAAAAAATAAAATTGCTTTAATTTTGTGATGTAAAAAAAAATAAAAAAAATACCTTATACAAAATTTCAATTTTCTTTCGGTTTATTATTAATCTTTTTTTCTCCGCAGGAAAAAACTCGGGAATATTTTTTTTTATATTTTTGTTAGTTTTAATCTTTTTTATCAGACTTTTTATTTGACTCAATTTTAATAACCCTCAAGTTTGTTCTTCCTTTATTTATTATTGTTTTTCTTTTGCTTAGTTCTTTTTATACACTTCTATAAACTTTGTTAATCATGGAGAAGTTACCAAAATCAATAAAGTCTATATTTTCCAATCAAGGCTCTGTAGAGAAGACATCTCAAAATCCGTCTTCGCCCACATTTGGGGCCCTTTCAAAAAAATCACTCAGTGGCCTTATCAAGTCCCATCTTCCTATGAGCGGAAGCTCTGGATCACCGCCAGTTTTCCCAGTCAGTGATGTGGAATCAGCATCTCCAAGAAGCTCGGAGCTTAACGAAACCTCCCCGACAGCTTCCCCAATTATTCCAACATTAACGCCGTTATCTTTAAACCCACCAAATATCTCGTTTTCAATAACTGCCAACGATAATAATGAACTAAACGAACCGTCAAAATATGAAGAGGGGGGTTCCAAGGATTCGTTTTCAGATTCCGATGATCATGACGAAGACCAAGACCAAGACGTGACTAAAAAAATAAAAAATCCATCTGTTGCAAGAGTTCACTCCCACATGAGCCACGCTGATGCTCAATCTATAATTGGTGGCATTTCTATTGATGAAGATAGCATTGTAGCCGAAGAACACACACACATTCACGATCCTGCAAGCAATAGAAATACATTTTCATTCTCTCTTCCATTCAGCAACCCGCTGGCTGGGTTTAAGCTTCCTTCTTTTTTCTCCAATCAACCTCAAGATGATGAAGCAAACATTTCATCTCGTGAAAATTATCTGACTGCTCAACATGAAATCGGGGATTTGTTGCACCGTCAAATGTCTGTGACATCGCTCCAAGAAGATTTGGCTTATAATACAGTTAAGGAACAAGATAATTCTCGGTTACGAGCAGTTAAACGGGCATTGACACCTAGTATAATTTCTTCAAATAAACCCTCCGAGCCTTTGTTGACGGATTTCAAAGGTACCATTGTAATTATGGGGGGATATCGTGGCTCTATTTTGAGAGATAAGTCGACTGGTCGACGAGTATGGATACCTCTTAAAGCTGGGTTTAACCTTCGAAAAATTGATTTGACTGTAGGAATCAATGATGAAGACGAATATGAAATGGAGAATAAAATATACCCCGATGGAATGCTTACTCATATAGGCCCTGTGGATATTGCTCGAAAACTCATTAAGCGACTTCGCGCAATCCCTGATTGCCAAGTATATGAATTTGGTTATGACTGGCGTCTTTCATGTGACATTATTAGCGAAAAGCTAACGACTTTTATAAAGGAATTGCCTTCCCCGCCAATTATTATCGCTCATAGCATGGGTGGGTTAATTGCTCATCATGCAATGAACAAAGACCCTACTATTGTTAGAGGAATACTTTATGCTGGAAGTCCTTCCCAATGTCCCAATATTTTAGGTCCCTTGAGAAATGGTGACTCCATTTTACTTTCTTCCAAGATTTTGACGGCACAAGTAAACTTTTTGATGCGTTCTTCTTATGTTTTTTTGCCATTGAGCGGAAGATGTTTTGTTAATAAAAAGGATCATAGAATCAAGTACGATTTAGATTTTTTCGATGTCAATACTTGGATTCGCTACGAGTTGAGTCCCCTGGTAACTCCTTCGCGAAAAGACTTGCCAAAAAATGTTGAAGAAAAAGGCAAGAATTCATTTCATCCTGGTCACAAGAGAACTCAATCGGATTCTTTCATAGCTCCAGATCAGTTGCATATTTCATATGATGATGCTGTGAGATATCTCGATCGTACGTTAAAGCGCACCAAAAAGTTTTTAAAGGAATTAGAGTTTGAAGAGTCCAAGGCTCATCTTTACCCCCCTCTTGCATGCTTATACAGTTACTGTGTCCCAACACTTAAGGGAGCTTTGGTTGACTCTAAAGAAGATATTAGTACAGACACTTATGAAAACTTTTTGTTTGGGCCTGGTGATGGTGTTGTTTACTACAAGTGGGTAATGCCGGAGCCAATGGGATTTGAAGTTGTTGCCAAAATCCCAACCGAAAACGGGCATGTATCGCTTTTGACTGATGTGGATGCAGTACTGCGAGCTCTTGATGCAATTCTCAAAAACGAAAAAGAACGCAAATCACGACCCGAGTCGGCAGAAACTACTAGCAAGGTTCCTGGAAGTCCCGGTGATTAGATAGTATATTTAAATAAAAAAAAATAAACAGAAATAGAAACAGACAATAAATTACTCTTCCTCCATGACTTCATATAACACCTCTATCCATAAGCTGCATCCAATACATTGTACAGTAATTGAATTTGAGGCCAGGCCGTTTTTCTCGAGATCCTGCTCGTTGAGAATGTATCCTTCTGATTCCCCACAGCGACAGCTACGCGTCCATGTGCAAGTTTCTGAAACGCCATCGGGACCAATCTCAACGCGGCAATTCATGTCGTCCAAATCAATTTGGTCCGAAGCAGCTCGGGGTGTAGTAAGAACGGTTCCGTTTCCACCAATCCGCAGCTGGGAATTATAATCTTTACGGCGCTCTGCATTAGACAGAATCCGGTATGCTGTCTTAATAGCAGGAATGGTAATTCCCGAGTTATCGTCAACGATGGTAAAAGACATGTTTTCTTCGTCGGGACCAGCGCCGTGGCCTTGTTCCCGCTGTAGTTGTTTGTCCGGGTGGTGAGCTAACAACGCTGAATGGTAGCCCTGTTTTATTTCTGCAAAAGTAACGGCTTCATAATCGGCACAAGACTGTCGCAAGATTCCCAGAATTTCATAGAGGTTCAAGGCAACGGTGTCGGACATTGTTGGGCGGGTTATCTAATGAATCTGAAGAGAGGGAAAAAAAAAAAAAAAAATTCAACTCTTCGTCACATGAACAGGTAAGGGTTAGTGCACGGCTAATAAAATTTTTTTTTTTTTTGTGACTTTACAATCGCGATTTTACTTGAAATTTTTTTTTTTTTTTTTTTTTTGGGCGAAAATTTTCAAAGTGCGTTTATAGAGGGGGGACAACCTAATAGCTCACAAACAAACAACATGCCAGCAGAAATTAAAGACAAGAAACGAAAAAGATCAGATGATTTACTTCCTGAAGTAACTACGGTCCCTATTTCAGCAAGCCATCTCGACACAGTGGGTCCCCATGCTGTAGAGGTCAACACTCTGGCTATTGGAGCTTTTGGGTCTGTGACCTTACCGGAATCGTTGCACCTGGACGTTTACCGAGAAAAGAAACCCGACGGAAGTAATGAGCGCATTTTGTTACACGGTGAGACTGCAGCAATGGACTACGAAGGAGTTACCAGTGTCGTTCAAAGTGGGAAAAAGAGCAGCTCGTCGCGCAAGGAAGCTGGCGCTGATACATCATCATCTACATCACAGTACTTTGTTGCAGTATATGACCCTAGCACAAAGTCTGCGGAACTTTACCGCGCACCTTATTTTGATGTGAACCCTGTGGTGCGTGTTAAGCGTGTGTACAAGGGGCCCAAAGTCAAGAGCGCAAGCGCAGAAACAACAAACACGGAAATGCGTACCACACTGGGCCATGCGTTTGGTACACGCAAGGCACAGAAGCTGCTGCGCAGTCGGGAGCTCAATCAAATCGACTCGTCGGTGCTGTCAGACATTAGGGAGGACATTGTGGATAGTGTCAAGTCGTCAACAGACACATTGCCAACTCAGGAACAGGTCAAGGAGACCAACGAGAAGGAGCGCCTTATCCCGCCCTGCTTCGAAAATGCAACTACACCTTCGGAGGTTTACCCCATCGAAAGCATCATCCCTCCGAAAGAATGGCAGCAGCTGCATGTGGATGACATTCTTGCTGCGACCGAGCAGGATGCGCGTACCGCGCTGCTGCCATTCCAGACGGAGTACGCAGCGTCCCGGCTGGCGCGCCACCAGGAGCTAGATGCGACAGACTCGGGCGATGTCAATTTTGTCAAGACTGTGTACTATTTGTCATTCCTGTTAGGTGTATACAAGAACCGCCGGGCCAAGAAGAAAGTTGCTCTTGCCGAGAAACTGCAGTTCCCTCCCGATGCGCTCGTTGGCGGGGCACTTGCACGCTTCTCCAGCTCCTATAACGCTAAGTCGCGCGATGGGCGATTTGTCATGGATGGCGGTAGTGAGCTTAAGCTTATTGCGTATATTGCTGCGCTGGCGCTGCGCATCGACGGGTACATGCTCGAGGTGCTGCCTTTGGCCAACGAGCTTAACGTCAAGCCCTCTAAGCTACAAGAGATTCTAACTGCCATGGGCTGTGGAATTAAGGTGGCGACATCTGCTCAGGCCGAAGCACTTAAGCTCAGCAAGGGCGTTGCTGCAAACTACAAGATGGCTACTCTTACGGTGCCATTCAAACTCCCGGATGGCATTAAGCGTCGTGGTGGGCCGCCTAGACGTTAAATAGGTTGAATAGAAATAAAATCACGTGTATTTGGACAGAAAGGGTGTTTGGTAAACAAAAATTTTGTCAAATTAAAAAAAAAAAAAATTGAACAACACGCATCCAACTTCTTCAATTTTCAAAACTAAACAAATAAAACAACCATATACTACAATGACTGAAGAAAATATTGATGTGTAAGTGATCAGAATTATTAATTGATGGATTTGGTTTAGGCTGACTGTTTTAGAACCAAAGTGTGGACTGTTCTCGACACGCTTTCCGATCAACAAGAAGCCATCGACAAGGAAGTCTGTAAGTAATTTATAAATAGTTAATCCTCTATATTATCGCTTTTCTAACTCATGGATGGGATCTAATATATAGCTGCCTATAACACAAAGAAACTACAGCCTTATTACGCTGCCAGACGAAGCAAGCTGCTAGAGATTCCTGACTTTTGGTCGTATGCTGTGCGGGGATCTGCGGAGCTTTTGGACCAGTACAGCACCGCTGAGGATATCAGTCTTTTAATGTCGCTCAAAGACCTTTACGTGGAGTACGGAAATGAGAAGCCTGATGATTTTACGATTGAGTTCGTGTTCCATCCAAACAAGTACCTAGATGACGAGAGCTTGACGCTTCGCAAAGCCTTCACGTACCGCACCAAGAAGACCACCAAAACGTCTTCCAAGGATGATGACGATGAGGATGACGAGGATAATAAGGATGATGAAGGAGAAGAAAAAGAGCCTTGGTACTTGCAGCTGCTTGAGAAGGCAAGCGATCGTGCGCTCCAAAAGGACAACAAGGTACATGTCTCCGAACCTGTTACCATTAAGTGGAAGAAGGGTCAGAACCTGACCAAGTTGACCGGAACTGGCATTAACTCGTTGTTTGGCTGGTTCGGTTATGTGGGCGAAGGTCCCGGCGACTTTCCCTCGGGTGAAGATCTCACCCGCATCATTGTGGAACAGTTATTCCCCTTTGCTACAGAGTACTATCTGGAAGGTGTCAAGGACCAAGCCCAGGTCGAGGCTGAGTATGATCTTGACGAAGATGAGGAGGAGGATATTGGCGACGACGACGCAGATGAGATTAAAAACAAGAAAAAGCACTCAGAGAGTGAAGACGAGGAAGATGAACCTTCTAAGAAGAAAATCAAGACCAAGTAAGGACATTCATTATATATTATATAAACATCTATTAATTCAAAATGTACTAAAAGGGCATAACATCGTAAGGGGTGTGTGTGTGTGTGTATGTTTTTTGAGGGGGTGTGCAATTTTTTTTTTTCTAGGTACTGTGATGCTGCTCATCATCGTCTAGTCCAATGTCAGACTCGTCATCACCCAGCAGCTCGTCTTCGGCAGCTGCCACGACGCTGTAATCGTTCCCGCGGGCAAGCGACCGACGGCTCGTGAACCGGCGCGAGCGCTTGAATTTGTTTTGAACAGTGCGCACCAGGCTGCGGAAAAAGTCGGGCACCACTGATACAACTGCAATGACAGCTGCAACAGAGACAACAAAGGCATTGATGAATATATTCTGGTTCTCTTCCTCTTCACCCAAACGAATCTGGCCGTAGCGCTTGGAGAAATGATCCCACATAATGTATCCAATAACTGCAGTCATGCCAATGGGCAAAACAATCACCAGGAATAATCCAAAGCCGTGCAGCCCACGATGTTTCTTTTCAAACTCCTTTTCTCGTCCAGGGCAGGGCTTAGCTTCAACCTTATCAAACTCGCGGCCACCTTCGCAAGTACTAAGAGGAATGCGACGGTAGCCAGTCGGGATCCAGTATTCTATGGTGCCAGGCATTTCTGTGCAAATAAGAGAATGGTCAGGTGGGGTATAACCAGAAACCAAATGGCAGGCGCCATCGACGCCAGGCTCATAATTGAAATCACATTCATAATCTTGACGGCCACAAGTACAGTTACGTACGTCTTGGTAGGGCTTGAGAAGCGAGCGGCCAACAAAACAGTCACGACCCTTGATCTTACGGTAGTACTGGGTCTCGTGACCAAACAAGCAATTGTCGGCTTGGAAGGGGTGTGAAGGGGTCCACAAATCAAAATCATCATTATTTGGGTTGTTCTCATCCAAAACGCAGCTTCGACTAAAAATCGAGGAAAAGTCGAGTTGAATCGTTAAGGAACGTTCACCACGACTAAGAGGTGGACGGCCAACAAGCAAAAACTTAAGAGAATTATCAGAGGGAACAGTGACAATATCTTCAACACGAACAAGATCATCACTGAACTTGTACTCTTGCCAAGTTGTCCCTTCATCAATAGTGTAGTAAATTATATTGGTATTGTCACGGCCATTCACAATAACAATGATAGAACCTTGGTCACCAAATTCCCACATGTAGGCGCCCTTTCTGATTTCTTTCCAGGTGATGCCACCATCCTTGGTAAAGAAGGTGTTGCCATTGTGGAGAGGGGTAAGGTATTCACCAACATTACCAATAGCAAGCATCATACCAACAGCTGAGCCGGAAGAAAAGGTATCTCTATAATCAACACGCTCAGTGTAACCGTGAACGTTGAGAGAACAGCGATTAAGTGAAGAGCCTGGACACTTATATCTATTGCCCTCAGAATCATAGATAGGGGGACGAATGTAAGCCCACTCACCACCGTCATTGTGGGTAATTTTAGTTTTGAGTTTCTTTCTTGAACCTTGGAAGGCCTCTTCAGGGTTTTCAACAACATTAACTATAGCAACACCTTCAAGGCCAATCATCTTTTCAAAATCAACAAAGCCTTCTTCGTTACGGTTGACAAGATCCAAAGAAGAAATGTAGTCAGTACCATTGGAGTTTGACTTGAGAATAGTACCAAATTCGGATCCTGCGCGAGAGCTTGTGGTGACGTGAAGGAAAATTGAGTGGGTAATTGACTCAAGAATTGTGTAAGCTTGTTGCTTGCCAATCTTAAAGTTTGATGGGAATCTAACTTCAGCATAACTCGTGCCGTCAACAGAAACATAAGCATTAAGAGATTCTCCATCATCCTTAACAGTAGCCACAATGAGGAACTCATGTTCTAGAGCAAACCCAATAATATCAATAAAAGGTGTCTCATAGGTTTCAAAAAAATCAACGGAAGTAATGAGTTTGTTTTTGATATGGCCATCCTGAGAAGTATAAAGGCGCTCACAAAAGATGCGGCGGTCAGACTCTGATGCTTCAAGGCCATTTGCAAACAAGCAACGACGGACATTTTCTTGAAGAAGGTTCCAGCGCTCACCACCGGAGCGAGAATAATAGGCGACGGTGTGGCATGTGGGGGAAAATGGGTTTTCGCAGCCAATCTCACCGGCCCAAATAATCCAGTTAGCATTTTTCTCACTAAAAGTGAGGTAGGGGATGCCCATATTGTTGCGCTGAGCCGGAGTACGGAAAGTCTTCCAATTGTGGCCACGATCAGTAGAGTAAATTACTTCTTCAGCAGTGGTAATGAGGTAGACTTGGTTCGCAAAATAGGGGTTAGTGTAGATTGAAATGATTTCCTTATCGGTCGGAACCTTTTCCCACTGGAAGCCATGGCTGTGACTGATAAAGACTTTATTTTCGTCAGTTCTCAAAAGAACGGTTTCTTCAGCATGGAAATTTTGGTCAGTCTTAAGATAAACATAGTCGAGAATCTTGCCTGAAAAGTCGGTGATCTTAGAGCGAACGCCGCGGAAGTCAGGGTCATTATGGTTGCTGTCATCATCTCCACCATGGTCAGCGTTTGGATCAGCAAGGGTACCATCACAATTCTTCAAAACTGGCTTATCAATGCTGACACCACCATCACGGCGAACACAATTATTTCCTGGAATAAGAACGTAACCACTTTTCCCTGTGTATGTCTTGGACTTGCCTTCAGGGCACAAGCCTTTGTCTTCGACAAAGGCATCAGTGGGGACACAAGTACCATCAGATCTCTTGACAAAGTTGTAATCACACTCAAAGTCAGCACGAGTGCAAACACAAGTTTCTTCAAGAGCGGTTTGCTCATTGTACTTGTTACCAACGTAGCACTTGGCTTCATTTTTCTTACGCCAAAAGTATTGTTTATGGCCCATGATGCAAGAGGGATTGGTTCTGTCTTCCCAACGGGCATACCATTTTTCAAAGTCGGCTGTACCATCTTCTTTGAGTTCACATTGGCGGGGGAAAATGCCGTCAAAGTCAATGGAGTAAACAGCAAACTTATCCTTATTGTCGCTAGGTTTGCCCATAAGAATGAACTGGAGAGAAGTGGAATCCTGAGTGGTAAAGAGGTACTTTGGCTTAAAGTCAGTTCCCAAGCTAAAGTCTTTCCAAGAGATACCACGGTCAAGAGAGTAAGACATTGTGTTGCTGCTACCTTCATCATTGATGGCGACCATAACGTTACCAGAGTCACCAAACTCATACTTGTGGGCATCAGAGCGGGAACGGATCCAAGTAAGACCAGAGTCATGCGAAACGTACATGTCGCCATCGTCATAGGCACTGAGGCTGGTTCCTGTGTTACCAATACCAGCAATTACTCCGGGGGAAGGAGAAGAAAATATTCTACCGACATTGTTTTTGTCAGAGATGGAGTGAAGATTGAGGCCACAAGACTCGTCACCCTTACACTCGGAATCGTCAACAGAAAGATAGCTCCAAGTACGGCCATCGTCATAAGAAATTTTAGTACGGAGAGGGGGTTTGCCATTGCTGTCAGGTTTGTCCCAGTTGGAAACAACATTTGCAATGAGGATACCGTCCACATTTTCAAGCTTTTCAAAGTCGACAAAGCCACGGGAGTTGCGGTATGTGTGTTCCAAAGTTTTTGTGAAATAAGTACCGTTTGAGTTTGAAATGTAAAAGTCGCCACTCATGTCCGAGCCGTCCTTGAGAACATCAATGTGGAGAGAATGTGTGCTGGATTCGAGAATGGTGATTGAAAACTGTGTGAAAGAGCCGTCGTGATCCAAAAACTCAGCTTCATCCCAGGTTTTGCCATCGAGGGAGACGAGAAGAGAAACATATTTGTTGTTCTTGTGCTTGGCAGAGGCCACGAGAAACTTGGAGGCTACACCGAGACCGACAACGCCGCGAATATTTTCGCCATCAAGACGAGCATACTCACGGGTTTTGAACCAGTCGGATGAAAGAACAACACGTCGATTGCTAGGGAGATTATTATTAGGTTCAAGCTCTGAGTTGACCGAGCAGACAACGGTGTTTTCATTTCCGGCAGTAAAGTATTTGTTAGCCTGGAGAAAGAGACATTGGTGAGCAGCAATCAAATGCTTTGGAGGGTTTGCAAAGTTGTCAGTGGTATATGAAAACTTGGTTATACACTGGCCCTCATAAAACGCATCGTCAGAGCAGTCAATACCAGCATAAAGAACAAAATCGGACTTGGAGCCATGGAAAAGAAAAGCGGAGCCTTGAGGAGAAGGTCTAAGAGGAGCTTCAATTGTAAACCAAGAATCGCCACGATCTTTGGTACCATAGTGGGTTTTACCGGAAGTAACAACGTAAGCGCGGTTCTTGTCAGAAGGGTGAGTGATGATGTTGGTAATGGGGTCCGAGTTCCCAAGATCGACGGTAGTCCAAGACTTTCCATCGTCTCTAGATTTTCTAAGCTGAGAGCCTTGTTCATCGAGATAGAGAAGATTCTAAAGAGCAACTGTGTTAAACCATGTGGATTTTTTTTTTAAGTGAATTGAGCAAATTATCATTATCTTTTAAGACAATGGTGAACTTACCGGGCTATCTTCAAAGTATACAAAAGTACTTGGTGCCGAGTCAAAAAGAGACTTTGTGATTTCTGGCAAGGCGAAGACCTTTGAGCCGAGTGAGAACGCGGCCAGGACGCCTACCAGGATGGGAGAAGGTGAGAATCGCATTGAGTGGCGAGAATTTTTTGAATGATGATTGAAAAGCTGTCAGTTGTATTAATAGTGATTGTGTGATAATAATTAAACTGGGATGGTGGTAATGCGTAAAAGACGCGCAGCTAAATGTTCTATAAAAAGTATTGGGAAGGGACGATTTTTGTAGAACTATGCTGTAAAAAAGAAGACGATTAGAACCAGGTGATTCTTTTTAAAAAAAAATAAAATAAAAAAGAAGAAGAAGAGCAAGTGAAACCACGATTTCTTTTTTGATTTAAGAAATAAAAAAAAAAAAGGTTTGCTGGCTATTAAAAAGGAAGGAAGGAAATCAACTGGAGCCTGTGATTTTTATGAAAGTAGCGGCTACGTAAGTTACTTATTTAGAGAGTTAAAGGCTGGAGCAAAAAAAAAAAAAAAAAGAAAGAGTGTGGGTGGTCACGGGATTCGAGGGTATGGGTTAAAGCGGGGTATGCTTTTTAAAAGTAATATAGGTATGTGTAGTTTTGTTTAAACGAGCAGTAACATAATATAGAAAGGACTTAGAAAAAAAAATAAAGGGAAAAAAATCAACTAACCGATCAAATAAATATTAAAAAAAATTGAATGATTGGAAATATAAGAAAATGAATGTTCAGTTTGGATTATTAAAAAAAAAAAAAAAAAAAAAGGAAAAGAAAAGAAAAGGAAAGAAAGAAAGAAAGAAATGGAGATTTTTATTTTTCAGAAAAGGATTTTGTCTAGTTTAAAAGGTGTGTCCAGATCAGATAATTTTGAGATTCTCTCGACCAATCATATCTAAAATAGTCATCTAACCCTTTCCCGAAAGGATTAATTTGCTGGTTTGTTGACAATTTAGGGATCTATGTTTTTTTTTTATTAAAAAAAACTTTTTTACAGTGATTGCATTTATCATATGAGAAATGCATATGTAATCTTTCATTTGTAAATATTAATTTTTTTGGATAAGCCATAAAAAAATGGCTTTCTTAACGATATGAACGAGTTTTCCTTCTGTTTCTTAGGAGCCATTCTCACCTGTCCCAATTAAGTAATTCTTTTGCTGATTGATCGGAAAGCTCTTGGCCAAGCGTTCCATCTATATATTTCTTAATTAAGTTACAGAGCCTTGATGTGAGGTTAAAATCAGGTGATATGTTACAAATAATTGTGTAATGATTTTTTTTAATATTAATCAACATATGATTTCAATTTAACTCTCATAACAAAAGAAATTACATGCCCTTCCATCTTCTGACTCAAGGCCGCCATTAATCCTTAAATGCAAAACTTCATCCCATTTTGGGTGATTTACGCCATCAAAAAATTAGAATTTCATCACAAATATAAATACAAAAGAAAAAAGAACTATCAGTTTTTAATTTTTTTTTTCTAATTACCATATACCTCATCTTTATTTATTTTATGGACCACTTATACTTATACTCTATTCAAAACAACTATGCCTGGTAATCTCAACGTCAAAAAGTCATGGCATCCTGGATTGCTTAAGAACCAGGCTGCAGTGTGGCAACGTGAACAAGACGCTTTGGCGGAGCGCAAAAAGATTTTGGAACGTCAAAAGGAAATTCGCCAGGAGCGAGAGCGCAATGAGCTACTTGCATTACAAGAAGCAGCCACTGGACAAAAACGAATTCAACGGATGGAGTGGATGTATTCCGGGGTATCTTCGGCTGGTGGATCTGGGAAAGCAGCTGATGAAGAAGAAGAAGCAGAAGATTATTTATTGGGCAAGCGAAGAATCGATGAAATGTTTCGAAGAGAAGAAGAAGAAAACAGTGTTAAAAGAGATAAGGTGGCGGAACGATTTGCGGCTGTTGGCGGGGATAAAGAGGATGTGGTGAAGGATTTAGGCCAAAAGGACCGAGAGGATCCTATGACTGCCGTACGGATGAGGCAGCAACGGCCGGTGGTCAATGGTGGTGGCAGTGGTGGTGGCAGTGGTGGTGGCAGTGGTGGTGGCAGTGGCGATAAGTCCAGAAGGTCCTCACAACAGGATTCGAGAGAGACAGGACGATATGAGGAATCTCGGTCTCGGCGGTATGAGAAATCTCGGTCTAAATATTCTGATGAGTCTCGATTATCAAGGCATTCTAAAGATTATTCTGATAGACACAGTCACAGCAGCAGTCACCGGCCTCGGCGGGATCGCAGTGTCAGTCCACAGCGGGGAGGGTCCGGTTCTAGACGGAGCCGTGACAGAAGCGCGAGTCCGCGAGTACGAAGAAGTCATTCAAGACGTGAATATGATGATTACTACGACAGAAAAAGTCACCGGGGTTCTAGTCCATCTCAACGAGAAAAAGAACGGAAAAAATATTCACGACATGATTCGAGCACTAGCCCCCGAAGACACCGAAGGGAATATTCTCGCAGTAGTCCTAGCCCACCTTTGCCATCCGGGGTTTCTGGTAACAGACGGCATGAGAAATTGTTTTTGGGGAATGGGAAGAAGAGTGATAGAATGACGGAAGAGGAACGTGAAAGGCGGTTACGCGAAATGCAAGAGGATGCTAAGACAATGGAACAAGCGCGGGCATTGCGGGTAGATGCTGCACGGGCTGCAGATAAAGAAGAAGAGCAACGAGAGGCTCGTCAACGGTCTAATGCGGGAAGTGGAGGGTCTCAGTTTTTGACCAGTACAAGAAGCAGCCTTTTAGATAGGTAAGTTCAAAAAAGAAAGAAGAAGAAATAGTTTTAAAAAAAAACAAAACAAAATACATTATCACATTAAGAGTCTAAAAACAAAACAAAACAAAACAAGGAGTACATTCCTAGCACCTTCCTAATCATCACGGGTCATTAAATAAAAGAGTTTTTCTGTATGCTTAGTAGTCGTTATCATAATCAAAGAAAGAGGAGAAAAAAAATTTTTTTTTTCCGTTTCCTTCAAAATTTCTCTTATCACCATTTACTTCTCAGCGGCCCACTGATAGAAGAAAGGTACCTAGAAGCACGAATGACGCGGACGCCAACGTGAAGAGAGCCATAGTTGCCCGTGTCTATAGTTGTGACAAAGCCCGAGAGGGCAGTCCATGCGTTTGTGAGGTCTTGTTCTGGGACACGGATCCAGACCTGGGGTTTTGGGGTTGCATCATCGTCCTCTTGGGCGTTTTGCTGGTCAAGTGCAATGACAGAGGATTCTCGACGTGAGCGGTAGTAATGAGCGATAGAGCATGGGACGGTTGTGGAAGAGGTATCGGAGCCATTATCTGAGAGGTCTGATAGGCTTGAGAGGCTACCGTTTGAGGGCAGATACCTACGGTGGGGTCTCCTGCTGTGAACGTTTAGAGTTGAGCGAGAGGTTGAAGGGACAATGACACTTTTTGTGCGTTTGTAAACATGTTGAGGATTGATGATATGGATGATATCAGCTTGAATGGCTTCACCTGAGAGGCCCATGTAGTGGGAGAGGGCTTTTGTGACAATGATTTTCCAGCAAATCATGTCAAGGTCGATATGTTTATGGGAGCGTTGGAGGTTTTGTGACGAAGGCATTGTGCTATTTGAGACGAGTTCTAAGTGAAGATATGCATAGTCTGTTGAAGAAGCAGCAAACGTTGAGGCTGAGGAAGTGGAAGAGGAAGATATCCGGTTGGGGATGTGCATTTTGAAAGATTCTGGGAGGACAAAGGGGGTAGTTGTATTTGAGTCTGATGAAAAGTTTGAGATTGAGGGTTTTGACGAGAGTGTTTTTGTAGAAGACATGATTTTGTTTGTTGGTAGATAAGCGGAGTAAGTATTAGCAGAAGTTGTGTTTGATATATGTACAAGTATTGTCAATGGAGTGGTAGGGTATTTATTTTATTTTTATTCGTGATAGAAAAAAAAATAAAATAAAAAAAATAAAATAAGCGGGAAACGCCGAGATTTTATACTTTTTTGGATGGTCTCAACCACCCGCTGTACACTAAAGTAATCACCAACAACCATTTTTTTTAGGCCACATGGCTACCCTCCACTCTTTAAAGAATCCCTTAAGGCATCAAATGGTCCAAGGTATTTCCATTTTTTATTTATTTATTTATTTTTGTTTTCAATTTAATTTAATTTAATTTTTTTTGATTTATATGGATGATGATTGAACTAAATATAACCATCTTGTTAGATAAAGAGATTTTAAACTCTTTTGTTTAAAAGGAACAAGTAGTTGCCTGAAATGGCTGTACGTCATAAAAAAAAAAAAAGATATCACTTGGGTCCTACATGGCACACACACACACACAAAGCCACGGCAAAAAAAAAAAAAAAAAAAGATTTGAGTAACCAGCAAATTTTCGTTGGTTTTTGGTAATCCAATTCAAGATATAGAAGATCTCCCTTTTATAATTCAAAAGAAGCTTATAAAATCTCTCTTTGATGATCTTGAAAATCTCCTCTTTAAATCTTTCATCAGCCACAAAAAAAAAAAAAAATATTACATGTCAAAGAAGAACGGGCTGCTGCGGCAAATTGAAAAATTTTTTTTTATTTTATTTTCGTTTGTTACTAGCAAATAGGAAAAAGACTCACTGTGGCTTGTGAATCAAATATTTTTTTCTAGAAAATATTGTGGCTTGTATTTCTATTTAAATGTGGCTGGTGGCTTACACTAAAACCATCCACCCCTTACCCTCTATGTGGCGTTTCTGCTCGTTTCATTAGAAACGGACCTTTCGGGACCTTCGGGACCTTCGGGTCTTTTAATTATTTTGGGTGCGTGTCAAGAGGCCTGAGTTTTTTTTTTTTTTTTTTCTCCGCTTAACTGAAATTTTCATTTAAGAAGTGTCTCCACAAAATAAAAACTTTCAAACTCACAGCAAAACCTTCTTTTTTCTTCGTTCGTAAAAATCCAATATTGAATAATGATTAATTATTAATAAATGCTTTGCATTCTTTTTTATCCATTGAATTACTGCTCAAACTGGTCACAAGACTTTCAAAGACTTTTTACTCTTCAGAAAAAAAATAAAAAACAAACACTCAAAGCCATTTTTAAAATAGTTTTCATCTCAGCTTTTTGTCTTTCTCTCTATCTTATTATAGCTGAGCCACCAATGAAACTTTAGCGCATTAATTGCAACACCCAAATATACAGAAACAACAACATCAGTTAACAAAAATGTTTTCTTCAATTCGGACAGATTTTCACTGGTTTCTCTTTTAAGGTAATTATTATTATCCTATGACAATTTCTACTAGACTTTCTTTTTCTTTTTCTTTTTTTTGTTCTTCTGGCTGTTTTGTTTATATTTACTTAAAGTCACCAAGACACTTGAAACTTTGCTTTTAAAATAAAAGATATACTGGTATATTAAGAAATATTTCAACATCCAACAAGACTTGTAGGTTTTTTTTTTTATCTTGTGACTAGAAGAAGGCTTAGAAAACTGACATGTACTAGCCTTACTGCTGTTCTTTTTTTGTTTGTCATGGTTCACTGCTAATAAAATACAGAATATTCATATTGCAGCTCATGATATCACCATATTGAATTTGTTTTCTTATCAATAGCAGCTAAGCATGTTCCTAAAAAAGTGCCTGAGAAATGCTTATAAATTCAGGAATCTAAGCCACGATGAACAGCCTAAAGATGGTGATGCAATAGATTAAAACACATAAATTTCTTTGAAACCTCTTTTTCTTAATTCCCTCTAAACAATGCAATTGTTATCAATGTGAAATTTATCAATCACAGAATAGCATAATAAAAACTAAATAAAAATCAATTTTTTTAGAAAAAATAGCCACTTGAAATTTCAGTTTTTTTCAAAACTAAATTAAATAATCTGTTTATTGTGCTACAAAATAAATTTGCAAAAAAAATAAATATCTTTGTATCTCAGCTTTGAAGTTCAGCAAGTAAATATTGTCTTTAATTATGTTTGTTTTGCCAAGGTTTGTCCAATATAAATATATAAGATGGAGAAGAAATTCCTGCAGCAAATCGGTTCCAAAAAAAAAAAAAAAAGAAGTCTATTTTGGTTGTCAAGGTTTGCACTCTGAAAGAATCTTTGGATTATGTCACAAGAGCCATTTGTTGAGAGGGAAAAAAGTCTTAAGAAGTGCCTGGAGCCTTCTATGTTTTTCTAGAGTTTTATTTTGTTACTGTCAATTTCGACCTTATTGGATTTGTAGGTTCTGTTGTACCAGTGGCTGTAAGAGCTGTTTGTGGCTGCTGTAGTTGCGATTGCGTGCTTATGTTACCACTGATTGAGAGCCCTGCATCTTGAGGAGACAGATGAATTGATTTTGGTTCTACAAACTTCGCTATAGTTAATTCTATCTAGTCTTTATTGGCTTCCACTGCGATTCTGTTTGTTCGGGACTGGAAGTTGAATAGGCTCTTTCTAGTTCAAGTGTGTTCTTCTTGGGTTGTAGAGTCGGTATTTTGCTTTGCAGGCTAGGGTTTCAAACTTGCTGTATAATGAATGGGAGAAAGCCGACCTCTTTGTGAAGAATGTAGATTGGGGGGTGGTGATGTTTGTATTTTTCTTGAAACTGCATTCTGTGTTAGTTGAGACCGTGCTGCCCATTCATTTGATGACTCTGGAATTGCTCCCCAATAAATTAATGCCATAGGCAATGATTGGGATGATACAGGAATTGTAGAGCAGTTTGAGAGCGGAGCCTGTGAGTTCGTTTTTTTTCCCCCCTATTCGGGTGAAATTAAAGGTTAGAATTAATTGTTCATTTTTAAAAGGAATTTAAAATTTAAATATGAGTACGCAGTTTAGGAGAATTCCTAGAACTTCGACTATATATATTTTACGGTTTGCAAGAGTTGGATGAGTATGAGAATTTTTTTTTTTTTTTGCCAAAGTGTACTTGAAATTTCAGCACCCAAGGCTACTCATAGAAATCTCCTTTACAGCCGCATTTTGTCACCTGACCTCAAATCAATTTATTTTTCAAAATCTCCCAAAAATTAGCCAGTACACGTGATTTAACCCCAAATCTCGGTTTTTCTTGCTCCCTGTAAAATAAAGCCTGACCTTTTTTATTTTTTTTATTTTTTTTTTTGGTCCAACCACCAGATTTCAATTTACAAACCTCCCCCCATTCTTCAACACACCCTAATCATCACAAACTAATATCAACTATACAAATTCTTTGAAACAAACAACTTTATCCAATTTTTTAACCATATATTTTCATCGTTATTACCATATTTAAAATTTCATAGACTTCCTTCTCTTACTCCCTCTTTTCTTTTTTTTTTTTTTTCGTCTTCTCAAGTTAGCATGCCAACAACCATCAATGATCTACCTATAGAAGTTCTCCGCAATATCTTCCTTTGCCTCGACCCTCCATCTTTTCTCGCAGCTGCTCACACATCTCGGCTTTGGCGTGCTGTTTCTCTATGGCCTTACACCCTTTTCTGGCACATTGACACCTGGCTTTCTGACCAGGAAGACCGCCAAGCCTTTTATAGGCTCTACGACCATATAGTCTCCAGAAATGATAACAATATTGATACCTGTGATACCGACAGCCAAAGTATACAAGACAAACCTCTAGATTCTAATAATGAAGGTACCCTGATAAAAACTATCCCTTCACCCCCAACCCTTTCAGAAAGCGCATCGTGCACTTCTTCAGCAGCTACTTATTCTCGTTACACGGAAGCCCTCAAAGCCTTTTCTACATTCAAGTCACCATCACCATCACTACTACTACAACAACAACAACAACAACCACAGCCCACTTCGCTGACCATCCTACCGTCTAACTCTCAAAATTTGGCTCTCGTCCAATTCTACTATAAACTTCTTCGTGCCCAGCTCATAGGAATCTCGGTCGTCCCTGCATATACTCTCAACCTTCCAGACCACTTTTTCTCAACACACGACCCCCAACCACTATCCTCTTCATCTACTCAAACACCATCTTCCGATAAGCTTCATGCCCAGCTTACAGAATGCTTTGGAATTTCTCCAGACGGATCATATCTTTTGGTTGTCAAACGCGGTCTTGACAATCTTCACTTTCTTTATGGATACAGTCTCATTGAACCTTTAATGTCTCCAAACAATCATGATCAAAAACTCTCTAGTACACTTTCCACTCCTTGCCTTACTTACTACTATTGCTGGACTAATGATAGACAAGTCAACCAAGTAGTACTATCCACGGATAATAAGTTTCTCGGCGTTTCATACGACGTGGGCTATGTCCAAGTCTTTGACCTTTTTATTGCATCTTTATCTCCGTCTTCCTCTCAAGGAACAACAAATCCCCATTTTCCAATAACTCCACCAGGATCAATATCCCCATTATACCCAATAGAACCCCGTGTTCTCTTTTCTAGACAGTATCCTTCCCATGTCAAATATCTTGCCATTTCCGCACGCGGAGAAGTTCTTTTCCTGCGCGCCCAACGGCTAGGCGGCCTGGTAATCGTCAACATTCGCACCTCTGAAGAAATCGATATCCCTCATTACCGCCTTGATCTTTCCATGTCCCTTCAGTACGACGATAAGGTCCTCATGCTTTCTGGATGGAATGAAACAATTATATTTGGTAAGGCTACACATTCCTCCTCTCAACAAGACGACTCAGGGGAAAATTCTCCAGCTAAAGGGTCTCTCTGGGATTACTTTTTCTATCATGTCCAAAATAACATCTCTTCATATGTGCCAGTAGAACGTGCGGTTGCTCTTCAAAAACCAAACGCATATCTTGGCTTTGATTGTAGTCGCCAAGGCGGCTTGACAGTAAAGGTAGTTTTAGATGAAGAAGAATTGATGGGGTTTAGACCTCTTGAAAGGGTATTACAGTATGGTGTAGACGAGGAAGAGGAGGAAGAAGCAGAAGACGAGGAGGAAGAGGAAGAAGACTTGGGTGAAGATGATGATGATAAAAGTATACATACAAACGATATGCGGAGCACTCCGAACTTTACAATCATGGAAACAACGGTGGTTGCCGATAACCATTCTCAGCCCCACCCCCAAGAAAATAACAGAGATATCGAGGAAAACATTGGCAATAACAATGAGGAGGTCGATGGTAATGAAGGGAATGAAGAGAACGAAGAGAACGAAGAAGATGAGGATGAGGATGAGGAAGAAGAAGAAGAAGAAGAAGAAGAAGAAGAAGAGGAGGAGGAGGAGGAGGAAAACTTGCACAAGGCCGAATTTCCTCTTTTTTCTCGGAAAATCCTTGCCTTTTCTGATCTCATCTACTGTGTGACTCAAGACGCTTCGCTGTTTGCCATTCTCTCCGGTACTCGTATCTACATTTACGTTCTTGCGCCAGATGCGCTCTCAGACGGCTTCGTCACAGGATATCTTCCTCACCGTATTGTTGAGCTCAATCTCAAAAAAGATATTTACGAGCGTACTTCATCCACCATTTCACCCCAAGACAATAATGACGACCCGTCTTTGCTCCAAAGTGATTTCGCCAACAACGGCAACAACGGCAACAACACACAGGAAACCCCTGCAATACGTAACCTCAAGTTTGTCGGTAACACCCGCCTTCTCATCTTCACATCTAAACACATCTTGCTGTACGACCTGGCGCGCGGGCCTCGCGCCGCTCTTCGTACAAATCCTGATCACCGGTTCCGGATTGATACCACTATGTGTGTGACTGAAATTTAAGGAATCTCTTCATTAATTTTTTGTTTTGGTACTTGTTTTTTTTTTTTCCTTTTTTTTGTTTACTATTCTTATAAAAATAACACAAAAATGACAGTATACTGTAATAATAATAATAATGATAATAATAAAATAAACATATTGCACTTGGCCGTTTAACGCTCCTTGAGCATCTTGTTGCGTTTCTCCTTTCTTCGTAGTCGTTCCAGTTTCTAAAAAACAATTTTCTGTTAGTTCTCATTTGAATTCTCTTTCTTCTTTTATCACTCACCTTTGCATGCATTTTCTTGGCCAGTTCCGCGTACCGCTCCTTTTCCTTCTTCGCAGCTTCTCTTGCTGCCCGTTCCTCCATTCGCCGCCGTCGCTCACCCTCCTTTTCATCCTTCATCTCTTGAACTCGTGCCTTGAATGCTGCTGCCTCTGTCCGAGCTTGCACTCGCTTCTCCCATGCTGTTTTTCCAACTCCAAGCGCGCTGATCCGTAATGGCGTCTTCTGCTCTCGCCACGTACGGTTACTCTTCCGTGTCTGTGGAGTATCTCGTTGAGCTGTCACACTTGTCCCGGTGTACACTTCAGGTGCCTCTGTAGGCACGGTGGTTGTTTCGTTGTCGGACATTATGATTTTTGGACAAAAAGTCGTTTGCTCTAATGTGCGTGGAAAAGGAAGAAAGAATTGAGATAAAATTTTTTTTCCTTTCAAAATGTTCAGCCGTACATAATATGTCACATGATTTTAAATAATCATCTTAGGTTTGTAGGTCTGGAATTTTTAAAATAGCGTATAGTTTTACAAGACTCCGTGGCCAAGCTGGTGAAGGCGCACGACTGTTAATCGTGAGATCGTGAGTTCAATCCTCACCGGGGTCGTAATATTTTTATTATTTTTTTGGAACAAATTGTTTATGTACAGGCAAGTCCATAATGAAACCTTTTAGAGACAGATAACGGCCATTTTTTGGTTGTGCTCTTCATAATTCAAATATAGACTTTTTTTTCCACTTCTATCATATTCATACTTCCTACATTTCTTTTATCAATTCTATCAATGTACACTTGTACTAAAGTTTCACCAACTTCGCATGTAAAACGAAGAAACCCGTCGCTCCTTTTCCTTTTCTTTCACCTTCCTTAGCACTGCCAAATCCCTCTGTTGACGTCTTCTCTGTCTCCGCCATGGCCAAACGCAAACAGCCACGCGTCGCATTCGTCGCCAAAAACATTGCCTAAGCTCATTGCTATTGCTATTGCTGTTGTTTTTGTTGTTGCAATTACTTTCAGCTAATCCACAAACATTTACAGACTGCCCAGGCTTCATGTCTAAAAACGACATGTAGCTCGTTGTTCGCACCATCTGCATCACTGCTTGCTGCTGTCGCTTTTCATCCTTCTTTTTTATTTTCACCAACTGCTTTTCCTTTTTTTCGTTTTCGTTTTCGTTTTCGTTTTCATTTTCATTTTCTTCTAATTCTTTTCGTCTTCGTTGCGAAAATTCCACAGGACACGTTTTTTCTAACGGATACTCCCAAGATTCATTCCCATTCCCACCCACAAAAGATCCCGTATTATCCTCTCGTTTCTGCTGATGGTGACGCCGAGCTGCTTCTTCCTCCAGCTCATCAGCCGAAAACCCCCATGGAACATAGGCACGTGATTTGGACATGAGTGGTCTCCTCTTGCCATCAATGCGATCTGGTAACGCATACAACTCTTCTACCCTGCGTCCCATCGCTCTTCTTTTAGCAGCACTTCTTCTCGGCGTAGCCACAATAGTAGCCATACCGCTGTTGTCTCTAGAGACGCAGCCGTATTGTAAATTTTTCCCGCTTTTGGGTACCCCGCCCGGAGGCGGCAACCGGATCCGATGCCTGCCCTCGATTCGTGAAATCATGGCGCGTGCACTTGTTGGAGCAATAGAGGGCAACCGTTTCACTTGATCTGCCTTCTCACCAGCGGCTTCTAGCGCAAGAGTATCTAATGCATGGGTATATTGTGCAAACAAAAGTCTAAAGTCTTGTTCCAGCTGTTCGTTGCGTGCCTTGAGCATGCGAGCAGTATGCTCAGCAGAAGCCGCAGCCTTACGTGCTAAACCCACTGCCTTGAATACCTGTGTAAAATCGTTTTGATTTCCTCTACTTTCTTTCGGGTATTTTTCGTCCCATTCTTCTTTTAGGGTATCATTGTGTATCGGCGTCATGTACTTTTCAGAAAAAAGGTCCTCGACCATTGTCGTTGCGTCCCACCATGAGGAAGTACCCGATGCTCTTCTTGCATTGTTTCCAACTCTTAGTATCTGCGACTTGTTTTTCTTTATCATTGGGGTATGAATCACTGTAGCTTGTGATGAAGTCCGCGAAACTTGAGACCCTTGTCGCGAAGGGGTATAACTGGGCGAATAGCATGTTTTGTAAGATGATTTAGAAAAGGTACTGCTGGCCAGCGACACATTGGAGGCCTGGTATAGAGGTGTTTGGTATAGAGATGATTGCAGACTGGTATTAGGATTTACCAAGTGTGGTAATCGAGCTGCAGTGATGGCATCCAGAGGTCCAGCAGCTTTCAAATTCTGACGTTTGGTATAAAATGACGGTGAAAGGTCAGAGCAAGATGATTTACGAGATAATGGTAACTTCGGTCTACTTTCCTTAGTCCTATTATAAGGCTGGCATGACCGGTCAAAAGCAATAGGTGAATTACTAAAACGATTCTGTTCCATCTTGTGCAAGATTAAATTTTTTTAAACGTTACAAAAGAATGGTGAGAAGAAGCTTGGGGAAGAAATAGTTTTTTTTGGACTTCTTTTTTTTTTCTTTTAAAAAATAAAAACAAAAAATCAAAATAACACCTATATCTAAAATCAAACCCCAAAGCAAATCAAGGCAAACTTTTCTTCATCTTTTTTTTAAGCGTCAAGACATTGCAATTTTTTGGGATTTTTATACAAGTACATAGGTCGTTTATTTGTTGGAAACAATAGCATCGTACTTCTGCTTGAACCACTTGATAGAGTCCTCCTTGGAGATCTTGTGGCCCAGACCAATGGTGGCTCTAGCTCTCTTTCTGCGAGCAACACGGGCACCCTTGCGGCCCATGACGACGTAGAAGTCCATACCGTAAATACCGATATTGGGGTCGTACTTGATACCGAGATCAATGTGCTCGGTGACACCGAAACCAAAGTTACCAGTCTCAGAAAAGTTCTTCTGCTTGAGCTCGTACTCCTTGACCTTGAGGCCACGCTCGAGAATCTCCTCAGCCTTAGGACCTCTGATGGTGACGTGGACGGCAATCTTTTCGTTTCTTCTGATACCGAAAGTTCTGACGGTGTATCTGGCCTTAGAGTAGACAGGGGTTTGACCGGAAAGTTGCTCAAGAACCTTAGCGGCACGGGTAAGTCTGTCACCGGACTCACCAACGCAAATGTTGAGGGTGAGCTTCTCGATGCGCAGTTCACGCATAGGGTTGGCACTCTTGTCACTCTATAAATTCAAATCAGTTAGAAAAAAACTGTAAAAGCTTCAATATTGTGTATAATTCCAGCTCAAGCTCAATAGATATTCTCATGGTGAAAAAATTTTCACAAACAATTTTGTCAAACAGGGTATCTACAACAATCACTAATATCGTCTTCCGTCGTCATTGTCATAATGAATTATATCCTATATCGAAATCCTCTTTCATATATACACATGTTCATTTCATGTTCGTACATACCATCTTGTCTATTTGTCGAGGTATATGGTTGTGCGGTAGAGGTCGAGACGTCGAACAGCCGGTAGGGGGGAAAAGGAAAAAAGGGTATTAGAAACTGGCCCATACGAAAATCTTTCGCGGGGGGTTACTAAACGCGCTGTTACAACATTTTGTTACCACTCGCCTTTTTTTTTTTGTTTAATCCTATGGTCCAATTCTTCACATACTCTTACACACACATACCACACAAAATAATATTCGTGACTTTAAAATTTTTTATGTTGCAACAAATACCAGTCTGTGATTTACTTGTAACAAATAACATTTAAGAATAAATGAGAACATAGGGTTTAGCCCTAAAAGGATTAATTTAATGAGAAAAGTAAGTTATTTTAATTACGCTTTAAGCTGTTATTCCCAAGTCATAACTTTTAGGTTTAAATTTTAAACAAAAATATAACCGAAAAGGTAAAAACTTGAAAGGCTGATTGATATCTGATTCAAAATTGCGTTATTCAATTTTTCATTAACTTTGGAACGTAGTATAGCATTATCATCATCAATTTAGACATTACAAGGGGTTTGTTTGGTACATCAAAAACATTTAATTACAGAGCATTAATAATAATTTACTCGCTCTTCTCTTCCTTCTGAACCTCCTCAAACTTGGCCTTGAACTCATTGGCAATGTCGGAGTTGCCAAATCTAATGGCCAAAACCTGGGGTTCGGGAACACCCTCGCTGATATCAGCTGCAACGTTGTAAACCCAGCTTCTGTCAGAACCAACATTGGGCTTAAGCTCGTACTCGGGGAGAACTACACAATTGAGTTAGTTAAAAAGTAATTGGTGACTCGTTCTGATTCAACATACTGTAGTGGTTGGCGCAAATCTTAAGGGTCTTGTCTCTGCGCATCAACAGACGAACCTTGCCGGTGGTCTTGTGCTTAAGGAATCGGACGTCACCAGTACCACGTTCCTTCCATTCCTTGGAGTCAGCGTCAAACTTGAACAACTTGGCGCGGCTGGAGAGAAAGACTTTGTTAGTTTTAAAAAAAAATAAAAAAACAATTGAGGGTAAATCACAAGTAAAAGTCCCGGGGTATACTTACACCTTGTAGATGGCATCTTCGTCTTCTTCGTTAGTCTTGACATCAACCTTCTCGAGCTTGACAATGGGCTCAAAGTGAACATCGGGCTCCTCCTCGTCAGCCTTCTCGTCAGACTTCTTCTCTCCATCAGCGTCTTCCTTTTCGTCGGACTCGGCAGTCTTGGGCTTAGCACCGCCAAAAAGGGAAAAGGCATTGGCGGTGGTAGCGGAGGCACCAGAGAAAACAGACTTCTTTTCTTCTTCCTTAGGAGCAACGACTTCTTCAGTCTTCTTGACAGTCTCTTCGGTGGACATTATGTGTGTGTTTAAGAATATTATATTTATTAAGATTAAACGATGTCTATTGAAAAGGGTAAAAATGTAAGAAACAAAAGTCAGTAATCAAGTTTCTTTTTTAACATCTACATCTATTGCGACTTTTCGGGGGAATTTCGCAGGAGGAAGAAAAAAGATAAACAAGTAAATTAAAAGCTGAGGTAATAATGGATCATTTAAGATCCATTTTTCTTTCGTAAAACCTGGGTGATTTTGCAAATATGGGATTTCTAGATCAAAGGCATATCATTTTTGTAAGATAAATCGGAGTATTTTGGGCCCTTCTTTCATTCTTTTAATCTTTTTATTTTTAATTCAATTTTTTTTTTTACAATCTTTTAATTTTTTGTTTATTTTTGTTTATTTTTTCGTTAATTTTTTCTTCACTCCATGATGTTGCATTTAAGGCCGATATGTAGTATTAAAAAAAAACAAGTCGAATTCATATAAGAAATAGATGTAAATAGATATCACGGCATTACTTACACCTTCGAATCTAGGCGATATTCAGGATGAGTGGTGAGGATTGTGTAGTGTAGGGGGGAAAGTAAGGAAAAGCAGGGAAAAAAAAATTAAAAAAAAATATTATTTTTGGTGGCAAAGCGGGAAAATTTTTAACGTGAAAGCCTTATGGACACCGCACGAGAACCCAAGCACATAACAACAAACACCATCACTACGCACAACAAAAAATCACACAATCACAAACAAAAGGCATGTTAGCAAATAATATTTGGACAAGCTGCACCGCATGTAAACTGGTAGATTGGTTAATAGTTGCTGTTGATAGTTAAAATGGCACGAGGCATAGTTGTGGGTTACTGCTGCTGCGCACACTGGTGAAATCATGGCTTTCCTTCATTTTTCTCTATTGATGCTGTTAAAGTTAGTTAATGTTTCGTTTCTTGAGCTATAATTAAATATAACTGTAATTGTTGTTACAATAACGTTACTACGTAGAAAATCAAGTATTGTTGGAAGCCAAGGTTGTAAACAACGTTTTTTTTTATTTTTTTTTTATTTTTTTATTTTTTTGATGCTCATCTGCTACTTTAAAATATTTAAAAAGGGAAATCAAAAGGAAGGGATGGCAGAGATGAGGGTTACAACATCCACTGAGCTTCTGAAGCAGCCGCCACAATTACCCGTGTAGCAAAGCTGATTTTGCCCGTTAGCACAAGTTTTATTTCTTGGAAACTTTAAATAAAAAAAGAAAAAGTAAAGCGCATAAATGTTGCACCTAATAAGATACAAAGGTAAAAAAAAAATAAAAAATAATATGTCACGTGTTAATTAAGATATGATTTATAACTTGATATTAATAATTACTAATCTTGTTGATAGTTACATTTTTTTTTCTTTAACTTGTTACATCAGCCCTCTATTTTCCTCCAAAAGTCGCTTCCACCCATCGTGATATTGGCAAAGTGCCACCCAGATAGCCCATACGTTAGTACCAGCCATTTTTTCAAACATACACAATCACCACCACCCTATTAAACAATCAACACCGCCCATCTTCTTAGAAACCATATCTATACACCATGGACACAATTGCCAAAAAATACTCTTACGAAGCTACCCTGGACCGGTCTGCTTTTGAAGAGTCTGAGCAAGATATCCTTGACTGCGAGCTTCGAACAGGCGTCCCAGAAATTAGTTTGCCACCAATCAGTCGAGTAAGTAGCATAGCCTTTCAACCCTATAAAATATTCTACTCAAAGCTCTGGAAATGATACCTTTTTATTTATTTAACTTCATAATTCTAACTCAAACTCCAGCCTACTGCCTTTTTACGTGCACACACAGACGACAATGCCAACCCAGATGTCAAGATCAAGATTGCACACGGTACAACTACACTCGCGTTCCGTTTCCAAGGCGGCATTATTGTTGCCGTAGACTCGCGTGCGACAGCTGGCAACTGGATTTCGTCGCAGACTGTTAAGAAGGTCATTGAAATCAACCCGTTCCTGTTGGGAACCATGGCTGGTGGTGCTGCCGACTGTCAGTTTTGGGAAACCTGGCTGGGCATGCAATGCCGGCTGCACGAGCTGCGCGAGAAGCAGCGCATCTCTGTTGCTGCCGCCTCTAAGATTCTATCAAACCTGACATATGAATACAAGGGCATGGGTCTGTCCATGGGTACTATGATTTGCGGCTACACCAAGCGTGAGGGTCCCGCCATTTACTATGTCGACTCGGACGGAACCAGACTCAAAGGCGACCTGTTCTGTGTGGGCTCCGGTCAGACCTTTGCTTATGGTGTCTTGGATGCAAGCTACAAGTGGGAACTTACTGTCGAAGAGGCCCTGGCGCTCGGAAAGCGCAGTATTTTGGCCGCCACCCACAGAGACGCTTACTCGGGTGGTTCTGTTAACCTTTACCATGTTACGGAGAATGGCTGGATCTACCATGGAAACTACGATGTCAATACCGAGTTCTGGAAGGCCAAGGAGGCAGAGGGTTCTTTCAACAATGTCGTCATGTCTCTTCCCAATTAATGTGTAATTTGATATAAATCCCCCTTTTTAATGAAATGAAAAAAAAAAAAAAAAAAAAAATTGGTGATCACGGTTCCCCAATTCAGTTATGAGGCTCAACAAAATTAAAAATTAAATAAAATAAAAATAAAAATCTAAATTCATTAAAAAATTACAAGTTCGTATATCATCATCATCTTCGTCATTATTATCATCATTCATGTGCAATTATTACGCCTAAGCGTAGTTTTTTTTTTATATTCTTGGGTAAATTTTTGAAGGATCTTGTAGTTATCATAAGTGCATTTTGTGGAGGATGGTCAAATATCTTGCCCTTTTTTCTCCAGCCTTCATCCACTTCCTTTATCACTTTTTGACCATCTTTTGTGCAGGTCCTTGGGCCGCCGCATTTCTCACAATTGCATCTACCCCGCGTTTCATGCCAGCTCCAACCGGCGTGTTTCCTCCTTGTTCCTGTGCACCTTGTCCTACTGATATCGATGTCGATGCCGGCGATGACGAAGACGTACCAACACTGCTTCCACTAGCTGCGTTCGGCATCATCTTGCCAATTGGCAACCCGAGCTTAATTGCGTGGGCCTCCAGCTGCTTCAGCGCGGCAAGAATGCTTGGTGACGGGTTCTTAAGCTTGCTAGCTTTGGCTAACATTTCTGCGATTTCCTGTGCCTGTTTCCCTGGATCCTTGGAAGCACCGCCCGCAGGCCGCGCTCCTGTGTTTCCGCCAGAGGTAGATGTAGTAACTGCTGTTGTTGTTTTGGAAACAGGCGCTACCTGGGGTTTGGCTTGAACCACAGCAGGTGGTGTCGGTGCAGATACCGGGTGGTTCACCAAAGGTTGTGTTTGCTGGACAGGCCGCGAAACAGATGCTGGTGCCTTAACTTGTGGTCGAGGTACGGTGGGCGCCGTTTGGGTGAACGTTTTGGGCGCAGGCGTAGTGACAGGTGCTGGAGTTGTTACGGGTTTCACGGCTCCGGGTTTCACAGCTCCAGGTTTAGGCGCAGATACGGGCTTCACAGCACCAGAGTTGGTCTGTCCGATACCAGTGTTTTGGATCATAGGCGCTTGTTGCAGTTGAGGTGGCAGTCGTTGCACAGGCTTGGTCACGTTTTGTGAAGCTGGTGCACGGTACTGTGGAGCTGGCACAGGTGCAGGTGCAGGTGTCTGCTGAGTTGTCCGCTGTTGTTGCTGAAACTGCGTTTGAAGTGGGGGCGATGACAGCGTCTGAACACGTTGAACAGGTGGTTGTCTAGGTGGAACTTGCTGAGTGGGAATCGGAGACTTTTGTTGCGGTCTCGCCTTGTTTGGCGTTGTATTGGGTATCGGAGGCTTGTAAGCCTGTTGTTGCGGAGGTCTCGATTGCGGTGTCACAGTCTTTTGTTTTTGGAGATTGGCATTGGTCCCAGGTCGTGCTTGCGTCGCTGTTGACGGAGGTTGAGTCGAGTACGTTGTCTGGGCTGGCTGTTGTGGCTGCTGTTGTTTGCTTAATGGGCCATATCCACTTGGAGGTCCTGATGGACGAAATGGCATGTTAACACCATTGTTATTTAATCCATTATTCAAATTTGCAGAAACCTGGGGTCCAGTACTGATATTGCTGCCGCTGCTTACACCAGCACTTGACACACCTGTCGTAGAAGAGTTGGCCACAGGACTAGATGGTGGAAGCGTCCCGTGGAGCCGAACAGACGAAGGCAGTGCCGCAAAGTTTGGTTGTGAGATAGACGCAGGCACCTTGAGACCAGCCGTACGCGCGTTGGGAATTACAGGGTATGATGTGCGTGACATGGGCATTGGCTCTGGTGGTGAAATAGAGGCTGAGGGAGAAACAGAAGGTGCAGAAGACGAAGCCATAGACGTTGGGACAAGAGACGGCGGTGGTACAGGAATTTTGCGAATGGCAGCTGGTGGCGACACACTGCGAGCATTCATGGGAGAAGCAGACTGTGGTGGAGAAGGTGAAAAGCTTTTGGGTATAGGTTTATTGGTAGCGACGGCAGATTTCCCGCTCGGTCCCACAGACCCACGAGTAGCTGTTGTTCCGATCGAGGCAGTAGCTGCCTTGGCCTGATTTTTCTTTACTGACGATGTGATGGCCGCGTTAATTGCACTCACAAGTTGAGCCTGGCCTTTACCCTGGAGCAACTGGTTGAGAGCATTTGCGCCTCCGTTTTTCGTAATCTGGGCAATTGCAATAGCCAATGCGTTTGTCAGCACCGTCTGGTTCACCACTTGGCCTGTATTTTGCATCTGCTGCTTGATTTTTTCAGAAAGAAGCGTTAGCATACGCAGCGTTTCCTTAGGTAAGTTCAGCCCGCTCAGCCCAGAACCGGCCTTTTTCGAAGGCCCTGCTGAGCCAGAAGGTGATGCAGAACGGCTAGAAACTGTAATCGGAGCAGGACTGGCGCGTGTTTGCACTGGCGCAGGCACTGGCGCAGGCACTGGTGTGGACACGGGCACGGGCACAGGCACGGGCACAGGCACAGGCATGGGAGGGCTGCTAGCCTTAGGTGCTGTAGGCCCGATTTGTGGTTTGGGCTGGGGAGCGGGGACTGGTGGGCGCGTGACTGGCGCAGATTTTTTGACAGGAGCCGGTTGCTTTACCGGTGCCTGAACTGGAGCAGCAGGTCTTTGGGCAGGTCGGGGCTGTTGTGGCTGCATGTTAGTCTGCTGCAGAGGCAATGAAGCACGAACTGATTGCTGCTGCGATGGCATTGGTTTCCTTTGGGAAACTCCCGCATTAAACCCTGGGGTATTGGGGTTAGTCGGAAGTAGCCCGCTTCCAACTGTATTTGCTGCTACTCCCTTATTCATCACAGGGCCATTATGTTGATGCTGTTGCTGCTGAGGCATTTGTGGACGAGCAACAGGAGCTTGATTGGGCACCTGAGGTTTAACGCGCATTTGTGGCACCGACGTTTGTTTCTGCAGTTGAGGCTGTGTGACCTGTGCAGCAGGGCCCATCGATGGTTTGGGTGGTATTTGAGTTGGTTTGAATGCGTTCTGGCGTGGTGCAAAGCTCTGCTGCTGTTGCTGTTGCTGTTGCTGTTGCTGTTGCTGTTGCTGTTGCTGTTGCTGTTGCTGTTGCTGTTGCTGTTGCTTCTGCTGTTGTTGTTGTTGCTGTTGTTGTTGCTGTTGTTGCTGCTGTTGTTGTTGTTGTTGTTGTTGTTGCTGCTGCTGAGAAGGGGGAGGGGGACGTAACGGCGGAACAGTATTGGTAGTTGGAACGGTACCCGCAAAATTGTTTACCGGCTTTTTGACAGAAACATTTTGTTTAGGAAACTGTTGCTGCTGTTGTTGAGGTGGGGGTTTCCGTGGAACAGGGTTAGGAGCAGGACTCGGTTTGAAAACAGGGCCAGCCGTTGCATTAGGGTGAAAAGAAGAAGCGCCTGTAGTAGCTGATAACATCGCCGACGTAGGGGCCGGTCTATTATTATTCGGCGGTAACTGTCCTGTGGTCGGTTTGGGTTTTTTGACCGCACCACCAATGACAACCGGGGTATTACTCACTGGTTTGGCAATTCGCGGTGGTGGAGGCACGTCTTGCTTCTTTATCTGAACATTGGTACTACCAGTAGATGATTGAGCTGGCTTAGAATTATTAGATGCATTACCCTGCGACGGCCCTGTAGTTGAGAACGACTCGCGCGTCATGTTGGAGTAATCAGGCCGTGACACGCGATCAATTGTAATTTCACGCGCCAGTTCTGCGATAGTTTTCTTCTTCTCGTCTTTTGACAACGAGTTGAGACCACCTGTTGGGCCAATACCACCAGCAAGCGGTGCCGTGTGTATTGTACTGGTGTTGTGAGAGAGATTGGCAATCGCACTTAACGCTGTGTTGCCCAGGGCTGTGTTAGCTAGGCTTGAAGCATTGGCCCTGGCCTTTTCCGAAAGCTGGTGCAGAGCCGGATTAAGTGTTGGGTCTTGCGACAGCACCGGAATATCTGACAGCAGACCACCTTCCTTGAGCAGATTAGAATTGTACAGCGACGAGAACTTGGATGTGAGGGGTTGCTGGATAGCAGCTGGAGGATGTAGCCTGTTATCAGGGCCAGTAAATTGCTGGATAGCAGCTTGTTTCTGAAGCGGCAGAGACTGTTCCTGTTGTTTGTGTTGTTGTTGCCTCTGAGGCTGATTGTGTGATGGGAGTGGCACCTGGGATTTGGATGGAACTCCACCGGTGGGCCCGGGTTTCGTTATGTGATTGATTGGCCGTTGAGATGAATTAGTTCCTGTTCCCTTTTGGTTCACTAAAGTTCCTGTTGGTCCCTTTATTGTAGATGCAGCAGTATGTTGAACTTGTTTGGGCGGACCTGCAGGGGCCGTAGGAAGAAGTCCCGATAATGGTTTGGATGTAGGAAGAAGCTGGTTCGGGAGGCCGGAAATGGAAGATGGTATTTTTGAAGAAAAGGATGAGTTGGGCTGCTGTGTCTGGCGTTGCAGTTGCGGTTGTGGTTGCGAAGACTGTTGCTGCTGCATGTTAAACTGTGATTGTAGAGATGATGGGAAAGGAGGCATTCCTGAGAGAGGCGCGCCGCCGGGGTATTGTTTAGGAATAGGTGCTGATGACGATGCATTTGAGGGTTTGAAGGAAGTTACTGTGGTTTTTATTGTTGTAACAGCAGCTGATGGATGAGGAACAGAGACAGCAGCTTGTGGTTTGGTATTCTGGAGAGGTGGGAATTGATGCTGTTGTGGTTTGGGGGGTATTGACTGTTGATGTTGTTTGGGGGGTGCCGAAGTTTGTAAAAGGACCGGTTGCGGTTGTGGCTGCGGCTGTGTTTGTGGCTGCGTTTGTTGTTGCTGAAGCTGAGGCTGGGACTGGGACTGGGACTGGGACTGGGACTGGGACTGGGACTGGGACTGGGACTGGGACTGGGACTGGGACTGGGACTGGGACTGGGACTGGGACTGGGACTGGGACTGGGACTGGGACTGGGACTGGGACTGGGACTGGGACTGGGACTGAGGCTGAGGCTGAGACTGAGTTTGCGGTTTTGGAGCAGGAGACCGCAATTGAGCTTGTTGCTGTTGGACCTGTTGCGGTGGTTGTGGTTGTTGCACCGGTTGCTGTTGTTGAGACGCAGGAATTTGTCCAATGCGGACTCCTGAGATTTGAATATGGCCTGGTTTTGCGCCATTTGCTCCGAGAAGATTTTTGGCCACCATTTGATTGATTCGTTCCTGTTCTTGAATCCGTGCCAGTTCTGCTTCCTTTTGAAGCACCAGCGCTTTAGCCTCTTCGACTTGCGCCATTGCTTCTTTAGCCTTTTCCAGTTCCCGCTCCCGCTCCCGCTCCTTTTCACGCTCCTTTTCTGCCTTGGCTTGAGCAAACGCTTGTGCTGCTCGAGCCTTGTTGAGACTCGTTTCTGCAGCCTTTTTCTTGATTCGCTCACGCTCCTGGAAATATTCCTCGTCAATACCCCATAACCAGCCCTTGCCTTCTTTTGAAATCTTCTTGAACGCCTTGTTAGACGAAAGATTGTGTCGCACCGAATTCTTCCAACCATGAGGACAGTACTGGTAGTAAGGGAAGATATCTTGGATCGACTTATAAATCTTGGAAAGCGAAATTCCACTGGCTTCTGGGTGTGCTCGCAAAGCAGTGGCGATCAGATGAGAATAAGAAAACTGAGGCTTTTCGCGGTATTCTTCGGGAATTTCTTCGGGCAAGTACTCCTTGCGTGGAGGATTCTTTGAATTGTTTGGTTTGGGAGCAGTTGCAGGTTTGGAAGATTTGGCTGAAGCAGCCGCTGCATCAGCTGGTGTAGAAGAAGCAGTTTCAGAAGCAACGGCTGCCGCAGCCTCTGCCTTCTTTTCCAGCTCTTCAGGAGTTTCTTTGTGAGTATCTTCAGGCTCTGGTACTGAGATTGATTTCTTGGAAGTCTCTTCGGATTCAGGTTGTTCTTCCTTTTTGGTTTCAGCATCTTCTTCCTTGATAGAATCTCCGGTATCCTTGACCTCTGCACCAGACGCAGGAGGAAGAACAAATGTGAATGAAATTTGCCCGATTTGGATTTTAATTCTAAAAAAAATTAGTAAGAAAAAATAGTTGATCAGTATTTTAAACCTTACCCATCACGAAGAGGTACTGTGGTGCCTGTTTCTATGAATTGGTCATCGACAAACGCGCCATTACGGCCCAGTACAGATAATTCAAATCTTTGTGTACCAAAGTTGTAAAAGATTTTAGCGTGTTTACGAGAAATTGCCTTGGAATTACCCAAATCAACATCCACCATAGAGCATCCAGCCGACTCAGCACCGCGGCCCAAAATCACCTGAAGAGTTTGGACGTAAAACGCAAACGAGGGGAAATCGAGACGCGCATATGCAGAAACTCGAGGTACATTGTCAAGCTCGTGCGATTGATTAGTGTATTCATCATTGTTGAGAGCATTGATAGCTTTCAGGGTCGAACTCTTGTCTGCTTTACTTCGGGGGAATGGAATTGGAGAGTGTATTGTTGCTGGTGGGAAATTAGGTGTGTTTTCAGTCGTATTAATGGCTGGACTTATCTGACTTGCGGATTGTTCCAGTTGATCCTGGTTCTCGGTTATTATTTGTTGCTCTGACTGTGAATCTATATGGGGTATTTGTAGATCCCCTGAAAGAGGTTGAGTGAGTTTGAATAACTGTTCCTCTTCCTCCTTTGTGGGTGGAATGTCAAGAGAACTCAAATCGGGTATGGAAAAGTTAAAGTTTGAAATGATTGAAGATGCAGCTGAAGGCGAATGTGGGACAGACGCCGCATGAAATGGCGGGAGAGGTTTGGTGGAAGTTGTTTCGAGTTGCTCGCTTTGTGCGCGGACAAGCTGTGACTTAATGGAAGAAAAGAGAGACGAGCTGTCAAAGTTTGCAAGCTGAGAAAGGTCATCTGGGAGGTCTGGTATGCTAGTTGTGGGTAGGGAAGATGATGTGGCAGCGGCATCTGATGAAGACTTGTCGAAGGATTCTTGAAGCTTAGAGAGATTAAACTCTGGGAATGATGAGGGTGCCGAGATTGACGACGCATCTAAAGACTCTCCGGATTGTTTTGCTGCATTTTTGGCGAGCTTTTGAAACGATTCTGGTAAGATTAAATCAAAGGGGATCGTATTTAAGATATCACGGTGTTTTGATTTGAGCACGTCAATGTCGTCGAGGGGGGGCAAAGTAATGGCGTCAATTAAAGATTGATCAATCAGACTTTTATCAAATTCTGGGAGTGATAACAGTGTCTTGTCTTTGCTTGTGGATGATGATGATGAGACTGGCTCCTGCGACGATGCTTCGACTGCTGCTGCGGCTGCTGCTGCAACAGCTGCGTTTTGTTGCGCTTGAAATTCGTTAACTATAGAATCAAGTTCGTGGGACTGCATTTGTGTGAACGATGCGATATCGGCAGCACTAGCCTCGTCAAGATTTAAATCATGGGATGAAAGTTGGGTTGCGCCAAGGTCCTGGGTAATTTGATCTGTAGGGGAAGATGGACGATTGTCGTTCTCTGCTGGTGCTGAAGAAGAAAGATGCTGGGATGGAGGTTTTGTAGGGAGTAATGATTCGGATGCTTGTTGTGGGAGAGAATGGGAAGATGGAGAGTGTTGCAGGGTTGGTTCTTGAGACGGAGGGCGCGTGAGATTCTGTATATCTTCTTCCGTAAGCATGGTAGACGCAGTAGTCAAGTTGTTAATATCTTGGTTAATGTCAGTCATGTCATTATTGTGATCATCATCAGTGACGGAGGAAGAGGCTTGCTGAGTTGATGGGAGCATATCGAGAAGGATGGAAGAGGTTGTGAGCGAAGCCAATGCATCGTTGTTGTTATTTGAAGTTGTAGTAGCGGTAATATTAGTAGTTGAAGTTGTAGTTATTGGTGGATGTGTATCAGAAGAAGTTGGGAGGTCTACTGGAAGATCGGACATGATGACATCTGTGACAGATGTGGGTAGTAGAGACATATTGTCGTCTGTTGGTTGTGTAGAAGGGAGTTGTTGGGTGGTGAGGCCTTCAATATGGAGCGAGTCGATGTCAATATCTGCGAGATCGCCGGCATCAGTCATTTCCAAGTCGAGGATATCCTGAACTGTGACATTATGAGGATTTTGTTCTTCATCTTGTTGCTCTTGCTTTATCTGATGGTCTTGTAATTGCTGTTTTTGGTGAGTATTGTCTTCTTCAAATTCTTGTTTTAGGGAGAAGGAAGAAGATATGTCATCGTTACTGGTCACTGGGTGAGACGAAGACCCGGGTGATACAGTACTCATCTTCTTTTATATAAAAAAGAGAGTATTTAAAAAAAAAAAGGGATAGAAGAGAGAAAAGGGATAAGACAAAAGAGACTAAAATCTTTTTTTTTTCTCTCTAGGAACGGGTCCGGGGTGGAGGTGACGGAGGAGTGAATCGGACCATGCGCTTTTACAGGCGCTGAAAGAGAAGTAAATAGGTAAGGTAGAAGAAAAGTTGATTATTTGAAGGAAGGAAGGAAGAGTATGTTGAGATGTCAAGAATGGTGATGATAACGATGACGATGACGATGACGATGACGATGACGATGACGATGACGATGATGATGATTTTGGTGGTGGTGATGCAAAATAGACTGTAGACAGAAGAAATTCTAAGTCAGATTTGTTGCAGGGCACAAGTAAAAGATAGTTATTGTAAGTGTTAGAAAGAATTAAACGCCCGGGACAGAAAATCGGATTGCTGGTTGATGTTGTTGTTTTATTTATTTATTATTTATTTATTTGGATAGTACGGTATTGGTAGTGTTAATGAAAAAGGGATGATCCCGTATGGTCTAAGTGGTGGTGGTGGTGGTGGTGGTAGCTGTTGGATATGAAGGAAAGTTTCCGATGGGAGACAACTTTAAAAAAAAAAGGCGCGCGTGTGTTATTATGACGCGTTTTCTAAAGAGATTTATTAATATTTTGCATATATTAAGGAAATCTTTAAATAAGAAGAAAGATCCAGAGAACTTGGGCTCTGTATTATACGTGAAGGGTGCCTAAGGATGTGTCTAAAGGATTTTTTTTAGGAAATTTTTAGGCCTTTAAAAGGCGTTGAAAGTTGGTGATGCAAAGGATTTTTGGTGGTGCAAAAAAAAAAAAAAAAAAAAATTTGAGAAAAAAAAAATTTTACACACCGGCACTCACACAGAGAGAAAATGTACGGCCGGTACATTAAAAAAAAAAAAAAAAGAAAACTGTCAAAGATGTTTACCAGGTGATGGCTTCAAAAATAATTTTTTTTTACAATATTTAGATCTAGTTGAAGGATTTATTAAGATTTTTATTATATTATACTTTATTTTTACAAAGCTGATATTCCAATAAAAAGACAAGACATTTGGTTCAAAAGTTATATAAAAAAAAAAACGCCAGGGTTAGGGTGTCTTACACGTGCCGTATACCCCGCGACGCGTTCCGGGCCGGTTGAGATTGAAATAGAAAATGATGTTTGACTATAGAAATTTTTCTTTAAAATAAAGGGAAAAAAAAATTAAAGAAACGTTAATAATTATGTTCTTCATTTGGAATTTGGATAGGAAATAAAATTTTCTAAAAGTTTAGAGGTTCTTTTAAAGGATTCAGAGATTTGATCCTAGGGGTCTTTTGATTAGAAGTAACATTAAAAAAATGAATCATTTTATGGGAGCTATTTAGGTAGTGTAGATATATTTATATATATTTATCTATGTTATTAATAATAACATAGATAACATAAATAGTAACTTAATATTAATTACCCACTGATAACTTTTGCTGACACCTCCACGTTATTTGACGTCACACACATAACCTTTTCCAGGACACTAAAGAGTCCTACACGAGAGTACCGGCCAGCAATCTATACCGGGTCTTTTGTTTTTGTATTTTTATTACTTTTTTTTTTTTTTTTTTTTTTTTTTTTTTTGTTATCTGACATTTTTCATGTTTCTCAATTACTCTTTGTCATTTATTTCCACTCTTGTATCATTTATTGCTCAAATGTAGAACCAAAAAAAAAAAAAAAATAAAAAAAAAGGCTATTCTACTGTCAAAATCCCAGGACGCCTCTAATTGACACGACCACGCGCCACCGGGCTGTGAAGACCAAATTAAAGATTTCTGACAACGACAACGACAACAACAATATTAACTGTAAAAACCGAAGATATGTCTTCGGGTTGTCAATTTAATTGTGTATTCATGAAGTGTTTTGAGTAGCAATCTAAAATAAAAATAAAATAAAAAAAAACTGAGTCTTTTGAGAAATATTACAAAGAACAATCTTATCGGAAATATTTCTCTTTATTTATTGCTGACGTTTTAATATTTTGCTACTCCTAGAAAAGGGCCTTTTTCTTTCCCCAGACTTTCCTTCTCTCTTACCATCTCTCTGCACTGTCTACAAAAACCTTCTTCCAACTTTTTCCCTAAATCGCCACTCACAAAATTTTTCTCCGTCGCTATATAAACTCTTATCGCACCTTATTCACCATGTCCAAGAACTACATTGTAAGTCCTTTATTCAATTCCTTATTAAACCTCATTCCAATACTAAACCTTTCTCTTAGGTCCAATTCAAGGAAAACACCCCTGAAGACGTGGTGGCCAAAATCAAGAGCGACGTGGCAGCTGCTGGCGGCTCCATCAAGCATGAATACACTTTAATCCCAGGCTTTTCTTGCTCTCTTCCTGACGACCATGTTTCGGTCTTGTCGGCCCACCCAAACATTGCTAATGTCGAGCCTGACCAGGAGGTTTCCATTTCGGCTTAAGTCAAACCACTGTTTAGACTGATGTATTTTATTTATAAATAATAATAATAATAATTGATTGATTGAACATTACAAAATCCTTCAATTTATTCCTGTACAATACCTCCCTGGATATCTAAAGCTCTTTTGACCACTCCAATTGCACCACTAGTTTGAATGGCCTCATTTCCACCGCCACTCAACCGGTACTCAATCTCACTCAATCCTTCCAGTAACGCAATACGAGCCTCTGGCTTGAGCTCATACCCTTCAAACTCCGTTGCCAAAGCCTCAAGAATATCAGCAAGCGCCAATCCACGGTCCGCTTTGATTTTCGCAACAGTCCGCACCGCTGTCGTCCAGTCGTCCTCAATGATAGTTGTCATCAGCCGTCGTACATCTGCAGGTACCGGACACCCAACACACTCGTACACCATGGCTACCGTCACGGTCGCAGCGACCCCGGTCTCGCCAGTCGTCGCTAGGTGGCACGGCTGCAGAACGTTGAGTACTTTACGCATATCACCTTTGGCCAGTGTCACCAGTGCATCTACAGCATCAGCGTCAATCTTCACGTTCTCAGCGGCGATGACCACGTCTAGGCGGGTGCGGATGGCTTCAGGTGACATGGGTGAGAATCGGAACCGAGTGCAGCGCGAAAGCAGCGCAGGGTTGATTTTATGGGCGTAGTTTGCAATGATGCAAAAACGGGTATTGTTTGTGTATTTTTCAATTACTAAAAATGTTAGGTTTATTATAATTAGATAATGAAGACAGACTTACCTCGTCTTAGAGCGTTTTGAGCAATGTTGGTCATAGCATCTGCTTCATCCAGAATGACCAGCTTGAAGTTATGCTTGGAGTTTCTATCATTGTTAGTACCTGTTTTTTTTTTTTTCAGTTGTTTTGATATCCAACTTACGCAAACATTTGTCGTGTACTTGCAAAAGTCTTGATCTGGTTGCGTACAACATCAATGCCACGATCATCCGATGCATTTAGTTCCAGCACCATGTGTCTAAAGCTCTTTTCACCATAAAGCTCGCGCGCAATCGCAAGGATCGTCGTGGTTTTACCTGTGCCTGGTGGCCCGTAGAAGAGCATGTGGGGCAGGCGACCAGCGGTAATGAACTTGCGTACTGTTGAAATGATATTGTCCTGGCCTGTGACTTCGTTAAGCGTAGACGGTCGGTACTTTTCAACCCATGGAAGTAGTTCACGCCTAGTATCTGCATCTGAAGAAGAAGTCTTGGTTATGGACTTCCCCTTGGGTGATTTTGGAGGTTCTGTGGTCATTTTATTTTTGTTGAAAAAGTGTTGATTGAAATGTTTATTGAAGTGCCAAAAAAAAAAAAATTTCGGTGGTTTGTGATGTCTACAAACAAAAATAAACATGCTTACATAATTCACGCTTAAACTTTCTTTTTGTCTGGCAAGGCCAACGAGGTAAGCAGCTCCAGAGATCTTTTCTGCTAACCAAGCCAGACACTTTATTTCTGCATAACACTTGTCTCTTAAAAGTATCGACGAGCTAATATTTGCTCTCTATATTTTTTTTAAAAAAAAAAAAAATTATGCTCAGACCGGTTCCGGCACTTACTCTTTTTTGGGTAACGGCTCTGGCTTTGGTGTTCCCGGCGGTGGTGGCTCCTGCGCAGGCGCTAGATGGGACCAGAAACAACCCTCCCACCATTAACCTACAAAACCTTAACCCAGGTCTTCTTCTTGAGGACGAACCGTTAAAACCAGGGTACTATGCTGCCGCTGTTGATCGGGTGCAATTATTGCCACGGGTAGTCAAAGACTCTGATGACTCTAAAAAGGACTCTGACGGTGACTCTGACTCTGACTCGGACAATGACTCGGACAATAACTCCAAGGGGATCCTAGACCCTCCAAGTAAAAGCGTTGCATCGCTATCGTCGGCTACCGATCTGCCAAACAACACTGTTTTGCAGGGAGAACTTTCACCAGGCGACTACCATGTTTATCATCTTACCAACGTGTCGAGTGCTGCTCAGACAGCCTTTTTCACGGCCAACCTGTGCTCAGCGCCTGCCGGGGACACAGGAAACATTAGCAACTCAGTACAGATCCAAGTGGCTGCCTCACTAACGGACCTGACATCTGCAAAAAGTGCAGGTTCTGCCAACTACACGGCGGTGTCGCTAGACTCGGATGTTATGGAGAACCCAGACTCGGATGACTATTTGACAGTGTCATCTGGGGTGATTAGCTGGTACACTGGGTTTTATATGGGATTCTCCAACTTGACTGTTTTGGCAACAAATATAAGTTCGCTGTACATCATGATACGAGCCGGAGACAATATCAAGAATATTTCAAGCAGTGACTCGTGGACGTACCAGCTAGGAGCGTCGACAGCGGGCCCGTTGCACGAGTACTCGAGCGGACCCAACTTGTACCTTGTGGATACGGACTTTGCACACGCGCTGCTGGTGACGGACGGGATGACAGACCAGAAGGAGGGCTACGAGAACATGACATTTTACGAGGACTTGGATACATACTATGACATTCATGTGTTTGTTAAGTCAGCGGGTGATGCGCTGGCGACTCGGCTTGGGGGGTCTTACTGTGCAATGAGCAGCGCACCAAGCCAGCTACTAAATCGTGGTAACGCGGACATTTCAGTGACTACAAGAGGCAATCCAGCAGTGCCTAAGCTGCAATACTTTATGAGTGGTCTTAACATGTCGACTGACTACAGCGTGTTTTTGACGCGTGCGGCTAACCCTGATTCAGAGATGGGAGCAGGCAGTAATGGAGGAACAGCATTCCCTGGGGTTTCGATGAGAACAAATGCAGAGCAAAACTGTCAGATTGTGTACGATCTTGAGTTTTGTTCAGATGTGGCATATGCGGTGCCAGGGAATGCCTCTGCGTTTACTCCGCTGGAGCTCGGAGAGGTTTATGATGCAAAGGCAAGTGGATGGTACGGGAACTTTAACAAGTCGTTGCAGCAGGTATCGTGCGATATACGGACGATGGAGCAATATTCGATTCTACGGACGTGTGAGGATTGTGCAACGTCGTATCGGCAGTGGCTGTGTTCGGTTACGATTCCAAGGTGCATGGATGCAACATCTCCTGGGGATTACTTGACGTTGCGTGCGGTGAATTCATCGCGGGCCTCATTTATCGATGAAATTATCCGGCCAGGGCCTTATAAGGAGCTGTTACCATGTATTGGCATGTGCGATGCACTAGTACAGGACTGTCCTGCTAGCATGGGGTTTGCGTGTCCCAAGGTTGGACAGATTGGGTTTGAAGGGTACTACATGTCAAAGGCGAACGACGGGTCAGTGCAGTGCAATTTCCCTGGGGCCGTGTACCGGACGAGTGGTGGGGTTCGGATTAGAAGTTCTGTATGGGGGTATCTTGTTATTTTGTTTGTATGTTTGAGTATCTTATAGAGAGAGAGAGAGAGAGAGAGAGAGAGAGGTATTCTATTCTATTATATTAAGATTTGATTTTGGTATTAGTTAATATATAATATAAAAAAAAATATTTACAAAAGAGCGGCATCACTTAAGGTTTTGTTTTTTTGGCTTGAGGTTCCTCGAGGGGTTCTCCAGGACGTTTATCTTGAACATTATTCTGGGGGGCTTCAGTTTTTTCATCAGCTTTGATTTCTTCGGTCTCAGGTTTTTCATCAGCTTTGATTTCTTCGGTCTCAGGTTTTTCATCAGCTTTGATTTCTTCGGTCTCAGTTTTTTCATCAGTTTTGATCTCTTCGGTCTCAGTTTTTTCATCAGATTTGATTTCTTCAGTCTCAGTCTTTTCATCTTTAATCTCTTCGGTCTTAGACTTTTCATCCTTGATTTCTTTAGTCTTTTCATCTTTAATCTCTTTAATCTCAGTCTTTCCATCTTTAGTTTCTCCAACTACAGTCTTAATTTCTTCTTCTTGTTCTTCTTGCTTTTTCTTTGCATCTTCTTCTGCCATTTTCTTGATTTCCTCAATTGTGATATCTGGTCCCCTTTCCAGCATGACCTTGACCATGGGGACCCACTCTTCGTCCTTCATGTTTTTGGTCAAATCATCGAGATCAAATACATTTTTACCCAACTCAAAGGGTCCCTGCTGTGCTCGTACAAGTGAAGCCATGTAAGCACAAACTCCCATTTCACGGGCCACATCATGGATCAATGACCGAATGTAGGTGCCTGACGACACGCTGAATCTAAATTTGACACGCACAAACTGGATGGGAACGGGGGAAGTTACCAATTGATCACTGGATGGTGGAGGCATTGTTTCACGGAGGTAAAAGGCTTGTTCTTCTTCTGTAGCCATGATTTTAGGAAGAGCGGCTTCTTCAAGGGTAATGTGGGTAAAGGAGCCAGGGACAATGTCGAAGAAGTCGACGTTACTTGCGCGTGGCTCGATTTTACGTGGAAGAGGGATACCTTCTCTTGCGTATTCGTAAAGAGGTCTACCATCCATTTTGAGGGCGGAATAGACTGGGGGGTATTGTGTGATTTGTCCAGTGAATTTATCTTTGATTGTTTGGGCGAGGGAGTCTTGAGTGAGGGCTGAGAGGTCTGGGGAGTACTCTACGATGGAGCCAGTGACATCGTAGGTAGTTGTTGAAGCTCCAAAGATTGCAGTTGCTTCGTAAACTTTAGTACAATCGGTGAGATATTTAGTAAGGTTTTTAGTTCCTTCGCCTACACCAATGACGATGACACCAGATGCGAGGGGGTCTAGTGTTCCTCCATGGCCGACTTTAACACCTCCGATTGAGTTTTTCTTGTCGTGTTTTTTGTACCACCACTGTTTTTTACGTTTGTCTGTTGTGAGTTTAATTTTGACGCCATTGAGTTTAGCCCAAGCACTTGAGTTTTCCACGTAGGGGGATGCATTGAGAGCAGTTTTAAGGGCGTTGACTGCTTGAGCGGAGGATGGGCCGGATGGTTTTGAGATTGCAAAGATACCTTCCATGTTTAATGGTGTTTCAGTTGAGAAGGGAGGGTAGGTGTAGTTGAAGATGGAAATGAGAGAGGTTGGGTTAGTAGTAGTACTAGTAGTGGTGGAAGGTTGAGGTAATGGGGATAGTGGTGATTGACGGACTGGTCTTGAAGATTTTGGGGATGATTTGATATAAATTTTAGGAGAAAAAGAGGTTGATAAGAATAGACGGAGGGTAGGTTGAGGTTGATTATGGACTGGACGGAAAAGACCAAACATGTGGACAAGAGATGGAATGAATGATGAGGAGGGAAGTGAAAGGAAGGGAGGGGATAGGATGAGAAATTAATGAATTTTTTTTTTTTTTTTTTGGGAGGAATTTGGGAGGAATTTGGGTGAAGATGTTTAAAGGTGGTTTAGGAATCTGAAAAAAAAAAGAAAAAAAAAAAACAAGAAAAAAAAAATTTGATAAGGTTGGAAGATGAGCTTAGTACCAAGATATAAGTATTAAGTATTAAAGGTTAAGAGTTAAGATTTAAAAATGATTTTATTGTTACGGATGAGCGGCTAAGGACGGAAGGATAAAGTTACTGTTGGTAGGTAAAGAAGTTAAGTAATTTTTAAAGTATTTTTAAGTAAGTAAGTAAGTAAGTAAGTAAGTTTATTTGTTATAAATATATATTAGGGTTAGGGTTAAAGATTATAAAAATTGAATTTTTTTTTTATGTGATTGGACAATTGATGGATTGAGGATGAAGTTTTTTTTTTTTTTTTTTTTTTTTTTTTTTTTGATGATTTGATTGAAAGATAATTAATCTTTCTATTTCTATCCTGTAAGAATCTCCATTTCAAGTTGCAATTTTTTTGTTTTATATAAATAAAATAAAATAGAATAAAAAAGAACGAATTGACGGAGTGCCCGGCTTTTTTCTTTTGATGATCTCCATGTTTTTTTTTATTTTTTTTTTTTTCTCCCCTCTCTTTTCTTAGAAAAAAAAAAAATAAAATAAAAATAAAAAAAAAAACGAGAATTGTGCGGGGGAGGAATAGAAGTAAAGTTGTAAAGACAAAAGTTCCGATAAATTTTCGCGTGGCTTTATTATAGAAAATTATTATTATTTTTTTATTATTTTTGACAGACTACTATTAAATAATAATATTAAATAAAAAATAATATCCACGCAACTAAAAAAAAACAAAAAATAAAAAAAAAAAATTAAATCATCGGATGGTGGTAAGTATTAGTGGTATTAGTGGTAGTGGTGGTAGTGGTGGTTTTGATGAACATTAAAGGTCAATTGGATTTTAATTGAGTTTTTTGCATTTATGAACTGACTTTTTGAATAATTGAATAAATGATTTATCAATTGAATGATTAAATAAATAATTTTATCAATTGATATATTATTAATTTTTTTTTTTATTTATCTACCACGTGAAGTGAATCTTTTTTTTATCTTGGACTATATATATATGAGTTTTTTTTATTTTATTTTATTTTAATTTATTTTAATTTATTTAAAATTCTTAATTTATTTTTTAAAAATAAAATAAAATCAATTTGAAAGTATTTCTTTATTTAATTCTTTATTGTAGAGATTTAAAGTTTTTTTTATTTTTTTATTTTTTTTTATTTTTTTACTGACAATATTGATGATGATGATAAGCCTATACAGCTATATACATATACCTATACATACTTATATACACACATATACATATCAGACATATATATATTTATTATATATATTATTATATACATATAAAAAATCAGTCGACTTTATATATATAATAAAATTAAATCAAATTAAATAAAAATAAAAATAAAAATAAAAATAAAAATAAATTCCTTGGTTTGATCTCTACAAAAGTGCTTTAAGGCTTTAAACAAAGTTAAATGGAAGTTCTTCGGAAGGTCCTCCTTTTTTTTTTTTTTTTTTTTTTTTATTCTAAAGACTTAAAAGATACTATTATTATTATTATTATTATTATTATTATTATTGTTATTGTTATTACTATATACTACTTATACCACCACAATCTTTATAAATCTTCATCACCTGTTGGCTTTGATTTATTTGATTTGTTTGGATTTATATTTATTTATATTTTTATTAAATATGATATATATATTTTTTAAAAAAAATCAAATCAATTCATATAATCTTCCAACAAATAATAAAAATAAAAATAAAAAAAAAATCCCCGCCTTTCTTCTTCTTCTTCTTCTTCTTCTTCATCACTATTTCTTTTTTCAAATATATTGATTAATATACCTATTGATGACTAATAATTTACATAACATAAACTACTATGATTGGCCAATTCCTCAATTCCTCCCTTCTTCCTTCTTCCTTCTTCCTTCTTCCTCCTTCTACCCTCTTAGACCTCTCAGCCCTGCCCCTTTTTTTTTTTTCCCTCTCCCCCGCCATTCTAAATCTGTACACACACACACACACACACTGATTTTGCTAGTGGTGGTGATGATGATTCAGGCCACGGCAGCACCAGCACCAGCACCACCACCATCAGCACCAACCGCCACCCTCCAATACTTACTTACTTTCTTACTTTCTTACTTACTCACCCAACTATATAAAGAGCCCAAATTCCCCTCCTTTTCAAAATTTTTTTTTTTTTTTCTTTCCTCTCTCTTCTCTTCTCTTTTTTTTTTTTTTTTCTTCTTTTCCTCATCATCTTCTTTTTCTTTAAAACCCTCTAATTTTTAAAATCTTTTTTTTTTCTCCCCCCCCTCACTTTATTTCTTAATTAATACAATTCAAAATGGTTACCAAGGTTGGCATTAACGGTTTCGGCAGAATTGGCCGCATTGTAAGTATTATTATTATTATTATATTTGATTATATCAATTCCAATCTCAATTGAATTTTTTTTTCTAACTCTTTTGTAATCTATAGGTTCTCAGAAACGCCCTCAAGAACCCCGAGGTCGAGGTTGTCGCTGTCAATGATCCTTTCATCTCCACTGACTACGCTGCTTACATGTTCAAGTTTGACTCTACCCACGGCAAGTTTGCTGGTGATGTCGAGTTCAAGGACAACCACATTGTCATTGATGGCAAGGAAATTGCCGTCTACGGCGAGAGAGACCCCGCTAACATTCCTTGGGGCAAGTCTGGTGCTGACTACGTTGTCGAGTCCACCGGTGTCTTCACCACCAAGGAGAAGGCCTCTGCTCACTTGAAGGGTGGTGCCAAGAAGGTTGTCATTTCTGCTCCTTCTGCTGATGCCCCCATGTTTGTTGTTGGTGTTAACCTCGAAAAGTACACTCCTGATCTCGATGTCATTTCCAACGCTTCCTGCACAACCAACTGTTTGGCTCCCCTCGCCAAGGTTGTCAATGACGAGTTCACCATCATTGAGGGCCTTATGACCACTGTCCACTCCATCACTGCCACCCAGAAGACTGTCGATGGTCCTTCCCACAAGGACTGGCGCGGTGGCCGTACCGCCGGCGACAATATCATTCCCTCTTCTACCGGTGCTGCCAAGGCTGTCGGTAAGGTCATTCCTGAGCTCAATGGCAAGCTCACTGGTCTTTCTCTCCGTGTCCCCACCTCTGACGTTTCCGTTGTTGACTTGACTGTCAGACTCGAGAAGGCTGTCACTTACGAGGACATTAAGACTGCCATGAAGAAGGCTTCTGAGGGCTCCCTTAAGGGTGTTCTCGGTTACACTGAGGATGCTGTTGTCTCTACTGACTTCCTCGGTGACACCCACTCTTCTATCTTTGATGCCACTGCCGGTATCCTCCTCAATGAGCACTTTGTCAAGCTCATTTCTTGGTACGACAACGAGTACGGTTACTCTGCCCGTGTCGTTGACCTCCTTGTTTACATTTCCAAGGTTGACGCTTCTGCTTAAATTTTTATGTAATGACTTGTTTTAAAAATGTGAATATATTTTTTTTTTATAAATTTGGTGGTGGTGGTGGTGGAAGAGGAAGTGACTCCAAGGCACTTTCTGTGAGAATTTTGTTGAGATAGTATTGTGTGTTGTGTGGTTGATGCTGATGCTGATGCTGATGCTGCTGTTGGGTAAAGGGTTTTGCTGGGGATGTGTAGGATTGGGTTTCAGACTGTGGAGAGGAATTGGGTGGAAGGTTTACTTGACTTGTACTTGATGACTCAACTTGTTGATGATGTGGAATGTTTTGCCCCGCAACGTGAGTCCAAAAATTGAGCATACTAAGAGACTCCCGAGCTGCCGTCGGTGGCGTCAAAGGATGTTGTTGTAAATGCTGTTTCTGCTGTTTCTGTTTCTGTTTCTGCTGCTGCTGCTGCTGCTGCTGCTGCTGCTGCTGCTGCTGTTGTTGTTGTTGTTGGCATTGTTTGTCTAGTAGTCCTAGCGGGCGTCTATTGGCCGTTACTGTCATCGGTGCACCATTGGAGCCCACATTTCCGCTATCACCACTACAACCTCCACTTCCACCTCCACTTCCACCTAAATCAGTCAATGCGGGCTCGTTTGATCCGGTACCATGGTCCTGTGTCAGGTACGGGTCCTGTTGTCCGCATGCAAATGGCATTTCTTCTTCTTCTTCTTCATTTTCTTCTTGTTCAAATTCAAATTCAAATTCATGACCATTATTGCTGCTTTCTTCAGTTTCTGATAAATCATCATCCCCCCGCATTGACCTCCCAACGGATCCAAACACTCCGTCTAGCCATGGCTGTGGTGTTGCAGGAATAAGTACGTTGTCATCATCATCGTCATTGTTGTCATTGTTGTCTTTGTTGTCATTGTTGTCATTGTTGACATCTTTGTCTTTGACATTGGGTCCATAACTTGAACTCTTTTCCTCAGATTCTACTTTGATTTTTATGCTTGCAGCTTCTGTTGCTTCTGTTGCTTCTGTTGCTTCTGTTGCTTCTGTTGCTTCTGTAGCTGTTGTTGTATCTGTCACGAAATTCGTTTCTTTATCCTTAAGCCGACTACCATTACCACTATCACCACAAGTATCGCCCAGAAAAGTTTCTCCGCGCCATTTACCTGCGCCATTTAGTGGGTCCATACCACGTTGTTGTTTCTTGTGCTTATGCTTATGCTTCTGATTTTGCTTCGTAATCGTACCAGGACCGGCCTTTTGCTGCCCACTTTTCTTGTCCACACCACCATCGTCCTTATCTTCCTGCTTAATAAACCCATCCGTTTCTTCCCGTCGCTCGTTATTATTATCATCATCATCATCATCATCATCATCATCATCATCATCATCATCATCATCATCATCATCATCATCATCATCATCATCATCATCATTTTTATTTTTATTATTATTATTAATCTTCTTTTTCATGATTTTCATTTTTTTCATCTTCATCTTCATTGTTTTTTCCATCTTTCGCTTCTTCCCAATCCTTAATGCTTCAATATCTTCCTCCTGTTTAACCAAAACTTCTTCTTTTTCTTTTTTTTTTTCCTTTTCCTTTTCCTTTTCCTTTTCTTTTTGGTCTTCAACAATCGTCCTCTCCATACCCCCCACTAGTTGTACATGTTCCTTATCAATCCGTATACTTTCATCTTGTCCCTCTGACTCTCTTTTAATCCGAGGAATCTTATCCAATGTCTCACAAGCTGCCGCTGTCGCCTTTGCCGCCGCTGTGGCCGATGCAAACTTACCACTCCCTGAAACTACCGTCGGCCGGCCTTCACCTTCCTTCTCTTTAGTGATGACGCCAATCGGACCCCCATTCTTCTCCGTACTTCCCGTCGTAACTACCATCCTTGGCGTATCTCCAACACAACCAACACAACCAACACTACTAACACTACCAACATCATTAATACCACTAACAGCCGCTACTACTTCCCTAGGCTCTTTAACACTCCCACGTTGTCCTCCTCGTAAAGATGATTCCATGGTATCTTGTTTTTGTTTTTGTCCTTGTACTTTTTCACGCAATTTCCCATCAATCTCTCGCAACGCCCTTTGGCCCACCTTTAACTTCACCATCTTTCTTTCCTCATCTCCATCTCCATCTCCATTCCCATTCCCATTCCCATTCCCATCTTTATCTTTATCTTTATCTTCATCTTCATTCTCCTGTTCCTCTCTTTTACTCCCACGAGCCCGCCGCGCAGCACGGAAAAAAGCTCGATATGCAGCCTCCGCGGCCTGCAACTGCGCATCACCTTCTTCTCGAACAAGCAACGCAAGCCTCTCGTCCGCAGCTTCCAGTGGCTCCCATTGTTTCCGTGGACTTGACGACGGAACTTCCCGTACCTTGCGCACCACCCGAGGAGTATTGATTGCTATCTGCGATAACGCAACAGTCTCAGGTAACACAACATCCCTAGACTCAGTTTCTGACCTCACTTTGCTCTCGCCCATAGACATCCCCAAAGTACTCCACTGACCTGTAGACATACCTACTCTCGCCCTACCAATGCTTCCGAGTCCCATACTCGAACGACCTATAGAACTCGTCGCTGTCGACGCACTGTCGTCCCGCGACTGTGCGTTCCGGCTCAGCGCAAAAAGCTGTGTCAGCGTCTTGACTGCTTTTGCCGCAGAGCCATGTGTTGATTTCCCTCCAGTGCTAGAGTTTGTATGTTTTGTAGATGTCGTAGATGTTGTAGATGTTGATGTCTGTTTAAGGCTTACGCGTCGTAACCCAGGTCCCGTATGTTTTGTGTTTACCGATCCTGCTCGTTGTTTCTGCCCACTATGACTGTCTATTAATCTAGATGAATCCGAGGTAACATTTTCACGATGATTATGCTTGCGTTGTCGGCGCTTCTGTTTCTTCAAAGACTCGGGCCACTGACTTGCCCCAACTTCATAGTCTTCATCACTCTCGCGATCATTATCAATCACCAGCTCAGGGAACATTTGGGACGCAGATCCGTTCCACTCATTCCCATCTGCTGACGTACTTGTCATTTCGGGTAGTCTTTCTGCTTGCTTGCTTGCTGGATTTTAAAGGGGGGGGGAGGACCGAAATCTAAACGTGGTTTAGCTAGTCTGTGTTGAGATTTTTTTTTAAAGTGGTGGTAGAGATGGCAAAAAAAAAAAAAAATAAAATAAAAATAAAAATAACTGAAAAAACAAATAAAAAACAAATTAAAAACGCGTTTATCACGCGAATCTGACGCGTAACACAAATTTCTATTTTTGATATAATGCGGCTTTTCTAAAAGTATTTACAAGTGAATATTAATTTTACAAAATCATTTTATCTCCCCCACCCCACAACCTTTTTCCCTCAACTAAATAAAAACTCTCCCCCCACGGCTAGGTACCTCCAACTGTCGCACAAACTCCATCGAAGCTTCCACAAATGTCCTCAGCATCTTATAATTCTCCTCATCTTCTTTCTCGGTCCCCTCAAACACTTGAGCCTCTGCCAGATCCAACACCAGATTGGCCTCTGTGCGTCGGCCACTTACCACACCTCCCTCAACCGTTGCCAACTGCAGAATATGACCCTTATACTTCAAGTCAGTCTGTTTCCGGTACACCATAGAGTGGTACATATACGGCACAGAAACTATCTTATGCTCACCTGTCTTACTGTCTGGCACAGACATTGCCAGGTACAACTGATTCGGGGCGCTAATGTTCACAAGCCCAGAGAAATCAAGTCGTGACTTACCCAGGTACTCTCGCACATTTGTCAGTCTTTGTTTTTTTAGTTCAGACAATGAATCACTTCCTTCTGCATCATACACACTTCCAGGATCTAATACAAACTCAGTCTTTGCTGCCGAAAACTTAACGTCCGTATTCAAGTGCGCCAAAGAAACATATGTATTGGCCTCCTTTAGCACAAAAACAACATTCACACTCTCATTGACCGCCCGTTCATCTTCATCAATCTCCAACCACATTTCCATTGGCGGGAATTCCTTAAACTGTGCCGCAGACACAATATTGTCAGCTGCTGTCGATGTGCCGTCATGTAAAAACGGACTTGGCAAAAACTTCATTTGCACATAATAAGAATGCTCGTCTGTAATCTCGCTTTCCCGCTCCGCTGTCGCTTCAAACAATTCCGTAAGATGCTCTGATGGTGTCTTGCTTTCGTCAAGAAGCGTACGAATCGTTGGTGATGGGTCGGTCGGCTTGGCCAAAGAAATGCCTTCACTAGGGTTCCCCAACATATCTTCATCTAGTAACCCCTCATATTCTTCAGCTTCCTCCGTCTCATACTTAAACTGTGGCAGTTTCCGGCACTGATCCAGCACATTGGCCACGTCCGTCAAAAACGTGGTTTTCGGAACACTCTTCGACTCACTAGAAAACTCCTTCAAAAGGGAACTCTTATCACTAGCTTGGTGAAGAATATTACCAAATGTCGCCGCAACAGTCACATGAGGTGGGGCCTCCGTATCCAGCCCACTAAACTTAACTGACTTGAACGTCTTCAAAATAGAATCTGTAATGGTTGTAGCAAAATCCTCCTTAAGAACTTCCAAGCTTTGCTTCGTAGGCTTCACTTGTAAAAGTTCCAGATTAAGAGCCGCCAAAGAAGCTTCTGCATCCTTCACAGTGGTATCCTTTTCATTTTCCCAAGTCTTTGTAGCCAACTCATCAAAAACATTAACAATATCCACACTCTCCTTAGCTACCTCGCTCTTTCTCACTTTGGACTTGGCCAGCTTCCAGCGCGCCCACTCCTTATCCCGGTCAATCCACCCCAGTGCGTCGTCGTTAATGATTTGAGTCAAAACCCCGCGCTTGGTATTTACTTCATTCGTATCATGCAAGTACGATTCTACCAACCGCGGGCTGTAGCCTACAGACCCCCAAATAAAGCGCTCGGCCCGGTTCAAAAACTTGCGACCAAGAGCAGAGGCTACCAGCCGTGTCCCTTGCCGATCAATATAGGTATCAGAAAGTCGTTGGATGGTTTCCAATGGCAGCTCGTCAATGTTGATAATGCTGGTAAACGGAGTCAAGTCAAACTCCTTGGTGACAACATTGCTAAGCGCATTCATCATAGAAACCTGAATCCATTTAAATGTATCCTTTGTCGAACGAATGACAATCTGTTGGTGATCGGGAAGAACCACAATCTTGGCTCCGGATTTAGTCCACGACCGAGCAAGCTGACCGTTGCGGGCAACAATCAAGAAGATATCGCGCAGCGACAAGTCCATCGAGTTTTCCACAATAACGTCCGACGACTCGTCAATTTCCATCGACGGTTTAAGCCCCCACAGACGGTCAAGAATGTACCGTGACAGAATCGTTTTACGCCACGTGCTACACGGTGCCTGAGCATCGTTTTGTTTTACAAAGTCCCTTAGTTGCGGCACAGTATATGCGCGAATAATATCATTGTAAAGTTGCTCGTAACGTTTGCGCGACACAAGCTGAGTAGACGGCCGTAGCTGCGTGATGCTTTGGAGAATCACTTCGTAAGGCACGTCACGCTTGAACTTGAGCAGCTTCTTGAGCTGTGCATCCAGCTGGTCCATATTAATGTCGTCCTTGCCTCCCTTGCGCACCATGGGCCGTGGTCGCGGCAGAATCCGCGCGCTGCGCGCATTTAAAATGACCAGTTTCTGTGCGCGCGGCGGTAGCTTGACGCCGTGAGGAGAATCAGACTGAGAAGTAGGCTGAGCAGTAGGACTGTCAGATGTAGAGTCGGAAGATGAAGCCCAGCGCCGGGCCATCATGGGGCCAAATCGAAACCGGCTACATGCTAATGAAGCCCTCGCCGTTAACATTTTTTTTTATTATTATTGAGCTTTTGGCGGAAATGGTTAGGTGAATCAGGAAAAAAATTGAAAATTTACAAAGATGGGGAAAAATTTTAAACTCAACAGGGTAACCTCTGCGATTTTTTTTTTTTTTTTTTTTTTTTTTCTTTCTTTCTTTCTGTACATGTCTATCTTTCCCTTTACAAAAAATTCTTTCCCAAATCCCTCTTCGACATCATAAATACCACGACTATGGACGAAGATGGCGATGAGCGCGTAACAGACCAAAGCGCCATGGCCATGTGGGAGTCGTTTGAGCTTTCCGGGCTGCGGCCGTGTAATATCCGGAGCTTGACGCCCGAGACTGAGGCATACCTTGCCAACCCGCTGCACTTGTTTACCAGTACCAAGCATTACCAGTCCTACTCGGACAACCTGTATGCCCAGCTCCCACATGTTATGGGCCCGTACATGGTGCCTGCGCCCAACGCGTATCCGCTTATGCCCCCTCGCGCGTTTGCCCAACTTGCATCACTGCTGAACTTGCCGCCCGGCGTGCTGCTCCCGCGCCGCCGTATCGACGTTTGTAAAGAGCTCGGCATTGAGCGACCTCCTCGTGAAGTTGTGCTAGTGGCCGACAGTACTGCGTATGATCCAGAGGACATTACATACAGCCATTATGAGGAGGAAGTTAAGAAAAAACGCAAGCCTATTGGGGTAGAGAATGAAGACAGTCTGCAACAGTCTCGACCACGCAAGAGAGCAAAAGTGTGCACAGTTGCGCGACCCCAGTTTTTAAAATCCTATGCATCAGTTTATAACGCTGAGCTCGTTGAGTTTTTAACGGGAGTTTCGGGTCCCTCGGAGCTCCAGCCTAGTATGGTTTCGGCAACAAAGAGTGCTCCTGTGACAAGTACGTCCTACGGAACTCTATGGACTAGCGAGGAAAAGGAAAAGTTTTTTGTATTTCTTGGGCGCCGGTCGCGGCATGATATGGCTGGGATTGCCGAGGCTATAGGCACCAAGACTGCTCTGGAGTGCGAGATATACCATAATTTATTATTTCGTGAGGCTCAGAAACTACGCGGAGACCGTGTAGAGGGGAATGTGAATAGCATTTCTTTGGGAGAGATTCCGGCAGCTGCAGAGATGAGTGAACTGTGGATCGAGATTGAACAGGCGCAGGCGCAGGCTCTCGATGACTGGACCAACCATTTAGAAAGCGGGTGTTTGGAGCATGACAAGACCGACGACAAGAGTGTTTACTACAACCCCCAGGTCTCAATTATGGGCGCTCGCAAGACGGGCGTTTTAATTGACCTTAAAAATAACCCATTCAAGTCTGATCCGCCATTGTATGGTGAGACTGAGGAATTTTTCGAGTCTCAAGATCCTGCTTTTGAGCCGTACTTTGATGATCCTGTGAATAAGGTTGTGCGTGCAAGCTCAGCCATGGCTATGGCCCACGAGTTCTGGAACATGCCATTGGGAGACTCTCTAAGCCGCGACTTTGCAGAACGCACTCAACTACAGTATATTGAAGGCGAGACATTGGACGAGCTAAACCAGATTGTGATTGATTATACGCGGAGTCTTGTGCGCGCAATCTATGGGCGGATGATTGCGATGCTTGCATCCAAGTCGCGATACCAAAAACAAAACTTAACGGTGACACGGACCATGGTGCTATCGATGTTGCAGGAAATGGACTTTACGTTGCCACGACACACGCTGCTGAATAGTATTCTTGCGCGGGAAAACGTAGACGTATTGACGTCGGTGCGGAACAAGACGGTAGAGAAATTTTGTACTTTTGTTTACAATCCGTTTTACACGTCGTGGCATAGCAATCTTTTGCTGAATCGAAGGGATTACCAGTCTGCGTATAGTTTATTGCGAGAAAAAGTTCATGGGAGTTTGCAGCGGCCGTTGGAAACAAATGATGTGGACGATTCTCGGAGTGTGATTGATTTTAATTCTGATGAGGAGTCTGAAGAGATGAAGCCTTTACAAGCGGACGAGTTTCGAGATTTGGACGAGGACAGAGAGTACCTTTCTGATGAGCTACTGGACTATTCTGCACATGCCATTGGTAGCAAGATGCGCAAGAAGATTATGATTCGGGCAATTCCACCTCCACGAAGCTTAGACGAGTTTACTGAAAATGATATCCGAGATATGATTGATACCGTGCGAGCTCTTGAAGAGAAAAAGATCACTCATAGCGCATTATTAGAGCGCACGCTTTTGGCCCAAAACTGTGGCCGGATGCCTGGAGAAAACGATAGCGATACCGAGGCCCATTCCACAGACGAGTCCGAGAGCGAGAATGATAACGAAAACGAAAGCGAGCTTGAGAATTCTCGGGTTCCAGTTGGATGTGATGCTGAGGGACATTTGCTATCTATTGGTATTGATGCATTACTTGCGTACGAAGAGCAAGTGCTTGATAGCCTAGACAAGTCGGTGAGCGAGCGAGAGGAAGAACGGCTTTTGCAGAGATTGGAGTTGGAAGAGCCTAGTGTCAGGGCCGTTTACAGGCAACTTGGGGAGTGGTTTATGGCGGACGGCATACCGCGGATAGCCGAGACAGTACGCGAACTTATGCAGAAGCCGGAGTACGCCGATGAAGATATGACTGACTGTTCGTATAAGGGCCGGCGGTCAGCTGGGCGACTAGAGCGTGAGCGACTGGATCGAGTTTTTTCTACTCGGTGGGCATTTGACGAGGAGCTGCTGAGTGGAGTTGATGACGAATATCTGTTTGAGGCGCGGTTGCTTGTGACGCAGATTATGTATGTGCATGCGTTGGAGCGGTCGAGGCTGGTAAGGCAACTTCAAGAGAAGCTAGAGCGGAAAGCTTCGGCAAAGCATGCGAGTAAGTGTCGGATGAAGCATTTGGAGGATGTGATTGAGGAGCTTGCGAAGTGCTTGGCTCCGATGACCGAGGTTGAAAGTGAAGAGGAAGAGGAAGAGGAAGAAGAGGAAGAAGATGAAGAAGATGAAGAAGATGAAGAAGATGAAGAAGATCCGGGAGAAGGACGCAACGACAAGAAGCGATGGGGTGTTGCACGGATGCTTGCGATGGAATACTTATCTGCGGCACATGCGGGATTGGCGCGAATGTTTCCTTTACAGGGTGGGCTTGGGATTTAATGAAGATGTATTAAGAATCCCAGAATCTCAATGGGATTTTCTTTTCGGGTGTTTCGGGTGTTTCGGGTGTTTCGGGTGTTTCGGGTCTTTGGGTTTTTTTTTTTTTTTTTTTTTTCGAAACGATGGGACATCAAATGGTTGACGTGGCTGCCGAGCGCCGCAGACCACTTTAAACGGAAATTTTACGTGGGGGGTAAGCGACGTGTTTTTGTGTTGTTTTTTCCGGTAAGTAGCTACAAGAAAGAAAACTTTTGCGGCTACACTGCAGTGGTGGATGCATGAATTTACGACTTTTCCATAGAGGAAGCAAAAATAAAAATAAAAAGGCAATTTATGTCTTCTGGACCAAAAGAAAGAAAGAAAAAAAAATTTTATTAAAAGAAAGTAAAAAAAAATTTTTTTTTTCTTGACTCTTTTTTTTTTTTTTTTTATTTTTAATAAACATCATTTTCATATATATACATCTATATATTTTTTTTTTCTTTTGTTAAACTTTTGTTTGAGATCTTTAAGAGATTTTCTTTCATTTTATTTTTTCTTGCTTGAATCAAACCAACCATCATGCCTTTTGAGTTCTCGCATGATAGAGAACTAACTCTGCAGGACTTGCCCACCAAGCAACAAGCAGTCCAATCTGCTCTCGAATTTGTAAAGCAGATTAAAATAAGCTGGACAAAGGGGAAACAATACCATGATCAAGGACAAGTTGTCCATACTTACAACACGCGTCACGGGAACGACTTCTGGATGGCCCGCATTTCACATCACCCCAACCCCGTGGGGAAGGGGAAGAAACCCAAGGCTGACGACGAAATCACATTTGAAGTGTTTAAAGAGTTTGTTTTAGAAAATCACACAGCAAACGAACTCAAATATATTCCACTACTGAATGCATACCGGACTCATGAAAACGATAAAACTATTCCCGAAGACTCGCCTGAGGGCTGGAAGGGTAAGAATATGAAGATTAATGATAAAAATTAATTAATTATTTAATTATTTGTTTATTCAAAACTAACAATTATTATTAGCATATACTGTCCACTACAAATTCCCCAAGTTATTTTCGGATCGTGAGATGGCGGTATGGGTTTTGGCAGTTCAGCCTGACCCCCAGGTAAAACAATTTTTCGTTATTTCACTGCCATCTGCACACACAGTATCTACGCACCTGACACGAGCAGTATATTGTGCCATTGAGGTTGTCACATTTAAGGAGGAGGAAGGCCATGTTGAATGGCTCATGGCACAGACAAGTGATGCGCGTGGAAGTATCCCCAGATGGATCCAGGATAAGTCTGTAACGGCCAGTGTGGCAGCCGATGTTCCATCATTCATTGGATGGGCCAGCCAGCAGATTGAGGAAAGGAAACAAAAAAAAAGAGAAGAGAAAAATGAAGAAGAATCTGCTGTTGATGCCACTGCTGAAAAGGCAGGCAACGCTGCGCTTGAAAATAATGCTGTAGGCACAAGCCACACTGGAGCAGGCAGCGTTACCGGTGCTCTTTAGCAGGAATTGAATTGCAATGAATTTTTTTTTTTAGTATACGAGACCCATGAATAGTTATAATTTAGAAGAAGAAGAAGAAGAAGAAGAAGAAAAAAGTTTTTAATGAGAATACAACCTTGATTTTATTCATTATTTTTATTTATTTAATTTTGATTCCACTGTACATAAATACCATTTTAAGCCGCAACGCTTGGCATTTTGGCGTTTTAGCTACAACCAAATCAAATAGCTATTTGACTGCAGTGGTTGAGTAATGTTTGGAAATATCCAGCTGCTTTTGAATCGCAGCAATCCATTCGGCCTTACTCAACGCTCCGTCTGGTCCACTCTGGTCCTCGGGGCCCTGCACCGTGGGCCAAAAGTCTGCACCAACGCGACCCAGACTCTTGGAACAGTACGAGATCTGGAGCCACAAACTACTACGGGCGTTTTCGTCGTCAATAAAGGGCGCAATCTCGGCTACCGTAGTGTAAAACTCTTCCACCAGGGCCTTGATGAATGATGACACAAGTAAGCTGCCGCTAAATTGAGAGGCTGTTGTTGGTGTCAGAGGGTCGGCATGGTCTGGGAATACTGAACGGAAACCAACGACTGTCACAAAAACGTTTTCACGGAACACTTCGACGTAGCGCTTGAGGTATGCATCTGGGGATTGTTTCTTGATGGGGTCCAACGATGAAAGCAGCCCACGAATATACTGTAGACGTGAAAACAGAAATAGTTCCTGAAGTTGGCGTGTAATTGAGTCAGCAGCCGCAGGGGATATGGACTCACCAGCCCCCCGAGCAAACGGTGGCAACCGGCGAAGATATGATACCACCTTGATAAGAGTGGGTAATTTAACAGACTCGCGCAGGAGCTGCAGAAGTTGCACCGTCATGGTTTTGAGAGCGTCATCCACTTGAGCCTGGATATTCTGGACAATGTGTACCTGATTATAGCGTTTTGAAAGCCGGGCAGAGTGGGCTGCCAGATCAAGAGCTTCTGCGTAGTAGCCATTGTTGACACATGCTAGTACCAGGTTAGGCAACTCCAAAATGTCTTGGATTTTCTCGAGATTCTTTAGCACAATTACTGCATCTTCTGCATTTTTAGCTGGTGGTTCAATAGACCCTACATTATTGTCGTCAATTCCTGTTGATGATCTCCTCCTTGGTTTCTCTGTAGACCCGGCACTATTTGCAGTATATCCTCCCAGTTTTTCACCATCTACAGCTGTCGACAGCCCTAGGTAGTGGTGCATTTCTTGGTCAATGTATGCGAGTTGGGCATCATAAAACCCGGCTGCTGTTTTTTCAAACTGCGCAAACTGTGCAAGTAGTGAGTCCACAACACCTGCAGATTGTAACAGCTGAGGATACGCTGCATGAGTCAGACGTGCCAACTGACCATTCACTACTTGAGACTCTGCTGCAAGCTGGTCGTCCAGCGAGGTTGCCATAATGGCGTCCAGAGAGCTTGCGCGGAGCCGTGCGACCGACGCGCGCGCGGCCGGCGCGTGCGCTACGACGCTTGCCGCGGTTTGTTTCGGTAGCGTTGGTACAAGGAGATCCAGAAGCGGATCTCCTAGGGATTTGAAGGAAGAAGAAGAAGATGAAGAAGATGGGTCATTCTGGAGAGCCCGAAGAGTGTCTGGGGGGTCCATTTTGGTGTGGGGATGCGATGCTTGGAATGTTTTTTTTTTTTTTTTCAGAGGACGAGATATGTGCTGGCAGGATTTTATTTTTTTTTTTTTGATAGTATGAAGTTATGCTATATATGGGTTAGGGTTTTTATCGCATAACAGGCGGTGCTGCTTTTTCTTTTTTTTTTATGTTTGTATGTGTGTGATGCTGCAAAAAAAAAAAAAAAAAAAAAATTCGAATTTGCTGCTGCTGCTGCTTGGGCTGCTTGGGCTGCTTGCTCTGCTGCCATTTCTGTGCTGCCCAAAAAACCTTTTTAAAACCCAACATCACCACTACCACCACCACCACCATCAATTCACATTTTACAAATTCATCTAAAACCAAACCTTTTAAAATACCTTCTTCTTCCCCTCCTCTTTTATAACCAAAAATAACCACCATTCTGCTACTTTTTTAATCTCACAAAAAAAAAAAAAAAAAAAAGAAAACAATGGAGGGCCTTTTTATCAACATTGACTTGTGAGTTTCTATCTGATTTTATTTTTTTTATTTTTTTTTGGCACAGTCCTAATACTTTGTCTAGTGGCTACATTGAGGGTATTGTCCGGGGCTACCGCAACGACCTCCTCACAGGCTCCCAGTACATGAACCTGACCCAATCTGATACTCTTGAAGGTATATCTCGTCATTTATTTATACTACTCACTTAAATAATTAACCAACTAACTAACTAACTAACTAACCAACTCTCTCTTTTAGACCTTAAACTTCAACTCTCAGCTACTGGCTACGGTAACTTTTTGGCCAACGTGCCCTCTCCCCTAGCTACCTCGGTCATTCAGGAAAAGGCCTTTGGAAAGCTTGTGGATGACTTTCGCTACGTCCGTGCACAGGCTACTGAGCCTCTCGCCAAGTTTATGGACTTTATTACTCACGGATACATGATTGATAATGTGGCCTTGCTCATCACAGGTACAGTCCACGACCGCGACCGTGAAGAAATGCTTGCACGCGTCCACCCCTTGGGTTGGTTCGAGTCTCTGCCTGCCATTTCTGTGGCTACTGATATTGCGTCGCTTTACGACATGATTCTGATTGACTCGCCACTTGCACCATACTTTAAGGACAATTTGAGCGCTGAAGAGCTCGACGACTTGAATATTGAAGTCATTCGTAATAAGCTTTACAAGGCTTATCTCCAGGAATTTTACAAGTTTTCACAAACCCTTCCTTCCCCAACCAATGAAATTATGGCCCGCTTGCTTGAGTTTGAAGCCGACCGTCGCACAATCAACATTTCCATTAACTCCATTGGTACCCAGCTCACTCGCGAAGCCCGTTTCTCACTTTTCCCAGAGTTTGGCTCTCTCTATCCTTCTGCTGCTGATGTTTTGTCACGCGCTGAAGACGTGGAACAGATCAAGTTTGGCATTGACACCAGTGGTAGCCCCACGGTCGATTCATCACTCTTGGACGGCAGCAGCAATAAGTCTCTCGAAGACCATTTTTACCAAAAGGAAATGGAACTTTGCAAGGCCGCCTTTACCCAGCAGTTTACTTATTCTACCGTCTGGGCTTGGATCAAGACCCGTGAACAGGAAATCCGCAACATTACTTGGATTGCTGAGTGCATTGCTCAAAACCAAAAGGATCGCGTCAATAACTACATTGCCGTCTTTTAAAAAAAAATGCAAACAAGCAAACAAACAAACAAACAATAACTACCTCCATCCCTCCATTCTTCTACATTTTTCGTTCATGTCTTTGTTAAATTTTTCTCTCTTTTTTTTTTTTGTTTCCCATGTATCAATAATATCTAATCCAAATTACTTATTTCATATTTTGAAAATTTTGAAAATTTTGAAAGTTAAAAAAAAAAAACCAATTCTACCACTGTTTATTATCATTATTTTATTATTACTTGCGTAGAGAGAGCGAGAGAAAAGGGGAAAAAAAAAGAAACTCATTTATCTTTTATCAGTCCATCTTAATAAAAAGATAGGGACGGGCCGGTGGAGGCGCGGGGATTTGCGCCAACAAAAACGGCATAATTTGAGGAATCGTCGATGGACCTACATTGGGAGCGGCTGTTTGCTGTTGTCCGGCCTGTGTTTGTTGTGCGGGATTGTGCACATACAATTGATGCGCTCCATGCGCCCCAGCATGATGCGCAGCCATAGCTGCATTGTGTGCTCTTGCTGCTGCCTCTGCATGTGCCGTTGCCGCAAGTTGCGCTTGCACTTGGGCATGAACCTGGGCCTGCACTGCATCCGCAAGCATGGCTGGGTGAGCCGTGTGCGAAAAAGGTTCTGCGCGGACCAAGGAGCGCGGCGGCGGCTCAAGTCCTGCTGGAATGTTAAGCGGGGGAACGACATTGCGACACTGCGTAACGTCCAGATACCGCAACCGCTGCGATTCTGTAAGCAGCCGGTTGACGCCGGTCGTAGTTACTCGGATACACCCACGCACAGAAAGCGACTCAAGCTCCAGCAAATGCAAAGCCACGGCTGTGAGTGACGCGTCCGAGACTGCAGACCCGCAAAAGGCCAGGTCTAACGACTGCAGCGCCGGACACCCAAGAGCCAACACCTCCACAGAAACATCGGTGAGCGCGCAGCAAAAGGATAAAACTAAAGACCGTAGGTTTTTTGCAGCTGAAGTTATGGCCATGATGGCCTTGTCTGTGAGAAACGTGCAGTCAGCCAGACACAAGTGTGTGAGGGCCGTGAACTGGCGTAGGGCCCAGTACGAAAACCCGTGGTCTGTGATGGAAGTGCACCGCGTCAGATTAAGCGACTCGATGCGGTCCGATGCAAACATTGCCATATGGTACATAGACCGGTCCGTAATGTGCTTGCAGTAACTGAGAGAAATGCGTTTAAGACGCGCACACCCAACAACCGTGCCACCTTGTACCGACTGGCTTCCTGGTGGAATCAAAGGATCATTTGTGGGAGGGTACTGCGGAGGAACAACCCACCCAATAAGACGTGACAGGGTTCCATCGCCAACCTTGCGGCAGTTGGAGAGATCAATTTCTTCCAAATCTGAGCCAATGGACGGCACCGTTAAGTCCATAATGGCCATGCCGGTGACTTCCCAAACAGACCTCATTTTGAAAACTTGGATTTTGGCCAAGCCAATGCCATTGACCAGATATGAAAAGCCCTCATCTGTGAGGTGGAAACAGTTGGAAATGTCAACAATCTTCGGACGTGTTCCTGCAAAGTTGGTAATGGATACAATGCTGCGATCATTGATGGTTGTATTGAATGCAGAGAGATCTAAAACGCGCATCAAAAATGGCGATGTTTGCAGCATGTGCCGCCAATGCTGGCACACTCGTCGCAGCCGCATCAAGTCTCGTAGTCCTAAGTGCTGGAAAATTTGAATCTGAATCTTATCTGGGAATGGACCAATATTAACGAGCGACGACCGCCGCCGACCACCGTAACGAGCCCGCTTCACTCGTGGATGCAGTAACAGCCCGCCAAGAGTGTGCAGTGAGGTGGAAGATGAGGTGCTCATTGGCTGTGAGTACCGTCGCCGCCGGTCCAGCGGCGACTCGTAGTTGCTGTCAGGAGCAGTTGCTGGGGCTACAATGATTGTTCCTGGGGGTTGACCGTTATTGTCTTCAGTTTCCAAGTCCAAGGGTCCTCCTCCAGAAAAGTTACTTCCACCTGGCACCATTCCCCCGGCAGAAGGAGACCCTATAGGTGCCGGAATGGCAAGAGACACAGATTTCCGACTTTGACGTGGTGGAGGGGGTTGTTGCTGATATTGTTGTTGTTGTTGTTGTTGTTGTTGTTGTTGTTGTTGTTGTTGTTGTTGTTGTTGTTGTTGTTGTTGTTGTTGTTGTTGTTGTTGTTGTTGTTGTTGTTGTTGTTGTTGTTGTTGTTGTTGTTGTTGTTGTTGTTGTTGTTGTTGTTGTTGTTGTTGTTGTTGTTGTTGTTGTTGTTGTTGTTGTTGTTGTTGTTGTTGTTGTTGTTGCTGCTGCTGGTGTTGCTGCTGCTGGTGTTGTTGCTGGTGTTGTTGTTGTTGTTGTTGTTGTTGTTGTTGCTGGTGTTGGTGTTGTTGTTGCTGCAGCTGTTGCTGCTGGAATTGCTGTTGAATATGCAACTGTTGTAGCTGATGTTGCTGTTCAAGCTGCTGCTGGAGTTCAAGCTGCTGTTTCTGCGTTTGCTCTTCCTCTAGCTGCTGCTGGGTTTGCAGCGCCGGGGCCTGATGTGGATGTTGTAAAGACTGCAATGCAAAGGATGGGTCTCCAAGGTCCGTAGAAGCTAGTGGAGGTGGAGTAATGGAAGGGGGTCGGGCAGGACTATTGCTAGATTGTAGTCCCTGAGACGACGATTCACCCAAAAAGCTTTCTTTAAAAATAGAAGACGCTTCGTGGGTAATTCCCTGGGCACTACTACTATTATTATTATTACTTCCATTATTGTTATTACCCGGACCACTATTCGCCTCATATGAATCCGGACTGTGTGGGTCCATGGGATCGAGCGGGTCTTCTGGGATTGGTGGCCGCAGGGCTGTGTCAAAGGAACCGGCAGTGTTCCAAGATTTGGAAAAAAGCCCGAGCCCGGACTCGCCCTGGCCTATATCGTCCGAGCGTTCTGGGCGGGCGGCAAACGGATCTTGGTCAAGAGGTTTTACCTTCAAGTCAATTGAAGAGGCAATACCGTGGTCAGAAGAAGAGCTGGTGGAAATGCTAGAGTGGCGGTTACGGTGTTTATGCAAATGCAAATTGTCAAGCGAGTCTGGAGTAACTGCACCGTTGCCAGTACTACTAGGTCGTGCATCATTCCCCTCGCCAAGTATACCAGATCCGGCAGCGGCTTGTCTGGGATCCCAAATGTTTTGTGACTGGTTTGTGTCCATGCGCTGTTTGGCTGTGCGCTCGATTTTAAGCGGGATATCAGGGTAGTCTACACAAAGAGCATCCAAGGCGCGCTCTGTGAGCACGAGACAAGTGACTTCGGAAACGGAGCGGACGGTTGCAGTTCTGAGGGGGGCGAGGGATAGAAAGGCCATTTCGCCAAAGTAAGCACCGCGCGAGAGCCGAGCAATGGTTGAATTTGAATCTTCGTCAATGACCTCTACTTGGCCGTCAAGGATAAAGTAAATGTCTTTGCCAGGTCTGCCTTGCTGGATGATTGTTTCAAAGGGTGCATAAGTTAAGGGCTCGATGGAGAGGGCTAGTTTGTGAAGAATTGGGGCTGGGAGTTCGGCAAAGAGGGCGAGTTCCTCGAGTAGTTCACGCACGCGAGTAGTTTCCAAGTAGATTTGGTCGCCAACGCTTCCACGGCGAGCAACAGCAGGAGTGTTTAAAGGTTGTGAAGGAGGAGGAGAAGAGGAGGAGACTGAGGATGAGGTAGGAACAAAAGACGAGTTAGTGACATTGGTAGTTGAAGAAGCCGGTGCTGTTGCTGTTGATGATGTTGATGTTGATGCTTCAGTAACCAAATCAGTTTGGATAGGTCTTTGAGGTTGCGGTTGATGCAAGATTGGGGGTTGTTGAGTTTGTATTTGCTGAGACTCTTCAGAAGGGGCTTGGGGATCCAAATTAGGGTCGATTCCAGGTCCAGGTCCAGGTCCAGGTCCAGGTCCAGGTCCAGGCTTTTGGTTCTTTTCAAGAACGGCCAGCCGCTCTTGGGCTTCGTCACGAATAAGGCGCTCGATTTCGGGGTATGCCGGAAGAACTTCATTGAGAGCATCTGCAGTAAGCACCACCAGTGTACATCTAGTTCGTGCCTGGACAGATGCAGTTCTTGGGCGGTCAAAAAGAATTCCAATTTCACCAAAAAAGGATCCTGGGCCAAGCTCAGCATGGACTGACTCGCCATCGCGAGAAACAATGCAAACTGATCCGCGAAGAATCCAATACATTGCGCGGGCCTCTTCTCCCTCAGTTATGATGAATTCATGGGCGCTTACATTAAAGGGTCGCAGTTTACTGGCAAGGGTATTGAGAAAGGGTTCAGGTGCAGATTTGAAGAGAGAGAACTCGCGGAGTCGGTCAATGATGTTTTTAGGTGGTGGGACTTGAGTGACAGTTTGTCTTCGTTGTAGTAGAGGAGGGATATCAGTTGTTGTTGAAGAGGTAGTAGCAGTAATAATAGCAGAAACAGAAGTAGAAGCTGCACCAGTAGTAGTAGTAGTAGTGGTAGTAGCAGTAGCAATTGAATTAGGGGTATTAAGATCATTACTGGGATTTGATTGAGTGGGAAGTTGTGAGTTTTCGAGAGGGCCATGTGTATTTACAAGTGGTGGCGATAAAGGGGTGTTGATTGTTTGTAATTGTGGTTGTAGTGGAGGAGAGGTTGTTGTTGATGATGATGATGATGTTGTTGTTATTTGAGCCGTTGATAATAATGGTAGTGGTGGTTGTGGTGGAGGGTTTGTTGTGGGGTCAAAATGGGTTCCACCACCACCACCACAGCTGTCATTATCATTTCGTAGTGGGACTGCAGTAATTTTATTAGTAGTATTAGTAGTAGTAGCAGCACCGGAAAGAGAAGAGGGAGGTGTTGGTGTATTTGTCGCCACTGGCCCGACATTTTGTTGTTGCAAAGGTAAAGAAGAAGAAGAAAAAAGTGTTGGAGGAGCTCCAAAGGTAAAGGAGGACTTAAAAAGTTGATTTGAGTCATCAGTTTTAGTTTCAATGTGATGGGGAGTCTCTTTTTTTTCTTTTTCCTTTTCGATTTCTTCTTCTTTTCCTTTTTCTATCTCTTCTTCTTTTCTTTCTTTTATTTCATGAGAGTGGTGAGGATTAAAGGTACTTGGAGTATTATTATTATTATCATCATTAGAAGAATTGTTAGATTCATTGGGGTCTGTTAGATTGGGACCCCTTGGTGGGCCTGAGAGTGGCATGTGCAAATGATGAAGATGAAGAAGAAGAAGATGATGATGATGAAATTAAAGAAGATGAAGAAGAGCCAAAGGATGTGAATGAGGATGGATATGAATGAATGGTTCTATAGGAGTAAAGGAAGAAGGAGGTGAGAAGCCAAGGGCATAGTGTTTTTTTAAAAAAAAAAAAGGATATTGAAACTGGAAGATAAAGACAAAGAGAAAGAATGAATAAAAAAGGATAAAAAAAATGAAGATGATTGCTTATTGTTGATTGCTTATATTTATAAAGGATTTTTGGGATTTCTAGGTAGTTATTGTTGTTATTGTTGTTATTGTTGATGTTGTGAATTGACACACAAAGGGTGAGTTGGAAGGAAAATAATTTTTTTTAATTTTTTTAATTTTTTTAATTTATTTAAAATAATAATAATAATAATAAACACATACAAAGACGACGCGTTGAGGTGTTTGAAATAAAACAAATATATATATATATATATATAAATAAAAAAAAAAAGTAAAAAGGAACCAAAAAGGGAGATCTTGAACTGAGGGAATTATTTATATCTTTATATCTTTATATAAATAATCAATTAATCTAAAAGAAGAACAAGAAGAGATTTTTTTCTTTATGAAAAAATTGAAAAATTGAAAAATGAAAATTAAAATATATATATATATATATTTGTAGACTTATTTTTTTTTAAAAAAAAAGATTCCTTTAATTTACTTAATTTAATTTAATTTACTTTAATTTAATTTACTATTTTTAAATATTATTATCTAAAATCCAATTAGTATTGATAATCTCAAGAATTAAAAATAAAAAGTGGCGATATCAATAAATCAATCAATGAATTAATCAATAAAATAATTTTTTTTTTAAAAAAAATAAAACCCGCCGTTTATTTTATTTTTTTAAAGTATATGGTGGTAGTGACACAAAAATAATTATTTTATTATTATTATTAATTATTAATTATTAATTATTAATTAATTAATGGAAGGCGCAAAAACATTTTAAAATAAAAAAAAAAGGGGGGAGGAGGAGGAGAAGGCAAACACACATATAGACAAACAGATTTTCTTTATATGCCCTAAAACTAAAAGAACTTCTGCTACTACAGCCAAGGCTGAACATTCTGGCCTCAATTTGAGGATTCATTATTCAATTTCATGATTTCATAATTTCAATAAAAAATAATAATATTTTATATATTTACTTGTTTTTTTAATTCAATCTCAAAAAAAAAAAAAAATATATATATATATATATTAAAATTATTATTAAATAATAACATAATTGTCTTTTTTCTATCTATCTTGTATTGTTTTTATAAAAAAAAAAACAAAAAAAACAATCGGTTCTTCTAATATCCTCAAAGAAGCTTTCCCATTTTCAGCAGTACAACTCTATTATCTTTCTCAGTTTAAATCTTATTATTATTATTATTTTTTTTTTTTTGAAGAGGAAGGGGGAATCCCAAAAGCTTGGAATGATTTCTTTCTCAAAAATTTTTTTTAACTTTTCTAGAACAAAAATGTCAAAAAAAAAAAAATTAAATAAATAAATAAATAAATAAATAAATAATGATAATTATTTCTTCTCATTCTTCTTTTCCTCAATCTTTTTTTTAACTTTGTTTTAACTTTTTTTTTAACTTTTTTTTTGCAAATAAACCTTTTTTTTCTTCTTCTTCTTCCTCTTCCTATTCTTTGCATTCTTCTTAATACTATTTAAACACTTGTAGAAGAATTAAAACGCATGGAATTCTGTAAAAAAACTTTTTTTTTTTCATTATCCAAAACTTTTTCTCTTCTTATGGAAAGAAGCTTTGTTTTTTTTTTGAATACTTCCTATAAGACAATATATCCATCTAAAAGATTATTACTCCCTTTTTTTTCTTCATTTTTTCATTATTTTATTACTATATAACAATATATTTCCTAAACTACTCTCCTTTTTTTTTTTTTCTTTCTTTCTTTTTTTTACTGTTTCCATTTCTCAGTCTAACCAAAACACAATAATCAATCATGCTTTCTCAATATTAGTGCACTTTTAGTGCTTTTTTTAGTGCTTTTTAAAGCCAAAAGAAAGATGCCGAGATTTACGTTTCGCAGCACTCAAGGGAACCCCTTCTTCATTGTTCCCTCCAAGATTATTGTACCGATCTGCTTGACTGCTGCCACCACCATTCTCCTTCGACCCAGCTCCACTCACAGATCGCCGAGTAGACTTAAACCGAGAAAGCCCGTAGCTATGCGAAGACGACGAAGGTAATCCACCATAAGGTGCTGGTGTTGCCCCTGCTCCCGTAGATGAATTAGCAGATGACGATGATGATGATGATAATAATGCTGGTGTTTGTTGTTGTTGTGGATATCCATTCCCATGGAACAGTGTAGGCTTTAAAGAAGGTTTGGGTAAGGGTTTGGCCGCATAGTCAGGTACAGGTGGTGGAGATGATATCGACATGCAACACTGCTGATTTTGATTTTGCTGCTGCCCTGCCGGCAGGGTCTTTTCCAAAACTTGATCAGACCAAGGTTCCTCAATAGTATCCGCAAACGGTGACAAGCTCTTATTGGGTGACGATGCAGGGGCTTGTTGTTGACTGGGATTGGCCCCAACAACAGGAACCACAGCAGGTACAGCTGCTGCTCGTTTAGAAAAAAATGCACTCATCGGTCGACGTTTGGGCGACACAGAGCGCGAAGGGGGAGGCGGAGGAGCTGCCGTGGTTGCTGCAACCGGAGCAGCTGATGCAACTGGTGCAACCGGAGCAACCGGAGCAACTGGTGCAGCTGGTGCAACTGAAATTACTGGTGCAGCTGGTGCAACTGAAATTACTGGAATTACTGGTGCAACTGGTTCAGAGGGAAATGATGTTTGAACTGTAGTAGGTGTAGGCGTCATAGTCTTGGTATTAGCCATGGTGGTAGAAACAAAAGGTACCGAAGAAGAAGATGATGAAGAATTAGTCGCCGTTGCTGCAGCCGTTGACGCAGTCGTTGCCACATAGTTAAAAGTAACAGGCTCATTATTTTCTTCATCCTGTGCAGACTTCTCTAAAGCTTCCACCTGACTATTTAGCGTCGTCATAGTCGAAACAGCAATAGGCTTTGGTGATACCACCGACGACCCATTCCCAGATCCATAAGAATGACTTGTTGGCTGGTTACTGTTCATAGACACATTAGGAACAGAAGTTTGCTGTTGCTGCTGTTGCTGTTGTTGTTGTTGTTGTTGCTGCTGAGGCGGGGCTCGGGTCGGCCGCACAATATTGACATTGGAATAAAGATTATCACGCTCATACGTTTCCTGCGACACCTCCTGGTAAAAAAGCACGTATGCCGTAGCCAAACTCTTATTATCACCAAAAAAGTTAAACACGTAGTTGGGGTCCACTGCATCCACCATTTCATCATCAAACAACAGCCAACCTGCATTTTCCGTCTTGACAACTGAAACGTAGTGGCCGTGGTAGGGCCCACCACCAATGTGCACAACAACCGCGTAAAGCTCGTACAGCTTCTCAGAGTCTTGCGCATCATCTGTTGTGTTGAAGAGGCGTAGATATTGGGGGTAGACAACCCTGTGAAACAGCTTAACATTGCGTTGCAGGTCCTCAGTATACTTGAATCGCTTCAAATGCAGCGCCAGAATTTTCGGCAGCTTTTTAATCTTCATTCGCTTTTGCGCCTCGTGGAACCCGCCGCAATGGTCGCAATTAAACTTGTTGCGTTCGCACAGCATCTCAGACGCTGAAAACTGCCGCAAACATGACGTGACTGACGTATTACGCTCAATATCAATCGACAAATCCAAAAACTGCTCGTCGCGACGTGAAACCGTTTCACATGTAAGGCATTTGGTCTCGGACGTAAGAAGTCCTTCAAATAAGTCGTGTACCCATCGGGAGCTTGAGGATGGAGATCCTGGAAGTGGCGAAGATCCAGGCACGGGCTTAACTGGTGGAGCCAGTCTATTTTGGCGATCAATGCAATCAATGACTTCATTGAGCAAAAAATTCAAAAATTCGTGGGCATCCTGGTGCATCGAGGTTCGGAAAAGTTCATTTTCACGCTTAAGCACCTGGATAAGCTTTGCCGGTGACACAATGCCAATTTGAGAGTTAACCTCAGCCATGCACTCAAAAATGTCCTTCAAGCCTGTAAAGAGGGATTCCTTCATATGATACCACTCAGCATAAGACAAGTCAACGTTGACAATAGGGCCCTTGATGAGAGCAGCACGCTTGCGGACCTCAGGCGTGGTGGAGCGGTCAATTGTGTGGCCAACGACCGGAATATTTTGGCCTGATTGGCGAATGCCAAGATAAATGGTTCGGAGTGCCGGGTATAGTAGCCGAGAGTTTTGATAAGAGGTCGGGCCATTGGTATCAAAGGCTACACTGTTGGGAAGTGGAATGGCTTTAGTATCGTGGAGTAGATGCGAGTGATCCACGTCTTTTTCTTCCTCGGCGATTTGGTGTTCTGGGTCTTGTTGATGCTGGAAATCATTATGATTACCATTTTGTGTGGGCAGTTGATGTGATGCAATGTTTGAAGATGACGTTGAAGAAGGCAAGTTGGAACTTGTGCCTGGGGTATTATTATTACTATTATTGTTGTTATTATTATAGTTGTTGTTATTATTACTATTACTATTATTGTTGTTATAGTTATTATTGCCATTTAATGAGCCATTTATGGGCTCTGGAACAGTTTTTAAAGTATTTGAAGAAGATGATGATGACTGCTTGTCTTTATCTTTGTCTTTATCTTTATCCTTATTGTATCCAAAGATGGAAAGTCTTCGTCCGAGTGAGGCCTGAGACTTGCCATTGGAATCATGTGAGCTTGATGATGGTGTATTTGTATTAGGAGATGCTGCTGGAGGGATCGATGGACTTAAGGATGACGTGGATCCTGACGGAAGATGGTTATGATGGAAAGAAGGGTTGGGATTAGACATAACTGCCCCAGATGAGAGATTATTATGTGGTCCACCATTCGGGTTGGACATGTTTGCAGCAGTACTTGCAATTGTAGCTGTTGTTGGATTTGATGTTACAACTGCTGCTGCTACTGGATCAACTGTAAATGGGTGTGGCTTGAGACCCGGGACGGTAGTTCGGCGTTTATGGGTAGAGCCTGCGGGGTCCGGAGAAAACGAAATGACGTGCTCTCGAAAGGGCTTTGAGTAGTAAAGGCATTGAAGCACTGAGTTGCAGTAGCAGGTGTTACCAAAGTTCTCAAAGCCAAATATTTTGTTTGCCGAGTCTGCGAGAATGTCATTGACGACAGTATTGTTTGTGTTGGTGTTGGTGTTTATAGGAGCTGGTGAAGGTGAAGGTGCTAAAGAGGCCGAAGCCACGGCCGAGGCTGAGGGGGGTCTTTGAAGTGAAGGAGGTGGCGGTGGGGAAGAGATGGCTGTCTGGGCCTGTGGGACGACGATGGAGGGGACCATCGTATATGTGAAGTTTAGAGAGAAAGAGAGAGATTTTCAAGGAAAAATAGGGATGAAAAAAAAAAATAATAATAATAATAATGTCCTTTGATAATTATGGGTGGAAAGTTTGGTAAGAGAAGAGGAGTTTTATTTTATTTATTTTATTTTTATTTTGGGGGGAAAGAAAGAAATATTATTATAGTATATATAAAATAAATGAGATATTGAAGGATATATTGAAAATATTTCAATATTTATATAATGATAATAATAATAATAATATTCATAAACCTATTATTATTATTATTATTGTTGGGAAAAAAAAAAAAAAAAAAAAAAAAGAAAAGGCGCGAGATATTGGCGGAGAGACTATTTTTTTATTTTTTTATTTTGGAAAAAAAAGAAGGATCTGTTATGTAAGCACCTGTAGTAGCATTATTACAGGCCTTTTTTGGGGGGAGGAGGAAGAAGGAGACGAGGAAAGAAAAGAAATTGAGGAGATTTCAACAAGTTTGTTCTTAAGAGTGGGGGGAAAAAAAATATATATATATATATAGAAGAAATTAAAGAGGGGCGGCTAAAAAAAAAGGAAGAAGAAGAAAAATTGACATTACATTAAATTAAATTCTCAAATAAAATGTAACATAAATGTAATGAGATTATATTATATATATATATACTATATATAGTTATCTTAAAGTAACAGGTCTAACAACTCAATATATTCAAAATGATCTTACAAAATGGTGACGTCAATAGAAAATATATTTTTTTTTCTTTTTCTTTCCTATTGACTTCAGTATATATATATGCATAATGCTTCTAATCTTGGACTTTAGATAACATGAATAAAGAAGCATATTTATAAAAAAAAAAAACTTGTTTTTTGTTTTTTGTTTTTTGTTTTTCTTTTTAATGCTCTTCAATCGGAAGATCGGTCTAGAGGAAACCGTTCAAGGTCCGGAGTATGGAATGTGGAAGAAGAGACAATCGGAGAATGTGTATTAATAGTATCACCATAGCGATATCTATTTCCGTCATTGGCAAAGCCTCCATTTCTTAATCCTGCTTCTTCATGGCTTTCGTCATCATAATTTTCATCATTATCATCATTATCATCATCGTTAAGAATTATACGGCCGTCGTGGAGTGAAGGATCAATAAGAGCTTGGAGTCTGTAAGTGGCAGTACTTACTATTGGTGCTAGTGCGCTTTTGAATGAGTATACTAGGATGGCCGAGCATACTACAAAAAGGCTGAGTGTCTATATTTTATTTTTTTTTTATTTTTTTTTCAAAAAAAGAAAAAAAAAGATAAAAAAAAAGAATTATATTAATAGAATGAAATCAATTAATGATAATTATTAAAGAAAACACTTACAAATAAGAGATTCCCATTAGTCATTAAAAAAAATCTGTCATGGATTTTTAAATTGATGATGTCGATTTTATCCTTATAATAATAAAAAATATTTTTTTATTATTTTGGTTTGTTATGATCTGTTTAGTTAACCAATAGCCAAATCCTTTATGTTTGTTGGTTTGTTGGTTTGTTGATGTTGATGTTGTTGTTGTTGTTGTTGGCTGGTGGTTGTGTTTGTGTTTGTGTTTGTGGTTGAGTTGGTGGTTAACTTGGCAGGCTGTTTATGGGAAACCAGGAATAGTTTGTCTTATATTATTGTTAGTTATTGTTAACTTAAAATTATAATTAATCTAACTGTGACTTGTTATTTTTTTGTTACCAATACTATTTTTCACGTGAATCGTTGTGACATTACATTTAGCTAACCTAAAAATAGCACCACCAGACTAAATGCCCCGAAGCGAAAAATTTCAGGGCCCTAGTAAAAAATTAAAAATAAATAAATAAAAAAAAACCTCCTTTAAACAAAAATGGTAATAACCGTTTTTTTTTTTTTTTGGTCTGAGCAAAGGTTTTTTTTTTTTTTAATCTTTTGTTGTTTTATTCAATTGCTTTTAATATATTTATATATATATATATATATTTGCTATTCAAAGATTCAACTTTTTGTTCCTTCTCTATTTTTTTCTTGCTACCAAAAAAAAAAATACAAGCAAAAAGCCTGTTTTTTTTTTTTTGGCGTACTCTCGTTAATACCTAAACTATACCACAAGCTTTTAAACATTGATATATTAAATCTCACCTTCTTTTCATCCGAATCCAAGACATTTCCCCCATTGCCTAAAATCTTAAATATTAATAAACAAACAAATAAATAAAGAAATAAAGAAATAAACAATTATAAAACAATGGACCAAAACTACCGACCAGATGATCTTCAAAATGATCAGAACCAACTAGCAAACCTAGACATTCATCATAATAGCCCTGGACCAACTCTCACTGTTTCACCTCCTCAAGAAGAAGATAATTTGCATTCAATTGAGACCTCAATGACCATGGAGTCTCAAAAGCCAACCAGCTTCTCAAGTCCACTCTCGTTAACTTCTTCCTCACCTGAAATGGCTCTGGACTCGGCAACAGCCTTGGTCATGGATGCTTACGCAGACCTATACCATTCAGCATCTCCCGACCACGTCGATTCTACCGGAAATAACGACATTGGAGAGTCCCAAGTCCACCAGAGCCCCGGTGTTGATGTGGATTCTGCATTTCATCAGGTAGGCACGGATGGTGATAATAACAACACCTATCCTGCCGTTTCAAATGTTCCCATTATCGCTAACTCTATCACCGCTACCGTTACCGCTACCACTAGCACTAGCACTACCACCACCACCACCACCGCTGCTACCACTGCCACCAGTCCGACTGGCTTTAAAAATATTAATAACCGCAACATGGCTGCTTACACTGACACAACAACTAACAACTCACCTATTTTCACCACCACCAAATCCTCCACCTTTCCAAACAAAACTCATCCAGATTCCTCTTCTTCTTCTTCACTTGCCACCAAAATGCCTGCCAAAAACACAATCACCCGTGTTCAAAGCGACCAGGCAAGCGACGACAGTTCTCGAGATATTCATTCAAACATTCCTCAAACAAATGCATCCTTCCAAGACCCTATAGACCCCTCAGGAGGTTCGTTTGATGTTAATGTTCCTCCCTTGGACCATGTTTATCAACAATACCAACAACAACAATCTTCACCTCCATCTGTCCAACCCTACAATCAAAGCCCTCAACATCTTTCTGCTCCTCGTGGTCCCAGGTCTCCTCTTCGTAAGGGGCATTCGCCTTCCCCATCCATCTCCAGTATACCCGAAGATGGCTACTACCAGCCTGAATACCAACAGCAACAGCAACAACCGGAATACCAAACTTCAGACCAAAACAGTTTTAATAATAACTCTTTCCCAATCTCTGCTTCTCTTTCTCAAATTAACCCAGGCTATGGAAGGTCTTCTCCTAGCAAGGTCCCAAACTTGTCCAACTATGGCGACTTTAATAACCAACAACAACAACAACAACAACTACCTCCCTCTGCATCTTATCCTCAAATCGTAGCCCCAGTCGCCCAACCAGCAATCGCTCATCCGGCTTTCCGCCAACGTGGCATGCCTCCCTACCCTGCTATTCCATCTCCATCATCAAGATCCTCCTCTCCAGCTATTCGCCAACAACAACAACAACAGCAGCAGCAGAACAATCATCAGCAACAGTTTGCTGGATTTGGCTATGCTGCCCCAGAGTCAAACAATAGTGTCAATAGCCTGGCCCCACCTGTTCCAAGCTTCTCGATGCGCCCACACAGCCCGGGCTCAGACCCTTCCCACATTGTGCCCTCCGCATCCACCCCCAACGTTATGAACCCCTCCTCGGTTCCAAACTCTCCGAGACTCTCCCCCATGCTCCACCCCCAACGTAACTCCTCAGGTAACTTTATGGGCCAGCCCCAAGCTTCCCGCAGCTCCGTCCGTCTCGGAACCCCAAGCAACTCGCGCCCATTCTCCTCGCTCTCAACAACATCCTCCTTTGACGGTTCTGGAGGCTCTGGCCATCAAACAGACTTTTACAGCTACACCAATAATGGTTCAGGCTCTGGTCGCACAATGGGCGGTCCAGGCCACGGCCGAACCCAGTCTATGGCTTTTACTGACCTTGCCGGAACTTCTGCCTTTGATCTTTCTCAAACATTCATCTCCTCAAACCTCGGTGCTAACTCGTCTTCCTTAGTCCCACGCATGAAAACCATTGAAATGTACCGTAAAAATGCAAAAAAATCAAATGACCCCGTCATCCAGTTCCAGTTTGCTCAGTACATGCTTCAAACAGCCCTTCTAGCTACCGCAAACTCGGCTGGCGGTGCCCCCAAGTCTCCATCTTTCAGCGCTTTGGATGCTGCTGGCGATGAAAATGACGACGATGACTTTGCCCTAGAGTTTGCCCCCCTTCCTAACCAGTCTTCAAGTGCCTCCATCATGTCTTCATCAGGCGTTGACCCTACGGCTTCCCCTGCCTTGGGCCCGTATACCCCAAGAGACGAGTACCGCATTAAACGTGGGCTTCTCAAAGAAAGTGTTTCTCTTCTTAGGAAACTTGCAGATAAAGGTTATGCTGACGCACAATATATCTTGGGTGACGCGTATGCCTCTGGTGCCTTGGGCAAAAGAGACCTTAAAGAGTCCTTTGCTCTATTGCAACTCGCAGCAAAACACGGTCATGCTGAGGCATCATATCGTACTGCACTGTGTCTCGAAGAAGGCTGGGGTACGTCAAAGGATCCTCGTCGTGCACTCCAGTTTTTGCGTCAAGCAGCTTCCCGCAACCATCCTGGTGCTATGCTGCGACTCGGTGTTGCCAGCTTTTATGGCAAGTTGGGTCTCCACATGGGTCTTTCCAGCTCCAACAAAGTCAAGGTTCAGCAAGATGGTATTCGTTGGCTTACGCGTGCTGCCGACGTGGCCAATGACATTTTCCCCCAAGGCCCCTACGAACTGGCCAAGATTTACGAGGAAGGTTACCGCGACTTGATTTTTAAGGATTTGCAGTATGCAGTCCAACTCTATGTCAAATCGGCTGATCTTGGGTATGTCCCTGCAGCTTCAAAGCTGGGCCGTGCCTACGAGTATGGTGATTTGGGATGCCCCCAGGATGCTGCATTATCGATCCATTACTACACTATTGGAGCCATGGGCGGGGACCCGACTGCCATGCTGGCCATGTGTGCCTGGTACATGGTTGGTGCTGAGCCGATGCTTCCGCGCAATGAGGACGAGGCTTATGAATGGGCCGCACGAGCTGCAGAGCGCGGACTTCCCAAGGCCCAATACGCGGCTGGGTATTTTTTGGAAAACGGGATTGGCACCGAGCGTGACATTTTGCAAGCTTCCCGTTGGTTCCACAAGGCAGCCGAAGGCGGGGATGAGCGTGCCATTGAACGTATCAAAAATAACCGTATTCTGGCGTCAAAGCCCAATACCAAGCACCGCAAGAAAAGTACAAGTAACTTGCGAGCACTTGTATCAGGATCTACAGAAGGATCTCGTGCTGCGTCTATGACGGAGTCTATGAGACAAAACCAGCAGCAGCAAGGAGAATTAATTGCATCACAGAATTCTATCCGTGGATCGACTTCTAGTCCTGTTCCGTCTCATGCACCATCCCATGCTCCTTCACGAGCCCAATCCCAGGTTGTTTATTCTGAGCAACAGCAGCAGCAGCAACAACAACAGCAGCAGCAGCAACAACAACAGCAGCAGCAGCAGCATGAACTGGGATCTGAGTTTGAGCAGTTGTCGCTTGCTGACAATGGAGAAAGACATTTTGACGGAGAAGGCCTTGAAGGGGCGCAAGTTACATCTCATACTGAAGGTATCAGTGTGAATGAGATTGCCGACGATCCACTCATGGACGAGCTGACCTCGAAGAAGAAGAAGGACAAGGATTGCATAGTCATGTAGAGATAAGCAAGCAAGTAAGTAAGCAAGCTAGCTAGCAAAATTTGGGATTATAAGATACATATACATAAAATGGATTTCAAAAATAGTATAACCTTGATTCTGGTATCGTTAGTTGGGTTTAGTTAGAGAGATACAGGTTTGGTTAACATGAAAAATGTCAAAAAAAAAAGTAAATAAATAAAAGATTTTTAATATATAAAGAAAAGAAAATAGCAAAACATTTACAAAACAAATATAACAATGGATCATCATTAACATCTTTTTTTTTAATAATTCAAAATTGAGGAAATCGCGATTCTTGTTTGGACTGAGTCGCCTGGTTATTATTATTTAAATCCGCTTTTCTTGTCCACCAGTGAAATGTTTTCTGGTTAACGCGCTGTGGCGCTTTCTCCCAATCTTGACCGTTTATTTCCAGCTCAAGGCCATCACCCCTACTATCACCGCTACCATTACCCCTATCATTGCCCCTACCGCCGCTACTGCCGCTACTTCCGCTACTTCCGCCCAGAGTTTCCCCGCCCTCGGAATGCCCCACTCCGCTGCAACTATGGCCGCCAGATTCCTGGTCAGGAAGCCCTGGGTCCAGTGCTGAGACGTAGTTTGCAGGCTCGCGCCAGCGTAACTGGAACTTTGGACACAGTCTTCCTCCTGTGCAGCACCGGCTTTGGCTTTTGTTTGGTACAGAAGGATGAGAAGGAGAAGGAGCAGGAGGAGGAAGAGGAGGAAGAGGAGAAGAAGAAGGGGGTGTTTCAGAAGTCGTGCGGACTGACCCGCTAAGTGGGAAAACACCTGCAGCGCCCGAATGCTTTTCGTCAGCTACAGAAGCAGAAGCTGCCGAAGATACATGCGAAGACCATGATGCAACGTCGCGAGGATCTGTTGTGACAGCGCGTCCGTCGACGCAACGGGTGCGGCGCGCAAGGATCATGGTAGTAAAGGCTGGCGGGAAGTAAATGCAAAGAAGCAGGTAGCTTGTGAAAGACACGAAAAGTCCGACGGGAAAAGCAAAGTAAAAAAACCGGGTCCCTTGAAGTGTAATGTTGACACCGAGTTGGCCCAGGAACCCATAAAAGTTGGGCGCAATTCCTAGCACGTACGCGATATATGCGCGTGGATTGATTCCACGCGTATAGTAGTATACCCCGCGACGCGAGGCCGTGTACAAATCAGGCTCGACGGCGAGCAGACCCCCAGTGACGATATAGTAATGAGCCAGCATGACACCGGCAATGGCTGAGAGAAAAATCTGGTAGCTGGAGAGCCATTTGATGAAGCTGGTAGCGGTTCCCATGAGTTTCCAAGGAACGCAAGCCCAGGTGAGCAGGGCGCAGACCATAAAGCTGCGTTTAATGGTGAGTTTGCGTGGGTATAGAGCAGCCAAGTCGTTACCTGCAGGAAGCACGTTTTCCACAATGCAAGAAAAGAGACCGCTGTAGGCAAAGCACAAGGCAATGAGAAACGCGCCGGCACGATTCCCTTTCGTGTAGTTTTGCGTCTGAATCATGTCCAAGTACACAATGGGGTTCCACACGAGCGAAGATTTGGTGGCTGAGGTGATGCCTGCACCGGCAGCATGAGCTGCAGCGCCCGAGTGTGGATCAATGACAGCGACACTTGTAGCGCCAACAATCACACCGACAAGACCAATGATAAAATTTGATAGAGGGAAGCCAACGACTTGCCCCCAAATGGCGTCGTTTGGGTTCCGCGTGTAGCGCTGGAGGTCAGCAGCATTTACAATAAAGGTGGAGTTGTTTGCCCATGACAGGAAAATGAATCGGGCCAGCAGCCAGCTGCGGGCAGATCCGGTGAGAACCACATTATTACGGGAGTTAATGACTGAATGCGGGAGTCCTCCAGCCAGTGCAAGAGTCCAGGCCAGCATGGCGATGGCAGAAGCTACGAAAACCGGGACCTTTGTGTTGAGATAGTACTTGAGCTTAGGGACTGGGATGAACCAGAGACCAGCCACAAGAAGAACCCAAGAAATGGTAAAGCCAATCATGCCGCCTGTGTTGAGGGCATCGTCTGGGGCCATGCCATTGGGAAGCCGCGCAATCGAGGGGAAGATTGCGTGGAGCATTGTGTAAATGGCCTGACCACACTGGACAAGATTAACACCATTCCAGATGATGGACATGACGATGCGGTTGATGACGGGCCAAGCTGCACCAAAAACGCCAAAGCTAGCTCTGGCCAAGACTGGGAATCCAACGTGGTATATTGCACCACCTCGGCCGTTGAGAGCCATCATGACGCCGGCAATAAACTGACCTGCCAAGTGGCACCCAAGAGCTTCCCACATGGTGAGGCCGACTGTCATGAAGGATGTTGGCGAGTACCAGTTTGAAAGGTTTGCGGCCGCAGCAAACCAAAACAAGTACGATGTCCAGCGGCCCCACGTGCGGTGGGCCACAGGTGTTGGACGGAGGTCCGGGCTGTCGAGCCACTTGGACGGTTGCAAGGAGAGATGCGGGTCAGTTTCTGGAGGAGAGAGATGAGAAAAGACGGTAATTCCGGAGCTCGGATGCGGAGCTCTGGACGGGTGGGACATTAGGGAGAGAAGGTCTCTGTCTTTTGTTACTTATATTTGTATTTGTATTTATATCTGTATTTATATTTATATTTGTATTTAAATACAAATTTATATTTGTTTTTGAATAATGGTAAGTGGTGGTGATTAGAGTGTGTGGTTTTTTATGGGCAGAATAGAACGTTTAATGGTAGGAAGACCTAATTAGACTTTGAAGATTTGAAAGACTGAAAAAAAAAAAAAAAAAAAAAAAAAAAAAAAAAAAGGGAAGCTGCTGGTTCTAGATAGAAAGACAGAAAGGGAAAAAGGACTTTAAGAGATGATGATGGAAGGAAAGAAGTTCAGATTGAGAAGTTCTAAGAGAAACAACCAAACATTGCTTTAATCATAAAGACCACGACGATGACAGCCAAGATTGGGTTTAAGATTGGCTCAGCTGTGTAAAACAAAAAGTTTTGTGCCCACCTCAATCGCAAGCATCGTGATTCTGACTGAATGGGGTAACTTGGCAAACAATTTTGATCGCAGCCAGTCATGACCATTAACACTACTACCACCACCACCACCACCACCACCACCTCTGACAGCTGTTAATCTCATTGCTCCCCGGGTCCCACAATTATCATCTAAAAACCCGGGTCCCATGGAAATTTTTATTTTAACAAAAAAAAAACGCCTGCCCCTGTAACGCGGCTGTGCTCCCTCAAAGCTCGGTAATTAATGCCTAATCCGTACAAAAATAATTTATCCTAGTATATATATATATATACGTTAAAAAAATACCCTGACTGCTCAACTTTAGAGTTGGTGGTAGATCTACCCACTTTCTCTCTCTCTAGCCCTCAAGCAATTCAATCCCAACTGTCCGCAATGCATCCACCGCCCACTTCGGGTACTGCGTCTTGTCGCCTGAGTACCAGTCATGGAAAAATTGACGCACAAATGCTGGGTACTCATCACGCAGAATCGCTGCCCGCGCAGTCCGCATCAGATTCAACTGGTAATACACATTGTGCAGCGTGAGCAGGTGTGCACCCGCAGTTTCTTTGGCCGCCAAATGCGCAATCATGGCTCGTGTCATCCCCATCCCGTTGTTGTCTGCGCGTGGACGACACACAGGGCATCGGCATCCTTCTTCTAATGGCCCAAAGTCATCCGCATACTGTCGGTTCTTCAAATTGATGACACCATGTTTGGTGATGGCATTGCCGAACCGAGCAGTGCGTGTAGGATATACACAGTCAAAAAGATCAGCACCAAGTGCAACCGAGACAACAAGATCTTCAGCATAACCCTTAATTGAAAAAGAAAAAAAAAACCGTTAGATTTGTATGAGATAAACAAAGTCTTTGGGATACTTACCACACCCATGCAGTACCGAGGTTTGTTTTCTGGAAGAATACTGGTGCAAAGATTGACTCTAAAAATAAAAAAAAGTTAGATCATCTCGATAATCAAAAGTCACCTTTTTTTTTTTACTCACACTGAACAGTAAGACTCCTTATCTTCGCCTCCAGAAAGACCGCCAATGGCAATTCCAGGAGTATCTCGCTTTGTCATTTCGTCACAGCACTTGCGGCGTAGATCCAAATCAAGCCCACCTTGGATAATGGCAAATATGTTTTGGCGCTCAGGGTGCTTGTGTGCAGCAATGCACCGGTCCAGCCATCTCACACTGCGGTGCATGGCCTCCTCGACGCGTGGACCAGTCGTTAGTGTAGCCACCACATCGTCCAGCTGCATAATGATATCCGAGCCAATCGAGTTTTGCAGAGAAATTGAATGCTCCGGGGTTAGCAGCATAGGTGATCCGTCGTGCGGACTCAGGAAATTAACACCTTCCTCTGTAATGGTGGCTAGTTTCAACAAAGACACCATCTGGAACCCGCCAGAGTCCGTGAGAATATTACGCGACCATGACTGTAACTTATGTGCACCACCAACCGCATCCAATGTCTCTTGTCCAGGTTTCAACCCCAAGTGATACGTATTGTTCAGGCAGATACGACAGTCAAGCTGCTCAAGCTGCTCAGGTGTAATACCCTTGAGCGATGCTTGGGTGGCTACTGGCATGAACATTGGAGTCTCCACAACACCATGTGGAAGAGTCATGTTTGCAGCCCGAGCCTTGGACCGCGAACAGGTCTTGAGAAGATCAAACTTAAGAGCGTAACCAGCTTTGTTCATCTCGGGTGTGGTCGTCGTCATGGCTTGTTTTGATGGAAGCAAAAAAAAAAAAATTTTCAGTGGTGGGGGGTAGAGGATTTAAAAAAAAAAATTCAGTCAATACATAGTCTTAAAAAAGCTCTCATAAAAATTTTTCTTCTTCATCTTCATCATTTTTTTTCCAAACAATCCTACCGAAATAATGTCCTTCCAGAGAAAAACAGTGTCTCTTGCAAATACAGCCAGAGGCGGTTCTCTTCCGGCACGTGGCCCGGAAGGTGTAACTGGAAGACCTATCCATCCCGGTACCAGACCCATTGTACGGCCTGGTGTTGTTCCTCGACCAGGCGCTGGTGCAACAGCAACGCCACTTGCTCTTTCGCGCAAAGAAATTCTTGCAGCAACCATGCGTCGCCACGGGGCCGTGCGACCGTCAATACAGTTATCTGATATTCCAACTGTGTCTACAGGAACCCCTGATTTGGATACCCTTCTGGGCCACGGTGGCCTGCCCTTGGGCTCCATGTTACTAGTTGAGGAGTCTGGAAACACTGACTTTGCAGCATTGTTGCTGCGCGCGGCTGCCGCCCAGGGTATATGCCACGCCCGTCTGACAACCAAAAACACCCCAGACTCGGTGTATGATACCCGTGTGATTGTAGTTGGCGCCGATGGTCCTACGTGGGGTACAGGGCTGCCTGGCGAGTATCGCGACAAGAAGCAAGCCAAGCGTGACAAAATTGAAAAGGAAAAGGGGCTCGTTGGCACCGACAATAGTAGCATGAAGATTGCATGGAGATATGGCCGACAGGCTGCAACTCCATCAGAAGCTGGGTCTTCTCCAATCACAGAAAATAATCCCCATTACCATACCGTGTTTGATTTTACATCACGACTAGTGCCTGGTCCTGTGGCTGGTCGTGAGATTGAGTATGTTGGCGGTGGAGTCTACTTTGCTCAACCAAGTACTCCGGGATCCTTTTTGGATAACCTTTATATTCAAATTGAAGCTGCAGTTTCACGTGCACGTACAGCTGTGGGCCCACACGGTCTGATTCGTCTTGTAGTTCCAGCTCTGTTACACCCAGCTACGTACCCTCCTGAAGCGTCTGACCCTGCACAGCTTTTACGGTTTCTATCGAGGCTGAAGGACCTGGTTGGTGCTTCTTCACAAGTTGGGAACTTGGTGGCTTTTGTGTCTCTTGCGCTCGATCTTTATCCGCGCGAAACTTACTTAACTTCGTGGACTGAGCAACTATTTGACGGCGTGATCCAACTGGAGCCGTTCCCTGAGAAGCTAGGAGAGTCGGATAATAGCAATAACGACGAGAGTTCTGGTGCTTCTAAACCATACCAAGGTTTGGTTCATGTATTCCGAGTACCGGTATTGAGTGCGCGGGGCGGCATGCATGTGCGTGTGGGCGAGCACGCGTTCCGAGTGAGTCGCAAACGATTTGAGATTGATGAGTGGGGCATTCCTGTGGAGGATGAGGAACCTGAGGCAAGTTCTGGAGATAAAACTAAGAAACCTGGGTCTTCTGAGGCTCCGAGTCCCGTTCCATCTTTGGATTTCTAGGGAGGGGCGATACACATAATGTGCCAACTATATAAGATTTCTTTTTGCTGTTGATTTGAGCACCGAGTGTGTGGGTTTGTACCGAAGTCAGAAAATGCGCCGCATATACCTTTTTTGTAATTTACACACGTGACTGATAACTGACCAGTCAGGACTGCGCAAATAAAAGCAGCGCGGCTTTCCCAGACCTCCCATTTGGAAGCTGTCTGGGTGAGATTTTTTTTTTTGTTTGGCTTTTTGGCGGCTCTGCAATTCGCACAAAATTTTCCCTTTCCTCAACTCCTCCCATAGTCCCCAAATCACCATTACCATCACCACCACCACACACACAACCCTTAAATATCCCCACCCACATATATATATATATATTAATACACACATATACACACAAAATGACCCGAAGTACGTGCAGCCGCTCTCAGCTATTTAAGCAACGACTTTTGAAACTAACCTTTTGATCTTCTTTCTTATCCAGGCACAGAACACCAGCGCCCCGAACTCGTCTCTTTCGATGACATTGACTACAGCGACAACCAGGCCCTGAAGCAGGCTCAGGAAAGTTTTGTCCGGGAACAGTGGATTCGTGTCGAGGCCCTCAAGACCGTCCGCCGTGCCCTTGAGAAGTGCTTCCAGACCCAGGGCGTCAACCAGTACGAGAACTGCAAGGACATTGCTGAAAAATACCTCGACATGCTTCCTACCCACAGAGTTAAAGGATACCTGGCTTACCAGCGAAACGACCCACGGAAATAGATGTCTTCCCATCTTTTTCTTCTAATGATATATCCCTTTTTTCTTCATTAATAAAACTCTCAGCATGCAATTCTTCTTTTTATCTTTCTTTTTCTTTTTTTTTTTGTACACTAATATCTAAGGCTTACTTCTTACTACAGGTTTTTTTTTCATTTTTTTTCCTTTCTCTTATTTTCAAATGACTTTTCCCATTAATATATGCATTGATTTATTTGCGACGACGGGGTTGAGACTCAGAAGATGAACTTGTGGCCTTCTCAGCAGCTTCGGCCGCATCCTCCAGTTTGAGTGAGGCCGCCACACTAGTGCTCAATCGCTTCTTGTGTTTAGAATGTCGCGGCGTCGATGGCACACTTTTCTCCGTCATCCCGCCATCCTCCCCATTAACTGCTTTATTTTCTTCTCCGTAGCCATCAGATAAGCTGTCATCATTTACATCATGCTCTTCAAACCCGCTTGTATCAAACTTGAGCGAGGACACATTTTCAGCTGGAGTCCCACCACCTACTTGCGTAGTTGACTCTTTTTGGTGATCCTCGAAATTTTGCTCCGCAATCTTTGCCGATACACTGCGCTTTTTCTTTTCCTGTCCGTTGCGTGCACCGCAATGTGGGCAAATGTAAACGACGTATTGTGGAAGCTCACCAGGTTGCGCAAGCCCGTTGTGATTGTGACAATTCTTGCAAATGAGCGCGTACCGTGACTTGGGGCTATACTCGTCTTCACCAACAATCACATCCAAAATCCGATCGTACCATTTAGGCTGATATGCAATGTTGTACACTGCACCAAGGGTTTGCGGCTGGGTCGGGACCGAGTCTGGGCCCGGTTGTCCCGAGGTTTGCTTAAGTAATGGCAGGTTAGGCGAAAACTCAAAATTCTGCACCGCAAACGAATTGCGTTTGTTGCCATCAGATGGTGTTGCTGCTGAAGATGACAATTCGCCAGTCGGAACAGCTCCAGGGGGAATTGCCTTTTTTATGCCTGATGAAGAAGAAGCAACTCGGCTTCTAGGACCAGGTCTTTTATGCTGCTGTTGTTGTTGTTGCTGTTGCTGTTGCTGCTGCAGTTGCTGCTGCTGTAATTGCTGTTGCTGCTTGGCATCAAATGTAGAATCAAATCTTTCCAAAAGTGCTTTCGTGGAGTAAAAATTGGTCGATTGTTTAAGTTCTTCAATCTTTTCCTTCTGTTCGGTCTGTAATGCTTTAATGCGCTCAGCCACTCCAGCACTTGCGCGTGAAAAGTACCAAGTGATGAGCCTACGCACTAGGTAAATGAAAAAAGGTGTAGCAACCGCTGTTCCAGCCTGAGGCAGGGACACAGCCCGTGCTCCTTGAGTAGAATATGTAAATACAATGAGTACCAGGTAAGCAAGATACACCAAAATCGAGTAGAGAGTGAACAGTCCGGCAATCTTGCGTTGTCGGATGTTGTAGGTGTATACCCGTTGCTGGTTCTGGTTAATTTTTTGCGCAATCTGTGCCAGCTCACGCTCGTATGATTGCGGCGATGAGGACTAAGGATGTTCATTAGTTATGATTTAAAATAAAAAACAAAACAATTGAATAAAAAAATACGCACCGACTTAAAGGGAAACCACTTAGAAAAAAAGGGCATTGTCATTCAAAAATTTGAAGAATATTGATTGTTTAGTGGTGGCGGGTTAATAGAGTGAGTGGAGAATTTCCATAAACATTTGTTATTTTTATTTATTTTTTTTTTTTGGATGATCTTCTGAGACGATGATGATGACGCTGAACGTTTGAAAATAAAACCATGAGTGGAATCACGTGCTAAAATTAACTCAACTATTATTGTTATTATTATTAAGTAATCATAAAGTAATAATTAAGTAAATTTCAATTCTGGCAAGATAATGATCTTTCCAATCGCCAAAGTTGCTGTAGTTAAAAAGAAGCAACTTGAAAAGGAAATGAATATCTTATCTTAAAATTGTTATTTGATCATTCAAACTAACTAAACCTACCACCAATAATTTAAACTCAAAAACTTAAAAACTCAAAAATTCAATAGTTTTGTTTTTCTGCGGGAAAATGCTTCTTCCAATGATACAGAAGAGCTTTCTGAGCCTACCTAAATCCTAATAGATTGAGGGCCTCATTGACTACGAGTTTTATCTGAGATATGAGCAGTTTATGGAAAAGCCTTCAGAACAGCTATTATTAATGATTTCTTTTATTTATATTTGGATGAGTCATTTTGTGAGAGTCAATTGGAAAATGCAGAGTTTATGAAAAAGTTTATGAAAACATATCACAGTGTGGAAGAATTTGCTAAGAAAGAGGGTATAGATTGTTGTAATCATTCGTGATGCTGAGCTAACTGCTGTGATTGACGGTTTACCTCAAGTTATTACAGTTCTTATGTATTTGCATGCATTGAAGAATTCTTGCCAAAGACCTGGGGAAGTGCGTGAAGATAATAGTGGATTGATGTTGAATTTCTCTGGGAAAAAAAATTGAAACGATGTATTTGAATGAAAGAAAGTCAGGATCAATTCAGAGCCTCAATATTGATTGTATTTACTTTTTTTTTTTTTTTTTTTTTTTTGATAAGTTGATTATGTAACAAATTCGTTTAGTTTTTAAATGACATAATCTATTTATCAAAAAAAAAAAAAAAAGCCAAGTTTAACTCACTGTAATGTAGATCAATTTTAAAATTTGGAGAAATAAAAAAAATATCATAGACTTGGCGATGACAAACTGGTAGAAATTGTCAAATTAACTTGATTTTAAAATAACTATCCAAGCTTCATGGTTTTAAATTTTGGATTTTAACATTACGGATCATGTATTTCAAAATTATATGTCGCTTTATTGTTCCTTTTTTTTTGTTGTTTTTTCAGCTACATCAGCTCTGCCTTGTGCCAGCATACCATGTTTCCACGAAATAATTTGATTTAATTTAATATTTTATTGTTTTTTATTAGAATTATAAGTCTACTATATATAACATTAACTACCCTATAGTTTCTTCATTTTTTTATTCGACATCAACAGGATGACAGCTGTTCAATCATTTCTTCCTTTATTTTCCGACAACAAAAATGGAGCTTTTCAATCTTTGCCTATAGAAATCCACTAAAAAATTGCAGAGTTTTTAAATTATGCTGAGCGCAAGTCAGTCAGTCACTTGTGCCGTAAAACTTTAGAAATCTATAGACCTTTAGCTTATCAGATAGCTATTTGTGTCTATAGTGTGAAACCAAGTGATCAAACATCCGAGCTTATCGGGGTTCCTCTTCGAATCATTAGTTACCCAGAAAAAGCATCGTGATTCCCCAATGAAACAGTGGAAGAATTGTTTATTGGAATAGAAGATAGCGAATACGATGAATACCTTGCAGATTTTAAGGCTTCAGCCAAAGATTATCCTAGTGTCAAAAAAATTAATTTTCTTGAACAACAAAATCTACATCTTTCGAAAAAATTAATAGAGTCTAACTTTTATTCCAGTATTAAAGACTTTTCTGCTTTAGATAAAGTATTAGTTTCATTACCAGTTTGGGTTGAATCTGAGGAAAGTAAAGACATTCTACAGGATCTTTCATCACCAATTAATGCAAGCATCATTACTCGAGTGAATTTCAAAGATTATGAAAATATTTTTGAATCAGAATTACCTTCAAGCTTGGTGTTTCCCTTACTGGAATCTGTCACTATTCATGGGTTTATTGGAATCACACTAGAATATCCATTCCCCCGGAGAAACATTGTGGTACCTTTGTTGTCTATGTTTTCCAAGTCACCCTTACTTAATTCCGTGGAAATAACTTCACAAAATTTGACTGGTTCAGAGATTGCACAATACCTAACTGAAGGAATTATGAAGCTTTCATCGACAATAAAGAACTGAAATTTGTTAAATATTTCTTTGAAAGATGAGTCTGAGTCCATTTGGCCAGCTACGGCTACCGATCTCGACATTATTATAAAAATCCCACAACTCACCATGTTAATCTATCTTGAGAGCAACTTTTCAGTTTTGAATAAATTTAGATTCCCAAGGGCAAGAGTTTTGGTATTAATTCCTAGTTCTATTCCTCCCTCTTTCTTGTCATTTAAACAAGCATTGTCTTGTATTACAAATATTCATCCCAAAATTGACACCGTGGAGTATTTTGAAGAATTTATTCGTATTCTCCCATATTTCGCCAATCTTCAAAAGATTGAGGTTGATCTTAATATGGTTTGGAAACACGCTGATGATAAAACGTCATCTGCTTTGCATAAGCTTGAATGCTCTCATAAGGTTGTTCAAGAATTGAAAGCCTTGCCAACGGTTAGTCGTCATCAATTGCATGACTGTGTCGCTAAAATTTTATCAACAGAAGATAGTCAACTTGTTGACATTTTCACTAATTTATATGATGATCCTGTGGGATATTTATCTGAAGCGATGAAATATTACAATAATAACGATAAAGAACAAATTTTCACAATGTTGTGTTTACAAGAGGCCTTTTTTGCTACTTTATCGAAGCTTGATCAACTTCAAGCATTGACTTATAACATTATTGAAATTTCCATTGTTGCTTGTAAATCTGCCAAGTCGCCTTATTCCTTTTTGCGCCAATACCCTAATCTTGCACTTCAAAAAATAATGGGAGAATACAGCAATTCTTTGAATCTCAAGTATGTGATTTTATTTTATAAAGCAAGCTTTGAAACAGATGTCAATTTAAATTCATATGATTCCGGTCCCATTGGAAAATTGATTGATGATAAGGCTTTTTCCATCTCTGATTGTTTTTCCTTTATCCCAAGACCTTGTACAATTTACTTCAATAGTGTTATTTCTTTTATCGATGATTTGAATGTGAAGTTTGATTTTAATTTAGACAAGTATTTTAAGGGAACAAGATCGGAATTATGCAACACTTACGATGAGTCTCTTTTTGACATTCAGATCACTTTGTAATAAGTAGAAGAGAGAATAGGTAAATTATTTTAGATACCTTAATAAATAAATAAATAAATAAATAAACCTCGATTTTTAGCTTATATCTACATGTAGATATGTACAAGTTTATTTACTTGGATTATCGGTTTCATTTTTTTTTAAATTATCCATTCTTTTTTTTTTCTCCTAAAGAGTGCTGATTTTGGCAAGGAGATCAAATTATTGGTTTGAATATAAATGAATCTCAAAAAATTATATAATACTGATACGATTGAAAAAAAAAAGGTATGAATACTACAAATCTTAATCTGAATTTTTTATCAAGTTTTGGTTTATAAGAATTGGCTAGTTATTTTGATTTTGATAAAGGAAATGACTTTGTCACAGGTCTTAATCAATATTGATATAAGCTTATTTTTGTATAAGATTGTAGGATAAGTTATTGTTGAATTGATGTTTTTAAATTGTGAAATTTGTACCTTTCTTGAAAAAAATGATTTAAATGAAAATGTGGGCCATACTAACTATATTTTGAAATATGAAGGTGAATAGCCAAACGTAATATATATACTAAGCATTTTGTAAGCTATGCTAAGCTATGCTATACTTCAGCAAAGTACTTAGCGGCACTCTCCATTAGTTTCATGATTATAAAAAAGTTAGTTACCGGAACGATTCTGTTTTCCAGACTTTCCATTTTTTTTATGATAGAGATTTGAAAAACTGCGCGGTATTTAAAAAATGTTTTTTTTTCTTTAAGATACATGGGCATTAAATAATCTGGAAACAAAAAATTGAATAGCTCAAATAGATTACGCACGCAAGCAGAAAAAGAAAAAGAAGAAGAAGAAAGAAGAAGAAGAAATAAATTAAAACGTGGTGTACTTGTTCGTAGGTAAATTGGTACTACCAGTGGCTTTATCGTGTTATTCTTTCACCTTCTAAGATTACAATTCATAAATGGTGATCGGTTAGAACTAGAAAGTAGGGACAACTTAATTTCTTTTTTTATATATATATGGGATAACGGCATTTTGTTACCGGTTGTCTGATTATGAGGATATAAGATATTATTCAAGAGAAAATCAAGCCAACTATTTACCAAAAAAAAAAAAAAATTTTTTTTCTCATAGTAGACATATTATCGATGATTTTCATTATTTATCAAGGGTAGCGAATGAAGTTCAGTTTGATAATAACTTGTGCCTCTTTCAGTTTTGACTCTAATTTTACGATAGTGAGTTTTAATCCCATGTTTTATGCTTAAACAGGCTAAGTATTTTTAAGGCCACTCAAAAAAAAAAAAAAAGAGCTTATTCCAAGGTCTTCGGAAAGCCCTAAAAGAGAAGTTTGCAGCTATTTAAAACTATTATCGAAAGTTGCCAATCGTTTGTGAATAGTGTTAAATATAAAACCGAGGAAAGGAACATGTTTAATGGCAGAGAGACATGTGGATTTATTATATTGATAAAGACATGCTACGATGTAAAAAAGAAAAAAAAAGAGTCTTTTTTTATGTTTAGACATTAGAACAATAATCTGCATTTCATCTTAAAGGAACTTTATAATATTTCAATATTAAATATAGGCTCTTTTATTTTGTCTATGTTTTTATGGATCTTAAATAAATTGCACTATAAAATGTTTCTAATGTAATACAAAAGTATGTGAATGTGATGAATAGAGAGAGAAAGAAAGGTCAAACCTCGATCAAATTCCATGTATGTAGCCCATGATTCTATATATATATATATATATATATATCTATATAGTTTAGTATTTAGTATTTAGTATTTAGTATTAAGTTACGAACGATAACCATGAAGGTAACCTCGAGTAGCCGAAGCCGAGATAGTTTAGTGTATAGGGTCACTTACAAACCCCAAGGTAATAAATAAGATCAAATGAAGAGAGTTTCAATGTTTTTTTAGAGAATTGATTTAAATTAAACAAAGGAATTTTTACTTTAAAGCGTTACGTGATAATAATGGCGAGTTTTGTTTATTTTTTTTTTCAAAAGATTTGATGATTGAAAGCAACGTGGGTTTATCACTTGGCTGGAACATAACTTGACTTGAACTGTTATTTTTTTCTTAAAAACAAGTTAATCAGAGCCAAGAAACAAACAAATAATTGTGAAATATATAGAATCAATTGAGTATCATTTGTTTCTATATATTATTTACAATATATATATTCATATAATCAAAGAGGTTCTTTAAGAATCCAATTAAATGAGCTTTTCTTAAGTTTTGAGCACGTCGTTTTGGTTTCCCATTTCCTCACATGCCAGGCAGAAGTTTCTTTATTTAATTTTTATTTTTATTTTATTTTTTTTAAAGTGCTGGCACTATTTTTTATTTGTTACACAATATAATATCACGTGACTTATATGTTACAACACTGTACCATATTGTCATGGTTCACGTGATACTCCCTGCTAATTATCGTGCGTGCGTTCACCCCATAGGCCGGCTTGTCCCCCACCGCCCATCAATCAGCCCATCAGTTGGAAGAGCGCGGCCAGAGTGTTTGTTTGTTTAGTGTAAGGAAAGAAGGAAGCAAAAAGAAGAACAACAAGAACAAGAAGTTTCCGCCATAAAGTATAAATACCTGCAAATATTCTCCTTTTTGTCTCTTTTTTTTTTTCTTATTTTATTTTATTTTATTTTAACTCTTTAACAGTTTTCTTTTTTTTTTTTTAAATTCTTTTTACTTTATATATCCTTTAACAATTTCCCGAATCCGCTTGTCGTTCTTCTCAAGAATCTTCATTCAATTCGCTCCATCAACATCATCTCCTCACAAAATGTCTCTCCAGAATAAGCTTTCCATCACAGACCTCGACCTCAAGGGCAAGAGAGTCTTCATCAGAGTCGGTAAGTCTCCATTCTGCTCAATTGACTTGTTTATAATCTTTCTAACACTTTAAATCTCCAGATTTCAACGTCCCTCTCGATGGTACTACCATTACCAACAACCAGAGAATCGTTGCCGCTCTCCCCTCTATCAAATACGCTAAGGAACAAGGTAAGATAGCTAATACTATTACTCACCACTTATTCAAAAACTAACTTTTTCGATTAGGCGCTAAGGCTATCATTCTTGCTTCCCACCTCGGCAGACCTAACGGTGAGGTCAACCTCAAGTACTCCCTTAAGCCCGTTGCCGCTGAGCTCGAGAAGCTCCTCGGTGAGAAGGTGACCTTCCTCCCCGATGCTGTCGGCCCTGAGACTGAGGCCTACGTCAACAAGGCCACTGATGGTGAAATCATTCTCCTTGAGAATGTCCGCTTCCACATTGAGGAAGAGGGTTCTAGAAAGGTCAATGGCGTCAAGGAGAAGGCTGATCCCGCCAAGGTTGAGGAATTCCGCAAGTCTCTCACCCGTCTTGCTGATGTTTACGTTAATGACGCCTTTGGCACCTCCCACCGTGCCCACTCCTCCGTTGTCGGTGTCGAGCTTCCTCAGCGTGCTGCCGGTTTCCTTGTGAAGAAGGAACTCACCTACTTTGCTAAGGCTCTTGAGCACCCCGACAGACCTTTCCTTGCCATTCTCGGTGGTGCTAAGGTTTCCGACAAGATCCAGCTCATTGATAACCTTATCCCCAAGGTCAACACTATCATCATTGGTGGTGGTATGGCTTTTACCTTTAAGAAGACCCTTGAGAATGTCAAGATTGGCAACTCTCTTTTTGACGAGGCTGGCTCCAAGATTGTCGCTGATCTCGTGAAGAAGGCCAAGGAAAACAATGTCGAGATTGTTCTCCCCGTTGACTACGTCACTGCTGATAAGTTTGACAAGGACGCTAAGGTTGGCTATGCTACCGATGCTGAGGGTATTCCCGATGGCTGGCAGGGCCTTGACGTCGGTGAGAAGTCCTCTGAGCTTTTCGCTGCCGCTGTGGCCAAGGCCAAGACCATCTTGTGGAACGGTCCCCCAGGTGTTTTCGAGTTTGACAACTTTGCTACTGGCACCAAGAAGCTGCTGGATGCTGTTGTTGCTGCCGTTGAGGGTGGTGCTACCGCCATTATCGGTGGTGGTGACACTGCCACCGTCGCTAAGAAGTACGGTGCCGAAGATAAGCTCTCTCACGTCTCGACCGGTGGCGGTGCCTCCCTCGAGCTTCTTGAGGGTAAGGTCCTTCCAGGTGTCGCTGCTCTTTCCGACAAGGCTTAAAAAGAAAAAAGAAATTTGATGGAAAAAGTTTTACGTAAAGAAAAAAAAAACAAAAAAATATATATATCAGGTTTTTTTTTATAAATTTATTTGCTGCGTTCGTTAGGCGGCCGGTATGGGAGTCCTAAAATTTCAAAGATTTTGTATTCGTCAGTAGCTTCGACCAATTGTTCGGGTATGCATAGGCGCACTTTGACGCCGGAGCTCTTTCTGCCTTTAGGTACTATAGCTCGATAAAGCCCTTTATTGCTAAGATGGTACCCACGCTGCATGGCCACGATTCGCATGCTTCGATTGAAAAGCCCGCTGCCTGTGTAGTGCAACATGGCGGCTCCACGCTCAGCCCAGGGTACCATAATAATGTCAATGCGTCTCCAGCGCGGGGGTTGGCCAGATTCCAGTCCTTGAGAACCTTCCGGGAGAACTCCTGCACCCATCCACAGTCTTGGAAGTCTATACTTTTGCTTGTGGGCAATGGGTTTTTTGGATCCAGCAAAATTGGAGATTCTTGGTGAGAATAGATTGGAAGAAGAAGCTGGAGAACTTTGCTGAGACCCGCAGGGCTGGCTGGGGCTCGTGGCCCCACGTGAGGGCGATGAGTTGGCAGTAGTACAAGCAGCAGCCGCACGGGTCCCCGGAGAAGAAGTTTCGGTGGTCCGACTAGGGGACAATTTCAAGCGCTTTGCAGGAGGAATTGAAGAAAAATCGGTAGAACTAGTGGCCTTTGAATATTCGTCCAAAAATTGAGAGAATCCTTTTTTGCCTTCATCATCATTGTCTTCTTCCTTTCCGTCATCACTTTCATCTGACAATTCACTCTCATCGTCACCATCGTCACCATCGTCGCCAAAATCATATTCCCCAGGTCCGTCTACCCCAGGCATGGGCCCTGAAAGAGATGCAACAAGGTACCCAGATTCAAATAGCTTGACAAGCACGCGAGCAACAACACGCCGCAAATCTGCTGCAGTGGCCTCAGCACGAGTAATAACGATATCCACATCACCACACATAGCACTCCCTCGCCGGAAACTGCCCATGCACAGAGCCTCCGCACTCGGATCCACCGCATGCACTGCTTCGCGGATAATAGTCCAATGCTGCTCTACCTCCTCACGCGGAATCCGCGCCGCAAAATCTTCAACATGATCCAATCCAATCTGTTGTGCAGGCGTCAGCTGGTCCCATAGCCGCGAGCGCACATCAGCTAGCGTGTGGATCCCGGCCGCATGCCATTTTCTCGCCGTGGCCGGGCCCACACCATGAATCTGGGCAAGCGCCGCACGCTCCTCGTTTGCTTTAATCTCAACAGTATCGAGCGCACTAACAAGCGGTGGATCAACCGTGTGACCTGCTGCTAGCTCCACTATCTTTCGTGCAAGACTGGCTCCAATTCCAGGCAACGCACGGGCCTCCTGAAAGGTTCGGATTGGAGTTGTTTCTCGTGATAGAACAGAAATGGCACGTGTGTATCCAAGTGCTCGCCAGCGGTCATCCAAAGAATTGTAATGTTCTTGTAATCGCTTAAGTCCTTGTAAAGCCGCTGCATTTGGTGATTCTTCTTCTTTAGCTGATCCCGTACGCACACCCTCCAGAGCAGTATCGTATATATGCGCGGGATCGGTTATCTTTTGCTCTGGTTCCTTTCCATGCAATTGTTTTTGCTCAAGTTTCTTTTGTGGTTTCCGCTCGGGCTCGGAATCAGACTCTGTTTCCGAGTCAGATTCTGTTTCTGCATTCTTTTGTTCAGTAGCTCTTAAAAGAAACGGACCCACATCAAGTATCTTGTTCTGAGCCATACACTCAAGAACCCATGTGTCGCATACTATAGGCACATCGCCATTCTGTTCGGCCCACACTTCCGAATGTCCTAATCCAGATCCTCGCACGCGTTCTGGTTGTGCAAGCCAGTCAGAGTCAACAATGATGTGAGTTGGTTTTGGAGATGTTTTGGGGTCAAGGGTGCTTAGGACTACGGCCCCATTGGTTTCATAGACTTTTCGCCGGATCTTGTATGCGCGAGCAGATGTGCGTGCTGGGAAGACATAAAATGTAAGGTTTGTGAATAATGCCATGGCCGAGTCATACTCGAAAGGTCAAAGTCCATAAAAATCAATCTAGAAGAAAAAAAAAGTTCTTGGTGAGTTTAGGTCGGGTGGTATTTGGGTCATATTTGGGTGGTTGGAAATTTCAAAGCATCCAAGGCAAAAAAAAAAAAAGATACCGTTTGTAACTTCCAATGAAGTATAAAACTATTATCAAATTACTTAATTGAAGATAAGTCCTCTATTTTAAAGACCTAATACGTCTGTAGTTTGAAAGTTCTTTGGAGTTCTAAATAGTAACGATTATCAAAATAAACTGGTTGATTTCTGGGACACTAAAAATGATTTTAAATGAATCTTCCTACACTTACAAAAATATCTTCATTATGATGTTACATTAACTATTAAGCATTAATTAAGTATATATATACTTATATATTATATATAATAAAGAAAGAAAAAGGCATCTAAAACAAGTAAATTAAAAAAAAATTCTATTCCTTTTGTTGCGGAGGTTTGATGTTCCAAGGAAGAGCATCAAAAACATCTTCCTTGGGAAGATTGTCCCTTGCACACACTGTAAAAAGCTCATAGAGCTCCGGGCAGCTCAGCAGATAAGGGTTGGTTCGTCGGAATGGATTGCGCTTACGACGCTTTGCCGTCAAAACAGGATCAGTACATCCATATGGATCGTTTGTAAATGGAAGCAGTGCATTTTGGCGCTCACCTTCAAGAGCTGCTGCATATTTGGCCCCCTTGATTGGCTCTGCAGCAGCAGAACCAGCAGCAGAACCATCCTTTTGCTCCGCAGTTTCTTCCTCCTCGGGAGCCCGTTTCTCATTTGCTTGATTAAGTTCCTCACCCTCATTTTGCTCGGATTCTGGAGACGGTTGTTGAGGCTGTGATTGCTCAACAGATCCGGGGTCTTCAAAAAGCTCGGGTGGATCAACCCCCACGTACCGGAAATGCGCTGCAGGGAACCGAATGGCAGCTCTGTGAACTTTTGCAAACCGTTCACGCTTCAATTCAAGCCCCACAATAGTGATTATCTCCGGGTACTGACCTACATACTCCTTAAAGCGTGCAATGCTAAACAGTAGGTTTTCATATGAATCAGTTGCATGTTCCTCGACAACCATGCGGTTAACCAACGTTTCCTCGGGGCCATCTTCAGTTTCCTTTTGCGGACGATCGTACTCGTTCAGCGCCAGCGCTGCCAGACTCCAGTAACTGGCACCCTCACTGTATGGTCCTGCAAGCACGTTTGTTTGTCCTCCAGAAAGCACAAGAATGGCTGATTTGTCTTTTCGTGTGATACCTGCTGCTGTTTGTATGTGCTTCATAAACGTGGCAGTTTGGCCTCGCTGAAACGGTGCAACTAGCCATTTACGCGAATCATCAGCACCCAGTTGTTGGATTGCATCATCTCCGCCAGAAAACACATTAACAGGAGGAGATTCGCCGGCATATGCATCGACAAGCGCACCGAGCTGGCTAGCATCTTCGGGGACTGAAACACTGCGACGGGGCATGAAGACAGCATGGCCTGGGACAATCACCAAATGGGTCGCATTTTGAGCTTGAGGAGGAGGAGGCGGTAGCATCTGCTCTATGGCCAGCCGGTCCAGCCGGTTGAGTGACTTGTGTACCCGAGCAATGTCCTTGTTGAGTTTGAGCGGGGTCTTTTTGGCGGTCGGGTCATCCGAGTCGTCAACAATGGGAGGAGCGTCGAGCGGGCTATTATCATAGGAAGGGTCTACATAAGACCAGAGAGTGTATGTAATGACAAAAGCCAAAAAGACGATAAGAACCGTTTTTTTCTGGAAAAACATGCGCATGAGAAGTGTTTTTTTTTTTTCAAGGTCGAATCTGAATTATGTCCAAGGGGTGTTAAGGAATTTAAGGTGATCAAAGGGATGGCAACAAAAGAATTAATTTAAAGTGAAATTTTATATCTACAGGAAAACAAAAAAGGCCAAAATAATAAAAAAAAAATAATGGGCCCAATATTTACATCAAGTTTTGTGGTCATTACAATGAATTTAAGGATATTTCCAGTCGTTTTGGAGAAAAGTTAATCTTTTTTTTTCTGTTCAAAAGAAAAGAGGGTTTAGTGGTCGGCCTTCTTCTCCTCATCACGCTTCCTTCGCAGCTCAGCAAGTTTATCGTCGGAAATAGGAGGCACAGGAATGTCACCAAAGTCATCTTGAACAAGAGCATTAAGAGAGTAGAAGTAAATACCACCTACAACACCAAAGAGAACAATAGAGGCAATGGTGTTTTTCCAAAAGTAGGGCTTGCGTGCGCGCAGTGCAGCAGGTGTCATGGTGTAGTTGACGGGGTTCTGGTACTTGGAAGTACGCAGACTAATAAAAAAAAAAGTTAGTAAAAATATATGAAAATTTGAGCAAAATAAAAAAAAAAACCTACAGAGGCTTGTAGCCGTTTTCATTTGGGGCCGACATTGTTATTTTGCAGGTTGTGATTGTTGTTGAGTGTTTGTGATTTTGGGGGAATGGAGGTTTTAATTTTTTTTTTTTTTTTTGGTTAGGGTGGAACGTTTAATTGTAGAGAAAAAGAGTGGCCGGGGCAAATTTGCACGGCCGGGTAACCTTTGTCGGGCACACATGAGCTAGCCCAAAGGCCGGAGCCTCTTTGAGATGCAAAGCAAGAGCCCACACGTCATTTTTTTTATTCCTAGATAGCATGTCTCTTGTACCCGACTACAACAGCGACAGCGACAGCGACAGCGACAGCGATACTAGTCCTGATCTCAAAGAACCTACGGTCGTAGAGGAGCTTCCTAAGCATGTTGTTTCCAAAGCTAAGAGCAAGAAGAAAATCATTACTTTAGATTTGCCAACAGAAGATGTACCTGAAATACATGTTCCCAGCACCGACAACAACGATGATATTGTTGAAGCTCCGAAGAATGGTGACCGGGTTTCCATAGCATCGTTCTTACCACCACCGAAAAATCGAAAGAAACAAACGCCAAAGTCGCTACAACAGCAAGAACAGTCAAAGCCTGCTACAGCTCAGCGTGTTCTAGGGTCAACCAACAGTGTCCCCCGAATAAACATGTCAAGAAACATACCACAGAATGCTCAGCCAAATTCAGTTACACCTTTACCGGAAAAGAAATCTGAGGAGCCTGTCATTCCTTCATTGTTTTCTTTTGATACCCATAAACCCGTGATATCAAGCACAGAAGCTGTGCGGCCCGTGCGGTCATCCTCTCAATTTGCTGCAAAGCAGTTTGGACCCAGTAGACCAGGAAATTTTGTCCCTGAAATAGTAGAAGATCCTGTACAAGCTATTCCTGAAGTTCCTGTTGAAACCAACATAATAAATACCAGTGGGAAAAGAACACGGAAGCGAGGGCGTGACGAGATCCCTGATGCAAGTGGATTGGTGGAATTTAATGTTGATGAGTTTTATGCTGAAAACATGGCCCATGGAAACATGTCCGAAGATATTAAGCGACCAGTCAAGGCAGTCGGATCAAGTAGGCAGCAGCACCAGTTGAGCAGTCTTATTCGGTCGGCGCAGCAGAACCAAGCAGGGCTTCAGGAGATGTATGCGCAGCAAAAGCGGACCAAAAAGGAGGTTGGTTCTAAATACGGGTTTTAGTTTTAAAAATCAATACTTTTTTTTTATTCTAAGGTTATACTATTTTATTATTATTATTATAAAAATCAATCAAACAGGTACTTGTAAGTCATCTTCTCCACCTCCTTGTAAACAACCTTGCGCTTCTTGAACTGAGTGTCACCCTTGAGCTCAATCATGCCACGTTCCTGGAACGATCGGAACCGCTCGAGCGCCAGATTGCCCTCAGGCTTGAGACTGCGCAGACTATCTGACAGTTCGTCAGAGAGTTTGATTTCCAAGGGCATCTCAATGATACGCTCGTGTTTCTTAAGAGTCACACGGCGGCGCTTAGCATCGGCATCGTAGTTGCGCGGTTCATCATTGTTGGCCTCGGCTTCTTCAACCTGCTTCTCAATCTCTTCGAGCAGAGCAGGTACATCTTCAATTTGCTTGAGTTGGAGACGCACACGCTTAAGCTCAGCCTCCAGACGCAGCTTTTCAGCGTGACGACGTTGTCTGTTGCGTTGAGTGCGAGTTTTCTTTTTAGCCTTAACAGGAGGGTTGACAGAAAGACTGCCGGCTTCTTCCTCCTTGGATTCCTCTTCTTCTTCTTCTTCCTCGTCGTCCTCCTCATCACTTTCGTCATCTTCGTCACTAAGTTCTCCATTGTCATCATATGTGTCAATCAACAGTTGAATCTTTGCTTTTTGCTCTTCGAGAGCTTTGCGTTCTTCTTCACGCTTGGCTTCGCGGCCGTGCTCCAGTTCAATCAAAGCTTTCCAGTCTTCAATGGTAGGGTTGTATGATTTGCCAGCATCTGGAATCTTGATAGTCTTGTTGCTTGCCAAAATGCTTTCCTCGCGTGCCTCAGGATCGTGGATGTTGATAGGAGCCTCTCTGAGCGTGGAAGGTGCACTTTGAGGTTTCAGGAAACTGGTGGATGGCTTTATGTCATTAATGAAAGATCCAGAAGTCTGGACCTTGCCGTGTTTAGGAGGCTTGGCAATTTTATTGTCGTAAGACTTGGTTTTATTTTCGGGTATTCTGGGAGCAGTTTTTTTAAGAGTAGCTGTGTAGGTATCAATGTTTTTGTCTTGGTCATCGTCATTTCCCCAAGCATCATAGATAGGGCCCTCCTGAAAGCCAGAGCTTTCGACAACAGCTTGTGTGAGTGATACAGACTTTACATCAGTATGACCAGCCAATCGCTTCAACCGCTCAAGTTCCTTTGAGCTGACGTTGTGTCGTTTTTTGTTGAGTTTCTTATTCAGCGTGACTTGTTGAATGGCTGAGTTTGCATTACTAAGGCCAGGATGGTTCGAGTACATTTGGCCCTTCTTGCCCTCTGTATATTTTTTTTCAAGAATCTGGTCAATCTTCATGGGTTTAACAGCACGCTCACGTCGGGATTTGAGACCAACATCACCCTCAGTATCGACTGTGAAGAGAGAGTCGTCTTCGGCCTTGGAAATCTCAGCTTCTTTAACACCAAACGCCCGCTCATACTCACGAGCAGCGTCAAGACCTTGTTCAACATCGCCAAGATCGATGTTTTTTCTCCAAGCCTTTTTTGACTTGCGAGACTTTTGTGATTTGGTTTCTGGTCGTCCTTTTTCCATTTTGAGGTGTGAATGGTGTGTGTGGATGGGTTGATCTTGTATATTGAAATTTGGGTTTTTTTTTTTTTTTTTTTTCAAAGTTACTGATAAAAAATTTTTTTAGAGAAAGAGAAAAAAAAAATAGCCGTACATTGTTATCTAAGTATTAGTCATGATTACCTTATTTTTTTTTTTTTTTTTAAAACTCTTTTTTTTTTTCTTGACTTGTAAACTAGCTGTGAAAAAAAGCCGCGCAGGTCACCAAAATCACCAAAATGACGTATTAAATATTTAAGCAGAAATATCAAATCACCACTATATTAAAAGTGATATTATATCTTTAACCAGCACCAGAAGCAGCACCCCTATGATTTACTTTTTGACAAACTAGTACTGATATTATTATTATTATTATTATTATTATTATTATTATTATTATTATTATTATTATTATTATTATTATTATTATTATTATTATTATTATTATTATTATTATTATTATTATTATTATTATTATTATTATTATTATTATTATTATTATTATTATTATTATTATTATTATTATTATTATTATTATTATTATTATTATTATTATTATTATTATTATTATTATTATTATTATTATTATTATTATTATTATTATTATTATTATTATTATTATTATTATTATTATTATTATTATTATTATTATTATTATTATTATTATTATTATTATTATTATTATTATTATTATTATTATTATTATTATTATTATTATTATCATTATTATCATTATTATCATTATTATCATTATTATCATTATTATTATGACGATACTTAAAAACCAAATCACTCATGAAACGCACCTTCAGCCTCTCACCACAACAACAAATATCAACCACTCCCTCCCCTCCCCCTTTTTCCCCTCCACCTTTTTAAATTTCTCATCTCAACCCTGATAAGCTCTTTTTTTTTAAAAAAAAAAAATTATAAATATCCGACATGTCCCACATTCAATTCTATTTTTCTTTAATAAATATTTCTTCTCTTTTTCTACATTTCCATATTACTTTTAATAATTTCCATCTTTAAACTTTTAAAATTATATCGATTCTACAAACCTCTTTATTTCAACCTAGTTATCACTTCTTCAATTATTATACATTTATTTACTCCATTATAAGTTTCTCCACAAAATGTGCAAACAAATCACAGTCGAATATAGCTGCGGTCACAGAGACCCCCCAGAGGTTCACTATTGTCATCGCACTCGAGGACTTTGTTTATTTCACAATGTCCCACGATTTCTTAATCACATATGTAGCGTCTGCCGAAAAGCCGGAGATTGGCCATGATGACTCTTTTTTTTTCTCATTTTAAGTTTGCTTTATTTCAATTTTTTTTCTTTTTTTTGTTCTTTTTTTTTTAATAAAAAACAACAGCATTTTGGTTGTTTAATAAAACCAGAAAAAAATGCATGTCTCTGGTACTACCCGAGTCTTTTTTTTTTTCTTATGACTCACCGACATTGCTATCATCACCAATTTTGTTTTTCTTGATTATTTTTTTATAACCGCCCAGAAATATCAACTATGTTTGAAAAAAAAAAAAGTGTTATCTCTCCCTGATTTTGATCTCCAATGACGGTGACTGCAGTTTAGCTTGTTTTCCACTGGTATCGGCAAAAAGACTAGGATCTATGTTTTGACATAACCACGCCTTGGACTAGCTTTTAAAACCCCTTGCATCCCTTGACCACACAAAACAACAAACAAAACATTTTCCCCTTTTCAGAAGAAGATAACAACCGCATTAAGCAAAGCAGTTTATGTTATCTCTAAGGAGATTAATTGATTTGGTTTAATTGAATTTCTTGGAATACTCAATTGCCCACAATCCATGCACTGATTTTGGAGTCATTAAGAATATACCATTCTTATTTTTCTCGGAATGACCCCTTTCGGAGTGTCTTTTTCTTTTCAACATTACAATTCCTTAAACTTTGTTTTATTTTTTTTCTCCCACATGCAACGTCGAGCTCCGCTTTTTGTTTTCTCCCCACCATGTCATGGCTTGGATCTCTTTGTCCTAGTTTCCAAGCTAAATCGGTACAATACGAAAAAAAAAAAACTTGGGGAAATGAGAAATAATTGCTTTTTTTTATTCCAATACGACGATGCTTACATATTTTAAGAGAAAAAAAAAAAAAAGGAATTATATTTGGTCTTATGTCTTTTCTTTATTATTATTTTATTTTAGGGACTGAAATGACATGATGACGACAATACCTTGAAGGGTTACTAACAAAACTCTTTTGCTTCTTGATATAACGACCGTGATGACGACATGATTATATATTTTTACGACCTTGTGTATTATTGAGCCTAGTGGGTCCTTGGGATAAATAGATTATCCTGGATTGTTTTACTTGTTTCCCCGCTCTTGTCTCTTCTCTTTGATTGCTGTTTTTCTTTTTTCTTTTTTTTTTTGTCTGTGTATTTCATAATTTTTTTTTGTTTCTGTTAAAATTATTTGTATTTTTAAATAAAAGTTTTTGCTTTCTTATTTTAATTAATTATGGTATCCCATGTAGTCCAATATATTTCCTTTTCCCATCAAGGATGTTTCTCATCCCTTCTTAATATGTTCACTATATAATAAAAGTGCAGTTTAAGGGCTTCTTTTCAAAAAAAAAAAAAAAAAAAAAAAAAACATTTAATGGGTTCTTTTCTATAGTAATGTGCATTTTTCTTTAACTGGTCCTCTAATTCATGTGATGGGTCCTTCAAAATGTTGTTCACTTTAGTTTTATGAGCAATGGTGGTGATGATGATGATGATGATGATGATGATGAAATTTTTTTTTTTCACAGCACCTTCGATGAGATGGGCCCTTCCTGCCCGGAATTTCATGATTATTTTTTTTTTCTTTTACCGCGCCTTCAAACTGACGTATATATATATATATATATCTACTACAGTCACCAATGGTAAACCAGGCTTCCTGTCTAAGCTTACGTCCGAGTACCCCACGAGTGTTTAATATTCTGCCAAAAACTTACAAATGCATGTCTGTAGCTCGTCTTGCTGTCGATGCTTGCGGTGGTAACAATGCACACATATGGCTGGTTTCTCATTCATAGTCTCAAATATTATTATTATTAATTTTTTTCTTATTTGTTATTTGTTTCGGTAAAATATTAAAATGAAATGATTATTTATTGTCAAAAAAAAAAAAAAAAATTAATAATAATAATATATAATTATATAATAAAAATTGAAGCTAATTGGGTCAGTATTAAGGGGTATGAAAAGAAATCGTAAGAATATTTCGTACTAAACAAAAAATAACTGAAGATATTTTCTATCAAATTCCACACTGCCACGACTTTATATAAATTAGTAAATTACTCATTTTTTGATATTGACTCTTTTTTTTTTTTTTCAAAGGGCAATCGTAACCCCTGATAGTTTTCGTATCAGTTTATCTCTTACGGGTAGATAAAATACTATACTTGATATTAAAGTTGCAACCAACCTCTTATCTCAAAGCTTGTTGTTGTTGTGAAAAATTATTTTTGTTAAAATTATTTTTGTCAAAAAAAAAATTTTTTTTTTCTAATTTTTCATTCGTCTCTTTCTGTCCACTCCGCGTTCTTGTCCTTCCCACTAAAGCCACTTTGAGTTCGTCAATTTTATAATTATGTAGAACCAGGTTATTCTAATGGTCTGATTGATATAAAGCATTTAATATACTTCTATCTTAAGTTCTTATCATGATTAGTGCAACAAAAGTCTAATGTAGGGAGAAAAAAAAAAAAAAAAAAAAGGCTCTCAACTTTAACCTGAATTTTTCTTCACATTCTTCTATAAATATTCTTTCTCTCAAATTTTTATTTTCCCATTAAAGTCCTTTTCATATTTTTTTTTTCTCTAAGTCATGTCTATCTTTCAAGTTTTGTTTGTATTAAATAAAAAAATGACCTTTTTTTTTCATTTGATCACTAGTGTTTAAGAAGCACCTATGAACACACTTTTTTTTTATCGTTACCTTAAATGATCGATGTTATATAAATTCTTTTTTTTCTTTCTTTTCTCAAGGTTTATCCAATATTCTATTATAATATAATTATATTAGCATGTTGGTCCTTCTAATTCACTAACTCCATTTTGCAAGTGTAAACCGCATCAAAAAAAAAAAAAAAAAATTCAAATCAATCATTTCCTCATCAATATTATTAATGCAAGTAACTGCTAAATTTTCCCTTTTTTTTTTTCAAGAAATAAACTAAAATTACAATAGAAGGTCTTGAACATAAAAAAAAAAACTATCCAAGTGAAAATAAATACAAATAAAATATAAATATTACCTTGTAAAAAAATTAATTAATTCCTTTTCAATAATTATGAATGTTGTTAAATGCTGGATTTCTAAGCCCACTATTTACTTCATCATCTATCTTGAAGGACTTTCAGTAGAAATTAAAAGGCTAATGATGAGCCTTTTGTATTACAGCCCTCAAAATAAACTATGTGATTTACTATTGGTTATTAATTATCATAATGTGTACAAAAATCTTAAAGAGTAATAAAAGCTTGATTTTGAAGTCTTTTTTTTTTTTTTTTTGAATCATAGGGTTTTCTTCATAAATAAAAATTGAAAAATCTACAGAATTCTTAAAACCTGTTTGTTATTTATCAACAGACTAAAAAATATGTATCTTCGAAATGCATAAACATATCGTCCCCATTAAGCTAATAGTATAACCAGAAATCAACTTTATTTCTTTGCTTGTTTTTTTTCTAATTTGCCAAATGACTTGTTTTTTTTTTTTTTTTTTTTTTTTTTTTTTTTTTTTTTCTATATAGAAGTCCTTTAAAGGACTTTGCAAGTTTTGAATAATATGATACTCTGGGAACCATTACCCTGTATTAAGAAAATAAATCCGATTAACCGTTATCTACAATGTCACAGCTCTTAAACCTCCAAAAAAAAAGACCTTCCACAACTATTCAAATCAGTATTCTCCTCAAAATCATTAACTCTTTTTCATTAAAAAAAAAAGGTATGCCTCATAAAAATCTTTGCTGGTTCTTTTATCTATTTCCTCAGCAAGTCTATCAACAACTCTCTTCTTGATAATGATTAAATGATATGCCTCTCATTCCCCAACGGTATGAGGCTGGAAGATATAATGATATCAGCCATCTTCAAGCTAGTATCCCACTACGTGATATTGATTTGCTTATATTTTAAACTGCAGATCACCTTAACAAGTCACAATCTTTTTAACGGTTTTCTGGTAAATTTCTTGGGTCTATGAGGTCTTCCATCATTTTGAAAAATGAGCTGATGATGATTATGGTGTATGAGATGCTGATAATTCTGGAGTTATATTGAGAAAAATGTTTGAGTGATTTGTCAAACCTTCTTTCGAGTTACTGATGAAATGTCAATAAACCTTTCTTGCCGCTTTTCGTTTAACAAAAAAAAAAATTGCAAACTTGTATTTTGCTATAATTATCAATATGAGGTTTATTTAAAAGAGAAAACCATCAAAAAAAAAACATATTTCTCATGATCTTCACATTAAGATAAACATTGTACATTTCTCAATAACCTCCAACAACATACCACTATTAACAGCAGCAACATGTTTGAATTACAACAGATTATTGACATATGAAAGGTTTCTAAACTACAAAGAAACTTGACGTTTTGTTTTTAATAGTCATCAGGTCTTTTCTCCCCGCTTCTTTCTCTTTAAAAAGCTCCTGTTGCAAAGTTTTTTTTTTTACTAAACCTATTTTTTATTTTTTGGTATCTTCTTAACTTTTTGTTTTTTTTTTTTTCCCCTTTCTTTTTTTTTTTGATAATTTATTTAATTGGTGTCGTTTTCACAAGTGTTCTCATTAAATAAACTGGCTTAATTTGAAATGTCTAAAGCATTCTAATTACTCTACATTGTTCTTGTTTCTGAGATCCCCATATTTGTTAAAAGTTTCTTGTAAAGTTTTTTCTTTGATATGATTTCTCAAAAACAAAAAAACAAAAAAAAAAATTTCCTTTTTCTTTTTTTTCCCTCCTCGGGCTCTTGTCAAAAATTCGCAAATACATTTTTGATGATCCTAATCATTCTTCTTTTTACAATAGCATTACACCCCGAAGATTATGAACCCCATATGTTTGCTTGTTAGACCCTTTTTTTTTTTTAATTCATGCCTGGATAATTCGTCTATTATTTCAAGAGGTTAAGAAATCAAGTAAGCATAAATTATGGTGTACCGACAGTTGAGGTAATTGATCCTCATCAGTATAAATATTTATACTATGTCACGTGAAGTTAAACAAAGCCAACCACTTTGCCGTTTTTTGTAAGCAGACCTTGTTTTTGGCATTTAGAGTGTGTGTTTGAATCTTTTTTTATGTCTTTATATATACGAATCGCTAGCAAAAGCCTTTCTTTTTTTTTATAACTAGTAGAAATAATGGTAATAGTAAAGCTGAAGTTAAAAAGAAAAAAAAAAAAAAGAGAATAACATAACTTATTAATTTAACAAAAAAAAATGACGTCCTGTTTAATATTTGCAAAGAAAAGAGGGGGAGAGAAATAACAATAATAAAACAATAGTAACAAGAAAAGAGAATTGAAAAGAAAAAGAAAAAGAGTTTTGATCAATATTAAGAAGCTTCAGGCGTAGAAGTCTTCTCTTTGGCACCATTGGCATTACCATCAACGTTAGATTCCGGGTTGCACTGTTCATCACGCTCGTTCCAGTTTCTAATGAGTGTGTTGATACGGTTGCGAATATTGTACTTTTCCTCGTCAGGAAGCTCATTCTTGGAAATGGCGCTCAAAACCTTCTTAAACTTATTGGCCCGAATTATAAATGGCTCAATTTCAGGCAACTCTTCAAGACGATTCAGGTACTGAGAAAGTTGTGCAATGTCCTCCGAATTCAGCTTTGTATTGATAAATTGGCGGTGGAGACGGTGTCGCAGTGCTCGTACATTCTTGGCTCGCTCCGCAACATCTGGGGGAAGATTTTCACCCAACTTGCCGACAATAGTGTTCCCCGAGCTCCCGGAAGATTCCTTGCTATCCTTCGACTTGGCTCGCTTGTTGGGGGGAGCTCCACTACTAGAATCCTGCTGTTGACCCTTACGCTTAGACCCAGAAGCACCATCTCCTGAGCTAGACCCATTATTTGAAGAACTAGCTCTCCCGGAGGCAGAACGCCTCGACTCCCGCTTGTTTATTGTAGGATCAGCATCAACCATCTCATTGTCAGGATCAAAAATATCAGAGTCGTTCTTTTTAGTTCGTCGTGAAGAAGTCTTACGTGTCGATGATGTAGTAGCACGCTTCTTTTGAGGGGTTTCCTTGTTGGTAGAAGCCCGAGACTTGCGTTTCCGAGATTTGGGCTCTTCCTCAATTTCTTCGTCAGCTTCTTCCTCTTCCTCTTCAGCTTCTTCTTCTTCTTCCTCTTCTTCAGCAGCAGCTGCGGCGGCAGCTGCTGCAGTAGCAGCCTCTCTAATCTCGCGTTCCACAGTCTCCAAGTCTGGAGGGTTCATGGCAACAGAATAAGCTTCAGTGAGAGAAGATGTCTTCTTGGTCTTGTTAACGTGATCCTGGGCTTCCTTTGTTGTCAAAAGTTTCAAATCCGGACGAGCAGCCCACATGTATGTTCGGTCAACAAAAAACAGGACAGGATATATGTTATTGTCAAGAAGTTCCGAAGAAACATTTGCATTTTTTCGTCGTCGAGAAGTTTTGGGTTTGGCAGAAAGAATTTCTTCAGAAAGGAAATCCTCAGTGACAATCTAAAGAACGAAGTCAGTAGTGAAAGAAAAAAATTGAAAAATGCAAGTATTACTTACAATACCAGGCCAAGGAGGATATCCTTTAACTTTGGCAAGAACAACAGTTCCAGCAGTAAAGGGCTTTTCTGGTTCAGGAGCTGTCGTAGCACGGCGGTTATTTGTCTTTTTTGAATCAGGAGTAGCAGTGTCAGACTTTTTGACAGACTTTGGTGTAGATTTGGGTTTTTCTTCTTGTGCTGATTGTGGCGGTGTGACTTCCTTTTTTTCCTCCTCTTCTTCTTCTGTTTTCGCAACTTCATCAGTACCATTTGCTTGTTTAGATTCTCCGTTAGTCTTTTTTTCAGGTTCTTCCTCTTCCTTAGAAGTTGCGCCGTTTGCAACTGGCTTCTCTTCCTCTTCCTCATTGACGGATTCTCTGGCCTTGACTTCACTAGATTCGGTTGTGTCAGTAGGCTCGTCAATGGCTGGTTCTTCGACAGCTGGCTCTTCGGAAGCTGGTTCTTCGGAAGCTGGTTCTTTGGAAGCTGGTTCTTCGACAGCTGTCTCTTCAGTAACTGGTTCTTCAACCACCGGTTCTTTGGTAGATTCTTCAACTACTGGTTCTTCAGTGGGTTCAGCAGCTTCTTCTGTAGGTTCCTCGGGTTCTACTTGAGGAGCCACCTCTGTGGTTTCCTTAGTCTTTTCATCAGCAGGTTCATCAGCAGGTTCATCAGCAGGTTCCTCGATTGTGGGTTCTGCAACTTCTTCTTCTTCTTCTTCAACAGCCTCTTGAGATTTTTCTTGTTCTTGAGGCTGTTCGGTATTTTCTGTCTCTTTATCCTCAGTGGTGACTGGTTCTTCTTCCTTTTCGGGAACAGGTGCCTCTTCAGTAGAAGTCTCCTCCTTAGAAGATTCTTCTTTATCCAGAAGAGTAGGTTCGGATACAGTGGTGGGCTCAATCACAGTCTCAGGAGCTTTTGTTTCCACTGGGGCAGTAGCAGCAGCGACAGCAATAGTTTCGTCCGACATTGTTAAAATTTTGATGTAGTATAAATTTTCCTCTGCACTGGAATTAAGCAATAGAAAAAAAAAAAGTTGGTTTCTTTTTTTGTTGTGTTAGCCTAGTAGAGAGCTACTAAGAGCAAAAAATAAATAAATAAAAAAGGGGGGACTGGTGTGTAGCAAATTATATAAAATTTTATAATATACACTCCAAAAAAATGTCTATTCGTATAGCTAAGAGATACAACCAGGTTATTTGGGTTTGAAGTGTAATTTTTTTTCTGCTCTCTTGTTTATGGATTTAAAAGAGGAGATTGGTGGAGAGAAAGAGTATTAATTCAAAAAAAAAAAAAAGCAAAAAGGAGATAAGACTAAGTCACAGTCTCAAACTAGAATATTTCTCAAATAAAAGGTGCTCTTCTAGTAAATCGCCGCCACAAGGTGGTATCAATCAGTTTGGGTTTATTAATTGATTGCAGTGTAAACAGACGAAAGTAAAAAAATATATATATATATCGATTTTAATACAAGGGAAGGGTGTGTAGTATTAAGGTCTTTTTTTTTTCTTATCTATTCAAAACAAATTGACAGATAAATATAAGGTGTTAAATGAGAACCTGAAAAGATCAATGGAATATAAAAACTGGTTTTATATATAAACAGATTTCCTTAGTGAAAGGTTTCTCTGGTATCAGAAACTCGGGCTGGTGTGCAGACCGTCAGGTATCCTCAATGTTATGTGTGTTCAAAAAAAAAAAAAAATTTGGTGGTTGTGGTGGAGGTGGTTGGTAAGAAGAAGAAAAAAAATAAATAAAAGACGTGTTTTTTCGCGTGTTTTGCTTGAAAAAAAAAAATATATATATACTTAAGAAGGCCGGGTTTACAGTGCCTCCTGGGCGAAAGAGAGAGTGGAGAAAAAAAAACAAAAACAAAAACAAAAACAAAAACAAAAAAAAGTCTTGTTGTAACACATGTGACATTGCACGTTTTGGTGGTGGCAGTGACGATTTTTTTTTTTTTTTTTTTTCAAAATGTAAAAAAAAAACAAAAAAAAACTCCGAATGTGTATTAGGGTTTGTCTACATAGGGTAACTGCCGGGTAGTACTGAAAACAACAAAAAGTAACTTAAAAGTTATCAGGTAACTCTTGACAAAACCAGGTAACCTACAGCATAATGGTTCCAACACCGCCATTGGCAGGCGCTTCCAAAAACTGCTTTCTCATTCCACCAGGAACCGGGTATGCGCGGTAGTTGAACAAATAGTAATTAAGAATGCCTGTGCCGATGGAGAACTTGAGGTCCTCGAAAAAAAGTGGATTGTCCATGCATGTCACTGCATTGTAAACATCATGGCCCAGTTGCTTGGACAGAATGAGAGCGTTCTGTTGAAGCTTCTTGAGTCTTGACACAAGAGGTTTTTGGTTCTCTGGTGTACGGTCTGTGGCAGGTACATCACGCGCAACATTAGTGGCATAATAGAAACTGTATGCAATGTTGATATTGTCGTGACCTGGGACTCCAAGTACAGTGGTAGGGATAGAGTAAAAGGAGAAAAAGTCTGTAACAGTCTTGTCATCGTCCTCAGTCACAACATAGGCATGAACAGGCTTCTTCTCAGGATTCTCCACAGGGAAAAGAGCATCCTCAGGACCCAGTAGCCAATGGGCCAGCTCGGCTTCGGATTGGAACTCTGGGGCTAAATCAAAACGCTTCAGGTACTCGTGCAAAAGCTCAGAGACCTGAGGAATATCCTCACGTGTCATAGGTCTCAGATTCTTAAGTGTAGTTTCACCGGGAAGAGCGTAACGAGCCACCATCTGGGCCGGAGTTTGATTAGGAAGTGGAGCTGAAAAGCCAACCTCATAAAGTTTGGTCCAGTTGAGAGGTCTGTGATAATATCTTGTAATAGAAAGAGGTGATGGCAAAATAGTGCCTGCGGTATACAGCGCTTGCCAAATGTTTTCCAGATTGACCTTACGTGTGACTTCCTGGATAAGGGCTGGTGAAAGACGCTTGTTGCGGAGCTTCTTATGAACGCAAAGGAAATTGATTTCAGCCATTTCTTGGGCAGGCTTATCACGAACACGCAAAAATTGAGGGATACCGGTGATGGAAGCAACAAGCTTGCCAGTGTCCTTGATTCGAACACCAACGTTCCATTCCGAGCGCCAGCCAGGAGGCTTTAGTGCCCACTCCAAAAATTCCGGAGAGTATTGGAATCGGAAAGTATTGTCATCATCTTCAATATAGTTGTTGTACAGTAGGTTGTAAAGTTCCTCAATTTGCGCCTTGTCGTTCAGGTCGATGACACACCACTCAAAGTTAGGAAGGAGTTTGCGTGGAGATTTGGCCACATCGTCAACAGTCTTTTCACTGTCAATGGGGCCTTCTTGTTCAGTTTTTTCTTCGCCAAACTTGACTACAGGCTGGGTTTTCCAGAATTTGTACTCATCCATAGGCTTGGGTTTGTTTTTCTATTAAAAAAAAAAAAAAAAAACTGAGTCAGATTTTGGGTGTATAGATAAGATGAGTGGAATTTGTTCCTGTTAAAAATAACTTACTTCTTCAGGATCAGGGGTGGCATTAGCAGTTGCAAGAAGCTTAAAGAGACTTTCCAAAGAAAGACCCTGAAGAGCAGGAGCCTTCCCAGATTTTGATGGAAGTTCACCAATGCGTTTGGCAACTTCTTCAGGCGGAAGCTTAGAGTCGTCGGTTGACTTTGATGTGGTTTCCTTGAATTGATCACTCATTGTTATAGAGATTGGATAGGAAGATTTGTGGGTGGTGGAAAAGAGAAAGAAAGAAAGAAGAAGATGGCAAAAAAAGGAGGGTTTTGAGAAATTATTGGTGGGTAAGTGGTTTATATTTTACTAGTGGTATATTTGGTAATAACCAGGCCAGCACACCTGAAGAGAAAAAAAAAAAAAAAAAAAAACTAGGGAGCCGCATGGAATAGGGTATTAACAAAAAGTTGGATTATTTTAATTGAGAAAATAAAAAATAATAATAATAACTTTCTTATTTAAAATTTTGGGGAAATATAATTTAAAATGAATATTTATAATTGAAGCTTTTTGTTTTTTTTCTTCCCACAATTTTCATCCTAATTTGGTATCGTTTCTTTTTTGCAAACTAAATTGAAAACATATATCTTACAATTAAATATGGTTCACCATACGGCTGAAAATCCAGATTTGGCAAAAGTCCTTACATTTTTTTTTTGAAAATTTTTATGCGAACCCAAAAAAAAATTTTTTAACGTTCACGGCTTAACTTTTTTTTTTTTTTTTTTTTTTTTTTCTTTCTTTCTTTCTTCAAAGATATTCACATACATCATACCAAACCAACATGTCTTTGATTTCAGCTACATCGTGGGTTCCTAAAGGCTTTGCGTCTCAGCTGCCTGTCAAATACGACTTTGATGACGAGGAAATGGACCGCCTTGCAGGTCTTGCTCGTCTTCAGCTCGAAGAGGCTCAGGACGAGCTTGAAGAAGAAGAAGAAGAGATTGCCGAGACCAGCAACAAGGAGAAGATTTCTACACTGAAGAAGGACGAAGAAGATGGAGAGTAAGTATATATAGAAATTGGTATAATATTCAATTTTAACACATGCATATAGTCTTGCTTTGGACGAAGATTTGAAGGAATACGATCTGGAGCATTATGATGATGATGATGATGATGCAAACAAGGAGGACGATGGCGAGGGCATGGCTATGTTTAGCAACATTAAGAACCTTGTTTATCATGCAAATGGTGAGGATGATCCATACATTACACTTCCCAGCAAGGAAGAAGAAGAAGAGGAGCGCCGCGAGTGGGAAATCTACCCCACCGACAATTTGATTTTGGCAACCAAGACTGAAGAAGAAGTCTCGACACTTGAGGTTTACGTTTACGACGATAAGGCTTTGGACGGCGGCGATGAGGATGATGAGGATGAGGATGGACGCCATGATTCGAATCTGTACATTCACCACGACATTATGCTGCCGTCATTCCCCCTGTGTGTGGAGTGGCTGGATTTCCGCGTGGGCAAGGCACGTGAGGGCCATGTTGGACCTGACGGTGTTGTTGCACCTGGTAACTTTGCTGCGGTGGGCACATTTGAGCCTGAAATTGAGCTGTGGAATGTTGATGCCGTGGATTCACCTCTACCTGATATGATTTTGGGAGCCAAGCCGGATGATGACAACACTGTACTGACTGATGCCGATAAGCAACTCAAGAAGAAGAAGAAGAAGAAAGCTATTAAGAAGAAGATTAACGACCAGTACCATATTGACGCCGTGCTTGCGCTGGCAGCAAACCGTGTGCACCGCAACCTGCTTGTTTCTGGTTCCGCAGACACGACTGTGAAGCTGTGGGATTTGAACGAGGGTGTTTGCGCGCGGAGTTTGCAGCTTCATGACGACAAGGTTTCATCTGTGCGTTGGAACCCTGAACAAGGCACTGTTTTGCTTTCTGGTGGGTTTGACCGACGTGCGGTTGTGAGTGACCTGCGTGCAGCTGGGTCTGAGTCTGCCCGTCGTTCGTGGTCTGTTGAATCTGATATTGAAGGCGTTAAGTGGGACCGAGATGGTGTACATTTCTACGTGGGCACAGAAAGCGGTATTGTACACAAGTTTGATGCGCGTGTTGCAGACAAGAGTGTGTGGAAGCTACAGGCACACGATTCTGAGGTTAGCACATTTGACGTGAACCCTCACGTGGATGGGTTTATGGTGACAGGATCTTCGGACAAGACCATCAAACTGTGGGACTTGAGCAGTGCGACAGAGGGTGGCAAGGGCCCGTCAATGATTTTGTCGCGTGACTTGGATGTAGGCAAGGTGTTTAGTGTTGGGTTTGCTCCTGACCGCGAGGTGCTTGGACATATTGTTGTTGCAGGTGCGAGCGGTAAGCTCAAGGTGTGGGATTCTCTGAGTAACCGGACAGTGTATGAGCGAATTGGTCGCAAGTACAATGTTCAGCAGCGTAAGAAGGAGAAGCTTGCAGAGGCTGAGGAAGATGATGAAGAGGAAGAGGAAGATGATGATGATGAGTTTGCTGGTAACAGCAGCGATGAGGATGTTTAAAAAAACAAAAAAAAGGAGTTTTTTTTTTTGGGAAATAAAAGTATTGATATGAGATGTAGGAAAAATTATGATACATGATTCAGATAACTTAGTTTTAGACTATAATAATGATAAAGAAAAAAAAAAGTTGAAAATTTTCGGGCAAAGCCATTTTTTTTTTCAAGACAATTGATGATGAAATCATCCCAAAAAAAAAAAAAAAAAAAAAAAATTTTCAAGATAGTTTTGATTTTTTATGGGTATTATTGCCATAAATAGAAGATACAAGTTTTTAGTATATTTTGTTTTTGGAAGTATTGATTGAGTAGAACACTATCGCCAGGTTCCATTATCCAAGTAGAACTAGAAGTTCCGCCCGCGATAGCCCACGAAGCAGCCCGTTGCCCCGGTGGGAGAGGGTCCGAAAGAAGAAAACAAACAGAAGGGCAATTTTTTTTTTTTTTTTGGCCAGATAACAATTTTTTTTTCATAGATGAAGCACTTTTTATGTCCAAAAAAATAAATAAATAAAATAAATACAAAATATCAAAAGGTTCTTAAGAGTATGCAAGTTTGGTAAAAAAAATTTCCTTTTTTTTTTTTTTTTCAAGTATATTTCTGGTCGGCATTTTGGACAAACTGAATTAGTACTGAGTACCAAAGTCTCTTATTATGGTGGTAATTATGACTCAGAAAAAAAAAGTGCTGCTTCACACACAAGTATTTAATGAAAAGATTAAAAAAAAAAAAAGTGAGCAAAGAATGTAACTTTGGGTATTTTTTAGCATCCGCGGTCCATATAGGGCCGACAGTTTGTCGGGACGGGAAAAGGTAAAAAAAAAAAGAAGAAGAAGAAGAAACAACTTGAGGCGAAGATTATGTCTTCTACTATATATAATTGTTGATAGTAGGAATATGAAATAATATTGTATATATTGATGATATAACCCGTCACTTCTTTTTATCATAGTTTTTTTTTTATATCTACAGAGATTATTATTATTATAATTATTAAAAAAAAAACTGAGGTTATGAGAATGCCTAGAAACACAAGCCAATTATGATTTAGTAATTAGAAATTATACAGTATAAGAAAAAGACCTAATGCTTGGATGAAAGAAAAAAAAATTTTTTTTTATCATTTGTTACACTGGTAAAGCTGCAGTTTTCTTTAAATTGTTGAAATAAGAATTTTCTCTGCATTACTAGTAAAAAAAAAAAAGAAGAATAAGAAGAAGAAAAATAATGTCTGTGGGGAATCAAAAAATTTTCTATTTTCTGATTAGTTTAACAGCTGGAAAAGGAGGAGTTTTTTTTATTTTATTATTTTTTTAATTGAGCCAAGGAATAAAGAAAAAAAACTTTTTTTTTTCAGAAGAATGAAAGATTCGGTTTTATAAAAATTGAGACTTTGCTTTTCTTGGTTGCCTTTTTTATTTTTTATTTTTTATTTTTTAGTTCTATGTAGGAAATGATGAAGTTGATGATGACGATGCCCAATCTGATATTGGGTATGGTGGCTTTTGGAATCAACGAAATTTCCCAATTAGGACATGCTAAGCGAAACCGGCTGCACATCACTACATATATCAGAAAAGGTCGTCCTGCTAGAGAGAGACATTATTATTTTCCATAACAAAGCCATCTAACTTTTAATATAATTATATTGAATCTATTTACTTATAAGTAAATAGATTCGATATTAAAAAGTTACAAAATAAAACAAAATTAATTTATATTCTATAAAAAAAAGTGTAAATATTAAAGATCTTGAATTGTATTTAAATGGGGGGGTTTAATATATATATATATATTGGGAAAAGTAGTGGCGCATGTGATTGTCTTTTTTTTTTTTTTTTTCACCTCCCCCCAATTATTCCTTGGTGCGTCCTCCGCTCTTTACACTCACACAAACACACCTTTTTTTTTTTTTTTTTGCCTAGTTCCGGTGGAAGACACACCAGCACGGGCAAAGTATATCTGAGTAGTAGTATACATACATCAAGAGGGGTGGGGACGACCGTGAAGTATCTTCGTTATCAGACCAATCGCATTTAGGAATTTCGTAATATAGTTGAAAAAAAAATGGCTCTCTATCCTCCCGAAGAAGAAGAAGAAAAAGAAAAAAAGAAAAAAAAGGTGGGGGATAAAATGAGAGCAATAGGTATGATGATAGTAGTATATTGTCTAGTGATTTAGAAGGTACTATATATTATTAAATTTGAAGATGGTGATCACCATTTTCATGATTGTCTAAGCTTAGAAAGGTTACCTTTCGACTAAGTCGATTAAAGATTATCTTAAGAAAGACCCTCTTTTCATCAATTGAAAATTTAAGCCGAGGACCTTATAGTCCTTTTTTGCTTTTTTTTTTATTTTATTTAATTACCTTTTTTGCAACTGAAAAAAAAAAAATGAGGAACCAACCAAGAATTAAAGAATCAAAAGGAAGGACAATTAAGGCCCGCGCCAACCCCCGGGTGGGCTGATTGAGTGACTGGAGCACCATAGCCCCGGAGCTGTTGCGGGATCAGGATATATGAACATAATACCACCATTTGGAGTCAAATATTGAATAATAATAAAAAAAGAATGAAAACATGGTCGTGGAAAAATGCAAAAAAAATTAAAAATGAAAAATAAAAATGGGGAGAGCACTCAAAGAATCGGACCACAAGCGGAGCATAGTGGTAGAACCCCAGAAAAAAAAAAGCTTCTTTTAAAAGCTTCTTTATACTAATAAATATTAGGTTTTCTAATAGAAGCTATATACTTTTGGTATTTCAACTAATTTTTTTTTCTTTTGTATTTTTTATTGTATTTCAAATCTCAATTTTTCTATATGATGATGGAGCCTTTTCTATTTTATATACTGTTTTGTAAATCTCTAGAGTTTTTTTTTTTTTTTTTCAAATGATACACCCCTCCTTTTGGATCTCCCCGCTCTATTTTTCCCCCACTTGTTTTTTTTTTTTTTTTTTTTTTTTTCAAGGATAATGTTTTTTTTTTCTTTGAGAGAGACCGGTCGGGCGCAGGTTTTGGTCTGTTTACACATATGGAAATCTGAGTGTAGACATAATTATTTTTTTTTTAAAAAAAAAAAAAAAAAAAAGAAGTAAGTCCATAGGAATAGTGTTAATTACTAAGAAGAATCAATTATAATTACATAAACATGGCATAATACGGAGAATCCCGTGGGGCACGATAAGTTGAGTTGTAGGCCAGCAGGGCTGAATAATGTCTTTGTAGCTATTGGCTTGATTAGCAGCCATTATTAATAAGCGTTGAAAGATTACCTAATATTTCAGTTTCTGCCGCACATCACCCTCTTTCCATGAGCCCACATCACACTCAAGTTTTTTTTTTTTTTTTTTTTCAAATGAAGCTTTCAGTGGTAGTATTAGTAGTAGTATTAGTAGGAGTATTAGTAGTAGTAGTATTAGTAGTAGTAGTATTAGTAGTAGTAGTATTAGTAGTAGTAGTATTAGTAGTATTAGTAGTCATAGCAGTGCTACACCCCAACACTATTCACACTTAGGGCTTCTTCGTCCTCCTTTTTTTTTCTACCCTATTCTGCCTAATATAAATAAAATAAACAACCCTCGGGCTCCCACACACACACACACACACACACACACACACAACTAGAGGAGGGGCGTGTCAAAAAACTCATTTTTTTTTTATCGTGGCGCACGCATTATTTTATAAAGAAAAAAAAAAAGCATAAAAGACGCTGTCCATCCGCCACTTTTTTTTTTTTTTTTTTTCTTCTTCTTTTCTTTCTCTTCCCCGTTTGCCCTTTTGCTCAAAATCTCCTGGTCCATTGATTTTCTCTATTCTTATAAAATTATTTTTTTATTATATAAATATAAAAAAATAATTCCTGGTTCTATCTATTCTCTTTAGTTTTTTTTTTTTTTTTTTTGGATTTTAAAACATTTCCCTGGATTTTTTTTTTTTTTTTTTTTTTAATTTTTTTCTGGTTTTCTTTTTTATATAAATTCTCTGTGGTCTGGTTTGATATCAGATCTCCATTTTCTCATTGTTACCCCGCTCTCCTCGATTTTTTGTAAGTAGAAACTCTCAATTCTTTTTATTTATTTCTTTTTAGATGCAACTATATATATAAAATGGATAATTCTTCCAATCATCATTTCAATCATCAGCCATCCTCATCAAAATCATCTCCACTTTTTATTCAAATGGAATTTCTCCTCTTTTTTTTTTTTTTATTTTTTTTTCTTTGCCTAGTCGTCATCAATTATTTCATTGTCACTAACTAACTTGTGCTTTCTTTCTTTCTCTCTCTTTTTTTTTAATTATTTTTCCGCTATTGTGCTTGTACAGCAAAAAAAATTATCCCTTATCCTACCAATCACGGTACAAGAGTATTCTGATTACCTTATCTCATTCTCCATAATAGGCAACTCTCATCACAACTCTAAAAAAAAAATATTTGCTTGATCTGTCTCCTCACACAGTTTACAACCAAGTATTTTGTATGTCCTTAAATCACTCTTATTTTTTTTTATAATTATCCTTTCCTTTCCTTTTTACTTAACTTTTTTTTTTTTTTTTCTTTCCTTTCTTTCCACTTTCTAACACCTTAATATAGAATGTCTCAACAACAACAAGAATCCATTGACCAAGAGCAATACGCTCCCTATGAATATGTCAACACTCCTGAAAACAACTCGTGGGCTGGCGCCCTCCCCATGAAACAGGGCCTTTACGACCCAGAGTTTGAAAAGGATGCCTGCGGTGTCGGCTTTTCCTGTCACATCAAGGGACAAGTTTCCCACAAAATCGTCTCTGACGCAAAAGACCTTCTCTGCAAAATGACCCACCGTGGTGCTGTCGGTGCCGACGCCCGCGACGGTGATGGTGCCGGTGTCATGACCTCCATCCCTCACAACTTTATGGTTAAGCAATTCGAAACTACAAATGACTTTAAACTCCCCCCCATTGGCCAGTATGCCGTTGGTAACGTCTTCTTCAAGAATGACGAACAGGTCTTGGCCCAGTCAAGATCAACTTTTGAACACATTGCCCAGTCCCTTGGCCTGAGGGTCCTTGGCTGGAGACACGTCCCAAGAGACTCTTCCATTCTTGGTCCCGCAGCTCTCTCAAGAGAACCTCTCATTCTTCAACCCATTGTCGTTCTTGCCGACGCCTATGGCCCAGGAAACTCTCCTCAACTCACCTCTGCAGATGAGTTTGAATCCAAATTCGCACGCAGCTTTGAGCGACACCTTTACGTTCTCAGAAAACAATCCACTCACACTATTGGCCTGCACAATTGGTTCTACATTTGCTCTCTCTCAAATAAAAACATTGTCTACAAGGGTCAACTTGCCCCCGTCCAAGTCTACCAATACTACTTTGATTTGGCAAACGTCGACTACGAAGCTCACTTTGCTCTCGTTCACTCCCGTTTCTCTACAAACACATTCCCCTCTTGGGACCGTGCCCAGCCCCTTAGATGGGCAGCCCACAATGGTGAAATCAATACTCTCCGCGGTAACAAGAATTGGATGCGTGCTAGAGAAGGTGTCATGCAATCTGACGTTTTTGGCGACGAACTCGACCTGCTTTACCCCATTATTGAGGAAGGTGGTTCCGATTCTGCCGCCTTTGATAACGTTCTCGAACTTCTCATTATGAATGGTGTCCTTTCTCTCCCAGAAGCTGTCATGATGATGGTCCCAGAGGCTTGGCAAAACAACCCAGACATGAACCCCAAGAAGAAGGCCTTTTACGAATGGGCTGCCTGTCTCATGGAACCTTGGGATGGTCCCGCTCTTTTCACTTTTGCCGATGATAGATATTGCGGTGCTACTCTCGATCGTAACGGTCTCCGTCCATGCCGTTACTACGTTACTGACGATGATAGAATGATTTGCGCTTCTGAAGTTGGTGTCATGCACATTGACCCTGAAACCGTCATTCAAAAGGGCCGTCTCCGCCCTGGTCGCATGCTTCTCGTTGACACTAAGGAGGGTAAGATTGTCGACGACCGCGAGCTCAAGAGAAAGGTTGCTGCTAGATTTGATTTCAAGAGCTGGGCTTCTGCTAATCTCATCACCATGCCTGACCTTATTGAAAAGCTCCATTCCCGTGAGGGCCCCGCTGCCTTGGAGGCTCTCAAGCCTAAACTTGACACTCTTTCGGTCCAAACTGACCCTAGACTTTTGGCCTTTGGCTACACTTTTGAGCAGATTTCTCTTCTTCTCGCTCCCATGGCTGGTGATGGCAAGGAAGCCCTTGGTTCCATGGGTAACGATGCTCCCCTTGCATGCTTGTCTCCTCAGCCCCGTCTTTTGTTTGAATACTTTAGACAACTTTTTGCTCAAGTCACTAACCCTCCCATTGACCCCATTCGTGAGGCCATTGTCATGTCTCTTGAGTGCTACATTGGCCCCCAGGGTAATGTTCTTGAGATGAAGCCAAACCAAATGGATCGTCTCCACATGGCCACTCCTATTCTTTCCAATGAAGAATTTTCTGCCCTTGACCACCTCCCCAAGTTTTACCCTGCTTGGACTATTGCCAAAATTGACATTACTTTTGCTAAGACTGAAGGCATTTCTGGTTACACTCGTGCTCTTGACCGCATTGCTCAAGAAGCTTCTGAAGCAATTACTAACCACAATAAGATTATCATCTTGACTGACCGCGCCGTCAATGCTGACCGCGTTCCGGTCTCTGCTCTTTTGGCCACTGGTGCTGTCCACCACCACTTGGTTCGCCAAAAGCAACGTTCTAAGGTTGCTATTGTTGTTGAGACTGGTGAGGCCCGCGAAGTCCACCACATGTGTGTCTTGGTTGGTTATGGCGCTGATGCTATTAACCCTTACTTGGCCATTGAGACTTTGCTCAAGATGAACCGTGAGGGCCTTCTTAAGGACAAGCTTTCTGATAAGAAGATTGTTGAGAACTACAAGCATTCTATTGATGGTGGTATTCTCAAGGTTATGTCCAAGATGGGTATTTCCACCTTGGCTTCTTACAAGGGTGCCCAAATCTTTGAAGCTCTTGGTATTGACAATTCTGTCGTTGACAAGTGCTTCACTGGTACTGCTTCTCGTATCAAGGGTGTCACTTTTGACTACATAGCCCAAGATGCTTTCACCATTCACGAGCGTGGTTTCCCCTCTCGTGAGACTATCAAGCCTGAGGGTCTCCCTGAATCTGGTGAATACCACTACCGTGATGGTGGTGATGCTCACGTCAACACTCCTGTTGCCATTGCCAACATTCAGGATGCTGTCCGCAACAAGAATGAAAAGGCTTATGAGACCTACTCTAAGAATGAGTACGAAGCTATCAAGAACTGTACTCTTCGTGGTATGCTCGACTTTGATTTTGAGGATTCTACTCCTATTCCCATTGACCAGGTTGAGCCTTGGACTGAAATTGTCCGCCGCTTTGTTACTGGTGCCATGTCTTATGGTTCCATCTCTATGGAATCTCACTCTACTCTTGCTGTTGCCATGAACAGACTTGGCGGTAAGTCCAACACTGGTGAAGGTGGTGAGGATCCTGAACGTTCCAATGTCAATGAGAATGGCGACACTATGCGCTCTGCCATTAAGCAAGTTGCTTCCGGTCGCTTTGGTGTTACTTCTTACTACCTCTCTGACTCTGATGAACTTCAAATTAAGATGGCCCAGGGTGCCAAGCCTGGTGAGGGTGGTGAGCTTCCCGGTCACAAGGTTTCTCTTTCTATTGCAAAGACTCGTCACTCTACTCCTGGCGTTGGTCTTATTTCCCCTCCTCCTCATCACGATATTTACTCCATTGAGGACTTGAAGCAGCTCATTTACGATCTCAAGTGCTCCAACCCTCGTGCTCGTGTCTCTGTCAAGCTTGTTTCTGAGGTTGGTGTCGGTATTATTGCTTCTGGTGTCGCCAAGGCCAAGGCTGACCATATTTTGATTTCTGGTCACGATGGTGGTACTGGTGCTTCCAGATGGACTGGTATCAAGTATGCTGGTCTTCCTTGGGAACTTGGTCTTGCTGAGACCCACCAGACTTTGGTTCTTAACGATCTTCGTGGCCGTGTCATTGTTCAGACTGATGGTCAGATCCGCACTGGTCGTGATGTCGCCATTGCCTGCTTGCTCGGTGCTGAAGAGTGGGGCTTTGCTACTACTCCTCTTATTGCCATGGGCTGCATTATGATGCGCAAGTGCCATCTCAATACTTGCCCTGTTGGTATTGCCACCCAGGATCCTGAGCTTCGCAAGAAGTTCCAAGGTACTCCTGAACACGTTATCAACTTCTTTTACTACATTTCTAACGAGCTTCGTCAAATTATGGCCAAGCTTGGTTACAGAACTATTAACGAAATGGTTGGACACGCTGAGAAGCTCAAGGTTCGCGAGGACCTTCGCAACTCCAAGACTATCAACTTGGATCTTTCTCCCTTGTTGACTCCTGCTCACACTCTTCGTCCTGGCGTTGCCACCCGCAACATTCGCAAGCAGGACCACAGACTTCACATTCGTCTTGACAATAAGCTTGTTGATGAAGCTGAGGTTACCTTGGAAAAGGGTCTCCCCGTCAACATTGAAGCTCAAATTGTCAATACTGATCGTGCTCTTGGTACTACATTGTCTTACCGCATCTCCAAGAAGTTTGGTGAGGAGGGTCTTCCCAATGACACTGTTCATGTCAACATTACTGGTTCTGCTGGTCAATCTTTTGGTGCCTTTTTGGCTCCTGGTATTACCTTGGAGCTTGAAGGTGATGCCAATGATTACGTTGGTAAGGGTCTTTCTGGTGGCCGTATCATCATCTATCCTCCCACTGGCTCTTCTTTCAAGGCTGAAGAGAATATCATTATCGGTAACACTTGTTTGTATGGTGCCACTTCTGGTACCTGCTTCTTCCGCGGTGTTGCTGCCGAGCGTTTTGCCGTCCGTAACTCTGGTGCTACCGCCGTTGTTGAGGGTGTCGGTGACCACGGTTGTGAGTACATGACTGGTGGTCGTGTCGTTGTCCTTGGTCCTACTGGCCGTAACTTTGCTGCTGGTATGTCTGGTGGTATTGCCTACGTTTTGGACATGGCCCAGGAGTTCTCCAACAATGTCAATGCTGAGATGGTTGAGCTTACTTCCCTCACTGATCCTGCCGAGATTGCCTTTGTCCGTGGCTTGATTGAGGATCACCGTCACTACACCAATTCCGAGCTTGCTGACCGCATCCTTACTGACTTTAATCGCATCCTCCCCCGCTTTGTCAAGATTTTCCCCACTGACTACAAGCGTGTTTTGGAAGAGCAGAAGAAGAAGCAGGAGGAGGCTAAGAAGGCTGAGATTGTTGACTTTTTCCACAACCTCAAGGAGGACCCTGACGCTGATATTACCAATGGTGAGATTAAGCGTACTCGCACTCCTGCTCCTACTACTCCCGCATTTTTGCCTTCCAAGGGTGCCAAGGAGCCCAAGGTGTTGGATCTTGAAGACACCATTTTGGACCACGTTGCCGAGAAGAAGAAGGCTCAAGTTCTTAAGCTTGATAAGGTCAAGGGCTTTAAGCTTTACAAGCGCCGCAACGAGAAGTACAGACCTGCCACCGATCGTACTAAGGACTGGGCCGAGATTTCCAATCGTCTTACCAAGGAGGAACTCAAGTACCAGACTGCCCGTTGCATGGACTGTGGTGTTCCCTTCTGCCAGTCTGACACTGGTTGCCCCATTTCCAACATTATCCCCAAGTGGAACGAGCTTGTTTTCAAGGACCGCTGGTATGATGCTTTGCAGCGTCTTCTCATGACCAACAACTTCCCTGAGTTTACAGGTCGTGTTTGCCCTGCTCCTTGCGAGGGTGCCTGCGTCTTGGGCATTAATGAGGACCCTGTTGGTATCAAGTCAGTCGAGGCTGCCATTATTGATCACGGTTGGGCCCAGGGCTGGATCACCCCCAACCCTCCCCAACACAGAACTGGCAAGTCCATTGCTATTGTTGGTTCTGGTCCTGCTGGTCTTTCTTGTGCTGACCAGCTTAACCGTGCTGGTCACTCGGTTACTGTTTACGAGCGTTCTGATAGAATTGGTGGTTTGCTCATGTACGGTATCCCTAACATGAAGCTTGACAAGCGTGTTGTTGACAGACGTACTAAGCTCATGGCTGATGAGGGTGTTAAGTTCATCACAAACAGTACCGTTGGTGAGGACGTCACTGTTGACGAGCTCAAGACCAATAACGATGCAGTTGTTATGGCTTGCGGTTCTACCATTGCCCGTGACTTGAAGATTCCTGGTCGTGAGCTCAACAATATCTTCTTTGCCATGCAACTTCTTAAGTGGAACACCAAGGCTCTTTTGGAGGACACTCTTGACGAGGTTAAGGAGCTTCTTCACGGTAAGAATGTTGTTGTCATTGGTGGTGGTGACACTGGTAATGACTGTATCGGTACCTCTGTTCGTCACGGTGCCAAGTCTGTTGTCAACTTTGAGCTTTTGCCCAAGCCTGCTCCTACTCGTGGCAAGGACAACCCATGGCCCCAATGGCCCCGTATTTTCCGTGTGGACTATGGCCACACTGAAGTTGCTGCCCACTACGGTCAAGATCCTCGTGAATACTGCATTCTTTCCAAGGAGTTTGTTGGTGATGAAGAGGGTAATGTCAAGGGCATCAAGACTGTCCGTGTTGAATGGAAGAAGTCTGAGTCTGGCGCTTGGCAAATGTCGGAAGTTCCCAACTCTGAGGAGTTCTTCCCTGCCGACGTTGTTTTGTTGTCTATGGGCTTTGTTGGCCCTGAGGCTCAGAACCTTGGTGTTGAGCGTGATGGACGTGGAAATATCAAGGTTGCTAAGCCCAGCGGTTACCAGATTGAAGGTAACTTGTACGCTGCTGGTGACTGTCGTCGCGGTCAGTCACTCATTGTCTGGGGTATTCAGGAGGGTCGCCAGTGCGCTCGTGAGATTGACATTAATCTCATGGGCTCCACCAGACTCCCTGGAAGTGGCTCCATTGAGCAGCGTGACTTTAATGTCAAGACCAAATAAAGAGAGTGTTTATTGTTTTGATTGTTTTTTATTCATTTGATAGAGTTTATTTTTGTTTATACCAGGATTTTTTTAAGATTTTTATATATTTTTTTATAGTAACCAGAACCAGATATTTAAAAAAAAAAAAACCAACAAGCAATTTTACTTAAACAACCGATAAATTGCTATTTTTGATATAATTTATCATTATAATGATTCCTAATTAGGAATGAGAATTGATGTTGACTAAGCTGGCCTGCATGTAGTATCGATAAAAAGATATATTTCTTCTGCCAATGGATTACTAAGCGAGTTTAACGATAAAGGAGGCTAAATCTATTTCAAATTATTTAATGTATTTAATGCCCAGGTATATCGATTTTAATAATTTTCTTAATTAACTTTCTTTCTCAATTAACTTTTTTTTTTTTAAAAATGGCTACCACTGAAACAGCTCATATACTTAGACTCAGCGTGGATGTTGAACTTATTCGCAAATTTGCAGTTGAATATGCTACAGATAATTGGAACCTAACAATCACCCCAATGCATTTTCTATATGGGTTCTTAAAAATAGAAGATGAGGACGATCCTTACTTGCACTCAATTATTTTTGAAAAGAAAACGACCACAAGTTATGATAGTGTCTTAAGCTTGACTAATTGGAGGTCTCTGGTTGAAGATGAACTTAAAGGACTTTGTCAAAGTTGTAGATCTGTTGATACAGATGATCTTATCAAACAAGCCAATGACTATATACAATCAGCTTCCAAGTTTCAGAAAAACAAAAATGCTGTCTACATTGTTCGTGATCACTTGATACAACGGATGCTTGAAGATAGCGAGGTTTTAAACTTGTTCGAAAAGCAAAACATAAGTAAGGTGTCAATGGAGGATACAATCAATCTCAAAGACATGGAAGCGCGTGAAAACAAGATTGAAGACACAGAGTATATAAAATATTATACTAAAGATTTGACACAAATGGCACGACAGGGGAAACTAGGAATGGGGGCTGTTGGCCGTGAAACCGAAATTCAACAGTGCTTGGAAATCCTTATGCGTCACAGCAAAGCAAACCCTATTTTGGTGGGTGAACCTGGCGTGGGGAAAACTGCAGTGGTAGAGGGGTTGGCCGTGTTACTTGCAAAATCTGACCCGGCAAACCCCAACGAAGAAAAATCAACCACAGAAAAAAGTGATGAGAAACTTGCGAAATATAATGGGATTCCTCCTGTTCTTGCTGGAGCCCGGATTTTATCATTAGATATTGGTGCTTTACGCTCTGGAGCCAAGTATCGAGGCGAGCTTGAGGAGCGAATTAAAAATATTTTGGATGAAATACAAATGTTTCAAGAACCCATTATTTTTTTCATTGATGAGATTCATATGCTGATGGGTGATGGACATTCAGATGAAGCAAATATGCTTAAACCGTTTCTTGCTCGTGAATATAGTGGGATGCGGTGCATTGGGGCTACAACCAATACGGAGTACCGCAAACACATTTTCCCTGATCCTGCGTTTGTGCGGCGGTTTGAAAAGATCGATATCGCAGAGCCTAGCGAGAAAACAACACTAGACATTTTACGATCTCTTAAAAAAAAGATTAGCAAACATCACGATATCAAAATTTTGGATGAAGCTCTTGAGACTTGTGTGGGTTTGGCAAAACAGTACTTTGCACAAAAGAAAATGCCAGATTCTGCAATTGATTTACTTGAGAATTCAGCTGCAGCTGCAGCTGCTAATAAAATGGCAATGCCAGAGGAACTTGTTAAAATGGAACAAAAACTCAAAAGTTTGACTCTTAAGGTTGAATCTTTGCAAGAAGACAGTTTAATCACTGGTTCAAATGATCAACTACAGATTGAAAGAAAAAAATTAAATAGCATTAAGGCTCGTTTTGACGACATGACACAGACCAATAATGCTTTAGGAACCGCATTGGAAAACAAGAAAAAAATATTAGAAGAAAATATCAATAAACTTAAGCATTTGCCTAAATCCAGTTTTGAATTTAAAGATATCAGTTTTTTTATTCCAGGATTGAAAAATGATATTGAAGAATTGGAAAAAAATATTAATCAATCTAACGCGATTCCTCCTGGAATACTTAATAGCGCTCTTGTCAGGAAAGTTGCTGCCAAACTTTCTGGGATTCCGGACACTAGTTTATCTCATGATGACAAGTTACAGCTTGAGGAAATGCAAAAGTATCTTAGGGAAAAAATTATTGGGCAGCCTCATGCTATTGATGAGTTGTGTCAAAAGATTAGGCTTAAACGAATGGGACTTTTACAGCGTGATGATATCCCACTCAGCTTTTTGTTTGCAGGAATATCAGGGACTGGTAAAACTGAGCTTGCAAAGCAGCTAGCAATCAAACTTTTTGGAAGTTCTTCATCGCTGATCAGAATTGACTGCTCTGAACTTCAAGACAAGGGATCAGTAACTAAGCTTGTAGGTGCACCACCTGGGCTTGTCGGATTCACAGAGGCTGGAATTTTGACTGAAGGTATACGGACACGACCATACTCGATTGTTCTTTTTGACGAGATTGAAAAGGCAGACTTTACAGTGCTCACAGTTCTTTTGCAAGTACTTGGAGATGGCCGTGTGCGCGACAATTATGGTCGGGAAATCAATTGCTCTAATGCGATATTCATAATGACTTCCAATTATGGAGCAGAACAAATTGCAGAACTTCCTGATGAAAGAAATGATGCATACTACCAGCTCTTGAATCAAAAATTTGAAGGTCTACTTGCAAACAAAATGAGTCCAGAACTTGTGAATCGGATTTCTTCCGTAATTATCTTCAACAAATTGTCACAGAAAGCCATGGATGATATTTTGGAATTGCGCAGAAAAGAGTACACGGAACAGTTACACAAAAAAGACTACAGAATCGAGCTCAATTTTACTTCGGAAGCCAAAGAGTTTTTGCTGAGTCAATGGTCATCGCCATTATTTGGTGCGCGGCCACTTACCCGTCTTATGGAGCAAGAGATATATGACAAAATTGGACAAATGATTATAAGAAACGAAATCAAGCGCAAGGACAATTGTTATAAAAATGTTATAGTGAAACTAAACGAGCTTGGTAGAGGGTTGGAAATCTCTATTGAAAACTAATTTCATAATATTATAATTTACTTCAAATGATCAATACACAAATTTCATTTATTTTTTTCTTTATTTTTATCATCTCTATTAAAATCATACTAGATTTACCACATATGGTTAAAATTTTTTTTTTTGGCATAACACAAATGATAAGGTGAGATATGAGATTTTTTTTTTTCGATAAGTGGTTACAAACTTGGCTTTGAGTAAACTCAAAAAAAAAAAAAACGGTTGTAAGCACATTTCTTAAAAAATTAAAAAATTAGCGATGCTTGGTTTCGATCCAAGGACATCAGGGTTATGAGCCCTGCGCGCTTCCTCTGCGCCACATCGCTTTCAAGTTGTTATTATTTATTATAATAATTTGTATAAAAGAAAAGACAAAAGACACTATAAATTTGATAAAAATTTTTTTTTTTTTTTTTTTTTTTTTTTTTTTTATCTAAAGTACTGGAAAAAATTATACAAAAAAGAATGACCAAGCTTACAACACACTTACTTCCACCAGAGCAATATGGGGGAAGACAAGGTTATTGTGCTACTGATGCTGTTTTGGAACTTGTCCAAAGAATTGAAGCTAGTAAAGAAAAAATTTCAGCTATGCTCATTGATATTCAAGGAGCTTTTGATAATGTTAACAGAAATATATTGGCACACACAATGGAGGATATGAAACTACCCAAAGCACTTATAAACTGGACGTACCAATTTGTAAGTGAAAGAGAAGCTAGTATGCTCATGGACCGAAGAAAAGGATCAGTGCAAAAAATTAGTACTGGAATTCCGCAAGGCTCACCTATTTCACCACTACTTTTTTTGATATATTCCACACCGATGTATCATGTGATTAAAGAATAGGGGAACTCCTTTCGGCTTTATTGATGATGTGACTATTACCGTTGAAGGTAAAATTGAAGAAAATACCAAAAGCTTAAGCAACATATTAGAAAAATGTTGTAATTGGGCTAAATCAAGAATGACCAAAATTGATTTGGGTGATAAATTGGGTTTCATTCATTTTACAAAAAATGTGAAACCTAAAGATGAGAAAGTGCAACTTACTTTACCTAATGGAGAACTTCGTGAACCCCAGAAGGAAGTTAAATTGCTTGGAATTACTTTGAACAATCTGCTTGATTTTAAATCTCATATTTTGAATAAAATCAATAAAGCAAGAAAAGCTGTTGGTGCTATTTGGCATCTTGGTGGCGTGCAAAAAGGTATGCGGGGGTCTGCAGTCAGATCACTGTATATTGCTTGCGTGAGACCAATTGTCGAATATGGCTTAGAAATTTGGCATCATAAAGTTTTGAAAGGAGAAATCCACAAGTTGGAAGTGATGCAGAACATGGCTTTAAGAAGAATTGTTGGTGCTTATCGCACAACTCCTATTGCGGTATTACAAAAGGAAGCTGGTATTATGCCATATAGTATTAGGCTAAAATTTATGGTGGCACGAAAAGCTATTCGTTTACACCTAAATATTAGCAAAACTAATCCTATTAATGGTCATTTGTTAACATTGATTGAGAAATCTCCAATTGCTAAGCTAACCACGCTTTACATTTTGGCGAAAGATGATAGAGACTACATTATTAAAAAGGATGAAAAACGAAAATGCAAGAGGGTTGAACCTCTTACACTGAAACAACAACAGAATCAGACGATTGGAATTTTGAAGAAACAAGCAATGGAAGAATGGAAAGAAATGTATTGGAACAGTAGTAAGGATCTGTGGTATCATAATATCACAGTAGAGTCGAAATGTACTGATAATCTTTCAAAATGGTTACGGGAGTGATCATGAAGAAAGATAGTCGAAGGATCTTGAGTAATATTACTCAGTTTCGCACAGGCCATGGCAACTTTGGCGCATGGTTTAAAAAGTTTGGAATTGAAAAGGATAGTTACAACTGCAAATGTGGAGAGCTGGAAACAGTTCCTCACATTTTAGTTGAGTGTCCTTTGCTTGAAGAGGAAAGAAAAGGACTGAAACGGATATCTCCAGAGATGGACATGTCGACTCTCTTAAACAGTTTAACTGGCTTACAAAAGATTGTAAGCTTTATCTCTGCTTGGAGGGATTAAGAAATACAATTACAGCGTTGATGAAGACAAGTGGAGATAAGTTGGGAAGGTTTGGTTATTTTTAACCCTCAGTTCCTCGTAAGCTGGCATCAGGACTTATTTTCGGGCTGTTGGAGATGCAATGTTGAAGGCAAAATTAAAAGTTTATTATGAAAATGAAAAGATATATAGTATGGACAAGAAGGATAGCGCAGATGCTGATGTTATATAATTCTATAACCCTTGAATAAAAACAAACAAACAAACAAGTTTTTGGTTTGCAGATGCAGATTTTATATAATATATAACACTTGGATGAGAACAAACAAAACAAACGTTTGTATTTGGTTAAAAAAATTAAAAAAAATAGTTTATAATGCATTTTTAAACACATTAAAACAATAATACACATTCATTTGAGTGTCTTTTGCTTGAAAAATAAGAATCAACCCTAAGGAACGGCTTATTTTGATTAGAGTAGATTGCTCTAAGTTGAGACGATTGATGCGATTTAACAAACTGTAGCATAGCGCTATGTTAGCACAGATCGGCCGTACCTTTGTTAATGTTCTGTGGTCTAGTCACAAAGTCCATAGCCTTAATCTCTTGGTACACAGTGGTTAGAGTTTTTAGAGATAGGCCTAACCATCAGTTAATTAACTGATTATATGAATGCCTATTGAAAGATAATATTTACTTTTTTTTTCGTACACGTTCAATTACAATAAACTCCAATATTTAGCATGTCATACATATATACTCATCATGATGAGTGGCTTAGGACAAGACAAAGATTCATAGACCTAGCGATATCACTAGGCCTCATAGAGTCACCTCCATTCTTGTTAAGAACCACATCCGCTGTTATTTTTTTTTTCATATATATAACTCCCATATATTCGTTCCCTAGTCTTTGAATTTACAAGTATTTATGAGTGACTTATGAAAGTTGGGTGGAAAATTCATGAATTTTAAAACTGATCAGTTTAAACCCGGCTTACGTTGTCGATAAGATGGATAAGATTATTTCCGCTGTTGGTAACAGCGAGAGAGGAAACATTTATACATATTTTAGGATTGTTCCATAAACAAATATGTTCATATTATATTATCTTGAAAAAAAAAAAAATAAGAAGCTTATAAATGTACTAATTAGTATATTAAATGCAGAATAAATAATAAAGCTCTACACTTTAATCGAAATGCCTTTTTAAAGCTCTTGTGAGTTCACCAAAAGTCAGTTATTAATAATGCTTTACTCACTTGCTGTAGTATTCAGCCTCGCCTCCCCCTGGAACGCAGCCCACAACACCGTGGCCATAGGGCTGTTTGCCGGATTGCCGGTTAAACATGACCAGATACAATTGGGAAACCGCGGGATTACAAAGCCGCAGACGACTTCAGTTAATCGGGACCAAATAAAATGGGAATGCAAAAATGATGGTGATAAAAATTTCCAAATAAATGAATAAATTACCAGCAGATCAGAGGATTTTGTTTAATTTGGTAAAAAAGAAAAAAAAAAATAAGAAATAGTATGAATAGCTTTGTTACAAGATCAAAGAACATTGATTCTCTAATCAATTGAGCTCCATTGGTAAATAAAATGAAAGTTTGCTGTGCATTTTTAACCTTCCAATTTTTTTTATTTCAAAGATGCCGTCCATCAATAGCCAGAAAAAAGAAAATATCATGGATTTCAATGGCACTTGTAAGGTTTTTTGCCTTCGATTTTGGACCCAAAAGCTGTAAAAGTTGAACTTTCTTTTTTTTTTTTTTTTTTTTTTTTTTTTCTTTTGTTATAACATAATTATGATCTTCTCTAGGCCCAATCAGTCACATAAGATTAATCAAATCAATCATGACGCACATCCCTTTATAACTCCGTCGGATAATTATTATTATTATTTGATGCTTACAAAGGTCTTTTACGCTGCAAAATCTACTTGAAAAAATAAATAAATAAACTAAGGGTTTTCAGAGACTCCAGGTTTATAATTTTAACTTTTTTTTAACTAAAGTCAAAAAAAAAAAATAACTTACTTAATAACTTTTTAAAGGGTTTTAGAAACTCTTTCATTAGTAACAATTAACTAAATAGAAAAAATGGAAGAACTCAGCTTTGAATATATTTTTTTCTTAAAGAACCACCTTTAATGTTTTGGAAAGAATGAAAACATGGAATTAATATTATTCATATTATTATTGTAGTGTTTTCAATCTGTAAGTTCAACAAAAAAAAACGATTCTCGAGGACCAAAATTCCTTCTGCCTATTTTAAGCTAGTCTTGCACGTTGCCATCTCAAAATGCCAAGAAATTTTATGAAAATTAAAAAAAAAAAACCTCTCTTCATTTAAATTTTCAAAACTCTTTGGTGAAAAACCACTTTTTTACTCACTCCACACACATAAACATACATAAACACAGACTCTTCATCAAGCTTTTACATGAAATGCTATTTTTGGCCTCTGCCACAAAAAAAAACCAGATACCTAGGTAACGGATCTATCAGCAAGTAAAGCCGACTTCAATTTGGTGCTCCATCTTGGCTTTTAATATACACCCTGAGATATCCCTAAAAAACATCTTCGAATCTCACAATCTGAAATTATGGCCAAGAGAAACTTGGCACCCATATTTTCAATATATATATATGAAATACACTTTAGCCAGTCTAACATTACAAGTTTCTCATCCCACTATGTAATGGACTCAAGATGTATATACATGTCCAATTGTCATAATATATATAGTTCATGCAATTTAAGCGGTACTATATAACGGAAATGAATCCCCTTTTTATTTAAAAAAAGAAAAAAAAATATATATATATATAACCTTGGTTAATTGCTATATTTTATAACGAGTTTTGTCCACCCATAAAAAAGATTGAGTACTTGCTTACGAGTTTTGGGAAAACCGCTCAGTCTTACCATTAACCATGCTTGTCTTTATTATTGATCTGATTATCTCTTGATGCAAGATAATCAAACGATTGCTAAAAACCTTTTGATTTGATAGGAGTACATCTAAACATATACTAATTGGGAGACAAAAAATATTCAATTGTTGTTATTAATTGAAGAAAAATTCAATATTAATAAAGCTTACAGGTTTGTCGTTATATAAAGTCCAATCTGCTCTTTTTTTTTTAAATATTATTTTTTATTTTATTCAGTAATATACTTTAATTGTTCATTTATTCCCCGTTTTTTTTTCATTATACTTTTATTTGACAATGAAACTATTTCCACAATTAACTCTGCTTTTTGTATGGCTATGCTCAGTTATCGCTACCAACTCCGGTGATGCCCTTTTTCGAGGTTGTAGTGCGTGGGTTGCCAAATACAAGTTTGAATGTCCAAGTAAATACGCCAAAGCTAAAGGAGGTCGTGTCACTGCTTGCAACTGCTGGAGTCCTGAGTTCATTGCCACATATGTTGATTGTGCAACTAGAGCCAAAGGTGCTAATACAAAGTATGGTCTTCAAAGTCTTCTCGGTGCTTGTGGCACCAAAACTATTCGGCCAGACCTTACTCTCGACGAAATCAACCAGATTTACCAGAATGCAACAGACTACTTTGTTGACGTCAAATCTATTAAAAATAAAACTGAGACTTCTTACTATCCTATCAAATTTACTCAAGCCCAGGTCGACCAAGCCCAACGCTCTTTTGCGGCCGGGTTCTATGCCAAATACACTGGCCAGCTTTATGGGTGTGTATTTTTTTTTATGAATATTGATTGTTTTCGAGACCTGCTTCTAACATGAAATTTTTATAGTGGTCTACTTCTAGCTTATTTTGGTGCTATTTTACTAGCGGCTTCCATTTCAAATCTTTTAAAAAAGGTTGCCCCTGGATTTGTCCACAAGTCCACCAACAACAAAGTCGCACTTTTTTTCCGACGCAAGCTCATCAACCCCGCTTTGTTTGGTAACAAGCACAGCGTCCCTGTCAAATGGGGCCCCTTCAATATGTCGCTGCCCACCCGTGCTCAGTTTTGGGTTCTTGCTGTCTACTTTGGCATGTACATCATCTTCATCTTCATCAAGTATGACATTTACGACGGTAACACGCGCTTTGCTACCCGCGCTCTCCAAATCAGCCGTTATGTAGGTGATCGTGCTGCCATCATGGCATTGGCCCAGCTCCCCCTCGTCTTCACATTTGCTGGCCGCAACAATATTTTAATTTTCATTACTGGTCTTTCCTACGATACCATGAACCTTTACCATCGCTGGGTGTCACGCGTCATGTATATGAATATCTTTATTCATGCTGTTTGCTTTTCTATCAATTATCGCAAGCAAGGAAAATATTTCAGCGAACTCTCAGAATCTGATATTGTTTGGGGTATTTCTGCTTGTGTTTGCGGTGGATTTACTATGTTTTTTTCTCTCCGCCATTTCCGTGAAAAAATTTACGAAATATTCCTCCTTTCCCATTGGGCTTTTGTAATTTTTTTTACAGTTGGAGCCTGGTATCATGTCAAATCCCATGGTTACATGGAATGGATCTATACTGCTATTGCTATCTGGGCTTTTGACCGTTTAGGACGTTTGGTTCGCATTGCTGTCAACGGTGTAAATGCCAAGGCCCACCTCGAACTTCACCCTCAACACCTCATCAAAATTAAGGTCGATTACAACAGTTTCTGGAACCCTCATGCTGGTGCTTATGCATTCATTCACTTCCTCAACCCTCTTTGGAGAAGCTGGGAAAACCATCCTTTTACAATGTATCCTTCCCCTACTCCTGGCGAGGAAAAGAAGCTTGTATTTTGCGCCAGAGTTCGCAACGGTAAAACAAAACAACTTCAAAACTACCTTGCTGCTAACAGTAACGCCAAAACTGTCCCCGTTTTTATCGATGGCCCCTATGGTAATACAGCCCCCTTACAGACATCTGATACTATTGTCATTATCACTGGTGGAATTGGTTTCACTGGTGGCTACTCATATGCATGCAAGTTGACGCACCAAGCAGAGAAGAAAAACATTACCTTTATCTGGGCCATCCAAAACCATGAAAATGTTGAAACTTTTAGAGATGAGCTTGAATATCTCTACAAAAATGATGTTAATGTTTTCATTTACCTCTCCAATGAGCCTAATGGTCTTCAGCGCAAAATCACCGTTGAGAAACACAATTCAGACCCCGAAAACCTTAATGAAAAAGATTTTTCTTCCGGATCTACAATTAGTTTTAACACCATGTTTGCCCGACCTGATCTTAAGGTTATCATTGAGTCAGCTATTACTGAAGCCCCGGGAAGTATTGGTTTCCTAGTATGTGGCCCTGGATCTATGAATGATGATGTTCGCCGCAACGTTTCAAATAATATGGGCAGGGGTAAAGGCCGTGTTGACCTTTACATTGAAGCCTTTAACTGGTAACTTGTTTTTTTGTTTTTGTTCACTTTGCTGTTTTTAATTAAATAAAAAGTTGTTATTGTTTTTAATATTTTTATTGACATTTGATTGTATTGTATTGTATTGTTTTTTTTACATTGATATTTGTAATACGATGCCCATAATGATCATCAAAAGGTTTTTAAATGGTTTTTGATGTTCTTGGCATTGTATTTAATAAATATCAGCCAGAAAAAGTTTTTTAAAATTATAATAAAAATTTGATTATTGGTTGTCATCTCATTGATTATCTTCTACGCAATCCTTAATTTTGTGTAATTGGCTGATGACGAGGTCGTTAAAGAAAAAATTTTTTTTACATTCATTAACGTCAATCTGTTACAAAAAATTGAAAATTTTTGAATATATATTCGATTGTTGAAATTTTGTATGGGTTCTAGTACTAAAATACTATATATATATATATATATCTATGATATCATCGTTTAAGCGATTTGTTAGTCGTTCGCGCGAATTCAACGTTTTGCTCGTTTAAATTTTTTTTACTACTTTTTAAAGTTTGTCATAGCTAGTTTTTATGCATAAAATTAAAGCCTAATTTTGGTTCATTTTCAACGTTCTTAGAACCAAAAAACTTATAAACATTGATAAATTCATGAATTTCGGTTCTCAAATAAAAGAAAAAGTCGAGAGTAAAAATGTATACCTTTTTTTTCTTTTTTTTTGCTTCCAGTTTTTTTTTTCTTTTTACATATTACCTTAATGACTTTTTTGTCAACGGTTTGCAAATGTCAACCTGCGCCGTGTTGCAACTACCATCTGTTGCACAACCTGTGCCAAGACCTGTAAAAACCCTTGCCAATTTCTTTTTACACAATTCAAATGAGTTTTCAAAAAACTGATTTTTTTTGTAAAACCAAATTTATAAGTTGAATTCTTAACTCATTAAGTTAATTGCTCTGGCTATTCAACTTGTTAAATAGATTTGATTGATAACCAAGTAGAGTAAATTTTGATATATTTTCATTGATTATCTTATAATCGCTTTGGAAACATCTTGTTAACAGATAATCAAACCTATATATTCAGGTTTTTATCTTTTTTACTAATTGATATAAATATCTCCCTTTTCCCCCCATTTTTCCCCATTTTTCTGGGTTTTCTTTTTTCTTCATTCTCATTGCTTTTTTTTTTCATTATCCAGCATGAAGTTCATTCCATTAGCTCTTTTATTCACCTGGTTATGCGTCGTTGCTGCAACAAATTCCGGCGATGCTCTTTTCCGAGGCTGTGCTGCCTGGGTAGGAAAGTACACATTTGAATGCCCAAGCAAATACGCCAAAATTAAAGGCAAACGTGTCAGCGGTTGCAACTGTTGGAGTCCTGAATATCTGGCAACTTATGTTGATTGTGCTACTAGAGCAAAGGGTGCCAATACACAGCGTGCCCTCGACAGTCTTCTTGGTGCTTGTGGTACTAAAACTATTCGTCCCACTCTTACTTTAGATGAAATTAATCAAATTTATGACAATGCTACAGATTACTTTGTTGATGTCAAGACAGTAAAAAATAAAACTGAGACCTCTTATTCCCCAATAAGATTCACTCAAGCTCAAGTTGACCAAGCTCAGCGTTCTTTTGCTTCCGGGTTTTATGCCAAATACACTGGCCAGCTTTATGGGTATGTTGGTTTAACAATATTTTGTCCTCAACATCTAACTTTATTTATAGTGGATTAATGTTAGCTTATATGGGTGCTATTTTGCTTGCAGCTGCAATCTCTAATTTTTTGAAAAAAGTTGCTCCTGGATTTGTTCACAAGAGTACTAACAATCGTGTCGCCCTCTTTTTCCGTCAAAAGCTTATCAACCCTGCTATTTTTGGATACAAGCACTCTATTCCTGTCAAATGGGGTCCCTTCAACATGTCTCTGCCTACTCGCGCTCAAGCCTGGGTTCTTATTGGATACTTTGTTATGTATATTATTTTTATGTTCATCAAGTATGATATTTATGATGGTAATACTCGTTTTACCACAAGACCTCTTCAAATTAGTCGTTATGTTGCTGACCGCTCTGGAATCATTGCTACATCCCAACTTCCCCTTCTCTATGCTCTTGCAGGAAGAAACAATATAATGCTGTGGATTACTGGTCTTTCATACGACACTATGAATCTTTACCACCGATGGGTTTCTCGCATTATGTATCTGAATGTTTTTATTCATGCAGCGGCATTTTCGGTCAACTTCAAAAAGCAGAATAAGTACAATGATGAATTTTCCGAAACTTTCATGATTTGGGGTCTTGTATCTTGTGTTTGTGGTGGTTTCCTCATGTTCTTTTCTCTTCGTCATTTCCGAGAAAAACTTTATGAGTTTTTCCTTCTTTGCCATTGGGCCTTTGTCGTGTTTTTCACCATTGGTGTTTGGTATCATTGTAAGCCTCATGGATACATGGAATGGGTTTATGCGGCGATTGCTATTTGGGCCTTTGATCGCGCTAGTCGTCTTGCTAGACTTGTTTTTAACGGCCTCAATGCCAAAGCGCACCTTGAACTTCACCCTCAACATCTTATTAAAATTAAGGTTGATTACACCAGCTTTCTTAAGCCTCATCCTGGTGCATATGCTTTCATTCACTTCCTCAATCCTATCTGGAGATGCTGGGAAAACCATCCCTTTACTGCTTACCCTTCTCCTATTCCTGGAGAAGAAAAGAAGCTTGTTTTCTGTGTTCGAGTTCGTGATGGCAAGACCAAGCAGATTGCTCAATACTTGGCCAAAAATAACAATGCTAAAACTGTTCCTGTCTTTCTAGACGGTCTTTATGGCCACACATTCCCACTCCATACTTCTGAGTCGATTGTCATCATTACTGGCGGTATTGGTTTTACTGGCGGTTACTCATATGCCTGTAGACTAACAAATCAATCCGAGAAGAAGAACATTACTTTTATTTGGGCCATTCAAAATCATGAAAATGTTGAAACTTTCAAGGATGAACTTGAATATCTCGCCAAAAATGATGTCAGTGTTTTCATCTATCTGTCTAATGAGCCAGAAAATGCTCAACCCAAGGTTACAGTTGAAAAACACTTTTCTGATTCAGAAAATGGTAATGAGAAGGATCTATCTTCAGGATCCACCATTAGCTTTAACACCATGTTTACTCGTCCTGATCTTAAGGTCATTATTGAGTCTGCAATCAATGAGGCACCAGGAAGCATTGGTTTCCTTGTATGTGGTCCTGCATCCATGAACGACGATGTCAGACAACATGTTTCTAAGAACATGGATAAGGGTAAGGGTCGCGTAGACTTATATTTGGAGGCCTTCAACTGGTAAAAGGAAAAATAGCCAAAAGTCTATATATTTTCTTATCATCACTTTACAATTTTTTTTATTGTTTTACTGTTTTACTGTTTTACTGTTTTATTGTTGCTGTTTTATTTCTTTTTAATACACTGATAGATATTTATAACAAAAAAGTTAAGCACTCGCTTATTTTTGATATATATTTTTGAAATCAATTTGGATATTATTAAAAACCGCCTTTTTTTTTTTTTTTTCATAATACCGTATTTTTTGAAAGTTGGAAGTGGATCTATTCAAAAGCCTAGATTAGTTATAAAGTTATTAAGTTATTAACTTTATAACTAATCTAGGCTTTGAGATACTTATATGTAGTAATTAGTATTAAATTAGTAAATGCACATATATGGTCTGCCCCTTGCTTACAGTCAAAATCTTGCAAAAAAAAAAAAAAAATACATTTAAACCCGTTGTTGTTGCATGTACCAGAGATGTATAACCCAGAAAAGTTTTGAAATTCCGCTTAGTAATGCGATTTCGGAATACTTTAATCCGCTACGTTTGAAGAATTTTTTTTTAAAAAGGCGCGGATTTAATATGTGTGACATAATTATAACATAATTATAACAGAATAATAATAAAATGTAACAAGTTTTAAATTGTAATAAATTAAAAAGGATTTGATCGATTGGGGGAGTTTATTTAATTATAATTAAATGATTAATTAATCTTGTCTTGCTTTGATCTTGAATCATGGCACGATTCATGACTCATGATTTAAAAGAGATTTTCTAAAATGTGATTAAAATAACCTATTTGTTTGAATATCAAAATATAAAAATATAAAAAAACAAATAATTTATTAATTAATTAATTATATTTCTTAAAAAAATCATTATTCCAACATTATTTTTTTAATACTTGAAGTTACTTTACTTTAAAACTAAGTTTATCTATTAACAATTTAATTAAGTTAAATATTAACACTAATAATTTTTTTAACATAATTAAATGGGTTAAGGGTTTGTAGTATTTTTGGTGCAGATTTTTTTTTTTTTTTATTTAAACCACCACCACTTATTCTGCTAATCCATATATATAATTTAAAGCACAGTGCCAACAAACTAAAAATTCTTACCAGGGTAAGGTTACCCCGTATTTTTTTTTTTCTTTCTCTCTGTCAGAAGACAACCATACTGAAATCCGTATTGATGTTGCAGATTTTTTACCAACAACCCATTTCAAGGAAACTATTAAACCTTTGGTAGAAAAACATTGCTGTTTCAGTTCTAATTTATATTTTATAATCTTTTCACTCTAATCTAGGTGTGAATTTACCCCTAACCTGACTTTTAACTTTAAATTTTATTTTATTTTTTAAAATATGCCGTTTTATTTTAAAGAACATTACAATTTATATCATGCCTAAGCATTCTAAGAGTCGTATGCTTTTATCCAAAAGCAATTTAATTCGATCAAAGAGTAAGAGAATTCGTTCTAAAGAAAAAATAATTCGCCCTAATACACATCGAGCACGTTCCAAAAAGTCTGCAAAATCAATAGCAGAGCTCCAAAAATTTATATCACACCTAGATATTAAGAAACCAATTCCGATAAGAATAAACGGATCTATTCATGTTTTTTACAATTTTGGAACAAAATTCGATTGTGCAAATAAAAGTAAAAAGGCATCAGGCTTTGCCTCTGCGATTGCAAACGTCAATAAATGGGACTCTCTTATAGGAGATTTGATTGAACCACCTCTTAAAAATGCAATCTTGGCAGGCACTTATGCTGTAATAACAGGAGGAATGGCTTCCCAAGATACTAGTCTATATCAACAAGTGTCGCATAACTCTTCGATAAGGCTTTCAGATCATAATTATGCTATTGTGAGAGACCCTCAAAATGTCAATCAAGGACTTAAACTTGCTCTTGCTACTAAAGTGACATGGTACGCAAGTGGCGAAACTGATATCAAAGCCCCTATATTTGGATTCACCTTAAAATATCTTCATACTGCTTTTCACTACAATGGCAAAATCCGCCCTGAAGTTAGTGATGCTGTGCAAAAGTTTGGACAGCTTTTGGATACCAAGATTGCCATGCAAATTTTAGGTGTTGTTCCAGGGAATTACAAATTTCCTCATATTTCTCCTACAAATGAAATGGAAGATAGACTTCTAGAGTTCCCTGTTGGAGCAGCATATCTTAGCACTGCATATGAAATATTCTCTTATGTTTCTGATACTATTTACAAGGACTACATAGGAGAGAATGAGATTATAAAACGAATCGAAAAAATGGTGGAGACAAATTTTACAAATAGAGCGGCATTTCATGTCTCTGCTCGGTCTCTAGGGTTATTAAAACGCAGTGTAGATTTATCTCAAAATGATCTGATTTTTATTTCTGCTGTTGTTCACGCCATTGCACCCAAAAGTAATCTTTCAAGAAAAAAATCAATTATTCCAGAAAATCAATTAAAGTTCAATACAGATTATTTGACGCTTTCCAAAATATGTCGACTTTTGGAAGCTAAAGGTGAGGTTTTTGATGAATTAACCAACAAGAAAAACGTTTATCAAAAAATTAGGAATCTCATTTATGCTAGTGATGGACCAAATTCCAATATCGTGCAACACAATATACCATCAACACATGACCATATTTCCAACCCAAATCGGGGGATTTACAATGAAGAAGATGACAGTGACTATGTATATGAGCAAGAAAGTGAAGATGAGTTAGAATATGATAGCAATTTTGGGACAGAGGATGAAGAAATGGAAGAAGGTCGAACCAGAAACAATGTTGTGGAAAATAATCATGGACAAGTTAGAAGAGAATATTCAATCGGGCCTCGGCACGCTCCACAAGCTGGATTTATTGACGATCAGAAACCCATTTCAATTAAAGAAGAGCCGGAGGATATTTCACATGCCGCTGTTGAGGTTCCCAGTGTACAATTATCAGTCCAACACGAAGCCCAGGCGTCCTTTAAGATAAAAAGCGAGAGCCAAGTTGCTTCAGAAACTATACCAGAAGCTTCTTTTTTAAATAATATTCAGAGTGAAATTAAAGAAGAGTTTTTTAATGATTCTGTTAATTCCTCTACGAATGTTCCAACTAGAGAACTTCTTGATGACTATATGAATGATGATGATGATGATATAATATTGATCAAGGTTGAAACAATTGATCAAGTTTAATGGTGTTAGAAACGAAAGAACATTTATATAAATTATTGACAATTTAAAGATTTAAAGTGATGAGAATGACGGAGAATAAAACATTTTAATGTACCAAATGAACTGTACTTGAATAAATATTGGGTAAAAAAAAATATTTGCCTATTGTTTATTATAAAGTTATAGAAATATATATTATCGGCATCAGTATTATTTTTTTGTTCCTTTATATAACTTTCCGTTTTCATAACAAATTTTAATTTGACTTCATTTCTTTTTTTTTTTTTTTTTGGTTTTAAGCAGAGATAAAGCTTACAATTTTTTTGTAAATAAATTAGATCATTTAAGAGAGTCGATATGTCCATCTCTGAAGATATCCGTTTCAATCCTTTTTTTTTTCTTCTTCTTCTAGCAAAGGCCACTCAACCAAAATTTATCCAACTGTTTTCAGCTCTGCATATGTGTAGTTGTAAATATCCTTGCCATTCCTCCATTTCTTGTTTCTCCAGAATTTCAATCGCTTGATTCTGTTGTTGCTTCAGTATAAGAGGCTCAATTCTTTTGCATCATTGTTTTTCATCCTTCTTAATCATAAAATATCTTCTTTCGCCAACATATAATACTTATTTAGCTTTGCAATTGGTGATTTCTCAATCAATGTTAACAAATGACCATTAACAGGATTGGTTTTGTTAATATTTAGCTGTAACCGAATAGCTTTTCGTGTCACCATAAATTTTAGCCTAATAATATATGGCATAATACCAGCTTCTTATTGTAATACCGCAATAAGAGTTATGTGATAAGCGCCAACAATTTTTTTCTCAAAGCCATATTTCACTATTGGTCTCACGCAAGCAATATACAATGATCTGAGTGAAGCCCTCCGCATACCTTTTTGCAGGCTATCAAGATGCCAAATAGCATCAACATCCTTTCTTGCTTTATTGATTTTTATTCAAAATATGAGATTTAAAATTAATCCGGTTGTTCAAAGTGATTTCAATCAATTCAAACTCCTTCTAAAATTTACAAATTTCTCCATTAGGTAAAATAAGTTGCATTTTTTTAGATATATGTTTAATATTTTTTGGTAAAATGAATATTATTTTGGTCATTCTTGATTTAGCCTAATTAAAACATTTTTTTTAATAAAATATTTAAGATTTTGGTATTTTTCTTTAATTTTAAATTTTCAAGTGACAGAAATATCATCAAAACAACCAAAAATTACATATACTAAATATCAATTTTTTTAAATTTCGATAATTTATACAACTTTAAATTTTTAGTTTCAAGCATTGCCGTTGTAGTATAGTGGTTAGTACACTTCGTTGTGGCTTCAAAATCGAACAATTCCGAAGAAACCTCAGTTCGATTCTGGGCAACGGCATATAAATTCTTTTTTTTTTTGAATAGTTTATAATAAATGAATATATCTATATTTTTTTTTTGGAAGATTGAAGATTTAATAGAATAGATTATTAATTGGCATATACAAGGCTCTCTAGAATGACTAAATTGGAAAGACATAGATTTATTAATTGCGGGACAATAAATGTCTCTGAATTCTCGTGGTTACTGTTATGACTTGTGTGTAATCTCTGTTGACAGAGATGTCATTAAAACTAGAAACATCATTTTTAATCAAATCAAGTATCTGGTTTCCACTTCCTCAACATAACATAACAAAATTGAGTTTACTGTTTTCTTTGAAAAACAAAACCTGCCATTTTATGGTACATTTTAATGAACATTGAGACTTTGTTTGGTTACAAATTGATTCTAAAAAGATAGTGGCAATGCTGGTAGGTATTGGTATTAAATTTGATTCTAGTGATTTGAAAAGTATGATGAGATTTCTTTTTCTTTTTATTGAACATTGTCCAAAATTGTCCAAAATTAAGCAATTTTCATAAAAATTTAATAAAAATTTGATAAAATTAAATTAAAAAAAAAAAAATTGGACTTCCATAAATCGGCTCAGATTCCGAATGAAATTCCACATGTCTGCGGCTTTTCACCCCCCACTTTTTTGTTTTAATGTGAACAACAGTTTTTAATATGTGGGGGGGACACTTTTATTAATAGTGATTATGTAGTAGTCGTTTAGGGTTATCATGATAAAAAAAAAAAAATTGTCTTTATGTGTCAAATCAACTTTAACCCCACCTAGTTAATTGAGTATATAAGATACAAAAACAAAAAAAAAGAAAAAAGAAAAAAGAGGTTAATCATCCATCATTCGTCTGTTTTTTTTTTTTTTTTCGAGTGTGGGGGGTTATTTGAGAAAAAAAAAATTAAATATTTCAAAATTTCTTTCGTTTTTCTTTCTTCTCCAGTACTTGGTAGAAAAAAAAAAAAAAAAAAAAAAAAACAGGCCTTTTAATATAATCAAAGTTATCCATTAATTGCCATTATTAGCCTTAAATAACCTTGAAAAGCCTAAGATTTCCATTAATATCCTTACTTTTTCTTTAATGACTTCAAGGCGGGGGGGGTATATATATATTTTAGTCCTCTTTTTTTTTTTTTTTTTTTTTTTTTTCAACCAACAATCATTCAACTATGTTATTAACAAATAATTTTTAAGGTATTCTGCGGGGAAATTGAAATCAAATTGAAAAGAAAAGATAAAAAAAAAAGAAAAAAAAAATTTCATGTCACAGGGAACTTTTTTTTTTTTTTTTAAATTTAAGTGAAATTATTTTTCTAGACAAAGAAGGATGATATATATATATATATAATAGGTCTATGATCTAAGATATAAATAAATATATTAAGTCTAAACCTTTATAATTGGTATTTGATAAAGAGTCTAACAAAATTTGTTTGTAATCATGATAAATGTTGGGATTTTCTTTACAGTTTTTGGTAATATGAAAATTAAAATGAACGGAAAAAAAAAAAAAAAAAAAAAAAAACAGAGAGAGAGAAAAAGTCCAATATTTATATATTTGAATATAAATATAAATAATATATACTAAATAATATATACTAAATACCGATATTAAAACCTTGGCATTTATATTGAAATTTATTTTTTTTCCCTATAATTTCATTGAGATGCCCTTATTTTTCATCACATTCTGCAAAGGCTATCACGGGCCAAACTCGGTGACTGGCATTGACGCCGCATGTGTCTGTGGATTTTAGTTTTTATATGTAGGCTTTTGTTTTTTCTTTTTTTTTTTTTTTTTGTGATGTTGTTGAAATCAAATGTGCACATTGTAACGCCACACCAAACCAAGAAAGATATTATGCATACACACATATTATATATATATATATATTCAGCCTTGCTTTGCGTGTGGCTGGCTGGTTGCATGTACAGATTTCTCCGGTAAAGTCCCGAGGAGGTTTATCAACAACTCCGTGGAGATGCCGTTATTGAATGACAGGTTGTTATATATAACAAAAAAAAAAAAAAAAAAAAAAAAAAAAAAAAAATAAGAGCAGAGAACACCGGGTGTAACACCGGTACATAGAAAGCAAAAAAGATAAAAAGGGATAGATGGTGTAGCCGTTTCAAAGGGGGCTTCAGTGGCCAATTTGAAAAGAAAAGAAAAACACAGGAGGGGGTAGAAGAATGGAAGATAAAAGAAGGGCAATTTCCCTTACTTTTTTCTTTTTTCTTTTTTCTCCCTATTATCTATTATTCATTGAAAAATGAAGAAGTTTCAATTTTACACTAAATTATTGATATGAATGTTGTGCTTTTCTAATACTAGTAAAAAGCTTTGATATATATATATATATATATATTTTGGTTTTGCTTTTATTGTTACTGATATAGATGAAGTCTACATACAATATGATTTTGGTATTAACTAGCCAGCAGCCGCACTAGTTACAGAAAACTGGCAAGCAACAACAGATTTAAATCAAGAGTGAAAAAATAGGCACAAACAAACAAAAAAAACATGTTTTAAAAAAAAAGAGATTAAATGCTTTTAGGTTTTAAATTCATTTAAAATAGTTTAAGTGAGCTAAGTATAATAAAGACTATTTGGAATAATATCATATACTGAAGATAATTTAAAAAAATTTGAACAAAATTGAACAAACTTGAACAAACTTGAAAAAGTTTTTAACAAAATCGAATAAAATCAAATGAAATTGAAAAAAGAAAATTCACATAATATGAATAGCTTTTATTGTTAATTGATAAATGAATTTTTCTTTTTTTTCTCATTCATATTTTTGTTGTTAATGTGAAAAGTTTATAACCACTCATTTTTTTTTCATTTAAAATTTAAAAAGTATTAATAATTAAAAATAACTTTCGTTACTTTGAGTTTGTTTGAATTATATACTCTTTCTTAATTTTTTCTTTCTCATTGTTTTTTTTCAAAAAAAAATAAATACCAATTCATAGTTCAATCAGATTATTTTACCTTTTTTTTCATTATTTATACCAAACTGGTGTAAGTTAGGATTACCGCCAAAGCAATTTTTCTTTAATTTTTCAATATCACCTCAAAAGAGGGGGGTTTTTTTTAATTATTTTTTAATAACCATTTGACTACAATCAAAATAAATCTTTATTTTAAATTTTCAAATTAATTGGATTATTTTTTTTACAATTCTTTTTTTTTTTTGAAAAAAATGATATTTGTGGTGTTCAAGATAAATTATGGCCAATCAGCAGCACGTGAATTTTTCCCAAGACAATAATAACACAACACAACCATTTAGGACATTTATTTATTTAAAAAATTAGTGAATGAGACTCTTTTTTTTTAATCAAAATGTTATAGTCAATTAGTTATTTTTTTTTTCAATCAAGATTATGTGAACTTTTCTAATAAAAAGAAAAAAATGACGTCAAAGATTGAGATTTAAAGTAAAGTTGAATTTTTAAAAAAGTTTTGTTGGATTAAGTAGATTTCAGATTAATTTAAGCTATGTTTTTTTTTTAAAAAAAAAAAATGAGACCATTATTATTTTTTACAAGTATTTTTTTTTTTTTTGCTCATAAATAATTAGTTAAGATTAAGAAAAGAAAATAAAGAGAAAAT